TCTAGCTGCAAGCCCTAATGATATCTGCTTTGTAGAAGTAGGAATTATAATATCAGCCCATAGAGCTTGCTCTACAACTCTAAGTGATTTTGTAGGAATAAGGCGTTGTATAATACCAGAAGCTGTAAGAATCCGATACCTATGAGGGTAAGGCTCTTCTAGAATCCGTGCAAATAGCCTCTTATTATCAGTTGAGGTTCTATCCTCTCGAGGAACCTTTATAGAGACTATTGCTCCTATATCAAAGTGCTAAATATCATGCTTCTTTATATACTTCCGCACCATAGAAATCCTAGCTCGTTGAGTGGCTGCTATAGCTCTCTCAATTATAGGATTAGGTGTAGCCCGAAGCTCAGTTCTAGGCTGAGCTGGAACTCTGGCCCAGGTCCCACGCCGGGGCTCGGAATTGAGCTCTCGCTCTGGCTCTGGCTCAAGCTCTGAGCCAGAGCTGGGCTCGGAATTAGGCCTAGAGCTAGAGAGCTCAATTCCGAGCTCTGGTCCAAGCTGGATCAGGGCTCTAGCGCCAGCTCTGGTTCGAGTTCTGAGCCCTAAGCCAGAGAGCTCGATTCTGGGCTCAGGGGCTCGCTGGGCTCTAGAGTTCTCGAGCTCAAGACAGAACTCTGGCTCAGCCTGGATTTGAGCCAGTACTCGAGCCTGAGCTCGAGTAGGAACTAGACGACAGAGCTCGGAATTGAGCTCTCGCTCTAGCTCGAGCTCAGAGCTAGAGCTGGGCTCGGAATTGAGCTCTGAGCTAGAGTGCTCGATTCTGGGCTTAGGGGCTTGCTGGTGCTGGGCTCTGGCTCTAGCTCGGTTTCTAGGCTGGGCTCGAAGCCTAGAATCGAGCTCTCGCTTAGGCTCTAGCTCAGGCTCAGAGCTAGAGCTAGGCTCAGGGACTCGCTAGAGCTGTAGGTCGATTAGAGCTTCTGTCTCGGACTCAAGCTCAGACTGGAGGTCGCTCTCGAAAATAGGGCCCATAGCTGGGTCCTCCTGCTCAATTCCGATTGTTAGATCCTTCCGGGCCTAGCTATCGAGCCAATTGATATATGAGCTCCGTTCCCGGAATAGAAGCTCAGCTGGTGCACACCCAATTGTAGAGTAGATTTGGGTGTTCATAGCAAGTGTAACCTCTAATAGCCCATCCTTCCATTCTGTAGACCTATGATCCATTTTCCATGCCCGGAGCTTATTCTCAACAACCCCATTAGCCTGCTCGACTAGGCCCTGAGTTTGTAGCGACCGTGGTGCTCCATTTATCACCTGTATTCCATACTTCCGTAGTAGGAGTAAGAGAGCCCCCTTAAATTCCTTCCCATTATCAGCCTGCATAATCTTCGGAGGTAGGAAAGCTGTAATAAATTGAGCAAAGCACTCTGCAATAGGCTCTGCGTGCTTGCTTTTCAATGGGTATAGCTGTGTATACTTTGAGAAGTGATCCTTTATATGAAGAATCCACTTATACTGCCCTAAAGGCTCGTGGCGCATATCAATTAAGTCGATTTGAACCCTCTCCCACGCCCGTCCACTTATAATAGGAACTAAGGGAGCTTTTGTAGTGTTCGGCCTATTCAAAGTGCAATTCTTACACCGTTTAAGTATAAACTCTACATCCTCTCGCTTTATTCCATAGTATTTTTGCTTGATAGTAGGCCATACCTTATTCCGACCTGCGTGTAGAAGCTTAAGGTGCTCTTGTGCAATAACGTCAAACACCTCAGCCTTTTGAACTACAGCTCGTAGGTGCTGCTTATCACTCCGCCTATCACTCTGCTTATATAGCTTATTATTAACAAGCTTAAAGCTAGAGAGTGTATGGTGCTTTAGGTTTGTACTCTCTTTATTATGCAGAATAAAAGCAGCTGGATCCTCGAGTATAGTGTGTATTTGGCCCCATTTTTCGTGTGAGAATTGCTCTCGATTGTAGTAAGTAGGGCTGCTTATATAGGCCTCAAAAGCAGTGCGTACGTCAAATGGAAATGGAGTAATTGAAGTAATAGTAGCCATAATTACTATACTATACTATAGTTGTAGGAGGTAGGAGGTAGGATTTCAATTTCTACGATACTATTCTACACCGCCACTTCGCGGTTGGGCCGGCCAGCTCGCGAATGGGCCGGCCAGCTCGCGAGCTGGCCGATCTTACGGTTGGGCCGGAACATATACGATCTCCGTGGAAGAAAGAGTTATCACCCTACATGTTCCGAAGCACGGTTATAGAACAAGACCTCTGATATATGCCCGTAACTCCTCCCAAACCCGAATAAACCATCATATAGGACCAGGCAACCCACATAAGAGAACATAAAGGAACTATACATTAATCGGTTCATTTTGAATTCCATCCTCCTTCTCGGCCGCTTCCCACATCGCGACAATGCTTTCTCCCTTCATCGCGTCCCTCAAGGTCAAGTCGAACGAAAATTTTGCTGGCTTGGAAATCAGCAGATTGGAGTATTCCATATCATTGAGAGGGATCTCCTGTCCGTTCTCATCTATTTTCTTCCTTAGGTTGAATGCCCAGGCGATGGCACCGCAAACAAGAAATAGCTCGTGGTTGACGATGTCGACTCCCATACAGGTCCGGCGGCCATACCCAAATTGTGAGTGCCCTTCGAGTTTTGGGTGGATGGTGAGAGGCTCGCGGTATGTAGGGTAAGAGGGATTTAGCCATCGGTCAGGAAGGAAGGTGTTTGCCATTGGGTAAATACTTGGTTCCCGGGTGAGGCCCCTAGATTCAAGTTAGCATGACCATCTTCACCAAGTTTAAACTTGCACGTATTCCTACCATTCAAATGCGTGGATAGTAGAGCCAGCGGGGATGAAGTAGCCTTGGTACACATAGTCCTTAGTCGAAGCATGTGGGATTCCTGCAAAATGGTTAGTCAAGTAACGGTCAGACATTGTAGGATATTGCGACAAACCAGTAGGAACTGGTGGTCTCCACCTCAGCACCTCTTTCACGACGGCTCGCAAAACGGGCAGATTCTCCATGTCAGCCATTGCAGGCAATCTGTCGCCACATACCCGATCGAGTTCTTCCTGCGTCTTCGCAAGCCATTCAGGTGATTGAACCATCGCGAGAACAAAACTCATCATCGGACTAGCTATGGTCAAGGCTCCAGCAATAGCCATCATGCCGACTTGGTAAGCACCTTCAACGTAGCTAGTTTGAAACTTCTCTTGCGACTCAAGGAACAGGCGCATGTAAGATGGCTTGGCTGTACCTGCAAGCCATTCTTTGCGGACCTTCGACATCTGGTTGAGGAAGAACTCCCGCTCGAAGGCATATCGCTGCTTTTCGTACCTCTTCCATGGTGATAGGCATTCTGGGAGTGCAGCGAGAGGTGAGATTACATTAGGGAGAGCGCCTGCTGGCGAAATCACACTCAACAGAGCCATAGTCACTTGTTGCAGAGTCAGATAACAATCTGGCGAGCCCCACGCTAAACGGGAGATATTCCGACTGGTGTGGTCCTCGAGGAGGCTTCTGTAGGACTCTGGCGCGAGGAGAAGCTTGTACAAGAGGCGCTTAGTCTCAATGACCGGATAGTGGTATTGAGCATTCTTTGAGCTTGTTGTCATGAGAAGATGTCCAAACTTCCGCTGGTGCTTCCAGATCTCTAGATTAGAACAAGTTACCATTTTATCCAGTACCTGACAAAGACGGAACTGTCTAGCATACCATTTTCCCCCAAGAGAGGGAGGTACTCTCCGCCCGTCTTGTTGATAGGAAGATTATCTATCAGTGGCCGGTCGGAAAATATGGACCCTTGTTTCGAAAGCAAGTCCTTCGCGATTTGCTCTGAGGAAATCCAGACATGGGTCGAGCCAAAGAGTTCGTGCTTGTAGATGGGGCCTGATTCTTTCGCCCATTTGTAGAACCCAAGCCACGTTCTTTCTTTTGGGATATCGTGAATACGGCCAATAAACCACATGCCTGCGGATCCAGTAAGTACATATATTATCGTTGATTACTGCAGAGAAATGATGCGTACTCCATGGTCCTGGAAGTTTTCGAGCTCCCGCTGGCATACGACGATAAGGATCATGCCACCATCTATGAGCTGCTACGGCGCATGGAAGTATCACAACCAACAGTACGATTAGAAATAAACCCATAGTAGCTTTCAGTAAGTGGGGAAATCAACTGTAGAATTTAGGCGCTGCAGTAAAGGCTTCGCGACTACAGAAACTCAACGTGAGCCTATACGACCGAGGTGAATTGAAGTTTAACAGCTGCTGGTCGGCCTGAATGCTAGGATTAGGCCAAAATGACGTGTTCTTAAACAGCCCCGACAAAATATGACACAGGACTAGTGAAGGTTTTTTTGGGCGGTCTATATGATATCAAAATTTTCACTATCCCCGACGGAAGTCCGGTGGGGAAAATCCTCGGAAACCCGCTGGGAGTAGGGATTGCTACGGATGATCTCATCCCTTTTATCACTTCGTGTATGTTCCGGCCCAACCGTGAACCGAGCCAGTTCGTAAGCGTGCCGGCCCAGGCCTTGCGCTTCGAACTTTGGTACGACTCCCGATCTTGCATTTATTAGTATGTAAACTAATACCCCGCAATGCAGCTAACCAGGTCCACAAGCAGCTTCCAGGGCTGCATTTTAGGCTCGAAAGTAGGAGGCCCTCTGGAAAAGAGTGTAGCAGCTCTTCAAAAAGCCAGCTGCCCGATTTTTTAGAAGAACAGAACCAGTTTCCTGACTCAAAAGCCGATGAGAGAGGTAGCGAGAATGGGCGCGAAGGTGACCGAGGAATTGGGTAGGGCGACGAAGTGAGAACCTTATTTTAGCTTGCCCTCTATACAAATTATTATAAAAAGGTGCTTACTTTACCTCTTCATTGGCAACGGGGATTATCTGGTATAGAATATTTAAAGAAGTTCTTTAATATTTCAATTGACATTGCGACCTCGCACACATGGCTTGAACACTGACGTTAGCTCATTTGTGGCTCTCCGTGTTCTTTCGGACCTCCATGGGGATGTCCACGAAGTCCGCCGGAAACTCTAAGCCTTTTTGAATCATCAACAGGAAAATTTTTTGGGTTCCTGTAATGCAAATCAAAGGACTGATGTCTTCTCTCTTTAAGCTCGAGATGATGGCTGTGGTACTGCTCAATTCGTAGCTATAGCTTCGGTCTTCGGTCGGCGTCCATGCGCTTCCTAATTTCCATTTGGTATTGGATCTTCATGCTGTGTCTTGACATGTAAAAAGCTTCCCTAATGGGGTGGACGATGTCTCTTTTTAAAGTGTGGATTGATTTCAATTATGTCTCGATTGAGCTTGAGGGCTTCTTTTACCAGCATTGTGGCTTTCCATAGTAATAGATGGAAATAACGAAACTACCAAAGCCTCGCAAGGCAATTTTGGATCTAATGTACCACGTATATGACGATATAGACCTGAATCAGCGCTCGGCGACCGATAGAGTTGATGCGCTAAATGTGACTAAAAGTATAATGGAAGTATTGCCATGTCGGGTAAAGCACTTTCTCTACTCTTTATAAGCCTAAAAGCACCTCCAAACCCTGCGTCCCATTATTCTTACTGATGTCCAACTGGTGCTCAAAATGGCCGAGAAAATATCATTTCTTCTCTTTGGAGAACAGTCTCTGGACACACAGGGGTTTCTTGCAGACTTTTGCCGTAATGGAAATCCAAGTATTCTTTCACATGCTTTCCTCAATCGCGTTGCTTCTACTCTTCAAAATGAGATCGAACGTCTCCCATCTCTAGAACGTCGACACATACCATCTTTCACTACAATCCAAGAACTTAGTCAGAGATATCATACCAGGGATGTTACACATCCTGCAATAGACAGTGCTCTTCTTGTTACTACACAACTCGCTCACTATATCGAGTACGTGCTCACTACGATCTTGCTCTTATCTGATGCTTATAATACTTTAGTCGAGCAGAAAAGGTTCCGGAAGATGCTACAAGACCACAGGAAACATGGACAGTTGGCCTCTGCACCGGGCTTATTGCCGCCGTTGCGGTTTCCATTGCACCATCTCTCTCGGCTCTTGTAAACATTGGCGCCGAATTTGTACTTTTGGCCTTCCGAACAGGACGACATGTTTCTGCTCTTGCAGAGCACATACATGAATCTGGCGATGCGGCCAAGAGCTGGACTTATGTTGTTCCGGGACTTAATGAACCAGCTGGAAGGTCCCTACTTGCTGATTTTAACGAGTCGAAGGTGAGTTATCACTACACACAAACAAAAATTGGAGACTTAACTTTGCCAGGGCTACACAACGACCAGTCAAGCATATATCAGCGCCATCACTTCAACGAGCATAGCTTTTAGCGGTCCACCACCCACGTTGAAGGCGCTTGTCGATGAGCATGAGTTCAAAGATGGGCCACTACCACTGCCTATCTATGGGCCGTACCACGCATCACATCTCTATTCCGCCGCTGAAATTGAGGCAGTTTTGCGACTTAACGATTCTAACCTAAGCGAAGTTCTCAAAAATGCATCTCGACGATTCCCTGTCATTTCATGCTCAACAGGGCAGTGGCTTGCGGAAAAAGATCCTAAAAAGCTTATCACAGCAGTTATTCGAGACATTCTTCTGGAGCCACTAAATTTTCAGCGGGTCTTAGCAAGCTGTGTGACGCAAGCAAATAATTATAGAAGCTCATCGTGTCTCGTTATACCGTTCGGTCCAACGCAAGCTGCTAGTAGCCTAGTACAACAACTCAAGAATGAAACAGGTCTTGAGGTTCATCTGCGCCGCGCACCGCATTCAAAAAAGGATCGTATGGCACCTCACACAGGAGACCATGGTTCGTCAAAGCGGTGTAAACTTGCTATTGTCGGTATGGCAGGCCGTTTCCCCGATGCTGCAACGCATGAGAAGCTATGGGAACTGCTCGAAAAGGGACTCGCTTTACACAGAGAGGTACCGGCAGATCGATTTGATATGAAGACTCACTGTGACCCTTCTGGAAAGGTTATGAACACGAGTCATACGTCTTATGGAGCCTGGATTGAGAATCCAGGTCTATTTGATCCTCGCTTCTTCAATATGTCGCCAAGAGAAGCGCATCAAACAGATCCGATGCAACGCATGGCTATTACTACCGCTTATGAGGCCTTGGAAATGTCTGGCTATGTGCCAAACAGAACTCGCTCCACAAAGCTCGACAGAGTTGGTACATTTTATGGACAGACCAGTGATGATTGGCGTGAAATCAATGCAGCGCAGGAGGTTGACACATACTTCATTACAGGTGGCGTCCGCGCATTTGGACCTGGACGTATCAACTATCATTTCGGCTTTAGTGGGCCAAGTTTCAGTATCGACACCGCCTGCTCTTCCAGTATGGCGGCTATGCAACTCGCTTGTACGTCGCTGTGGGCCAAGGACTGCGATACTGCTGTTGTTGGAGGCCTGAGTTGTATGACCAACTCTGACATTTTCGCCGGCCTCAGCAGAGGACAGTTCTTGTCAAAGAATGGGCCATGTGCCACCTTCGATAACGACGCCGACGGATATTGTCGCGCCGATGCTTGTGCTACTGTCATCGTCAAGAGACTCGAGGATGCTATTGCAGATAAGGACAATGTTCTCGGTGTCATTCTTGGCACGGCCACGAATCATTCGGCAGATGCAGTGTCAATCACTCATCCCCATGCCGGAACTCAAGAGATTCTATATCGCAATATCCTAAATATGGCTGGTGTTGATCCATTGGATGTAGACTATGTGGAAATGCATGGCACTGGCACTCAAGCCGGCGATGCCACTGAGATGAAGTCAGTCACAAATGTCTTCGCTCCTGCAGACCAGAAGAGAAGCGCAGAGCAATCGCTATATCTCGGTTCAGTCAAGGCAAATGTGGGCCATGGAGAAGCGGCATCTGGAGTTACAGCACTTATCAAAGTTCTCATGATGCTGCAGAAGAATACCGTGCCTCCACACGTTGGCATCAAGAAGACGATCAATAGAACGTTCCCAAAAGATTTGGCAGAGAGGAATGTACATATTGCTTATCATTCCACTCCTCTACTTAAGAAAGCTGGCCAACCACGACGTGTTTTTGTCAACAACTTCAGTGCTGCTGGTGGAAACTCTGGGCTGTTGCTCGAGGACGGTCCTGCTACGAAGACGCTTTTGACAGATAACCGATCAGCGCATATGGTATCGATAACTGCGAAATCAAAATCTGCCGTGATAAAGAACGCTGAGCGCTTGATGTATTACATCGAACAACACCCGGAGGCATCGCTCGCGGATATCTCGTATACGACTACTGCCCGTCGAATTCAACACAACTGGCGGATATCAGTCACAGGATTCAATATTACTCAGGTCAGAGAATTCATCAAGCACAAGTTGACTGAAGACATTACGCCAATTCCTCTGACCACCCAAGAGATTGTCTTTGTGTTTACTGGACAAGGGTCGCACTATGCTGCTCTTGGCAAGGAGCTCTTTGAGAGTTCATCGTTGTTCAAGGAGACCATGCTCGAGTTCAACAACATTGCCGCCATGTATTGCTTACCCTCGTTTTTACCACTTATAGATGGTTCTGCTGCTGCCGTGGAAGATTTATCACCAGTTGTTGTACAGCTTGGTTTGTTGTGCTTCGAGATGGCAATGGCCCGATTGTGGGCTTCTTGGGGTATCAATCCAAGCGTTGTCATCGGACACAGTCTTGGCGAATACGCAGCTCTCAATGTAGCTGGCATTATCTCAGCCAGTGATGCAATCTACCTTATCGGTAAGAGGGCACAGCTTCTCATGGAGAAGTGCACAGTTAGCAGTCATGGCTTGCTTGCTGTCAAGGCTTCAGTCTTGTCGATCAGAGAATCTGTGGACGAGGCAAGCATTAATATTGCATGCATCAATGGGCCAGAAGAGACAGTACTCAGTGGAGATACAGCACTGATTTATGTCATCTCGGAACGCCTTACTGCAGCTGGTTTTAAATGCATGCAGCTCAAAGTACCTTTCGCCTTCCACTCTGCCCAGGTTGATCCAATCCTCGACAAGTTTGAGAAGTTGGCGGCTTCAGTTCAGTTTCACGCTCCAACAGCTCCGATCGTCTCAACGCTACTTGGAAGGCAACTTAGAGAAGGAGAAACTGTGAATGCGTCCTATCTGCGACGACATGCTCGTGAGCCAGTAAACTTTTTGGACGGTATAAACTCAATTCGGTCAGCTGGGCTGATCAATGAGAAGACCCTATTTTTGGAAGTTGGCCCTCATCCGGTTTGCATAGGCATGGTGAAGTCAACGCTTGGGAAGGAGACTGTGGCAGTTTCTTCCCTGAGGAGGACTGAGAGCGCTTATAAAACGCTCAGCGACAGTCTTTCCACTCTTCACACAGCAGGCTTCAATATTGACTGGAATGAATATCATCGAGATCACCTGGATTGTGTCCAGCTTTTGGATTTGCCGACATATGCCTTCGATGAGAAGAACTACTGGATTCAGTATACTGGAGACTGGTGTCTGACGAAAGGAAGAGCCAGTGATAGTCAAGTTGCCTCTTGCCAAGATTCGAAACCCAAGATTTCTACTACAACCGTACATAAGGTTGTTGAGGATTTGGTTGACGGCGATGTGGCGACTGTCTCCACCGAGTCCGATCTGGCAAGAGCTGACCTTCGCTCTGCCGTCATGGGACATTTAGTTAATGGCGCAGGTCTTTGTCCATCATCAATCTATGCTGACATGGCCATGACAGTGTGCGAGTATGGATATAAGCTTGTGCGCCCGGATGTTGAGAATATCGGCATCAACGTTGCAAGCATGGAAGTAATCAAGCCACTCATTGCACGACCAGACGGCGCGAGTCAAATTCTCAAGCTAACTGCCTATATTGATGCTTCTCGCAGCTCTGCGAAACTCATCTTCTCGAGCGGATCAGATAAGGCTCGCGTCGACCATGCTCACTGCGTTGTCTCATTCGGTGATTGTGCTGCTTGGCTATCGGAATGGGAGCGAGTAGCTTACCTGATCCAACATCGAGTCGACTGGCTCAAGAATGCCGAGAAAAACGGCAAAGCTAGTAAGATAGGTCGTGGCCTTGCATACAAGCTCTTCTCTGCGTTGGTTGATTACGATGCAAAGTATCGCGGTATGGAAGAAGTTATTCTCTGCAGTGAGAACATGGAAGCAACGTCGCATATCTCCTTCCAGACTAAACCTACAGATGGTACTTTCGTATGCAGTCCATACTGGATTGATAGCGTGGCACATATCTCCGGCTTTATTGTAAACGGGAGCGATGCTGTCGATTCAGGAAATCAAGTCTACGTGTCTCATGGTTGGGACTCTCTTCGCATCGCGGAACCATTTTCTGCCGAAAAAACTTACCGTTCATACGTCAAAATGCAACCAGCTGGCGGAAAGATGCTTGCTGGTGACGTCTATGTCTTTGATGGCAGTAGAATTGTTGCCGTCGTTGGCGGTCTAAAGTTCCAGTGCATCTTACGCACTGTGCTAAATACTTTGCTCCCACCAGTCGGTGTTACGGCTCCTCCAGCCCAAGCTCCAGTAGCTGAGCCATCACCAGCTGTAGCAATACCGACCACATCTACGTTACACAAGACAACCACGACTACTACGAAAATCAAGACTGCGCAAGACAGCACAACGAGCCTGGAGCCTGCCAGTAAGAAGTTTGTGACTATCTGTTCGCAAACAATGGACATCGTGGCAAAAGAAGTAGGCGTTGGCATGGATGAGCTCGTTGATAATATCACATTTGCGGATCTCGGAGTCGACTCTCTTATGTCGCTGACAATAGGCGGCACAGTTCGAGAAAAGCTCGAGATCGAGTTGCCCTCGTCAATCTTCCTCGAATGCCCGACAATCGGGCAGTTCAAGAGCTTTCTGGCCAGGTTTGAAAGAGCAGACAGCGAGATTTCTGAAGACACGGAAGATTCTATCTTATATACTAATACTGATGACTCCACACCTAATAGTGATAGCTCCACACCTAATTTTGGGGAGATGTCTCCCTTGTCAACTCCAGCAGATGATTCGGATTTGGAATTGAGCAAGGATGATCAACTCTGTGAGATTATTCAAAATACTATCGCAGTCGAAGTTGGTGTCACAACGCAAGAAGTCGCCCATGCACTAGATCTCGCCCTTCTTGGTGTTGATTCTCTTATGGCTCTTTTGATTCTTGGGAAGTTGAGAGAGAAGACTGACCTATCTCTGCCGGCTGATCTTTTCGTCACCTGCGCATCCATTAAAGACATTGAGCGCAAGCTTGGAATTGGCCAGCCACCCAAACCTGTCCGCATTCCTGCCAGATCTTTTCCAAAGCTATTACCCCGACCAATATCCACAGAAACAGTTTCTCCCAAAGAAACTGGACACCAAGTCACCAATATCACGCCAGAGCGCTTCGCAACGTCTGTGCTTCTTCAAGGAAAGATTCGCACCGCCACCTCGCATCTCTGGATGGTTCCTGACGGCTCCGGCTCAGCAACCTCTTACGCTGACATCCCAGAGATTTCACCAGGGCTAGCCATGTGGGGTCTCAATTCGCCATACATGAAGACAAGTGAGGAATTCACCTGTGGCGTTCCTGGGATAGCTGCAAAGTACATTCAGGAGGTCAAGCGTCGCCAGCCAGTTGGGCCATATTTGCTGGCTGGCTGGTCGGCCGGGGGGGTCATTGCTTTCGAGATGTCGAATCAGTTGGTGAAGGCGGGCGATAGAGTCAGTCATCTGATCATGATTGATGCGCCATGCCCTCTGATCATCGAAGCATTACCAACCTCACTCCATCGCTGGTTCGCATCCATCGGACTGCTCGGCGATGGCGACCCGAATAAACTCCCTTCCTGGCTTCTTCCCCACTTCGCTGCCTCAGTCGCGGCTTTATCAACATACGACGCCGTTAGTATCCCCAAAGACAAGGCGCCCTCGGTTACGGCTATCTGGTGCGAAGACGGTGTGTGTAAGAACGAGAGCGACCCGAGACCCGATCCATATCCAGAAGGACACGCGCTGTTTCTGCTAGATAACAGGAGCGATTTTGGGCCGAACCTATGGGATTCTCTTCTTCCGGCGGAGAAGATTAGATGTGTGCGTATGCCAGGGAATCATTTCTCGATGATGGGAGGAGACTTGGTGGGTCTTTCCAATGTGGGAGCGTGGTTATATACGTACTAACTTAGTGATAGGTGAAGAAACTTGGGAATAAAATCAGAGAGGCCGTTGCGATGGCTTGAATATAATGCTCCACTGATATATAGCTATGAAGGATGCCCTCCTTAAGAGAGCATCTAAAGTCTTATTAATTACAATGTACGATCACTATTTAGACTCACGCTTCGACTACGTGACACAGAGCAGTACTTGAGAGGACCGTTAGTAAGTGAGGAAACATATGATTTTTGGTGCTGAGAGCTTAGAGCTATCGCATCCCTCTGTTACGATACTGGCGAGAGATGCACTACCAGTTCTAGGTAGGTGTACGTGCTAATACTAGCGTAAAATAGTAACACAGAATGCGTACAAATTGCTAAAAGCGACGAAATAGACGCTCTAGATCGGGATTTTACATAGAGAATATCGAGGTATGCTCGGAAGGCGACAGAGACCCATGGACAAAAGAGGGCTCTAAGCGATATTATCAATGACCTCAACACTAAGAAGAGTTATGGTAGGTTGTGGCTTAAGAGGTCGTGGTGAAAGTATCTAATGACGTAACCGGGCTAGGTCGCTCTGGACTATCGCGTATGTGAGAAACATGAGGGGGTTGTAGGCCATCACTTTGTTCTTGAACCGTGAGAAGGTTTTATCCAATCTGTTCGCTGATACTGACGACCGTAAATAGAAGCTGCCTCAGCGCAGCTTCATGTAGAGGATGTAGCTGCACTGAGCGACAGTGCAATTGGTCGGCGCACTGGAACAGAACCTTAAGAATGTGGTACTAGTTGACAGCAACTACTAACGCGTCATTTTGACGCTTCCGCTTCTTTGGCCGGTTCACTACTTACGTCATATAAATAACTGTTCCTAGATCACAGGTTTATCATATGGCCATCTAACTTGTCTGAAATGATATATGTTGCTGCAGAAGCATTTTACCTTCACTTTACCTTCACTCGACTTAAATGGCATCGAATTAACACAACATTTTCATCAGTGGAGCTCCAGCCAACGTCGACCGTGCCATCCATAGGGTGCCATATTTTATATCTCCATTTCAATAACTCTCAAACGAATACCAGCTACGATGTCACCAAGTAAAGTTTCAAATAAGACCCGTCTTCAGAGGTTCAGAGCTTCTTGTGATGGATGCTTCTTCGCAAAGGTTAAATGCAGTAAAACTAGGCCGATATGTTCTCGCTGCCTCACGTGCGGAACAGATTGTAAATACAGTCCATCGTTGAGGACCGGCAAACCAAGTACAGATAGGAGAATCAGCAACTCCAACATCAATACCAGTGCTGTTGCCGACCGAAATACGAACGTCGACGAGGCCGCGCATTCCCGCTTTGCGTTTGACTCTCAAGCTATGCCCATAGCTACCGATAAAAAGAATATTTCATTAGGGTCAGCGAATGGAAATAGAAAGCAATTATCTTCGGCAAACACAACTGCATCCCATCGCAACGACGCTTTGTTTGATGCTTACGATTTGGGACTGCCTCCTAGCACTACCGAGTTGTTTGACCCCTCGCTCCCTTGGACGCCAATATCGCAGATCGAGTTTGACAATCCGGTCGTCCAAAACGATCAAGGGACAATGATGTCTTGCCCGAAATATTTAGGTGCTGTACCACAGCTGAATTTAATCTCGCCATGGTCCGATAGTCAGTCGTCAAATTTACCATTCCATCCCCGCACGAATGCAGAACTTCCATCGCCAAATTCATCGCTCGATGCCAACTCTCCACCTGATTGCCGAACCAATGCTAAGATATCCTCGCCATCCTGCAACTGCTTTACGACCTGCCTTCAATCTCTTCAAGCTCTTCACAATCACTCCAGCACCACTCGATTAGCGTCAGCGTTTGACATGGCCTTGACCATCAATCGAAAAGCTGTAGAAGGATGTGCCAGTATGTTGGCTTGCAGAGAATGTGTTTCCAAATCGGGATCCAATACCACTACCATGCTCCTTGCCACCATAATGGAGAAAATCTTGTCATTTTACCAGGTAGCGTTGCAGGGTGGGTTCGGTGGTACGACTGGAGCAGACTCACAAATGCCTATCGGCAGTTATCGCGTTGCTAACGAAGATGGTCGTTGGCTCAGTAATGAAATTTTATGGCGCGAACTCCGGAAACTGGAAGAACTCTTTGGGCGTTTCCGCGAAGTTTGCGGACGCAATGAAAGGGATAGGGATGCTGGCATTTGTTCTACTTTGTTGGGTCACTTATCAAAAAACCTTAACATCGCATATGAAGAACTGAGAATGGGCAAACAGCGTATGACGTCTGGAATAGCCGATTCAATATTCTGGCCGACGGAAGGATGTTAAATATGTGCGACAATGAATGCTTATGACGCGCGTGTCATAAGCATAAATTTAGAGGACGGGATCATCAGAGTTCAATTGCGATTGGTTTCGAAAAGTTATCAATCATTTTAGGGTTTAATGGTCTTCTATATCGGTTTAACATACTCAAACTATGGCAAACTGTTTCCTCCAAATGTGAGCCCACTTCAATTGAATGGAAGAGTCACTTGGACTCGAACTATATCGTTACTATTTCTCTATGAGGTCTCATCTATACACCTCATGGCATGAATCTAGCTAGAGCATAAACCTAAAAAAGTACACTTACAACATTGCCATCTCGGAACTGAAACGAGTTGAATGTTTAGATAAGGTATGGCAGCGAGAACAGGTTAATTCTTTTATTCACTTCCAAACCGCACACTCCAATTACTCTAACCCAAAGCGAAAATTTTAGTCGGGACGATTATGGAGTTGGACAAAACATCTCGACAAAATCTTGACCAAGGCAAGTCCGTCACCTAATGTCATTAGAGCTGAGCATGAGTCGCGAACTTCAATTATGCATATCAGTTGAGGTAGTCAAACATGCAACTCTTTGGTTTAGATTCAATCTATGATGTGCAAGTTACATGTAGAGGTTGAGGCAGAAACCTGTATGCAATGTTCGACATTTTCTCGTCCATACAATATCGTGACACGACAGTCAGGGGGCAACGACTGATGCACCATTTAAATGGCTCCTCCACTCAGCCTGATGACCTGGCCTGAGATAAGATTAGCATGCGTCTACAAATTATCACCGACAAGGGTGAAAATGCGGTCCCTTACCATTAATCCACTCGCTTTCTGGGCTCACAAGTAGTGATACGGCACGGCCAATATCAGCTGGATACCCAACGCGATTCAATGGGGAGCTCTTTGCAATACCCGCATCGATTTCGCTCATTGGCGTATCCGGTGTTCCGCCAGGTGTATAATGCCATGCATTACCCTGAAACATGTCGGTCTTGACGCCTCCCGGAGCAATCGCGTTGCAGGTTATACCCTTCGGGCCGCAATCAATGCTGAAGCACCTTGTGAACCCCTCCACGGCTGCCTTTGAGCCTGCGTATAAGGCGTGGTTAGGCACATGCGAGATGGAGGCAGCAATCGAGGACATGAGGATGATGCGGCCGCCGCGTGGGAGATACTTCATGCCTTGCTGGGCGACGAAGAACTGACCACGGCAGTTCAGGTCGAAAATTCGATCGAAGTCCTGCTCGGTGACCTTGAGCTCATCTTTCCAAACCTCAGTGCCGGAGTTTGAAATGACGAAGTCCAGGTGGCCAAAGTGGGCGATGCCGTCCTCGAAGAGCTGGAAGATCTCATCAGGCTTAGAGACATCGGCACGCAGAGCAATGGCCTTGGCGCCAGTTCCGAGCTTGTGGATCTCACTAACGAGCGACTTGGCTTCTGTCGCGGACGACGCATAGTTCGCGATAATGGAGCAGCCGCGCTGGGCGAGCTCGAGAGCCATGCCACGGCCGATTCCACGGGATGCACCGGTTATGAGGGCGACTTTTCCAGCAAATGGAAGGGAGGTAAAAAATGTAGTGGCACCTTGGGGATCAACATCACCGCCCATAGCGAGGCTAGAGGCGATCTCGTCAACTGCTGCTGGTGGGGCCATGATTTTGAAAGTTTTGATGTATTGTAGATGTCGCTGTTGAGGCCTAAAGTTGCATAAATGGGGAAGGATGATATGCGAAAAGTAGCTCTTTAAGTCTCGAATTACTCGTCACTCGGTTTGAAGGCGTAATCTTCTAGTGTCGAGGTATATATCACCATCTTGAGCAGATGTGTTTATGTCATCGGCTTCGAAAACGTCCTATTCCGTCCGTCTCGTGCGTCGCATTTGAAGTCCGCACAGTCTCTCTTCCCTTATCCGTTAATGACAGCATTTGCCTTCCCCTTTCCCCAAACTGACTCGTCCGGTTCCCTTTTCCCGGAGTCCATAGAGCTGCGCGCAGTCCTTCTTTGGGAGCAGAGAGGGCTAACGATGGAGGTTGTGCAGCAGAGCCGCTGTCCGAAGGCAGAGGACTTCCCCAACGGACTTCCCCAGCGGGCTTCCCCAGCGGACTTCCCCAGCGGACTTGCTGACGGACTTCCGGGCTTGGACGGGCCGGGAGGGACTTGGTGGTGAGTGACGTAGAACGGATTACTAGGGCGGTTGACCGAGAATAGGAAACATCCGGCGAAAGAGCTAGGTAGATAAGGCCATAAGTAAGTTGGTGTATGAACTGGGAATGTAAGACCACCAGCCATGATGAGAGAACAAGTGCTTCGTCCGGTTGCACGTGATCTTCCAACTTTGAACACAATTCGACTGCGATGGAGTAGAACATTGAATATTTAACAAGTGAAGATGTTAATGTAGAAGTTTCGTGCAATTTCTTTCGTTCGCTTCCCTCTGTCATAGTTCTATCTTAGAGCCGAGTCAACGACAGGAAAATACAGTAGTATTGCTCAGGACCAATTCCTAGTATTCATCCAGAAACTAATACCCGTCCCTCTAGATAAATATATTGATGACAAGAAGCAGACTTAGCCAACGCATTTTCTCTGTATATCTGCAAGCATTCCTGTGTATATTAGGTGATGTTAGATCTGAAATGTAACCTCTTCATGTCGTGGCGTGCGTGACACCTTCTCATTGACTTCGTACAATACGGCATGCAAGAAATACTAACCATCGGACACATTTCAATCTCCCAAGAAGCCGTATTTTTCAGCCGCGCTCTTCCACCAGCCGAATTCGAGAACGTATAAAAATTGAGGAAAACAAGCCACCATGCTCTGATTGAATAGATTCCATGAGACTGAGAGGGCAAACCGATGACCTACGCAGAGATTGAACCTGTAGTCTGTTCATCCGTAGTCAAGAGCCTTCGTAGTGGACCAGTAGGCCTGTAGTTCAATATGTGCTTACGTGGGGAGGCTCATATTGCAATGTGATTGATAAATAGGTAGTATTGAAAAAGTGGGGTTGGGAAAGGATGATCGTTGAGATTAATAGATTTGTAGACTCATAAAGTAATCATACGCTGCGAATGTTTCTGTGTCATCAGCTTTCTGAAGATCCGCCCTCCAAATATAGATGTACGTCATGCAGGGGCTTCCGTTCAACCCCACAAATGAATTCTTCGTCCCGCAAGAAACAAAAGCAAGATTGATCGAAAAACACGTATATTATGGGCCATGCAGGCCTCCAGCACCATGCCAATTCCCCTTTAACGTCTGTAATTTCCTCACAATCCCATCTGCGAGCCTTCCTCCCCTCTGATTCCCTCCCTCATCCATCCCACCCACAAACCTAATGCAAGCCTCCAAAACCACCTCTGGATTTTGCAACTTGCACATGCTGCCATCTCGGCCCCTTAGCACCGGCAACCCCTCCCTCTTCAATAGCCAGCACATTAACGCCGCATCATCGGCCATGCTCTCATTAATCACCACAATTGGACCCTCCGCAGTCCGCAGCTGGAAGCTCGGATCAGACGTAGCGAGGACGTCAAACCAGAGGATCAGGCTGGCGCGGTAGACGGCGAGGGAGGCCCACGGCGGCGTGCGATCTAGGGAGTCGAAGAGGGTCACCAGGCGCAGAATCTGCCCTGCATGGAAAAGCGCGGAGAAGCTGTCAAAGATGCACTTTTTGTGCTCCAGGCTGAGATCCCAGTGTGGGTTCGCTGTGGCAAGCGTGGCGGGAGCACGGCGCGCAAGGCGCTCCAGGGATGTGAAGGAGGTGTGTGCGTTAAGGCTGATCAGGTGATATAGGATCAGATTTGTAGTTTTGGTCGAGTCGTGGGCCGACCCAGAAACGGAGGGGGGAAGGGAAAGGTGCAGGTTGTACCATTTTTGCAGTAGGGATTGGACTTCTTCGAGACGTATGAGGGTTGAAGCTTTGGTGGGGGTCCGTGTTGAGGAGCGCCGCGTGGAGAGGACCTCTGAGAAGCAAGTTAGAAGTTGCCGGACTTCATAGAGAAGGCTTTGGATTGGGTGGAGGAGGAGGCGTAGTGTTAGTGGCGTAAGGGACGCGGAATACTGGAGATGGTCGTGGAGGAAGTCTTGGAAGAGTTCATGGAGGGACGTCCGGATATGTGATGTTGAGGATGAGGAGAGGAGCGTCGACCAGGCATGGACGGAGGAAGCGGAGAATAAATAGGGGCTGGGGTGAGGGAGGAGTGCGTGCAGCTCGGAGATGGAGAGGATGGTTGACATGTCGTGGAAAAGCGATATTTCTTGATCGAGCAGGACCCAGTCGTATACTAGTCTGTCAAGTATCAGTCAGTCACCGAAAGTAGATAGGAGATCTAGGCAGGATCCTCACCGACTCCGAGTTTCGGCCTCTACCCAAGCGCGCCATTGTGCATCCACGTTTGAACTCCCACCTAACCTCGGCACCGAAATATCTGGCGGATCCAACATCCCAGCGCGTTTCAGCATAGTGAGATACATTCCGCGCTGTCCCATCGCAATATCCATATGCCATTTATCCCCACTCCACGAACCGAGCATCGTAAATAATAGCGCACATCGCAGAACAGTCAGGTCAGCGCTGAGCTCGATATCTTGTTCAATGATATCAAAGAGCAATATCCTACAGATTTCTGTCAAAGCAGCTGACAGACAGCGAGCTTCTGTTGACCTTGACATCGAAGCGCCTTGGCCGATCATGAGGAGGATGAGGAGAGTAGAAGTATGGTTACCGTGGATGAGCTCGTTAGGGTCGATTCTTCCCCTAGCATCGAGCGAATAATATTTCGATAAATTAAGAGTATATTTCAGGAGAAAATACTCCAACATATTCGTTGGTGGGAGAAGACGAGAGCTGAAATTTGCTGGACTGAGATAGTGGTCATTCTGGCATTTGTTCGTGAAACCACCCTGACGTGTTTTCAAGGCGCGATACAGAAAACCTAGCGTATTGGCATTAAGAGTATCGCGGGTGCCGGAGTTAATAGGCTCGACATTAATGAAATCTGATGCAGACATAGCTAGGTCAGGCTCCAAGTCTAGGGAATCCCAAGCACGTTCATGTTTAGAGATTTGTCCCAGTCTCTCAAGATGAACAATAGTCGTACGTGAGCAGGAGTCCGAGAATGTGGGCGGATTACACCGTGCTAATGGCCAAGCTTGCTCTGTAGCCAGGGGTTCTTGAACTCCAGGTGCAACAGCACGATGAGACAGCTTGGCCCGCTTGGATGGTGGCACATTTCCCATGTCGACATCGCCAACTGAACTTATACTGCAGCTGCTTGTATGTGATATCGATGGTTGATATTGTATTGAGCTAGAGCTTATGTCAGAACCCGACGAGATGTCGCCTTGAGCTGAATACACCGGATGCATGTTTTCGGGTGGCACAGATGTGAGATTACCATAAAAGTTCATATCCATGGATAAATCGTCCCATGTGAGCGGATCTTGATAATTCAAGACAGGACTCGCAATTCCGTCGTTGTATTGCACAAAGCCATCGAAGCCACCAATTCTCGTTGACCCTGGCTCGCCGGAGGTACTAGTGCTGTATATTTGGGGCGTAGGTGATGCAATTTCCATCGCAGGAGCCGAATGTAAACGAGGGTCAATAACCATATCATTATTTTCTAGTGGAGTAGAGATAGCGGAATGCTGTGGTGGTTTGGGTTCCGTTGATTCTGGAGCTTGTTTGGAGGCTTCAGACGTGGCTATTGCTTTCACCATCAGAGTTGATGGTCGTCGCGTAAACCTTGCTTCACATGGCAGCGATTTATCCGCACACCTTGCGCATGGTACACGCTTGTCACAGCTAGTCTTTGCACTCGCACAGTTGAGGCAAGCGATGGATGTTCGTCCAGCAACGGTTTGAATAGACGCTGGAAGTAGGAGAGATGGATCTCCTATTTCATGGTATGTCGAGTAATGGCGCTGCAGAAGATCTCTGCGTAATCATCAAAAACGATTCGTTCATGAGTGATGTGATATGAACTTACCTTCTCGCGAACGAAAGTTGGCACGATTTGCATCTGTGAGGTTTTACATTTGTATCTTCTACTTCTCAGCATGTTAAGCAGCCTAGATGTAACGAGGATACGCACGACTTGGTATATGCCTTTCCAAATGCTCCTTTCTCGTGAACCTTTTACCGCAATAGGTACAAAAGATCATGTTGAGGATGGTGTGGTTTCCGAGATTCAAGAAAAAGACAGGAGAGGGTAGCAGCTCGTAAGGATAGAGTAAATTGACAACTTGAGCGATGGTTACAATTTCGACTATGTCCACCCTGACATTTGCCAATATTACAATATCACGGTGAGCATGCACCTGCACAAGGAGCAGCCGGCATTTGAAAGATTCGTTTGAAAGTGCGGAAATCAAAGCAGACGCAAATGGTATTTCGAGCCCTAGGAGTTCCATGTAGTCTCGTACCTACATACTCCGAGTATACTCATATAAGTACTACGAAACTGCACAGGGGACATGTAATGCCCCTACAATCGTCCTGCCCACACCTCGAGGCCCGACTCACGCCGACTATTCCCGGCCCGAAGCTGGGGCCGTTTCAACCGACCGTGGACGGCTGCGTCGCGGCGCCGCCATCCACAGTTGGGCCCAAGGCGTCAATAGTCGGTTGCACCAGTCTCAGCCGCGCAACTCTTAGGATTATCGCTGAACCGTCCTGACGTCACTTCTTTCGCTCTGCAGCGGGCACACCTTAGCAAGCAATAAGCCATTTATAGATCTTCATCGATCGATTGCCGATGGGCTGTTTCTTGACATTCGTCGAATAACTAACCATCATTTATGGAGTAAGTGGTTCAAATGGCCCAATCACGCGCTTTCCCAGAAAGCAGGGAAAGCGCGTGATTGGGCCACGGAGAAACGTTGGTGAGCAGGGGTAGAATCGGGTTCAAGCAATCCACTAGGCGACAACCCGCTTTTAGCCCACGATCCCGTCCCATGCAATATGACAGCTTGACAGCTCATCCCTATATAGACGTCACAGGTTCGCATTTGGGAGTGGTTGAGCCTTCAGGGTCGTGATGCATCCTAGAGCCGAATTATTCCATAAGTGCCGTTGATGTTCCGAGCCAGAATCACAATAGTCTGAAGCTTGTACTGCCGGATCCGCGCGACCGCATCTGGAATGTACGATCTTCATGATTGAAAACATCCCTTCGTAGAAATCCTACAAATTCCCGTCTTCCCAGCAAGGTTCCGACTCAGAATGAATACGGAGTATGTCTCGGTGACTAAGGATTTGGATTAGATGACGTGAGGAAGCGAAGGATTGACGCTTTAGGCAGCAAGTCCTCATTGACCGAATCGATACAACTGCCAGAGATGTCGATGTAGCATCATTATGACAAAAGGTCAAGGGAACAGGATGAGTATCATGGCCCGGGACACGTAGGGACAACGTTGGTTTGGAAAGTGCCCGTTCAGCAACAAGTGCCAGGAAGCAGGGGGCGCCTACACGAAAATCCGAGATACGATATGGTGGCTACTTTATCTGCTGTTTCGTTGTTGATATCAATGCACCTATACCGGATCCGGACATGAGACTGGTGGGCCGATGGCGACATGTAAGGTCCTCGGGGCACAGTGGGATTAGGCATCGGGGTACTTGCCAACTAGGCATTGGGATTGAGATGTGGGAGCTGGGGCTGTGTTCTCCACTAGGTCCGGTCCATGAACTCCGTTACATTCTACTTTTCTTGGTAGAGTGGTTAGAGATGGATATAAATATATTCCCTGGACATCAAAACCTGAGCCAGAAAGTTGACATCTTCAACGACAAAAAAAACCCCCCCGTAAGACAACAAGACCATGATTCTGACTATTGTATCACTTTTACGCAACAGCCTTGGTGGCTTGATGGGGTTGAATTTTGCAAATGGGTCCGCCATAAGTTCACCTATTGATTCCAAGAAAGGAAAGAAACAGATCACTTTCGAGGGTCCGTCTCCCTTTCTTTCCAATTTACTCCTCCCCTCTCACCATCTTTTGACAATTTGTCCTTTCGCTGACGCAAGCCGACAGAACACCTCGCCCTCTCCTCCCTCCTCTTCCACTGGGCGGACAGTTATGACAGCAAAGACTGGGCCCGACTCTCTCGCATCCTCGCGCCAGTCTTGTTGATCGACTATACCCAAGTTTCGGGAGAGTCGTATCCCTCCATGGCAGCGGAATCGTTCGTCGCCATGATGAGCTCTCCGGGTTTCCTCGGTGATCCATTGCTGAAGACGCAGCATCTCCTTGGTGCGTGTGAGTGGGAGAAAGTCGATGACGATTTTGTGATTGCGAGACAACAGTTGAGAGCGGGACATCTGCGGTTTGAAGATGAGACCCATAAGGTGGAGAAGCAGAGGGGACATAGCCATGCAACCAATGAGTTTTACTTCAGGAGGGTGTGGATTAAGGATGTGGAGGGGGACCAGGGGCGGTGGGAGTGGAGGTGGGCGGGGCTGAAACCGGTAGTTAGATGGAATGAGTATGACTTTGAGACAATTTTTGGGGGATTTGAATGTCCGAGGGTATGAGCTCGAGCAAAGCAACCGAAATGCGGGAAATGAAGGAGAATTCGAGGAGATTATAGGTTTCAATTTATTCGAACTACTTTATTAGGTATTGGTATGAATCAACATTGAAAAATGAATATGTGCTCTAGATAGAATGAAATGATCTTGGGACAGACTTCATAACAGTCACCAGAATCAGTATTTGTTTTGTACCATAGCTGCACGACGCGCCATCAGTTAACACTCTATAGAATACGCACTCGAAGTTTCAATTTTTGCTGTAAGAGACGTTAAGGATGTTAGTTACCCTTAATTACTAGCCAAATCTTGTTTTGGATTGCTAACGAGGTGCCGCGGCAACAAGACACTGCAACCCTCTTTCATCTTTTCTTCGAGCTTTGAGTCATGAGGCTCGGCTGCAGTTTCTGATGTAAGCGCGTCCGTCATATGTGCCACTGCAGGAGAATTAAAGACGTCGGCCAGGTTGTTAATGATTGCCTCAATAAAACCTGCGCAGCTAAATTATCTACCAATGCCTCCCGTGGTGCAGTTAGCAAGAGTTATGTCGTTATGGAGAACTAGAGAAGGGTTCAAATCTCAAAAACATGCGTGAGCTAATAATATATCACCTCTAGAGGGCGAGCGACTTACGGCTTCAGAAAGATGATGTGCTGCCGCTATCTTGTTGGCGTGTCTATCGTGAGCCTTACAGCCGCGATTGCTCCCTATAGTACGTGCCTCTTGTTTACCCTAGTTTGATGTTTCCCTGACTAATTTACGGATACACAGATACGGAGTCGGTCCTACTTTGGAAAATATCTCTAAAACTACAGATGCGGAGTTCTACTTTGATGTCACAGAAGATGTGGCCTTGTTTGTCCGCTGCGCAGAAACTACCTACGAATGTGATGCTACGCTTCACGGTGTAAGGTGGTTTATGATTGATGGCACAAATGAGCCCGTTCCCGCTGATTGTCGTAAACACTTAAGCCACCTAATTACGTCTCATAACTACGCAGGGCCGCTAGAAGTGCCCGGCTTAACTAAGCTATCTGGTCTTAGGATTAGAGGCACCTATAGTGGAACCTATTGGGACAACAGCCTCCTATTACCTACTAATGTTACTATCAACGATCTACCCGACCTTGTTAATATCACCATTAGCATGGCCATCGATGATGCGGCTTCGATCACGAGCTTGAATTTGCTAAAGCTTAGACACATTAACCTTGACCTACTTCTCAACTCTACGGGAGGGCCAGCCATCAACCTGACTTTTCTAAGTCTAGCTGACGTTGATAGCATAAAAATTTATGGCGAAATCGATACGTGAGTGCTATCTTATCCCCCCCCGGCACCCCACCTAGCTTTTGAGCGGATAAGACTAATCTGACATTCTGGTCTTGATTTTCCCGCTCTCAACAAAACGGGGCATTCAATTATGGTTAACTCGACTGGGAATCTCGATTGCGACGCTTTGGCGAAGAGCTTGGTGAACACGACTCACCCGCTTTAGCTACTTGTGGTCTTAATGTTGCACCTCTGCATGTGCACTTTTTGGGGCTTAGTTTACGTGGCTTAGATTTATGGCTCATAAATGGTAGATCACAGAAAATAAGAGCAAGGCATACTATTACGAAATTGACGCGAGACTGACACGACATTGACACGAAAACGGTGCGTCGCCTCACCCTCGCTTCACCCATTAAGGCGGCAAGGGGCTCAGATTCCACACTATGCCTATTGGCACGATTGAGAGCATCTATCCACTGAATTACAAGCCTGTGTATGGCAGAGCGGACGGGATGCCCAATTCTCTTGAGTCTATGGTCGTATGTGATTGTTCTTTGAGTATGGCACAATATAAGGGGTGGAGAGGCTCTCGAATCAGCAACTTGCTGGCATACAAAAGGAGGGCAAGCACCAACGACAAGTACATTCACAAATACACTCGCACATCTCCATACATCAGGCTCTATTTCTCCACAAATGCAAAACCCGTAGGCTGCTACTATCCAGACTTTGTCTAAAACGCCAGACCACAACCGCCAGCCCAAACGCCCCGCTAAATGCTACCCCAACGGTATCTTTGTATCATCCCTTTGCTACACACATACATCTCCCTCCGCACCTTCAAACTTCAAACTCAACCGCCTTAATAAACTGCAAGAGGTATCCCTTCGCTCGCTACGAGGGTTTCCCCAGAAATATTCAAGCCCGCTTTCTCAGTCCTGCAGAATTATAAAATTTAATCCCACAGCTTAGACAAGAGGACTGCCTGCAATAAAGAAGCTTAACGAAGGTGCATGACCTTCTTGGCGTTCTCGTAAACCATGTAAGTGATGCTGACTGCTGGCACCACTTTCAAAAGATTGGGGGTAATGCCCTTGAACAGGCCTCTGACTCCTTCCTTCCCCACGGTTTTCCTGGCACAGTCGACAACACCGGTATAGGTTTGGGGGTGAAGTACGGTTCCCTGGGCCTGAAGGCGAGTGCGGAGAAGGTTGACGGGGTACACGATGGAGGCACCGAAAGCACCAGAGAAAGCACCGATAGTACCAGTGGCGAACGATCCCGGGTAGACATCTGGGTGGTCCAGGGGAAGATTCATCTTCTTGGCGTTGTACGAAATAATCGATGACTTGAGGAACTCGAAGGTCCCGAGATCTATGGCGGAGTAGGGGAACATTCCGACGAGACCCATGGTGAGACCGCGGTATGCCGACATCATCCCTCCTTCGCGGATCATTTGCTTGGCGGTGGAGACAATCAGAGCGTTGCCTCGGAGGCCGTGTGCCTCCACATTACACTGCATGCGGAATTTTAATGTGTCCAAGGGATATACACAAAGTCTGAAAATCACTCAGTAAAAATAATAAAGCAAATGAGTACAATCAACTTACTGCGAAACCATGCCACCCATCCCACCGGCGATGAATTTGGAAACCCCATTAATATTTTGCGGATCTCCATGGCCTTCAAACGACGCAAGTGCACGTTTTGCACCTTCATAAGAGCCGAATTTGATGGCGGATTCGGGCATGACTTTAATCACATTGAGCCCATTACCTGCGTTGATTAACCTCAACATCACCTCACCTCGGATACTGATAACATACCTGCGAAAAGACTCCTCATCCCCCCGGCCTTCCAGAGCTCTTTCGTAGCATCAATGAGCGGCCGCCCGACATGTCTGACTGCCTTAACGGCATCTCCCTTCTTTGCAGCCGAAAGTGTATCTTTAACGTTGCCGGTGTTCGCAATGAGATAGACCTTCAGTCGGTCGAGTGGCGCAGTCGCCGTACGTGATATAACACCTGCAATGCCACCAGCAGCAAAATAGCCTGGATCAGGCAAAAGAAATGTTAGTCTCATCATTCGTGAATGTTTCCTTTTCCTCAGACGTGGAGTAGCGTCAATATCATCTGTAAAGTCTGGCTCGACGTGTCGGAATTGACCTGGCATGAAGTGATGCGACACAAGATAACCTGTATCTTGTTCTTCGCTGCTGTGAGTGTGAGGGGTTGAGTGTAGACTCGAATGTGGTTGTTGATGATCCAAGTTCGATTCTGCTGGTGGCTCTGGTGATGGTGTTGAACTTTCACGTGGCTGGCCGGGACGTCGTGCTATGCTAGATATAGAGCCGAAGAGGACTGAAAAGAAACTTGGTGCAGTACCTAAACTGTCGATGTATTCATCTCTCAACTGTGTATCTCCCTCCGCATTTATCGCAACTGTAGAAGAATAATATGACAGGATTGCTTTAAGCCCTGGTGTGTCATTCGGTAGGAATAAGAGGAAGTCCCTGAATCATAGTGTCAGCTGCCGCCATTTCATCAAGTCTGACGCTATATAGCCACTTGCTACTTTAGAGTTCACCCCATCTAGCGCTAACAAAGCCGAGGTAATCCAAGTGAATAAGAAATAAGTGAGCATCATGGCATATATGATGAACTCAACCAAGATATATACATATTGTTGCGCGCTCACATCGTACGGATATGACAACTTGAAACTTGTTATGCTTACCTCCATTCGTCGAACGTTATCGCCCCCGAGTTGTCTCGATCAACCCCCGCAAAAAAGTCGTCAAGCTTTGCTGGTGGTACAGTTAAGCCGGCGACTTTGAAGGCGGCCTTTAATTCGTCCTTTACGAGCTTTCCGTCGTTATTTTTATCGATCGATTTGAATAACGAATATAATTGGCTTTCGGTTTCCTCTACGAAGGTTCGGAACTCTGTCGCATGTGGGTTAGCACAGCCATTCTTGATATCTGGGAGCATTCCAGTGCCAGCGCATCGCATACCTTCGTATTGAATCTTGCCATCCCCGTTGGAATCCACAGCCTTCATGACATCCTCGAGTAAATGGTTTGCATTTTTGAGAGCTATGTTTCGTTTAGCTTAGCTTTCGCGGGGAGGCAATCCGGGAACTGACGGTGGTTCAACTTCTTCAGGCCTCTTTGCAGGCCCTTCAGGTCAATCTCCCCCGTCTCCTTGGGGTCGAGATGCCTCCAGAGATCCTCAACACGGGCATCCCTCTCGTTCTGAGACTCCAACAGCTCCATGTTGACAGAGGTCGCAAGATTCTTCCAAGTCATGGCCGTCCATGTGGACAGTATGCAGACAGTAGCTCTATCATCGAGATGCGAGACCAAGTATGAAATCAGATTAGCAACCTCGGTCGTCGTGGGCGAGCGTAAAAGTTATCCCAGTGTTCGGATTACAAGTCATTGAAATAGCCCTTCGCTGTTTCGTCAGAGTTGGGTGGACGTAGCGCAAACCAAGGTCTGGAGCTTACCGTAATGACCTCTAGCGACGAAAATAATCGCCGGGGTTTGCGGAGCCTCAATCTCACCTGAGCTGGGTGCTCCCGTTCAGATTGCTGGCTCCAATCTAATCGCCCCTCTATGTCACTCTCAGACCCAAGTGATTGAGTTACAATCAGTGGCACTTCTCAAACAACCACACGGATCTTTGTTGGTTGTCATCGTCACAGTTCTTCATGTATAACTAACGCCCCCGCAAACAATTACCATTTATCGACTTTGTGTTCCCTAGGACCCCTCCTTCCCCTGGGTGTGGTCGCCCTGCGAGACACAACGTTCTGTAGGTGCCTTTTCAATATCTATAGCGCATATATGCCGGCTTCATCGCGAATGCCGGTCCGCATGTAAGTAGCTTGGAGGCTACAGACAAGACATTTCTTCTTGTTCATCAAGTTGCTTGCTGTTGCTCAGCAAGGCTTTTGAACTTGTGATCATCCATCCGCATAGCATACGTCAAGAGGAGAAATATGGCGGCCAACTACTGGGAATCAACACAGCGAAAGCACTGGCAGTTCTCTAAACAAGAGCTTGCCCGGCTTCGGCAGAAACTGGAAGATGAGGACAAGAACCTCGTCCAGACGTATCCGCTGCCTCCACTGAGGCATCTCAGCATCTTCTTCAACCAACGTGAGTGCTCCTGGAGAGATGTTGGGATTCATGGCAATAACAATCTGTGTTTTAGAGGTTAAGAGACTTGGAAAGCGCCTTTCCGTGAGACAACAAGCCATGGCCACGGCCCAGCTCTACATCAAGCGATTCTACACGAAGATCGAAATCCGGCGGACGAACCCATACTTGCTGGTAGCGACCGCGGTGTACCTGGCTTGCAAAATGGAGGAATCTCCGCAGCATATCCGGTTGGTCGTGAGCGAGGCTCGCTCTCTATGGCCAGGTATATATATCACCCTCGAGACGATAGCTAAGCTGGGGCTAATACCATTCGCAGATTACTTTAATTCCGACACATCAAAACTGGGGGAGTGCGAGTTCTTCCTGATATCAGAAATGAACTCTCAGATGATTATCCACCAGCCCTACCGGAGTCTGTTGGCGCTACAGGACGAGTTCTTTGATACCCAGGAAGAATCCAATTTGGCGTGGTCAGTTATAAACGACCACTACATGACGGATTTGCCATTGCTGTATGCGCCGCATATCCTTGCATTGACGGCCATTCTACTAGTACTAGTCCTCCAGACAAACGGCAACTCGGGAGCTCCACCTACACCGAGTAATGGAGGCAACGGTCTGGGGGTGGCTGCTCAGGCAGCGTTGAAGCATGCAACCCAAGCAAGAGGCATCTCGGGCACGGAAAAAGGCCCCGCAACCTCGCGGACGAAGATACAGAGATTCTCAGTCTGGTTGTCGGAGAGCACCGTGGACATCGAAGCCATGGTCGACTCGATCCAGGAGATGATTTCGTTCTATGAATGCCAAGAGCAGTACAACGAGAAGAGTACGCGGGAGCAAGTCAACAGGTTCATCAAAGCCAGGAACTTGGACAAGTGAAGAAAGCGCATGCCTTGAGGAATTAATAGACGGTATGAACATCACAGTACTATGATATGCGAGTACGGCAGACGCAACGAATGGTGAATATTCGATATGCATCTTCGCTGTCCAAAGCGCATTTAGCCCAGCACCCCCAACCTATAAGCGCCTAGTAAGACAGGCGATGATGATAGTTTCAGAGGGGGCTGGCACGGGATCTACGAGTCTCACAAACCTGCCAAGCGGGGAAAGTGGCGGTGAACAGTTGACAAACTGGCGATGTGGAGAACAAATGCAGAACCTTCTGTTCCAGCATAATTAGATTAGCTGCCAGATAGATACTTCCAGTAGAATCTTGATGGTGCATGAATATACAGGATCCTACAGGATTCATACATACACATACATACCTTACATGCAAACCACGAAGCCTGAGTGGCGCATGGTGTTTTGGTAGAAGCTATAATTGGATGCTGGCGGGATGATGGGATTCTGCTTGATACTGCAGCATCCAGCGGAAGGAAGTACCACTTTATTTGGATCAAAGACAGTGGCAGGGCGGTACGGCGGGCGGTAGGATCAACAAACCTGTGCCTTACCTTGGCCCAGTCTTAGTTTGTCGCCAGTCCCGTGCGAGTAGAAATTGCCGTAGCGCTGGCACATCTGCATACTGTATGCCCATGTCGACGAACGGGCCATCCATCCTACCCAGCCATCCAATCCAGCCATCATCTATCATGGGGGAGGCTTAGCCGCGCTTGACGGTGAGAGGGGGAGGGGAAATGACGGCGACAGGCGGACAAGCATACAGAGATGGGTTACTGCAACTGGTCTGGCGCTACAGATAGTAACCTTACTCTACGCGGAGTGCTCGAGTAGTCTGAATGTACGCCCGTAGGGTGTTTTAGAGCACGGAGACCCAATGGTGGATCCTTCAATCTCTGGCATCTCGAACACTTGTACTAGAGTAAGACGGAAGCACGAAGCGCGCGCTCAAGTAGCACATACACACAGTTCATACTACAGAGAGACTGTGATGCAGGATAATGTATGGACGGCGTTGAATGGCGGTATGGGACGGGGGAGTTTGTGTGTATGGGGGTAGGGGGGAAACGAGGGGAAACGACTTCTGGAACAATGGGCGCAGGCTGGGACTGGCGGCAATACCGAAGTACTATCCCAACCATCCCCACGCCATCCCATCCCACGCCAGCCATCTATCTACAGTACAGGACCATCCCAACCCCAAATGATACAGTTGTTCATACCGTGCTCCGTAGATAGTACAGTATACCTATACCTGCGATGATGATTGTGGTGCCTGCATCGTGAGGCAACCTACCACAGTTACAGCCATCTACGGTAGCCCTGCCAAATGGGGTGGGCGCATGCCGCTCAGCCCGTTCCAGGGTTTCCTAGACTGTTTCCGGTATCGCTCCGTGCTAATTCGGTGGCAAATGGCTGTGCATATTGGTAGATCATTGGCTCGCTAAGATAGTCAACCGCAGAAATTTGGCTTCTAACTGTAAGTAGCTACTAACTCCTGCACTTCCCTGGTCTGTGGCACGCCGTACAGTAGTCGCCATCGCATCGCAGCGCATCGCAGTACACCGCGCCCCTCACACCCTCTCACACCCCCTCCCTTTTATTCGTTTTGATTCGCTCGCTTATCGCTTCCTGCCTCATCCCTGCCCCATCCCTGGCCCTTCCTGGCCTTTTCTCGCCTCTCAAGTCCCATCGAGCCCCAGCAAAGTCCCATTTGTCCCATTTGTCCCAGTAAGCCCCAAGCAAAACCCCCCCGTCAACAGTCAAACTCCCTCGCCCAACCCCCCAAACCCTCCCTCCTACCACTTACCACCAACCTTCTTCCCTTCCCACCACCCACCACCCTTCACCTCATCGCCCCCCGACCTTCTCTCTTACATACACATACATACATACATACTACTGTACACTACCTATCATCTATATCCCACCACACCCCCCTCTCTCTCAAGTTTCAAAACTCGATCCCCCGAATATACACAAACTATCGACATCATCATCTTCAAATTGACTCTCCTAATTCTCGCCTCTTAATATCTCTCGTCGTCCTCAAGCAAACTCTTCGAAACTCTTTGCATTAGCTTCCTTTGCGTCGCACACCAAGACCTCTCGCTCCACCCCCAACAAAATACACCGAATCGGTCAGCTTCAGCGCTCAGCTACTGCGCCCATCAAACGTTTCCGTCATTTCATGCGACTCGACTGCAATTCATACGTTTTCATGATCCGATAATGTCCTCCTACTACCACTACAATGCTCACCAGCACCCAGCAACTCAGAATCACGCGGGCCGCTCCCGTAGGGCTCCTCGTCTCTCTACATCCCAAAACTCTCATAAGCAGTTCAGGGGAGTGCGCAGCATGAAGGAACTGACGGACACAGCTTCCATCACAACTTTTCGACAGAAGTTTGAGGCTGGAAGGTCCTTTGACTTGGATGATGACATGGAGTTCTGCCCCGGGTTGTTGACGGAGAGCGATGTGAGTCTTAACCGCCACCACCATCATGGACCCCATGACAATGGGAGTCATCTTAGGGATCGTGGCTGACAATACTGTTTTCGCAGATGCAATCGATACACTCGGTTTCCGATAGGTCGTCGCTGTCAAGCGGCTCCCCCGAGTCATCACCAACACAACAAGCACAACAAGTCACGGCGCCATTTCCCCTCAACTCCGCGTCGAATCCATACGTTCCGTCAGGCTACCAGCCATCAAACATGAAGGTGCATCAGCCAGCACCGACACGGGTGCGCAACGCTATCCCGATCGTCAACCCAAGCACAAGGATGTCGAGCCCGCCGTCATCGGTATCGCCTAGCAGGATGCACCCACAACAACAACAAAATCTTGGTCGTCGATGGTAAGCTGGGAATCGCTCCTGTACTCTGGGATGAGCGATACCGGCTATTTCCATTTTGCGATGCGCTTTTGTTATTTTGCATTCTCAACCCATTCATCATTATCCTTGCTAGGCGCCTGATTTCCTTGGGCTTTGGGTACCGACCTTCGACTTTCCGACTGGCTGATGCACGGCCACAACGGTTTCTCTGTACAAATCCGAAAGACCTTCTACGATCTTCTGAGCTTCAGATGGGCGAAAGAAAGATATCGATACCTTTTGTTCATAATCAACGGTGTTTTTCATTAATAGTGGATGGGGTGGTGTTCCGAGTATGCATAGCTGGAGTGCATTTTTGGGTGTTAGCATGGTTTTGCTTCGTCTTCCGGGGTTACAGAAGCGGTGACTTCTTGCAGTCTTCGACAAAAAGATACAACATATAGAACGATTTCCTTTCTCTCGGCACAAACGGTCGTTGGTGTTCTTCTTGGGGTATGGAGGGTCAAGATCTATGGGGTGGTGGAAACGAATTGCTCACGTCATTGACTGAGCCGGTGTTGGATTTTTATTGCTACTCATTGTTAACTGGATTGGATATGGGCGCGCGGTCTTTGAGCGGGATGGTTTATGCAGGTCGAGGCTGGCTGGGTGCATTTGCAAATGATGATAAGACAATGGGCGATGACAACAATAGGGAGACTTTAAGTGGTCGTCCGCAGCGTTTTCTTTCTACTTTTTTGCTCTTGCTCTAAAGGGTTTTTTGGCATATTCCGGAGCTTGCTTTTTTGTTTTTTAGGCTTGATCGTATCGGTGGTGTTGTGGGAGAAGTGTGCCCGGGCCATGGGTGGCATCATATACATATGATTATGTCTACAATGTACTTGAATATATCTCTATTATCTATTATATTAAAACTACACATGAGTCTTGTCTGTGAGAAAGAATCATTGCCTCTTGTATTCGTGGAATATTCCATTCCTCACCATCAATCAGTCCCTTGCCCATCCCTCTTGGCTGGCAATGGACCTCCGCGCTCTCCCGCGGGACCTCATCATCTCGTTATGACGTAGCCACCCCGATCAACGAATAACGCACCAACGACCATCCGCACAGCTTCCAACACCCTAGATGCTTTCAAATCATCGAATCTCTCATACGTACATACATATATATTATACTTCTCCGGAGCTTCCGTTCAAACCTTTTAAATCCACGAATTGCCCAGATTCTCATACACCTACATACCTATAACAAGGAGACGACTTACCTCTTTTATCACATTTACGCCCATTATCATGTCTTTCATCATCAGAGCTTCTACCAGAGCAGCGGCGGTGCGCCGAATGGCGACACCGGCACAGGCACGCTGCTTCTCAATCTCGACTTCTCAGTTCCTAAAAGAGACAGCTAGAGGTTCGTCCCCCCTCCCCCATCGACCTCCCTCCTTCCCTCCTCCCCCCCATCCACCCGACATCATCATCGTCATCACCCCCCACACCACAAACCACAAATCACAAATCACAAATCACAAATCACCCACCCAAACAATGAACTCATATCTAACCAAAACCCCTAGACTCCCCCAACCAAGGCGAAGCCTACGAGCGCGCCAAGCAAGAGCAGCTCCGCCTCAAAAAAGAGGGCAAGCACGAGTGGAGCGCCGACCTCGCATCCGCGAGCGAGGAAAACGTGCATGCGGATCGTAATTATAAGGATATAGGTATTAAGGAGCTGCAGAGGGAGGCGAAGGAGAGGGCGGAGAGGGAGAAGAAGTAAGTCAAGTCATTTACTGTCTTGCGGGGAAGAGGGGTGGGGGGAGGAGGGTGGTTTTTGATGTTGGTGAAGACGGAGGGAGGAGTGGATGGGAATTGGTGGCTGACTGGTGACTTTGATAGGGAGGGGAGGAGAGAGGATCCGGTGTCGAGGATTAAGAGCTGAGGGACTGCGAGGGCCGATGGAATGGAGTAATGAAGGCATGATGATGGGATGGTATTGTGTGAAACAATGGGGTCATGGACGCATTCCCACAACAACGAAGGTTGATAACATGGAATAATATGCATTTAACTCCATGTGACAAGTAATTAGGGATCCATAATCCCCCAGAACGCTATCTGTGACTCCGACTCTGTCTGTTATCTCCCATTGCAAAACTCCTCTGTAGTCCGCAAAGTACTCGGAATAATGTGCAGAATATCCGCTCCTGAAAGCAGATCCATCGATGCTATGTATGCACGCAAGTAGTTTGCAAAAAAGCACACACAAAAAACTCCCAGCGCCGCCATATGCCGCTCGCATTACCCCCTTTGTCCCCCTCTTCCCCTCCTTTTCCTCTGCTCGCCTACTTCAGTATAATAATCAGCAGCACCAAAATGATAATCAACACAATAATAGTCGTAACCTGCATATTCCCCTTCGCCTTCCTCGCCACATTCCCCAGACTCTTCCTCGCCTGATCCAACCTCGTCTGATGCCGATCCACAAGCCCATCAACCTCATCCAGCATCGCCACTTGGCTATCAAGCTCATCCCCAATCTGAATCGACAGTTCCCGCTGCCGTCCTATACTCTCCCCCAGCCGATCGAGCTGCTCATCCTGCGCCGCCAACACCTCGCTGTGATACGCGTGGATCTGCTGGTTATCGAGCTGGCTCTGGTCCGTGGGTGCATCGATCGGGTCGTCCCTGTAGGGGAAGAGTTGGGCCCGTGCCGGGTCTTCCGCGGCGGCGGCGCTGGGAGCGTCGGAGAATCGCACGGATTTTGGGGAGGAGGCGGCGGCGCCGGGGTGGCCGCGGAGGGATTTCTTGAGGAGGGAGCTGCTGCGCTGCGGGTGGGAGGAGGCGTGGGCGAAGTCGGCGGCGAGGGAAGGGTCGTTGGGTTGCGAGAGGGAGGAGGGGTTGGTGGAGGGAAAGCCGTGGAATTGAGAGGTTAGGTCGTCGTATTGGGCTTGGAGGGATTGTTCGGATTGTTTGAGGGTTGTGAGGGCGCTGGGGGGGGGGTGTTAGTTGCTTGTTATGGTGGAGGAGGAAGGGGAGAGAGGAGGGGGGGAAAGAGGGACGTACGCAGTGTCCCCGGCATCCTCTAGACTTTCCCTCTCGACGGCGATGTTTTCGAGGCCGGCGCGGAAGGATTCGAGGGAGCGCGAGATGTGGCCATCTTGCGAGTTTGGCTCGAGGTTTAGAGAAATTGCCCGTTGCCGCTCGAGGAGGGAGAGCTTGATGTGGTCGGCCAGGAGGAAAAGTTGATTAGGATTGGACATGGCTGGAATGCAGTACAACGATATGTAAACAGCCCGTCTTGGTGTGTTCGAAGTAGCGACGTCTGGAAAGGACCCCAGCGACTGATCCCTCTTAATTCCCTTGCAGTAGAACAATTCCCCCTGTTGGAAAACAAAACGGCTCTCTCGGAGATTCGTAAAATGACCAAACGAAGGGCTTGGTGTTTGAGTTTCGCAAAGCAACCTGGCCTCGTTATTGGAAATCGCCCATGCGTAATACGACTCGCAGCCGGCGTTCGCGGCTCGATGTTCATCCGGCCAATCGGCTGCCAGCATACTCGATAAGGCAGCGTCAGATACCACACAGGCAACTTCCTACGCCACCAAGGTAACAGGAAATTGGAATCGCATCTATTGAATCGCTGTTTTGTCCTTGGAAAGAAGCTATACGATCAGTTTGAAAGAAGAGTAATTGAAATCACATCGCATTCACGCTGGGGCCTGTCTGCAACAGAGCCTCCGACGACGTCACACCCCACACCGATATAACCACGAGCGATAGGTCGGCCCGGCGGGGTCTAATTGACGACGAGGGACAGATTCCTTTGAGCGACGTCCCTACATCCACGACGACAATACCGATATCCTCTAGCCTCACCTACGGCATTATATAACAATTCGATCATACGCAAGAGTGCCCGCATCATGGAAGAACAAAGCCTGACGCCCGAACGGCAAAACGGCCAGTCAGGCTCGTGGCATCCACCGACTCCCATCACCCCATCTGCTGAATCAACACATCCGAGCACATTACCAGCGAGGCCGAGTACGCCTATATCTAGATCGATAGGCGACGCGTTTCAGCACAACTTCCTCGAGGATACAAGTCCGTCGGCATTCCCTGAGTCGGAGCCGACTGCATTTCTTTCTCCGCCATCTCCACAACCAGGCCTCGAGGAACAGAACGGCGCCCCTGAGAACACGGAAGAAACTTCAGCAGAGATCCCCAGGGGATTAGATTTTCGCGCGTTAGACTATGTTAAGGCAGTCGACGAGAACCTGGTTTGCCCAGTTTGCCGGAACCCATTCGTCGATCCTGTCACCACAAGCTGTGATCATGTATTCTGCAAGGACTGCTTCGACCAAGCATATCGAATCGCGCCTATATGTCCTATAGACAGGACACGATTACGGCCACCGAACCATGTTGGGTCGACGGCAAGAATAATTACAAACCAGCTTGATGCACTGGAAGTCAGATGCCCCAACTCTACAGAAGGGTGCGAGAAGACCCTGGCGCGGTCAATGGTGCAGAACCACGTGGATAGGTACTGTGGCTACAGCCTAGTCGACTGTCCGGAGAGTACATGCGAGCGCAAAGCCCCTCGAAAGGATGTACACAGAGGATGCTTACATTGGTATGCGATATGTCCGGACTGCTCGGAGAGCTGTTTCGCGGTTGATATGGAGCACCACAGGGCACGAGTCTGCTCGGAACGTGTGGCAAATTGCGACAAGTGTGGCCTGGAGGTGCTTCGACTGAATGCTGACCTCCACGACCTAGATTGCGAGGAGGCCATCGCACCGTGTAGATGGGCTATATATGGCTGTGAGCATCAGTCGAAGAGGAAGGATTTGGGCAATCACGCGCCGGAATGTGCTTTCAAAACTATGGGCCCGGTGGTGGAATTATTAAAGGAAGAGATAACTTCGCTGAGAGGCGAAGTACAGACTCTTACGGAGAAGGACAAGACGAAAGACCGCCGCATTCGGTTCCTCGAAAGTTACAAGAACGCACCGTCATACGGCGACCCTCTTATCGATATCCCCAACATGTCAGAAAACCCTCAATCATTAATAGACCCCGCACCATACGACTCCCGGGACCAATATCTCCTATCACTACTGGAAAACCAGGAAAGCAAGGTCGACCAGCTCTCCGTCGGGATGACCGAGCTCGAAGCGAAGCAAACCGTAATGCTCTTCAACGAAACAATACCCATCAAAGAACAACTCGCCGAGCTGAGAAGCGCTCAGGGGGTCATCGGGTGCCATGTCAGATGGCTCATGAACCTGCGCCTGCAGGAGCGACGCCCAGGAGCCACAGCAGCGCTTAACAGCGGAGCCAAAGCCGAGTCGAGCTCGGGGTCAGGGTCTGCCGGCCCTTTTCCGCAGCAACCAAGGAGGTTGAGTGACCCGAGGGAGAATATCACGAAGCTGTAGGTCGGCGGTTCTCTACTTCAAGAAGCCTCCATTGGGTTTCAAGGGTGGCTGCTTCCATACCCCGGACGGCTTTCTCGCAGCTTCATTATTAGGAGTGGATATACTACATAGTAGTGAGAGGGCTGCTGCATGAATTTATCTCCGATAACAGGACATGTCGTCAGACGAACAGATGTCTCGCCATACTACCACCCTTGCCTGACTGTTGAAACTCGGGAAACGGCTGACTTGTTGATGACGCCCCTAGTCTGGTTTCAGGTTGAGCAAACGGGAATCTCACGTCACGCACGATGAAAAAATCGGACGCACGTACCAGGTAGTACAAGATAGGTCGTACGAAAAACGCAAAAGATGGGTCTTTGAATTGATAAGGCTATGTCGCCGGCGTCGGCAATAATATATGCCTCTGCATCATATACAGTAGTAATAAAAAAAATCATCAGTCATAACTAACTCATTGCTGGTTGTCTTTTTTTCTCTAGTTCCTGTGTACATCCGTTTGCGCCCCCTTGGTGCCTAGGTTCTGAATTCCCAATTACCCATTTATTCCTGTGAAGATCCAGAAGGAAATAAAAGGGCTTCGTCGAACACTTCGCAAGCTGAACATCATGAATCGACCGGCTCCTCCGGAATAGGCGTCTCAGCTTCTCCATCCCTAGTAGTCGACCCGGCCCGTCCCGATTTCAAGCATCTTAAGCAAAGCTTCCCTAGCGTCGAACCTTCTTCCCTCTGCAATCACTGCACTTGTGAGGTGAGACCTCATCCTTCCTCCGGACTCCAGGGCACTGCTCCTCCCAGTAGAGCAGACATTCTTCCAGTCCGCGATAGATGATGCAGCGGCATGGATAACTGACGTAGTATTGGGTACACATTGCAAGTGTGAGCTGAACGAGCGTGATGAGATGTGATGAGATTGGGTGTTTGGACCGGGATTGGTGTGACGAGAGTGCAGGGGCGGCGAGGATACCGGCTCCCTTGTGGTGTCTTTTGGATAGAGATTGGCGGGCGTTCGACGACGAGTGTCTGAGTGTTGGATCGAGCTTTGAATAAGCTTGATCGTGAAGCTTAAAAAGACGTTTCTAAAACGATAGACTGCGTATAGCCGGCTAGGAAGTGCAATTGTAAAGTGGCAGTTTGTCTGGTGAGATAACCAAGCACGAATGTGAAAATGATGGGACACTCAGATGGGGGGGCGGGATACAGATATTTATTAATGAAGAAGAATGGTCTGGCCATCCATCATCACTCACATTTCCCTCTTCCTGTGTCTCCCGAAATCCGACAGGAATAGAGCAATAGCACAAGCACAAGCACAACCTCCACCTTACAGCGTGCAGACCAGGAACATCGGGAGTACAGTCTCCTCGTACTGAGTACCTTTGGGCTGTCCATCAGTTTTGTCTACCATGACCCATCCCCGCCCCGGCGTCGGGGATAGGGAGGGGGGTGGTTCAGACCGTCAGCAGCACGTTTCTCACTCCCCCTGCTTTGGACCCTCAGGGAACAGGGGACTGACTAGCCAATCCAGCCCAATTATTTGTTCGGTCTCATGTTCGATCACGTGACATGCATATATCAAACTCGACATTTGGGCTGGGATGGATGATATGCGACTCGACGTGGATGAATTTGTCGGCCTCCACGTCACAGAATTGTGCAGCATTTCAACCTGATACTCTGAGCTGAGCAAGAAGATGCCCGAGAGGAAGAATCCGTCATCGTCTTTTTTCTTTGCTTATTATTGCCGGGGTGGTTTGGTGAGCTGTTTGAAGGGGGGGGGGGGATGGGGGGTGGTGGTTGTTCGGTTCTCATGCTGTGCAAATGACGGCGGAGAGATATTCTGAGTTAGCCTCACTCGCTGGGCTGCTCCCAATCCCAATCCCACCAGCAGCCAGCCACCAGCACAGCCAGGGGTAAGAGGCGTGTGTAGTGTGTAGTACATGGTCATCAGAATGACGAAGACGGGGAGCTGGGTTTGAGCCAGGGAGGTGGTTAGGAACAGAACAGCGATGTAAGGGACCTAACGTTGTGCAGGGACGTGTACCAGCATAGTAATAGTGTACAGGTATGTGTATGTACGTGGCAGTTACTCGTCGGATAGATACAATCCATACAAATTCATACAAATCCATACAATCCATATAATCCATACACCTTGAATACTCCAGCATGCGAGCGTATGCAAGTAGGGCCTGCACGTACAAAAGTATATGATACTCAAAGGATGGCCAGGCCATAGTTGCGTGTCAAGTGTCAGCGCAACGTAACCGGGGAACAAGAGGCAGATGCCGCGTCCGAATCGTGGCGTCCAAAGAAGTTTTGGCTTGCATATTATGAGATGCAGTAGTGTGGAAAATAGGAAATCCCCAAAAAAGCAAACCAGGTAAAAATGTAACAGGTCAACTTTACTCGTCGTCCCCTGTTTCCCCTCTATTCCTCTATTCCTCCCCTATCAAATTCCCATATACCCGCGCTCACGTGATCTCGCGTGTCAGTCTCGATCTCTTACCGTGAGGCTGTCCCGTTGCCCCGCCAGCTCGCCTCTCATTTCGTACCCCCATCGTCATCACAGCCTGACGACACACAGCGCCATTAAACTCTCCGAACCTGTACACATCTACATGCCACCAGTATCAACTACACCTTCCTCCATCGTACCTTAACTCCCGTCCCATCTGCACAGCAAGACAAAAGTACCTCTAAACTCCCACCTCACCTCCTCCCACCATGCCCGCCACGACCCGACGAACCCGTGGCGCCCCGCCCGCCAAAGGCGCCCAATCCACCCTCTCCTTCAACGGCGCCGCCACGCGAGTGACCAAGCACACCGGCCCCACGGGGAAAGACCTCAAGAAAGCCGAGCCAGCGAAGCCAGCAAAGGTTGATGTCATCGATCTAGACCGCGCCGACGCAGTTGTCGTGGAAGCAGAGGTGCGGGAGGCGGAGGCCAAGCCAGCGCAGGTCCAGCTCCCTAAGCCCGGGAGTGCGTTGACGCCTGAGGAGGAGGCGGCGGAGAAGGTGCCGCATGCCCAGGTGCTGAGGTACTGGAAGGCGAGGGAGGCGGACCGGTTGGCTCCAAGAGGTGAGCTGATGCGCGTGAGACGGGACGGGGCGAGCAATGCTAACCTACCTGCGTAGTTCACCAGGAGGGATTGAGCACCGAGGAGAAGATCTTGCGGTACTTCGACATGTCGTCGCAATACGGGGTGAGTTGTCCTGTCTCCTGGGTTGTTGGCGTGCTTTAGACTAACAAATCCACTATAGCCCTGCGTAGGGATCCCACGCCGCAAGCGCTGGTTGCGCGCGCACAGGCTCGGTCTAGCCCCGCCCATTGAGGCGCTCGCTGTGCTGGTGAAGGAGGACAAGAAGGGCAACGAGGGGGCTGAGAAGGCGCAGTTGGAGTCGCTGCTGGAGACGATTGGTGGGGACATTTGAGGTCATTGCTGTGTGGGTGATTGGGGGCGTTGGGGGCGGGATTTTTTGCTGGAGCGATATTGATGGGATTTGGCTTGTATACTGGCGTTTGCTTCTTTACCGCTCCCTCGGGAGAGGGGGTTGGTGATATTCGCGGGTTATTTCCGCGGGCTGGGATGTTCTCGTACCTTGTTATGGTAGTTGGTGGCTATGCAGGAGATCTATCGTCCGTCTAGAAACGAGCTATTTGTTCCGTCCAAGAGTCTGGAAAGGAACTGTAGATGACAGCAGTTAATTACAGCAGCTGTTATTCAAAATAAAGGTTTTCAATTACTAGGGGATATGATTCTCACATCGGTTACTCAGAAATACAGTAAAGAGAGAAACACCATCATCCTAAACTGCTCACATCGATCCTCAACAACATACAGTAAAGCACAATCCCTCCCAGACCTATTCACAACTTTCACAACCCGCCCAACTCCCTCCAAGACACGCACTCCCCGTCAGAACAACCGCATACCATTACGTATCATCTGACGCCTTTCCCCCCTCTCATCCCATCTCCCATCCCCACTATCCGGGAACTCAAATCCCCCCCAAGATCTCCGCATCTCCCCCCTTCCTTACCTCCCTCCCCGCCCCCTTACCTCCCCTTAAACCGAGCTGTCGGACCCCCCAGCCGCCACCGACCCAGTAACCCTCCCCTACCGCCGGCGCCACTGCCATCAGCCTACCTTAGCGGCCCGGGGCGTCGTCCCAAGAGTTCCAAGTGTCCCTGATATCCCGGGTGTCCCAACTGTCCCAAGCATCCCAGATGTCCCGAGCAAACAATCCCCATGCACTGCACAACCTACCTTAGCACTCCAACAAGGAACGCATCCTCTGTTGGGAAGTCCCGTCCCAGCCACCAGCTAGGTAATCCGACCTGTCACTCCCGAGGTCCCAGCGAAGGACAGCGTTCGTTCGCTGCAGGTACCTTCCCTTTTTTACCCACGGCGATGGGGGAGGGGGGTGAGACATTGGTATCTCATATTCACTAGACTGAACCAGAGCTCACCGCTGCTACGGTGTAAAAAGGGAGCGGACCGACCCCCACTCTCCTCCCCCCCTTACCGCTACGAATGTCCAACGGCCCCCCAATGTTGATGTAGTAGCCAGCCAATACGACTGAGACAAACAGGAAACAAAAAAAAACGAGCATCGAAACGACACAAACCCCAACAGAAGCACACGCAAACTAAAGCAGCTCAAAAAAAAATTGACAAAAAAGAAACACACAATCCCAGGTGATTGTATTCGATATCATAGGTTATTATGATGAGGTTTTGAACCACACCCGATTTGAACGGATAACCTTTCGCTCTGGAGGCGAACGCGCTACCGTTGCGCCAGCGGTCCTGGTTTGATTAGTGTTTGTTTTGCTTGTCTCGGATTATGGAGCCGCGAGACATCGCTTAGGTAAATTTACCTTGCTAATACAACACAACACAGGGGACGACGACACGACAGGAACGACCGGTCACTTGGATTCACGATGCGGTTTAGACAGCAATGCAGGTTGTGATGGGGAGGGAAATTGGTCACAAGACCGGTCAGAGATTGTCACGATGGAAAACGGCAGTTAACGTGAAACCCCTTCATAGATTGTCTAAAGTTATGTTATGTCCAATAGATTCCGCCCAAATGAAATACTGTGTGTGAGAGGATGTTCACAATCCAACGCCATTGTTTCCACCATCCCCGTCAAAACGAAATAGAACCATAGTTCTCCAAAAGAGAAAAAAAAAAAGAGAAGCTCTTCGCTACATTTGTTAATACCCAAAAATGTAGAGCCCAGAAGTAAGGCCCATTCCAGCCGTCGAAAAACATGAAATAAAATGCATGCTTGCTTGCTCTCAAAAATGATGTCGACTCTCCCCGAGCCAAACCACGAAGGAGCGAGCAAAACAAAAGGATCATATCCCAATGAATCCCCAGTTCCAGAAATCGTAAATAGAAAAAGATAGAAAACATGGCCAAAAAAAATAAGATAGGCCCCAAGAAACCCCCTTCCTAAATCTCATCACCTCATAAATGTCGTCAAATAATAATAAAATCCCATATCCCCCACCCCTCCCCTCCCCTAGTAAAAACCAGAAGGAGACCTTAGAACCCGCACCGCCCAAACCGCAAACCAAGAAAAGGGAAAACTTCAAGCACCCCCAAAACCAAAAACCCCAAAATTATCGCGAATACGGCTTATTCATCGCCGCAATCTCCCTCGCAATCTCGCCCCATTCCAACTCCCTCCTCACCCGCTCCCCTCGCCTCACCTGCATCGTCTCCTCCCACTTCAGCAGCTCGTAGCTGAAGCGCAGATGCGGCTGGATGATGACGTTAAGGCGGCGCGCGCGCACGAAGCAGTATGCGCGTGGGTAGGAAAGGGACTGCGCGCGCATTACTTCGGCGATGCAGATTGTAGCGCTGCGAGAGACGCCGACGCGGCAGTGGACTAGAGTTGATGTGCCGTTGAGGCGGCCACGGTCTGAGGGGAAGAGATGTTAGCTTGGTTGAGGGGGTGGAAGGAGGATAGGCGGACATACTGATGAATGCGAGACAGCGGTCGAATTCGTTAGTCAGCGGGTCAACGCCATTATCTTGTACGCCTTGGACGACGCAGACGTTTTCATCGCCCCAGGCAGCGATGTCGGCGGCAGTCCAGGCGGCAGTCTCGCCGACGCTGAGGAGCTGGCCAATACCCATAGCGCGGAGGAGATCGGGATTGTTCGCGTGCCCGAGGTTTCCAAGGTACATGTAATCGAGGATTCGGCTGGGTAGGGAGCCGTCCATGAGGGCGAGCCAGGCGGGCTCGTCATGGATGCGTTGGGTGACGTCCTGCGGGGCGGTGTGTGCGAGGGCGGGAGAGTTGGAGAGGATGCTTGGGGCGATGGAATTCAGTAGTGCCACGTCGGAGGGGTAGGCAAAGAAGTTGCGGCGCTTGTCGATGTGCATTTGCAGCCAGGCTTCTGAAACTGTCACGCCGTGTGCGTACATGTAATAGGCGAGTGCGAGCATGGATGACTCTGTGTATCCATCAGTGCAGTAAATGAGGATCTTGCGTGGCCTGCTTGTTCTAGTTTCTATAGGACTGGGCATTGGGCTGTCTCCTTCAATATCGGTGATCTCACCCTCGTCTTCCGAGGGTCTAATGCCGTTCGCTAAGTTGTAAATCCACTTGCAGCTCTCGACTATATCGTCAGCCTCGGTGAGCGGCCAGGACGGCGGCATGATGCTCCCAGAAGACGGGAACTCGACATATTGGCTTGTTTCAGCCCCACTGTCAAGTTCACGAACGATATTCTTCAGGGCCCGCACATTGGCTCGGCCGAGGTCGCTGCACTCTATGAAGAGATCAAACGGCTCATCATCTGGTGACGGGCCGCTCATAGACAAATCATCCGTCGGCCCCAGCCACACATTTCTCGCAATCTCCGACGCCTTCGTCATGGTAGCCATCTCTACACGCTCCTGGTGGAAGAAGTCTAGGACGTTCCCCGTCAGCTCGCCGCGGGTATCCACAACCACGATCTCCGGATGATGTTCTTCAAACTCCTCAAAATGACTCGTACACACAAACGTATGGTACACTGGGACTTCGTGGCCGAGGGCCTTGAGCCCTTGCCGCCGCGATCGTTGGGCCTTGGCAATATCGCTGCCCACTCGCAACACTTCGTCCGCGTCTTCTCCGTATACAATGATATCAGACAGCATAGCTGTCTTGGCAGACTGGATCTGGAAGTTCCTTACAGAGAAGCCCTCCCTAGGATCAATGTCCTTGAACTCAGCCATAGCAGTCTGCATGAACTCGTCGGTAGTGACAGCAGACTTCAACCGGGAGCAGCTCAGGTTCCCGTCGGCCTTGACGATTGTTACTCCACGGTAACACTCCGGGGTCTTCCGCAGGGCCTTACGCCGTGCCACGAAGAACGCCTGCTGCACATGGTTCGCGGGGTGCAAGCCATGGAGCCACGGGAACACTTGACCCGCCTCTGGCAACGGTTGCTGCGAGATGTGGTTCACTGCGGCTGCAACTCCCGCCGCATCAATGAGATACACAGCTGAGGAGTTATGCGTGACCTTCTTATAGTTGGTAGGTGGGTAGAGCAACGACTGTGGCTGGAGCTTCAAGTGCTTCGTGGGCGGCGACGCTGGCGGTGTATCTGGCTTATCAGATGGGGCCGGGCCGGGTGGGCAGACAGGCAGGTGTTTGTTGGGTATAGGAATTGGGCACGCGGCGGAGGAGTTGATGCCATCGAGGTTTATGGAGTGGGTGAGCGTGGGTATGGGAGAGGAGGAGCGATAACGCGGGACTGGACGCGGCAGAGCAATGGTGGCCATTATGATGAAGCGGTTTGTATTAAATCGTTATAGATGTAAACGGGGCGGCTCCAGAAACAATCGTGAAACCGGGTATGTGGTAAATTGTAGTGAGCGAGGCGTCCCAGACGCGCGGTCTTGAAGAAGGAGGAATGGGAAATTCCCGTTGGGCTGAGGGATGGATTGTAGGCAAGGGGCGCCGAGATTTATCGACTGAGTGAGTGAAGGGGTGGTGAACTGGGCGAGGACTCAGTCCGTCATGAACGTCTACTGTGGTTGTGCTACAGAGAGAAGCCGTCAGCCAAGCCGTCCTGTAAACATGGCAATAAGGCACTCCATCGACGACGGAGCAGCTGCAGATGTAACGAGACGGCATACTCACTATCCAAAATGACTCTATTCATTCCCAAGTCTGCGTAAATGGCGAGAAGGCCAGCATCAAACGCGAAGACGAGGGCAAGGCGGACATTCAGATAAGAAGATAACAGGCAGGGTCTGAGCAAATACAACGATTAATGGTGTAACGGCGTATCAATTACAGCAGCGACGAGAGGCGGACAGTTAGGCCGATGCCCCCAAAATTGTAATGAAGAATGGAAGGAAGAGGGTGATGATGTTTTGTTGTTGGCGATTGTATTCGAAAGAAAGAAGAAGTTGTTGAGGAGGGGTGAGTGGAAAGAGAGAGAGAGGGAGAGAGGGCATGTGTGGTTTCAATGGAAGGATGATGGATGGGAGGGAGGGGAGGAGGAGGGACGGATACTCGTAGGCCAGTGAAGTACAAAGGTGTCGAGGCGAGAAGTGACTTGTGAGCCATGTACTATATGCAACTCCACCACGATTGCGACTTCTACCACCAGATAGGGCGACGATGATGGATAATGAGGATACAGGGCCAGATCTACTCGTTCTGGACTGTAAAAAGCCAGGTCGGACTTATGTCTCTGCTGCTGTTGATTGTATTGATTATGGCCCTCAACCCTTTACCCTTCACCCTTCAACGACGCCGTTACCTGTCACCCTCCAGGTCTCGGGGACACTCTCCCCTTCGGTGTCTCATAAAGATGGGATTGCTCCCTCGCACTGCCCCATATCCGCACTGTCGTACTGGTCGCACAACACCGGTCGTACAGTGCAGTACATGGCATGAGCCGAGACAAGACACAGCAGACGTTATCCGGCAAAAGCTGCGAGACACGAGACAAGAGAGGCAGAGAGAGAGAGAGAGACATGGCAGACAACGGCGCGGAGATACAGGTACCTTACATACAGGCCGATTGACTCGAGTATCCTCCTTACCTCCAGTATCGCGCAGTGCAGTTCATCTCCGCTAACTTATCGATTCTACGTCTTACCCTATGTCTCACCCCGACTATCTATCATCTATCAACAAAAGCAGAGTAGTAGCAAGAAAGAGTCTATCTTATCCTGTGCCTGGAGGTAGGGAGGAGGGATCTGGCTATCCTCGGTCGCCCTGGGGGGGTCCAACGATAGCCACCAGTACATCCCTTCCTCGTACCCCGAGTATGGGGAAACCTCCAAGCGACGGGCAGTTATCTCATAGCGGATCAACCAGCAGCATCGACAGCCACACCAAGAGAGGGGCTCACAGGGCATCCACAGGCCAGACGGCGGGACAGCTCGGCGATCTCGCCCACTCACACCCTGCCTGTCCTTTGTCCGTCCACCACCCGCTGCTGCACACTCAAGCATACTGTGGATCCCGCTACTGGGAGTTATAGCACTACCAACACTACTAACTCTACTAACACCCACTACTGACACACTTCAACCACTCCCTGGCCAGCCCCTCGCACCAGTCACAGCAATCGCCCCTCATCCAACGCTGACACTCTGCATCCAAGGCCCCATACAAGCTTGCCAACTCCTTCCCCTCACAGAGCACTAGCATGGGTCGGCCGCTTGCCGGTTTGATCGCTTATTGCAGACGCCCCGTGGCGTTTGGTGGGAAGAGTCTTACCAGGACCGATGTGGTGAGGGCCGGGAGATAGCGTCGTGTGGGGATGCGATATCTTGTCCTGGTGATGGTGAACAGTGATGATGGTTGTGTTGATGGTCCAGGCCCTTGTTGTGGTGCACTTATTTGCGGTAGATGATCAGGACGAGAAGCCGATGCAATAACGGGAGAGCATGAGCCTATATGCATTCATAGTACCACAGATTCAAGTCGGCAATCCATAGATTAAAAGTTCACGTTGGATTTTCAAAAGACACCAGTAGAGCACAAAAATTACGTGTGAAACTTTCTTTCAGAATTCTTCGCATCATTAGTCTATCGAAGGCCAGGGGGAAAACAAGCCGACGTCCGCCAACGCCGACCAGCCACCCCTTCCCCGTAATCGTTATTACAGTGATTAGAATCAACAAAAAACGCCAAACCCATGCTCCCAGAACTCCCACAAAGGCCTCCTCCCAACCTTTTAAAAACGCCGTGGACACATGAATAGAACCACACAAAAATTTAAACACAAGAATCAAACCACAACCCCCGCCAAGCCGAGAGCCAGGAGTGGATTCATGCCCCTCCACCGGGCGAACTCTCCACCCCCGGCCCTCACATATCCTCCGCTGCTTCCAGATCCCCGCCAAACCCTCCGTTTAATAACACAGCCGCAATCCGACGGCGTTGCATAGTCATATCGCCGCCATCATAACTGGTGGTGGTGACCCCACCCACGACACACTCAGCGTTGGTAACCGCAAACACCCCACAATCGTATCCATTATGCTGACTGGCAGACTGTGTGTTAAGGACGCGCCAGTCGTCCTCATTCCACGCAGAGCCCAGCTCTATCGCCAGCCATGCCTTCGTGTTGCGTATAAAGACATCTTTGGGCCCGCCAAAAGAGTCCAGGTATTCGATTGTGCGGGCTTTCGGAGAGACGACAATCATTGTCCAGTGGGAGGCGTTGTTCACCGGTATCAACATTGTCTCAACCTCCAGTAAGTTCTTCCCTGCAGCCCGTTTCCGTCTCATCCAGCGAGATACGGATTGGGGCCCGTCGTCATGAATCTTCTTGTAAAAGAAAGAATTTTGTGCGACGACCTTTGGAGTTTTGTCACGTTGGTTTCTTCCAGCCTTTTTGTTTGCGTGTTCAACTACCATTTCCACGTATGAATTGATGATATTGTCGTTCAACCAAGCTGCACGGCCGAGTACTGTGACAAAGTCCCTCTTCACCAGCTGCGTCCCGTCTAAGGTGGTGGCCAGAGTAGCGCCCTCCCCCTTCCTCATAGCTTGGTCAACCTTGACCTGCCACTCGTCGCTGAGCTGAACAAGCTTCGTCTGTAGTCGACGACGCCCTGTATGTGGTTCTCGACCAGCTTCTTCTTCTGCAATCTCTCTAGCCAATTTCTCTGCTTCTGCTTGAGCCCTGGCCAGTTCTTCAGCAGCCAGCCGAGTATACTCTTCGAACACCTTCTTCCTCCTTTTGTCATCTTCAGTCTTCCATTCCGCATGTTCATTGGACGATTCCAAGGCAAGGCTTTTCAAACCAACCTCGACCCCGGCCTCTAGAACCTCCGCTTCTTCATATACTCCGGGCATGAGGAAGTAATCAACATAGCTCTCATCTCGAGCCTTTTCAACATCTGCAGAAGCCACTACGGGCGCCTGTATCAATGGTGAAGGTTCATCTTGAGCCTCCTGATGGTGATTGCGCTTCAAAATCGACCGGACCGCTTGCTGTGCTCCTTTCTCTGCCTTGTTCGCCCGTTGCTTGCCAATCGTCCGCGCCAATCGCTTTGCTGGTGTCTCTGTCTCATATCCGGCATCCTGTCCGGAACTCTCTGCCTCATATTCGGCCCCCTGTTCGGAACTCTCTGCCTCATCTTCGGCATCCTGTTTGGAACTCTGTGGGGAAACCAGCTGTACCCTTGGTCGTGTCACTCTCTCCGCCAGCCTGGGTCGCTGCCGCGAAGTCGGCCGCGCCATTTCCTGTACCAGTCTCTCCGCCTCCTTGGCGGCCTCTTGCTGTGCTATCCTCTGGGATTTCTTCCCGGCCAGCTCTTGGGCCATCTTCTGTAACTTCTCCTCCTCCACTTGCTTCTGAGCCTGCTTCCGAGCCGTCGTCTCGTCATGGGTTCGTAGCTTTCTGGCATTCTCCAGAGCTATCATTTCGTCAAGGCTCTTTGGCCGATTCCTTTCTTCATCTTCAATAGCCTTCCTCTTGATGCGCACTTTCTCGAGATAGAGCCGTGACTCTTTTCTTCTCTCTTCAAAACTATCTTCGTCGGACACGTCCTCGACGCGCGCAGACCGATCAATCGTTGGCTCTTGAGTCTCCAGGATGGGAATGTCGGCCGCCAGAGGAGATGCGGGGGGGCTGGGTGGTCCCATTGGCTGGGCACCGGTTGTATTTTGAGGAACAGTGTGTTCCCTTGATGATTTGCGACTGCGAAGCTGTGCAGAAACAGGACGAAGATTTCGGGGAAGCTGGCGCAGGGACTGTCGTGGGGCTGTTTGCGCCCGCCGCTGATGGGCAATCTGCTCAACTGTCGGAGCAGACGGTCGCATGACCTCCGTTGCCCGACGCTTGATGGACAGATACCCATCAGCGGCGACGCGCCGGATCTCTGTGACTTGGACTATTGTTGTCAGGATTGAGGCCAGCATCATGATTGTGGGAATGGAAACTCACCCCGACGCGCTTTCCGGAAGGTCCACTGGGCCGAAGCCCAGGTGATCCCGGCAAACCAGCACACTGCGGTGATGATGTACCGCAGTTTCATCGTCATGAGGCCGTCAATAATCTGAAAGAAAAGTTAGCTCGTTGCGCAAAATAAAGGAAGAACAAAGAAATGGTGGTACCGGCTGGATGCCAGGGACATCTGCCGACTCCCCGGCGTATTGAGGATGGTCCTCGAATTGCGCACCTTCAACGGTGCGCTTGCGGCTGGGGGAATGAAAACCCCCGCCGCATCGAAGACCAACCTCGTTACGACGAGGTGGTTTGTCGACAAATGCCCCTGGCATCGGGGGCACCCAGTCTGGATGGTCGCGCTCATGCGCGACGACCACACACCGACCTGACATTGGCGGCTGCCAGGCCGGCGTGTAGTCGCCGCGATGAGTTGGCTCCCAATCCATCGGACTGGAGAGGAGCACCATCGCGGGGAGTTATCAATGAGTATCGTTCGCGGCGATATGAAAGTGAATAGAGCTGAAGCTGTTGTGCAAAAAAGCTAGCTGATGTTGTCGTGAGAATGTGAACTGCGCGTGCGATGATGTTGGAAGGAAGAAGAAGAGAGGGTGGGGTGGAAGTAAATAAAGAACATGCGACCTGGGTCGGCATTGAGTTGAACGTACCTTCCAGTATCGAGTACATTTTTGAGTTTCTGTGCCGTCGTGGCCAATTCTCAGTGACTGAGATGGAGATTCCAGGAAAGAGAGACTGGCGCGATCGAGAGCCCAGTTGCGATTTCCCGACCACCGCTGTTAAACCTAGTTTCTGCCTTACCTAAGCGAAGGCGGTCAAAGTAAGGTAGGGATCAGAGCTGCAGCCCTCAATGTGGGGAAGATGGAACAGGGATTCGAAAACGATGATGGAGGGGTAAAAGGGTCAACGAAACATGAGATTTACGGCAGATACAAGAAATCTGACGGCTATGGCTAATGAGCATGGAGATTCACGGTAGGTACAGACGGGAACGACTTTGAGTGAGGAATAGTACAAGTAATTATGGGCGGACGAGCTATTGTTTGTTCAAATATTCATTTATAACCTGGGACGACTACCTGCTTGCTTACTTCTAAAAAATGCCTACCTTATATTTTATGTACAGTATCTCTATCTCTCATCAAGATTACAACTGACCCCTCAGCTCACCAAGCTTCTTCGTGCAGAATGCAGAGAAATACTCGTTCAAGGCATCCACCGTTCCACTGCCCTCCACCAAGCTGACAACAATTCCAACATACCCGTCAGGTCGTACTACCACAATGCCGCCCTTCTTCTCATCCAGGCCCATCTTTGCGTGTGCTGCAGCAGTGGCGTTTGGCACACGCTGGTCCCAGATGTCATCCGCATAAATGTGGTCCCTGTAGCGTGCTAGAGTCGTTGGCACGTCCCTCGATACCTCAATGTCGGCTCTCTTGCTGGCAAATACGGTGCATAGAGTGTAAAACAAACTCTCCGGGTTGTGACGCTCATGGTAAGAGATAGAAGTATTGTCAGGACGCTTGTATGAGCTGTAGAAGGATCCCTTCTTGTCAAGATTGGCGCTAAAGTCAGATAGAGCCTTCCTTGTCACAGCCTGTTCACCAGCAAACACGTAGATGCGGTATGATCCATTCATTGGTATCTCTTGCTCCAAGTGGACGACGTTGGCATCGACAACCCGGGTAACATTTGCGTTGACCAAGATGCGGCCTGTGCGGAGTGTGGTGCCTTGAGGATGGATAAGAGGCGACTTCGCGGGGTGGTCTGGGCTCCAATTAAGGGGATTTGGCATGTATGCCACTCCGTAGCCGCTGGTAAACTCACAAGACTCCTTGAATGTCTTGATGAATATGTTTTCTTCTCCAATGTTGGATGTGGCGCCCTCTGAGGCGGCCTTCACGTCGTGGGCAGCAGGTGGGCGCTGAGAGAACAACGCAGCATACTTCGCATCAAAGTTCAATAAGTTCTCGGCGACAAGCTTGCGCTCTGATTCGTAAGTCTCCAAGATACCACGGTCCGCAAATCCGGATTCGACATGGTGAATCTTCCATGCGAGATTTTGGGCATCGAGGAAAGCGGTGTTCATGCCCTGACCAGCCTTAGGCTATTTTACAGTAAGCATATATATTAACAAGGTTTAGCAAGAACTTACGCTGTGTGTGTGGCATGAATCACCACCCAAAAAGACTCGGTGATCCAAAGTATATTTGCTCGCAATTCCTTGGCCGATGGGGTAGACTGAGAACCACTCAACACGCTCCCAAGTAATGTTATATGGTGCCATAATCTTTTTCGCGGCTGCCTGAACCTCTTCTTCTGTCGCAGTTCTCCTGGGATTCCAATTCTTATCTGTCGATGAAGCAATTTGGATATATAATCGGACCATATTTTCCTCTCGAGGGATAACCATGATCGATCCGTGCTCGGAATGAATGGTACATTTCATCTGATATATTTGTTAGCCTTGCACGGCTAAAATCTCGGGGATAGGCTTACTTTGATATCAGGGAAGTCTGTCTGAACGACACCATCCATAACACCCCAAACGTGAGCAATGGGGTCTTTGTGCGTTATTTGGATCTTCAATTGGTCCCTAATAAACGACCTTGCTCCCTCGCCACCGAACAAGTATTTGGCGCGAACCGTTTCCGTGGCTGTACCGTCGATATGCGCGATGCTGACCTCCACAGGGTATGTAGGGTCGACATCTGCATCTGTTTTGAACCCGGTAATAGTCCAAGGTCTTTGTATTTCAACACCGTTCTTCTCTAGGTCGCCAATAAAGGCGCGTTCGATAAGTCCTTGGTGAAGCAGGGTTGTAAATGGGTATCTGGCATCGATGAAGCTTGGGCAGCTCGCCCATGTTCCCGTCCGATGGATGCCGTCTTGAGCCGAAGTGGGATCCCAAAATGCCACCTCGAAGACCTTCGCTGGCTTATGGGCCATTATTTGAGGCTTCAAGCCCATGTTCTTGAGTAAATCGAGGGAGCGGGGTTGAATGCCATCTGCGCGACCTGTCTTCGTTGGCTCAGGACGATTGTCGATATGCTTTATCTTGTAGCCCCATCTTGCAAGACAAGTAGAGAGCAAGAGGCCAACGGGACCGGCGCCAACTATCACGATATCGTACAGTTCGACTCCATTTGGTGCCGTGTTGTCAGCCATGTTTTGGTTCATACAATAAATATGTTCAGTGAAATCAGAAGTAACGATGATGACAGAGGGTATTTCGACAAAAAATTAATTCCAAGAGTGGAAGAACTGGATAAAACGAAGAATGGAAAGACGATTGAGGGGGGATATGCGCTTCATTATAAGAAAATAATGAAGACTAGCAAGATGATGTACTTATAACTGGGACGGCATTTCCTCCGGCTCCCACGGACGTGGGACAACACCAAGAAACGCGCAAATGGCGACGGAGAAAAGATGTCGAGATGCCTTGACGGATTACCGAGGGGGGTTTGGTTAAGCACGCGGGTTGCGCTCACGGCACTTAGGTCTCCGATTGATGCGGGGCAGAGAGAAGCTAGAGGGAGATGTGGGGATCGGCATGGAGAAACGGTACGTAGAACGCGCAGAATGCGGGATGGCTGACTAATACAGGGTCCGAGTGCAAGCCAACCAAGACAGTACCACTCATGGGACCTCCTTAGACTCCGGTCTCCCTCGTTAGACTCCGGTCTCCCTCCTCCTTTCGGGTGTTCATGAGCGAGCTTCAAAATGACTGCCAGGATTAGACCAAGTAACTATCAACCTACATGGTGTCTGCTGTTGAATATCCTTTGGCCCAAATACCCTCTGAGGTGTTGGCGTCAAAGACTGTGCCCAGCAGCTCGAGTGACTGTTCGGCTATGACCGCTCATCAGCTTGTCCATGCTGAGATAAATCAGGCGGGTTGTCCCTGCCCAGTAAGTCCAATTGCTTCTTTTAAAATAGTCCTGGCGTTCTTTGATAAAGGGGGAGCCTTGATTGAAGATGCCAGAGAGGAAACGCCGGAGAGGAAAGCACCAGCCATATTTTGTCCACATCAACACACTGGTGCTGGTATGACCTGGATAGAACACAAGCTATCTGTTCTAGATCGGCTTTGCCTCGCCGTTGGTTTGAATCTCATATGTCTGGTGCAATAGCACATCTGTATTGAGTCCCTTCCTCGTTTGGATCTGTTGATGCAACAACCATTCAAGAACCAAGGAGATCTTGGATTGGAGTTTACAAGAACCACCTTGGCACACTGTGCGTTTCTGTTGTCATGTATTCCAACATAGTTTATGCCAACATAACCAAAGAAGTTGGAACGGAAGTAGTGCTTTCGGAAATGAGCTCTGGACTGCTCAATATGTTGCGAGAGTTGGTGTCTATGCCGCAAGTGTGTTGTATAACCAAGCATTCTTTGTCCGTCTTGTAATTGTGCAAAAAGAAAAACACATTAGCAGAAGTTCTATGACAGACTGTGGTATATACTTTCCTTAGAGGCTCTCTTGGTCATTTATGTGCATTATTGTTGTGCTTTTCCTGCAAGGCTGGAATTGCATATGATTTGATCTATCCACTGCATCGGTTAACCTGTGGTATCAAGATCCTGGTTTTATTATTCCATAAAGATCTTTCAATTGACCAACCTCTATGGTGCGTCGCCGTGGTTGAACATAACGCGCATTGCTATTTTCTTTGGCAAAGCTGGAATATAGTACTGGAGAGATACTGAAACCCGAAGGTACCACCTAAGCTGCCAGACTAGATAAAATCATGTGCGCTTAGTACTGCCCCTACATATATTCACCAAAACGTCAACGATAGGCGCAGCAGGCACAAAACAACGAACAACACACCCAAGCACTCTGTTGTACAAGAGAACCCGATATAAGAAGTCTCTACTGCAGCTATACTCGAAGCGATCCATGGCACCCTCTATTTACTCATCAATGCGTCAAGACGTAGACAGCATGGTTCCGAGCCGTTATCTCCCTCAAAACAACCCACTTCTGGTGTGCGATCCTGAGCCACATGGATGGGCAAGGAAAGACCCAATCGCTCACAGCGATTATGTGTCGATGGAAGAACTTGTTACTTATAACAACTTTCGGTATGTTTAGACCTATGATATAGGCATTGAGCGCTCAAACCAATGTTGTAGACTTGCCAAATATAGAGAAGGACAGTCCATGAACAGCCTGCACAACCTTGAAACCGAGGAATCCACAAATATTCGAACTGTTATAGAGGCTGCAGAAAACAGAAAGTATTACATCCAAACAACCCAGAAGATGACTGTCTGTGCTAATGGTTCCACAGAATTGCCTCACGTAGAGCTGATATCGTCAGGGCCATCCGTGGCCAAGCTAGCCCGAGGAAGAATCCATATTCCGAGAGCTTCACAAAGAGACGCAATGTGCAAGGTCTCCGCAACAGAGCAACTTACTTCGCGAAAAAAGAGGGGTGGGAAGAGTGCCAGAGAGATTACTGGCTTCAACAGGATGCCATAAGCTGGGAACAGTCCATCAATAAGGCTTTGCCTCAGACGCCACCTTTGAGTAAGTTTGAGCCCCCAGTACGCGACATGTGAACCAAATTTCTCCGACACTTACGTTCAGCGACAATGTACTCTAGAAATTCTTTACTCAAAGATATAGAGTTCATTTATTATGCATACTCGGATGACTGATAGATTGGAAGTTGCTGACGTCTTCTCTCAAGGTCTTCATCAGCGAAGCAAGTCCGAGGAATCGAAGATTTTAAGAGTTGCTAGCTCCGTCTATTCGGATGATTCTTATGCCCCATCTTCTAGGCATGGCCATGGAATTAACAATCGTGATGACCTTTCCATGGATGTCTCTGCCTCCGATTCTTATGCCGAATCGGCTGATGGCTATCCTAACTCGCCGCCTTCGCACTCTCATACAAGCCAGATTCACGAGACCGAAGATTCTTCCAGCAGCCCGCCGGAAATTTCGGACCCAGATTACCAGATTAATGAGGGACTATTGAAAGAGCTGAAAAATCACTACCTGAAACCGAGGAACAAAACCTCGCACGAGGAAAGCACGTCGTGTAAGCCAGCCACGACGCAGAAGGTCAGTAACTTCTTGTATAGAAGCAACTCGCTGCCAGTGAATGTCACACCAATGAGCGAACGCCAAAAGACTCGCCTTGAAATGTTCCGAGAGAGTGCCCCAGCCAATGGTACGAGTCAGGTGGATAGACTGCCACATCATGTTGCAATCACTCGGCCTCGGGCACCCGTCCTATTGAGTCCCGTTATAAACGCCGAGGAGCTGCACCCTGCGGACGATCAGTTAACTGGCATACCAAACAACGCAAGATACCAGTCTGCAAGTTATCCTGGTAGAAGTTCGTCTATATCTCACCAACCAGCTATTCGCCGACCAGAAATCGCCATAGTAACCTACGGCAATGACGAAAACAACCATGGGACAGCTCATACTAACGGGTATCAATCCGAGGAGAACGGTTCACGAAACTTTCGCCAGCGCACCGTTAGCACCGGCTATCCCGGAGACAGAAGCACAAGCACACTTGGCGGGGACGATGTTGACTCCACCGACCAAGATGCGTCAGCATCGGAAGGACTTGCAGACTCACCGTTGAAGAAAATATTTGGTGATGGTGGCTCTTTTGATCAACTCAAGGCCGACACGAAGCCAGTTCTCAAGTCTATGTGGGGCTCTGTAAAGGCGAAGGTTCATATAACCGTAAGCTACCTCGACATTTATAACGTTCTTCCCCTAATGCTCGTTCTAGAAACCGAAGATGGACATGTCAGCCTTCAAAGAGATGTTCTCTCTCCGCTCACAGGATCCTAACTTGGGAATGGTGACCTCCAATTTCATGATATCTTGTGATCAAGAATTTCAGTCGTCGCTATATGCACGCCTTGATCTTTTAATCTGCACAGTTGCGAACAAATTTCTCCTGTTTGAGCATTTTGAAAACAGGATCACTCCAGCCACAGCCGCCCGATACATAGAGAAGTGGGTTAAGCTAGGTAGAGCGCAGTTCACTGAGTTCAACTGTGGCCAACCTTTCCAAGCGTTGATAATCTGGGAATGTCGCGAGTCACTTCAGTTCTACGGCGACCACGAGGCTCGTGTAAGGAACGCGGCCCTCGACACGTGGCTCAAAAATGCCAACTCAATGTCTGTGCTAACTCGATGCAATGGGGATTCTGCTATCCAGAAGCATATGCATGACTCCTGGAAGGTTCTGGAGATACTAGGCGGCACCTGGGATGACTACGACTCTCTGTCCCGCCTTCACATTTCGTTTCATGATGTGGTTGCTGGCGCGAAGACACGCAATGATGCCCTTGGCATTGAACATGATTGGAACCCGCCACCTGTGCCACCGACCCCGGCGATGGCATCAATAAAGTCCCCAGATTTGTCCCACCTGTACAGACAAGATTGAACTGCTGTTGGTATACTCGCTCCAAAGTTTATGCTCAAGAACCTGGCCTGTCGACACTCAATAATCTCGAATACAAAGTACCCTGTACCATATACGATGGCCTGTACAATTATAATACAGTTCTAATTCCTCTACTTCAATAGTTTCAGTATAGCAACTGTTAGGCTGCAGAATACGATGGGTGCGTTGTACGGATATTCGGTGGTTGAACTCTGTACGACTGTAGAAAATCTTCTGCGATGCTCACAGCCTACCTAATTTGCAGGGTTCGCAACACTGCCTGAGCGCAGCCCAATGGCTGGACATGATGTTTCATGTAGGAATTGCTTCATTATGTATTATATAGGAATGATAATCGAACTTCTATTTCTCATACACTCTCTTCCGTAGATCCCAACCGTTTAAACCGCGGCAGTACTGGGAGTTCCTGAAGGCGGTGAGACGAAATTGGCGCCTGCACGTGGCAGAACAGGGTAAAATATGCCAGAAGAGGGCTGACGTCACGCCCACAGGAACAACACACCAGGCAGATAAAGGACAACAAGGTAGCACCCGAATCACCTGCATCAACTCCGACAATCGCACACCGACACGCGTTATAGCAGGAAAGAACGCGGGAAGGCCGTTGTACCTATCAGCAACTCAGCTGCCTACTGAGAGCCCCGTGGGCTCGAACTTTCAATTCCAAAACGACGGTTGTTAGTGTTTGCCCATTTTTCGCATATGGCACCTCCGACTTGAGATGAAAAGTATTGTCTCTTAGCCCCAAAGCTCTTGGACCTACCATGTGAGTAAAATCATGCCGACAAGCTTATTAAATCCCCGCCTGACAGGCGCAGTTCACCATGGCTCGCTCAAGCCATTCCTACGGCCCTACGTGCCGTCTCGCTCCGAGTGTCGACTCCAGCAGTAAGGGGGACGATAGTCAGCCACCTGTTCGGACACAGTTCTTCTATGCCTCAGCTCTACCAATCGATGATCCCCTATCAGTTGTTCCCACCCCCAGCAGCGACCCGAGATCAGCGAAACATGCACCGCGACCCTTCTCACCATACGATAATAATGCCCTCGAAGAAGCCTGGCTTGCCTTTGGCCCGGCTCGACTCAAAACGAGACAGCGAACCTCCACCATAAGTTCGAACCCCCCTCTGGTCGAAGTTACCGCCAATGCAGCGAATGGAAATAAAGGAAGCGGAGATATATATGAGGATGAAGGCAGAAATGAAGGTCGTTCTCAGCCGGACGACAAAGACCACAAAGACCGGAAAGCGGCCACGAAAAAGGAGAGCTCTTCGAGTTTAACCGATGATCAAAGCACCGCGGATACTGGGGCGACATCGTTAGGGCTCTCTGAAGCTGGCACTACAGGGTTTCCATTCCAAAGAGCGCCTGATCGTTCAGAAAACGTCCGCCCACTAGCTGCAGCAGTGTCTCCAGAGCCACGATCTCCACCCGCCCCCGCATTTACGACTATGGAAGAAGACAATAGCCACCGCGAAACCGAACAGCTGGAATCAACTGCGCCCTGCAGCGATGCACAGCCCGAGGGCAATGGGGCAACCGATGCTTCTCGCTGCGAGGCAAAAGAGTACTCGAAAGAGACTGCTAGCATACCTGTTGGAATATCTCGACTGCATCTCGTACAACTGCCAAACCTTCAAATGAAACCTATATATTGGTCGCCCGTGCACGACGTTGCTGCAGTTACCCGCGGAACTTGGTTTTATCGAGATACTATGTACCCCGTAGAAAGCGCCGTTGCCAATCAATTAGAAACGGGGTATCGGGAACTCCGTCCGTGGTCTCGGACATGGAGTGACGAGCTCGCGAGTGCGCTTGCTCTTGGCGCAGATGGCGAGGAAAAGATATCACATCGATTATGGCCGAGTGAGGAGGAGCCTTCCGAGACTCAGTCTCATTCCGGTGTTTCCCCAAACAATCCTCGATGTGCTGCAATGTGCTTCAATGGAGAGGTTGCCGCTGAAGGGGATGCCTATCTTATCGAATCCGACGAAAAGAGTCCTGCGAAAGCCATCGCCCCACGTCGTTATCCAAACTCGCATGTTATTTACAAGGATTCGCGAAATGCGTATATTTTGAAGACTAGCCTTCAACCATCCGCCTATTACGGACGAAAACCGCTTTCTAAAATCAGGAAGGGTATTACCGTTGGGCTACACGTCGTCCGTGGATTTGATTGGCCATCATGGGAGAAGCTGCACCCAAACCATAAATCTGCTGTAGCTTCGATGGCAGAAGACGCAGCCCCGGCTTCTGAGACCGCGAATATAAGTCAAAGGGCTGTCTGTGAGGCTTGTGCAGCTCAGCTTGAGAGGCCAGCAGTTACGGACCTTGTTCTTGTTATACATGGAATTGGTCAGAAGCTGTCAGAGAGAGTCGAGAGTTTCCATTTCACACACGCGATCAACTCATTTAGACGGTCTATCAACGTAGAACTGGCCAATGAAGGCGTCCAGACGGTGCTCCGACCCGGCCTCGGCGGAATCATGGTTTTGCCTGTCAACTGGCGCTCCAATCTCTCATTTGAAGAAGGTGGCCCTATGAAGGCTTCAGATAAAGGAAGAGAGTCCCTTCACACCAAATTTTCCTTAAAGGATATCACTCCGGATACTATACCAACAATAAGGAACCTCATCTCAGATGTCATGCTCGATATACCTTTCTATATGTCACATCATAAGCCCAAGATGATCGAAGCGCTTGTTTACGAAGCCAACCGCGTGTACAGGTTATGGTGTGAGAACAACGAGGGGTTCCACCAGAATGGCCGTGTTCACATTATTGCCCATTCTCTGGGTAGTGCTATGGCATTGGATGTGTTATCGAGGCAACCTACCATTCCGCCGGCGGTTATTCCAGGTGATAGCCCCTCGGTGTCGAAACACTTTGACTTTGATACCAAGAACTTGTTTTTTGTAGGCAGCCCGGCTGGATTCTTTTTACTGCTGGAGAGAGGGAAACTTGTACCAAGGAAGGGAAGGAATAAGCCTGGAGCGGGCTCTGATGGCCAGGACGAAAGCATTACCAGCGATGCTGACAATTATGGTTGTCTGGCTGTGGACAACCTGTATAACGTTATGGTAAGATAACCAGTCTCTGACAGTTTGGGCTCTCCTCCAAAGTCTTTTGCTAATATGTCTGATAGCATTGCAATGATCCCATTGCATATCGCCTCAATGCCACCATCGATCCAGCGTATGCCCTGTCGCTCAAGAACGCCCAAGTCCCCTATGCCACGGCCGGTTTCTTTGGTTCAATTGGCAATACGATGAAGAGCCTCATGCCCGGCGCAACTTCAGCACCCGACCTGGGCGTCGGACAAGTTGCAAAGCCAGCTATCCCCCGGCTCCCGTCGCAGCTGGAAATGGAAGTCCACGACTTCACGCGCGAAGAGATTGCCGAGAAGAAGTTCTTTCTGCTCAACGACAACGGGCAGATCGATTACTTCCTGAGCTCTGGTGGCGGCCCGCTCGAGATCCAGTACTTGAACATGCTAAGTGCGCATAGTTCGTACTGGAGTAGTCCGGACTTCATCAGGATGCTGGTTACCGAAGTAGGCCGAAAACCGGGGAAGCTGAATACGTTGCCCAATATGAGGGCGGCGAAGAAGACGCAGAAGACACAGAAGTGAATGGCCCAGGGGGGTCTGAGAGTAGATTGGTTGGAAAAGTAGGCTATTGGTAACGGAGTTTGGAGGATGGCATGGAGTACCAGGGAGTTTATAAATTTCCACGGCGGAAGAATAGAGACGTGCATATCAGCGAAAAGGGAAGCGGGGAAATTGGTTGGTATAAAAGGATCTTTGGGTGGTATTTAGAGAAACAAAATTCAAGAAGTATCGAGGGAGGCATTACTCTCAGACTGTACTCTCAGACTGTACTCTCAGACCATACATAACCATAGTTATGTCTAGCTATATAAGATAGGGCTACTCGCTATTGCTGTATAGAGCAATCTCCACAGAGTGATCGCCATGACTTGGTATACTTATCTCCGAGTGGAGCTTCACTGTTATCAACGGCGGCTCGACTTCCCTAGAGTACTACAATGCACTGTACTTACGAAAAGCGGAAGGCGGGGTTTGGTCGGTTGAAGCGCTAATTTCCAAAGTCAACGTGGTGCGCAGGTGCGCAGGTCCGCACAGGTCCGCACGTACCCATGTACTTTGTACGCCTGCGGCCTGCCTTCCCATCCTAGACTGATCCTAGACTGCGGGCTAATTACGAACCATGAGGGTCCATACTCTGGGGTCTTACCCACAAGAGAACAACCAACCTCAGCTTCTGTTGGGAATGTATGACGGAACCTCAAGCACCAAGAAACCCTTATTCTTACCGACCGTGACAGCTTACAACTTCACTTATTGATATGCCCAGAGTGTCGTTGCGAGTGTATGCGTACAGCCGTATGATAGTTGTTTGATAGCAGCACCGATGGCCAAGAAGGTGCGCCAGCGGATTAGCTATGGTGAGTGTGGTTACATAAAACCCCGCAAACGCAACGATGCCACTTGTCTTGCGACCGGAGATATCTCGTTAGATGTTGCGCATGAGTGCTAATTCTTTTCTCTAGTTTTACCGCTTGCGAATTCGCCAGGCGGTCATAGGCTAGGCGTGAATGGACTCGCTGTTGACGGCGAGAACTCGATACTGTACGTCCTGAGAGACTTTGCTTCTCGCCTGCTTGACCACCGCGCTTCGACATTTTGGCTGATGTAACATAGATACTCGGGAGGTCGCGATGGAGCCATTTGCGCATGGGACTTGGATCTCAACCTCAAACCCAGCAACGGCCTTGAGGACCCATTCGAATCCCCGGAGGATCCCAAGGAGGACAAGAGCTCCAAACGCACGCCGAAGACGACTTTCCGAGCTCAGACACAGGCCCATACGCATTGGGTGAACGATATTGTGCTCGCGCAAAACAACACAGCGTTGGTTTCAGCCTCGTCGGATCTTACGGTGCGGGTATGGCGACCATTGACAAACGACTCGGAGGCTCCGCAGACAATCGGACAGCACACAGACTATGTTAAATGTCTAGCGACGCCGAACAGCCAGGCCGATTGGGTTGCGTCTGGGGGATTGGATCGAAAGATCTGCCTCTGGGACCTGAATGGAGCTGGAAAGAAGCTGGAGATTGAGATCAGTGGCGAAGAGAAGAGCGAGAAAGGCTCCGTCTATGCTCTCAGTGTCAGCCGCAGCATGCTTGCCAGCGGAGGGCCCGAAAGCATAGTGCGCCTCTGGGATCCAAGAAGCGGGCAGCGAATAACGAAATTCGTGGGACACACGGACAATGTCCGGTCAATCCTGATTAACGAGAGCGGCGACACGATCATGACCGCCAGTTCGGATCAGACAGTGAAAGTATGGAGTGTGACTGCTGGCAGATGCATGCATACCCTCACGATGCACAATGACAGTGTGTGGACGCTATTTTCCGACGATCCCGAGTTGGGAACCTTTTATTCTGCTGATCGTTCTGGCCTCATCGTTAAGACGGACGTGAGAAACACAAACGGCGAGATGGACGATGGTATCTCGCTGGCTGTAGCGCAGGAGACTGAAGGTGTGAACAAGGTTATTGCTTACGGAGACCACATCTGGACTGCTACTGCTAGTTCATCTATCAATAGATGGGCCAATGTGGATACTGGGGATAGCATCCAGTTGCCCGAAGTATTCAAACACCGCCGGACATCGAGCGCCGCGTCAAGGCAGAAACCTGCGTCACCACCAACCGCAACTTCCACGGACAAAAAGGAGATCCCAGTTAGATCGATACTCCGAATTTCGAACACAGCAAGTTTCCCTGCTGCTGCTGCTGCTAGAGATGGAGATGCTATGACCACATCCATTGCGAGCCTCAAGCAAGATGCAGACCTCTTGGACCCAGATATTGTTCTGATAGAGCCGATCCATGGATTACCTGCCGAAACGATCGAAGGCCAGCATGGGTTGGTGAAACACAAGTTGATGAACGACAGGCGAAGAGTTCTAACATTGGATACCGCGGGAGATGTACTCCTATGGGACCTTCTTCAATGCGTCCCAATACAATCTTTTGGGAAGAGACATCTAGAAGATGTAGAGCCTGAAGTGAACACCAATGAAGCGATTGCACCTTGGTGCTCTATTGATACTAGAACGGGCCGGTTGGCGGTTGTACTGGAAGAGTACAATTGCTTTGATGCGGAGATGTACGCCGATGAGATACAGACGGACGAACCAATCTCCCACCGTGATGATCAACGCATAAATCTGGGCAAATGGGTTTTGAGGCATATATTTTCTAGGCTCATCGATGAAGTTATAAGGAGGGACGAAGACCTCCGCAAAGAACTGACCGCAAAAGCCAAAGCATCCAGGCCGCGAGACCCACCACCAACGGGATTGCAGATCCCAACCGGTAACCCCTTTTCTTCTGGGGATAGCGACGTCTCGACGCCACGTGGAAACGGCCACCATGTTCAGGGGACCCCTAACTTGGGAATCGTTGTTGCAACACCTCTCCTGGCACCGAATAGCCTACCTGCAGTGTCTGAAGACGGATCGAAACTGGAGAAACTGCAGTCTCAAATAAGCCATAGTTCGGCCGATAAAACTGGCGATTACTTTACAAGTGCCCCGTTGGCATCGTCCGAGACTAAACCCGCAGCGACACCAAACGATACGCAGGAAGCGGGTAAAGCTACTCCCGACCCAGAGAAGCAAACCAATGGGAAGGAGGCTGGATCAAAGTTTGGCAAGAAATTCAAGATGTCCTTCGGTAGCAAGAAGGTTGCCCGCTCTACGTCTACATCCGCGGAGAAACCAGTTGTGGAAGTCGAGAAATCTGAAGGATCCGAGGCTTCCGACGCTGCTGAAAAGGAGACTGACGACAGCTTTGCGGGTATTATCCAGAAGATAAACGCCGAATACGAGAAACAGCTGACCGAGTTCCCCGATGAGCCACTGGCAAGCGGAGTCACGCCAAGCTTGCCGAACGAGGCGCCGGTCTTGAAGCCGCCCACGATGACTACTGTAATTATCCAGGAGGAGACTTCTGGAGGAAGTGCCGATTTGTATCGGGGTACCGTAGGCACAGTTGGGGAGGACGCGAGCGCCATCATCGAAAGAGCGCCTAACTGGTTGGGAGAACTTCTGTTGAAGAATAGGATCCCGTTCAAAGAGCCGGTGAAGCTATCGTTCATCCTTCAGCCCTGGCAGGACTTACTTCCTGGCATTGCTGGCCCAGATGGGTATGTCACTCTTTCACCTGAAACCGATCCAAGCTAATAGCTCCACAGAAATTGCAGATTGAACGCAAACAGAATGCTTCGTGTTAAGAAAATATTGGCTTACGTCGCTGAACGCATCGAAGCTTTACCTGAGAATGCCGAACCGGATGCCCTGAAGCCAGAAGAATATCTCGAGCTATATTGTTATGATCAGGTATATACAATGCCCCTCTGCAATCCTTGCATTTTAACTAATGTTTGTATAGAAACTTCCCGTAACGATGACTTTGGCCACACTTCGAGCGCGTATTTGGAAAGGAGGCGCAGATGTCATGTTGTACTACAAGAGCAATGGGCGGAAGGAGCTTAAACTTGACAAGGGCCCTGAGCCGCCGGCAGTTCCTGAAGCAACTCCGGCCCCCGCTGCACCTGAAGAGCCTTGAGAGGCGTGTATCCTGTTCTAGCTCCCTGATCTTGGGGAGAGCTACTTATCATGTCTATATGCCAAAGACGCGGGACGTGTAATGACTATCACCTCAATGCTATTCCTATCATTGCTTGCGCCATCTATATGCATTCCCGCCCAATAATGATACAACTATACACATATCCCACCTGATTCTCATATCGCCTCCTCTCGCTTTTGTACTGCCTTCCCTTCCAACGCATTATATGCCCACTGGTAGCTTCCCAAGAAGATAGCGCCTCCAATGCTAATCCACATAACCCTTGGCCCGATCCCAGAAAAGAAGGCCATGGGTCCACCGTCTCTCAATATCTGCCTCGCCAGGACAAACATCCCCGTCTTCTCCTTCGCCAGCATCATCCTCGTCTTCAGCACATCCAACGGCGTCGTAATCCCCGCCGCCGTCGCCCCCGCCATACTCCCCGCCAACCCACTCTCCCACGCCCTAATCTTCCCCCTCCCCCCATCCCTCCCCGTAGTCCTCAACCTCCACTTCTTCATCGCCTCCCACAACGGGAACTGGATAACCGTAAACGGCACCTCGCGGAAAATCGTAATACTCCACCCGCGATACAACTCCCTCCACACACCCGGCACCCCAATGGCCGCGCGCTGGCTCAGAATCGACGACAGCGCCGCCAGCGACGACGGGAACTGCCGCGCCTGCGTGCGCTGCTTCACCACCTCCGTCGGCACGCGGACTGCGCATGCGGCGATCTCGCCCAGCGACGCGGCCATCATGTGTTCCATCGGGGCTTCCCATTCGTGTGCTGCGGGGGAGGCGGGGTCGAGGGCGTCGCGCGCGATGCGCCGCGAGGAGAGGAAGGATTTGGTGTTTTCGTAGGTTACGAAGAAGAGGGATGCGCCGGGGGCGGAGCCGACGATGGCGGAGCCGACGCCGGCGTAGATGCCGTGGAAGCCGCCGGCGGCGCGGAAGCCGAGGGGGGATTGGAGACGGGTTTTAAGGGTGTCGAGGGGGTAGAGGGAGAGGTCGACTGTGGTGCCTGCTAGGGCGCCGGAGAAGAGGGCGGAGGTGAAGGAGGTATTTGTTGAGGTCGACATTTTCGGTGATTTGGTGGGCGGGGGAGGAGGGGGAATGAGTGACTAGGTTGAATTGTGAAGGGGAGGAAGGCCGTAGCCCTCATGAGTTGTTGAGGAAGGGGGAGAGCGTGCACTGTAAATTTATCTCGGGAGCCCATGACGATTGTGGGGATGCCGGGTTATCGATAGCCGCCAAACGCGATATCCCGGACATCAGCACGCGACAGTGTTTAGGCATGCACGCATCCCGCCGCAGTATGGCGAACACCGAAGTGGAGCTATGATAGAATTGAGGGGATAATGCTGGAATGGTGGGGGTCCTACATCGAACAGGATGGAGTGGTCGTGGGGCTGCTGCCATCAGCCTGGATAGATTTATTGCGAGCTTGCAGCAGCTGAACCACAAGGGACTGAATCAGCGTATGAAACTCAATAAGAATTAATACAAAGTTTACAACTAATAAAGTCTAGTCACCGAGAATACAAATGGAAAGCCTTGCAAGCCATTGACAATTGGTATCTCACTTCCATGCTATTCAAATGCTTGATCACCAAAGTCTAACAAGTTTCAGGTCTGGCAATCAGCGGTGGCGTGGATTCCATGGCCCTGGCCTCTCTCTGCTCTAGAATTCAAAGCAAGGATCGATTTAAATTCCGTGCCTTCGTCGTAGACCATAAAGTCCGCGCTGGAAGCGGCGATGAGGCTCATGCCGTTGCTAAAATCCTGGGGGAGAAAGGTGGGTTGGGCTGTGTCTTGCTCCCAATGCTCTTATTGACAGTATTAGATATTCCCACGGATGTACTCAAAATCGAATGGCCAGAAGGGCTGAATCCCAAAGAAGCGTCAAATTTTGAGTCTCTTGCCAGGACGTACCGCTTTCAAGCTCTGGGGAAGGCATGCCGCGACCATGGCATCCAATCCCTCTTTCTTGCCCATCACCGCGATGATCAAGCTGAAACCGTCTTGATGAGGATGATTAATGGTCACCGAAAGGATGGTCTTTGCGGAATGCGATTGTCTGGTGACATTCCAGAGTGTCGTGGAATCTATGGCGTACACCAGAGTGGTGTAGTTGATGCTTCGGCGCCCGCCAGCCAAATTAAGTTTGGTAGTGGAATGGACTTGAACAAGTCTCGTTCTTTGGACTCATCAGACGATACCACGTCCTCTTTAGACATGCGGATAGAATCCGGCGGAATCAAAGTCTACCGCCCTCTCTTATGCTTTACCAAACAAGAGCTCAGGGATACATGTGAAGCCAACGGCATGTCTTGGTTTGAGGACAACACAAATGCAGATCCGACGCTCACCATGAGAAATGCAATCCGCCATATCTATGCGAACAATAAGCTCCCCGTGGCGCTTCAAAAGCCTTCTATTCTTGCACTAGCCAAAAGGCTACAGGAAAACAGGGACAGGGACGTGGAAAGGCGCAACAAGTCCTTTGCTCAGAAAGTTCAGATCTTAAAGTTTGAGCCCAGTGTGCCATATTGCTCGGTTTATTTTGAGCCTTTGGATATGGAATATAACGCCAAGGGCTCGGCCGGAATTTCCAGCACCGAGTTCGAGGATGCAAGTTGGTGGCTCCGTGCTGTTATCCAGTTGATCTCTCCCGTTGAGAATATTGCCCTTGGGACATTGAGTACTGCGGTGCAACGAATATATCCGGAACTTGGTTCACAAGTAGGACATGATTCAGCACCTCGGAAAGCATTTACTGTGGCGGGCGTAATGTTCGAGCCTGCGCCTTCTCATACGCATGACAGTCGTCTGCTTTCCAGCCACACAGATACCAACCCGACGGCAAGTGAAGGGTCGACGCTCGCCCATCAACAGATAGCGAACCGGCACTGGATTATCAGGCCGCAGCCGTTTAAGAGGGGCAAAGAGCCTCGTCTAGACTTTATACCATTCCAGGGAAAAGACGAAGAGGCATATTGGAGAGATAATGATTCCTGGAAGCTATTTGATGGCCGGTTCTGGATCCGCATTTTGAATCTGACGTCCACAAACATATCTCTACGGCCGTTTCAGGCAGAGGATGTGCATAAACTTAAAGGAACGAAATTTATGGAGCAGCTGGAACAGCGGGAAAAGCTGCTACTGCCTCTGAAAGCCTCGAAATTCAGATATGTGTTACCGGCGATTGTGGCTGAGGTGGATGGCACTGAACGGGTTGTAGGGCTTCCTACCCTTGGTATTCTTGCACAGGACTTCGAAAATCTGGTGAAGTATGAAGTCAGGTATAGGGGCTTGGGTTCCTGGCCGAATTAATATTACATTGGGGAGCATGTTTGATTTAGGCGTGTATAGAAGGCATCGACGGACCAGCAAAATAATTAAATTTAGTCTAAAAACTTTTCTCTTCTGGTTCGAATGGTCTAAAACTGATGAATTTCGAAAATATGGCTCAGTACCAAATAGCGCGCGTGCGGTGATGGGGTAAAGCGCCTTCGTCGTCTACCTTCTCCCTCTCCAGCTCTATCTTCTCCTGCTCTTTCGCCGTATCGTAGAGGAAGAAGTCTATTAATATGGCATTTATTTCCGTGTCTGGATGCCGCCTGAGAATCTCTTTCCTGATGAGCTCTACACACCAAATACTGCAACCTGTAATCTATCAGCAACAGCTCGGGCATAACGACATATTTTCCAAACATACCTCTGATCTGCACCTCCCACGAATGCCCCGTCTCAATCAACTTCTTCTTCCGCAGGGTAGTCTCTAATAACGGACTGTACTGCATACAGCCTAACGAGTTCAATATTTGCGGAATCCTATAATCAGCAAACATGGTTATCTTGTCTATATCGTAAAATTCCCCGTAGTCGAGGCCGTCAAAACATGCCCATAGATCAGCCACGAGGATCTGCGCGCGCTTGAGGATCCGGACGGTCTTGCGGCCCTCGAACCGCACTTCGTCCCGGAAACACCTAAAATCATCGGCCAGGATGTTGACTAGAGCCGCTGCGGACTGGTCTGCCGCTTCTATGCAGTTCAGGAAACTGCAGTTATATTTCTGGAGAATAAAGTTAGCAGAATTTACGATTTCATTTCCAATTGTGTCATACCTCGTAGAGCACTTGCCCTGCCTCCCGGAGGCACGCCAGACGCTCCTTCAACATGGGCATCTCCTCGTCTGTAGCAGACCTGAAGATATACTTCATCTTTTCCTCAGTCAACTCATCCTCACTCTGCCAGTAGTCTGAACTAGTGATCGGTATATCTGGTCATTCATAAGCACGGGTCCCAAGATCAAGCAAGGGGGAGGAAGATGCCAACCTTCATCGAGCGCACGATTAATAGCGGCAACCAAGCTCCAATACCCCGTCCACTTCTTGCCCTTGTATTCAATGGCAAACCTCTCTTCGGAGCACCTATCAGACCAAAAAGAAAAATTGAGTAAATCCATGGTAAAAATAAACGCCACCGTCTTTTCATCCTTGGTCTTGGGATGCAGCTCATGTGAGGACCAGGTCGAGGTGCAGTACTTCTTCTTCTGCATCTGCTCGTAGATCATGGCGGCGGCCGCCTTGGTGCTCCGCATGTCAAGGGCCACATCTATGGAATTATCGGTGACATACTTTGCTCCATCGAGCACACGTGTCTCAGGCACGCTGGGGTCAGGTTGCGCCCCCATGAGGTGTTGACGGAGGAGCGCCAGGAGCTCTGGGTCGGCTTCGTCGTCCGACATTATGAGAAAATTTTGTTAGAAAAGGCACAAGGATTGTGAACAGATTTTTCAGCTTGATTCTGTAGGAAAGATGTAAGGTGTGCTTGCTACTTCTCTGAGCTGCTGCAAGGGGTAGATTGAGAAATAATACTGATAAAGAATTTTGGAGGTTGTTATCGGCCACACCGCACGTTTGGTAGGGAACCACTTATCTGGCGCACGCGCCAAACCTTAGTACAAAGGCTTGGAGTCTGGTATATTAATTGGAATTTACTCGTTGTTTTGAATAGTTCTGTACTTGGAATGTGCATACTTATGAGTTGAAAGCAAGGGATGATACGCTTCAGCCATCAAAATACATACAGTAGGGAATTTATAGGAATAAAATGAAGTTTGGAGCCTTGAAGTTCACTGCATGCGACAAAAGGAAACATCGACAGGTACTGTGTATGCATGGCCAGGTACCTGACCTGGCGGCTCCCAACTAAATTACTGTGTAGAACACTGTATAGAACAGTACAAAGATACTTCCGGCTGCACGTCGTAGCATCCGGTGGGATCTGGCCACCACTCGCATGGAACCGGGTGAATTGTCCCCCAGAAACATTGGGGACGATTCAATCGTATCCCACTAGCCCACGCGCCCCAGTCGCGTAAAGTACCAGACTTACCACAAGTACCATACCACCAAAAAAACGCGTGGTGGGTACTTACACTAATCGGTTTGACGTCGGTCTCCATCCAGCCGCGCTTTGCGACGAACCTCATCAGTTCCTGCGACAAGTCAATATTTTGTTTCTTTACCCTTCACCCCTTCGCTTCGTCACGCTTTTATATTTCTATCCTTTGGGTTCTCCGTTGGACTTTCCTTTTTAATATCAGATGTACAATATTCACTCTCTTGTCAATTGACGCAGACATGGCCCGCGACCATTACAACCAGCAGGCGCTGGGTAAGCCCTTGAATAATGATGTCAAGCAGGTAAGCCGAGCCTTCTCTATTCTTCATGACCAACAGAGTCGTCTTGGCCTTTAGGGAGTGTATTGAGTGAGTGCAGCCTCTGGCCTGTACTTCTCACTGCGCAATCTTTGCGAATGATGCGACATGCGCCTGCTTGAGCCATCATGGACCCTTCCTGTTACCCTGCAACGAACCAGGCTGATATCCCAACTATAGGCACGAATCCTGATGGTAGGAGCCGGAGGCATCGGCTGCGAGCTTCTCAAGAACCTACTCCTCACCGGTTATGGCGAAATACACATCGTGGACCTTGATACCATCGACCTCAGCAACCTGAACCGCCAGTTCCTCTTCCGTCATGAGCACATCAAAAAGTCCAAAGCTCTGGTTCGTCTCCCCCGCCTCTGGTCTATCCGTTTTAAAAGCACTGCTAACTGTGACTCTAGGTTGCGAAGGAGGTTGCGCAAAGGTTTAATCCAGCTGTCAAACTCGAATCATACCACGCCAATATCAAAGATGCCCAGTTCAACATCGACTGGTTCAAAACCTTTACTATCGTCTTCAATGCGCTCGATAACCTTGATGCCCGCCGCCATGTTAACAAAATGTGCCTTGCGGCTGATGTACCGCTGATCGAGAGTGGAACCACGGGTTTCAATGGTCAAGTGCAGGTCATCAAAAAGGGAATCACTGCATGCTACGACTGCACCGCGAAAGTTACACCCAAGAGCTACCCAGTATGCACAATCAGGAGTACACCCAGTCAGCCGATACACTGTATTGTTTGGGGCAAGAGCTACCTGTTGAGTGAGGTGTTTGGAGCCACGGAGATAGACTCCGAGGAGATGGACCATTCACAGGACTCGGAGAATGCGAAGGAGATCGAGAAGCTACGACAGGAGGCTCAGGCATTGAAAAATATTAGAGATTCTATGGGCACTGACGACTTTCCAAAACTACTCTTCAATAAGGTGTTCAATGAGGATATCACACGGCTGAGGTCGATGGAGGAGATGTGGACGACAAGGAGGAAGCCAGATCCACTGGAGTATGACACTGTGGCTGCTGCCGCCACACCTCTGGAGGAGTCAAAAGAAGCGGTTCTTAAAAATGATCAGAAGCCTTGGTCTCTGGAAGAAAATTTGATTGTCTTCAAAGACAGGTATGTATACATTCAACACCAGTCCTATCTACAAGACTAACATGTATAGTTTAAATCGTCTAAGTAAACGCATGAAGGAGCTGAAGGCCGCGTCCGATGGAAACTCCGCAGAGCCAACAATTATATTTGACAAGGATGACGAAGATACCCTCGACTTTGTCACCGCTACCGCGAATATCCGATCCATCATCTTCGGGATCGAGACCAAGTCTCGATTTGATACCAAGCAAATGGCGGGCAACATTATTCCGGCTATTGCCACAACAAATGCAATTGTCGCAGGTCTCTGCGTATTGCAATCCTTCAAAGTCCTCCGTGGCGATTACTCGAGCACAAAAGAAATCTTCCTATCACCTTTCGCATCCGAGCGCCTCATGGCCTATGAGAAGACCCGGAAACCAAATCCAGACTGTCCCGTTTGTAGTGTTGCGCAAACCAGGCTCCTAGTAGACTTATCAAGGGCTACGCTGAATGATCTGGTAGAGGACTTCTTGCGCGTCCAGCTCGGATATGGCGAAGAGTTCGTGGTCAGCAATGAAGCAGGCTTGCTGTACGATGTGGATGAGACTGAAAACCTCGAGAAGAAACTGAGCGAGCTCGGAATCAAGGAGGACAGCTTCCTCACAGTCATTGACGAGGATGAAGAGGACCCGAGAGTCAACCTTGTTCTCAGCGTTCAGGGGACTGCAACGCCGACTGACGCAAAGCCAATTAGCGCACTCCCCACAGCCGTCGATAGCGAGCAGCCGATTTCCATACCCAGACGGCCACGGGTGGTTCCACCCCCAACTGAAGCCACGAATGGTGATGTCGGGAATAAAGAGGCCATCACCAACGGTGAGGCGCCTAAAGCCTCTCCTGGTCCGGTGGCAGGGACGAAGAGAGGGGCAGATGAGCTTGGAGAAGCCGGCCCTGAAGCCAAGCGTGGGAAGCTCAAGGAGGCAGAGGATGATATTATCGTTTTAGACAGCGCGGACGACGGCGCCATCATCATTGATGATGACTGAACCACACGTCAATATTGGTGATTATTGAGACGTGTTCCAGCATCTCCCAGCACATGGCGAGCCTGGCTTATTCATACCGCACTCAGACCTCCATCAAGGTTGAGGGTGCAGTTATTGGCATACTGGTTAGCGGCTAGGAAGAAAGCGGCATCAGCAACCTCTTCGGCGGTACCGAAACGTTGCAGGGGTATGGCGTTCTTAGTGGACTCAAAAAGGGCAGGCTCCATGCCTGGATATGTATATTAGCCACTGGTAGTCAGATATACCCCGCCTGTAGGAGGAGGATAACTTAAGAATTAATGAAGAATAATTGCTCGTACCTGATGTCATCTCGGTTTCTATGTAGCCGGGCACAACGGCGTTTACGCGGACGCCTGATGGCCCTGCTTCTGCGGCTAGAGCTCTTGTGAATCCTGGAAATGTTAGAATAGTTTGGCAATGACATTCGCTGGGTGGTGACTTACCTAAAACCCCTGCCTTTGAAGCAGCATAAACAGAGCTTCCTCTGCCACCCTTGACTCCGAGTAGAGATGCGATGTTGATAATACAGCCTGTCACATAATCCCGTTAGTATGAGGGGCTCTGCGAAGCACATGACTTGAACGTGCCTGTCTTCTTCCTCATCATGTCCTTGATCATATGCTGGCATCCCAAAATGGTGCCTCTCAGATTCGTATCAATAACCTCATCCACTGTCGCCGCCGGCGTCCGGACCAACAGCGAATAGTGCGTTATTCCCGCTGCATTAACCAGAACATCGCAATGGTCCTTATCCTCCTTCTATATTGCATCAGCGCTATATTCCATCTGCTCATTCCTTGTCACTTACCATTTTCTTTGCGAGATCTTTCCAAAATGCCTCTTTTCCCACATCTCCAACCACAATCCGGTGGTCTCTCAGAGTTGATAGCTCCCTGAGGGATGCTTGAAGCTTTGACTCCGTTCGCCCAATCAGAGTGCATTTTGCGCCCTCTGATGCAAAACGTGATGCTATGGCTCTGCCAATTCCACCCGAAGCTCCGGTGATAATAACATGCTTAATAGGGGTTTTGTCAGTTCCCACAGATGAAAATGCCTTTCTCAGAGACCGGTAGAACCTAGTTCCTTGGCGGGTGATGACGGGGCGGGGCATGATTATAAATTCTCAACTTCAGAATGATATCAAGACCGGATAATAGTCCCTTAATTCAAGATATATATATGATGGCCGATGGAAGTCGTTGCTGTGGCCCAATATCAGAAACATTCACGTGACATCAAATCAACGCGGCCGCTAGGCTCCTCACCAACCTAATACCAAGCCTCTTGGAACATCCCCACATCAACCTCCAAGCTCCCACACGCAGAGAATTCCACTCCCTTCGCACCTCCAACCCCCCAAAGCCACAGGACAAGAAAAATGGCAGACTCGAGCGAAAAGCAGCTGAGCAGATGGGTGACGCTGGTGAGCTACGACGGCTTCGAGTTCGTCGTTCTCCGCGAGGCTGCCTGCATCAGCGGCGCCATTCGCCGGATGCTGGATCCGAAGAGTAGGTCCAGTCCACCACACACGCACGCGTTGCGTTGCTTTTTTTTGCTATACAAGACACTGGGAACGGACTGACGGCGGGCAGGTGGATTTGAGGAGAGCGTGAAGAATAGATGCGTGTTTGAGGAAATCAGGTAAATACCCTACGTTTGTGCTGCTGGAGTAAGGTGGGTGAGGAGACTGTCGGGTCGGTGATGAAGAAGCTATTTGAGCTCTTACAGACCCTCTTTCTGCCTCGCACGGAGGATGAGGATTATGGGGGCTGGATGAGATGCCATTACACTTGATCTGAGGCCTTTTCTGCCACCTGCCCTTGTGCGAGTGCGTGGGTTGTGGGATCGATAGAGGCAGATGCTGACGGTTGTTGGTTACTACAGTGGCATAGTCCTTGAGAAGGTCGCAGAGTACTTTTACTATAACTACGTCAATCGGGATAGGGATGGGGTGAAGGATATGCATATTCCTCCAGAGTTGTGTTTGGAGCTGCTGATGGCGGCGGATTATCTGGACAGTGAGTCTTCATGTCCCCTCGAATTATCTTATCAGCTAACGTGTTGTTGCAGCTTGAACCAGCCATTACTTCTAATGACCTCATGTAATGATATACGATAGATGGCGGGCTGGAGCATCTGGGATGGAGGCTGGCGTTCGACAGGTTGCCATGGCGCATAAACCGTCCGAGAAGTAGGACGCAACTGTACTACAGACGACTATTAATACAAGTACAATTTCAAAATTCTGGTATGTTTTACGGGGTGAGATGAAGTGTACGAGCTTGGTGCTCGACATCCATTTGAGCATATGCGTTCTTCTCCACTCTTCCATGAGCATGAACGTCTATAGATGATGGAAGAAACATAACTCCCTCTAATTCTGTTCTCTTCCAGGCTTGCAGAAAGCCGAGTATAGAAGAAGGACCTTATTCCAGGGGATACATTCCTTTCCATTTCTGTCTTTTTTACTACCTTACAAATAGATTCAATGAACAATACTTTACAACCATTCGCACATCTCCCGATCATGTGTCTGTTATCGCCGAATGAGGCGAACCAAGCTGGACTTATGTCCACAAAACATCCCATCTGAGCATATGCGTTCTCCTAACTCTCTCCTTGAGGTTGACGTCTAAAGATGATGGTACATTGAGTACGGATAATTATAAAAAATTATAAAATCCGGTCCCTCTTTTCTGGCCGGCCCTACGATTTCTACGGGGCCTGGACTTTTCTTGCTGGGGATATATTTCTTTGCTATATTCAAATAGATTTATGGCAACTTCAAATGATAGATAGGCGAGATATGTTTTAGAGACCTTGTGCTGCAACGGGTTGGAGATATATTTCCAGGTTGCACGATGAGGATATAGAATGTACATACACCCATCACAACATTGCATCCCACTGAGCCTTACATGAGTCGGATGTGCATAGCTGATGGCAGAACATATACGTCCCAAAGCAAAGTTGAAGTCGTAGCTATGCAATAGCCTCGGCTTTATTAGTTGGGGTATATTCTAAGCTAGCTACAGTAAAGTAAAGCTGGTGCTTTTGCCATACACTTACATCCTTGATGGCATTGTATTTCCTCCTCCAAAAAACCCATGATCTCTCTTCTCAATAGCCCCTCCCTCTCCCCCTGCCACCATCACCTCCTCTACCTCTATTCCCACCAAATCCACCGCCTCTCCCTCGACCACCTCTACGTCCACCGCCTCCACCTCTCCCGCCACCAAACCCATCCCTCCTCACTTCTGCAGGCGCCGGCCCTTTTGCGGCCCTCGCCTCCTTTTCCTCATCCGTCGCAAAGAACTTATTTTCGATTCCCAACAACTCACAATACGCCACCATCTGGGGGTTATTATATTCCTTCGGCTGCTCACTGATATTAAGCGTTGGAGGGACACCATCTTGCACTGGCGCCGTGATGACGAAATTCTCGGGCACCTGTAGCTTCCCCTTCTTAACGATGTTCTCTTCAACCCACACCTCTTCTGCCTTGATAAGCTCCCTGTATTTTTCTTCGCCTAAATCAGAAGGCGGCCGAGCATCACGATCACCGAGGACCAATGACGGTGAGAAGGCCCGTGTGATGGCGAGCCACTCTGGGTCGTACGATAAATGGTACCGAGGCCAGCCAGACGCCCCGGTAGATCCATCAGCGCCGCTCTCGGCGGATAGAGGGGGATAATTCGGCGCTGGAGGCGAGGAGGCCGAAACTTCGAGTAATTGGAGGAATTTGCGGCCTGGGAGGCATTTGTCGAGAGCGAGGAAGCGGACGGTGCTATTGAAAATGGTTTCGGGGACTGGTTGGCCAGGCGGCAAGCGAGAAGAGGGAGCAGGGCGGGAAAATGATGCAGGGAGGAGGGCACGGAGGTCGTCGGAAATGGAGTCGGTAGGCTTTGTGGTAGCTGGGGCCACTTCTGGTTTTGGTGCGGGTGCAGGAGGCTCGTCGTCATCGTCCATGTCGAGGTCTATCTCTTCTTCATTCTTTGTTGCGGTTGGGACGATATTATCAGTGGCCGCAGCTGCTGGTGTTGCGATTGTTTGTGGCGTAGAATCTGCAGTCTCGTCCTTGTAGATCTTGGTCGCAGCAAATTTGCAATGCATATGCGCCGCGAACCAATACGGGGGACGTAGTCGGTCAAGAACATATGTAGCAGCCTGGCTACCAAGCGTCCCATCTCTAGATTCTTTCTCAAAATCTGGTTTCATTCTCCATAGAGCTTTAGCATTGCCATGATTCTCGATTGCTCTCGGCCAATCGTGGCTGATACCGATATCAACTTGTGTCCGTACTTGCAATAGTTTCCGAACATCCAGCTCTCGGATATGATATATAGACTTGATATCATCTTGGTTATATGGCAACCGCTCGTGGTGACTCTTGTTGTAGTTGTACCCCTTCCATATCCCAGACATACCTGATATGCGCAAAGGGCCGAGTCGCATCACGTTGGCGGCTCCCATATAATAGATGTTCGGTGCCACCCAGCCACCATAGTAAAGTTCCCACAAATGACTACTTGCTTCATGATTGCCTCCAACGAATATTGTCAGATAAGGGGCTTTGCGAATGCCGCTGTAGTATTCGTGGAAGTCGCCCAGTTCCCGAAATCTAGCGGGGACTGACATGACAGTCAGGTCGAGGACATTTCGAACAGCCTAGACTTGTCAGATCAATTACAGATAAGCTAAATCGGAATATTAACCTGGAAATCTCCCCCAATGATCAACAAGTCAACATTTGGCCAGCCCCTCTCCTCGCAGGCCTTCTCTGTTGCGGCGTAGATGGCATTCAATGTGCCATGGCCCTGCGATTAAGTTAGTTTTAGCAAAGGCTGGAGTTTCTGTAAGCTTACACAGCCTTCCACGGCAACCCTTAGGCCATGTATATCTTGCAGAGAGTTATCCATAGCAAAGTATCTTGGGAATGCCTGGTGGATTAAAACGGCGGATGAGGATTCAAGCTCGCGCAAGGCTGACCAAACTTCACGAGACGTCACAAACCCAATTTTTACTCAAGTGGACCTAATTTTCGAGATTATGCTCGGTCCTATCTTAACCAATATTGGAGAAGCTATTTTTCATCTATACAATTCTTCAAGCAAACCAAATGCATGTTTATGTAGCTTCAATTAACCTTCGTCCGAGACACGTACGTTCACGTGACCATTGTTCCTGCGAGGCTGAAGAAATATAAAAGCTTGGCTTGATTGACCGAAACTTCAATCCTGCCCCTGCACAAACCTTCAAACCGCGCATCATAAGCCGAGGATTTAAAGGAAGATGGCTCAAGATCCGGGGGCTGCGGGAGCCTTGTCAGCACAGCTGAAATATTTGACCGACGCGGCTCATCTAATGGCATTTTCAGCACCTGGCTCTTCATCGCACCTCATGTCGAGATGTAACCTATTAATGTTCTCAAACGATATCAACCAGTCCGACTCTCACCGAAGGCATGTATGCGGTGGTTGCGGTAACATAATGACCCCAGGATGGACCAGCACGGTCAAGAATGAGGTGCAGCGCCCACCTAGGAGTCGGCAAACTCGCAAGAGGAAGGCAAGTGCTATCACCCAGGCAGCAGAGCGTTCCATGGTCTACACCTGTGACCGTTGCAAACGTGAGACTCGCCAAGTTATCACTACAACAGCTCTCCCACGGATAGCCTCTCGTCGCGCAGAACAGTCAAACCTAACCTCAGGGGAAGCCCCAGAGCGCCTTACCAGCGCCTCCGAATCGCAAGCTGCAACTCCGACAACGCCGTCAGCGAATGCTAGCAGCAGAAAGAGAGCGAAGAGCCGGAAGCAGGGAGGTCTGCAAGCCTTGTTGGCCAAAAACAAGGAAGCCTCACAAAACTCAAGCAGTGGCTTTGGTTTGGATCTTATGGATCTTATGAACAATGGTTAAGGGCCACTTTATGTTACGTTATAAGCCAGTTACCAGCCATTGCACTTCACCGATTCAGTTCACCACCCAGCTTGGCCTGGCGCCAGGCACTGTCCAGTTGGTGGACGTTGGTGGACATTGGTGGACGTCGGTGGAGCCCTAGCGCGGGGTAACAAACCAAAAGGCTCAGCCTCGCCACAACGTCACAGAAAATTTTGTGGAACCCCGCCGCCAAAACGCTCTCTCTTCGTCAGCAATCATATAATTTTCAAAACAACAAACCATCAATATGTCTTCTCCAGAGAGTAACCCCAAGCCGGATGGCAAGGCTTTCGATGACTTCTTCGACAGCATCGGGTCGAAGGCTGAGCAAGTAAACTCCTCCAAGGCCAAGGATGCGACAGATGCGACTCCCGCCGTGGAAGAGGAAGAGGACCAGAAGGTTGTGGACGAGATCGAGAGTCTGTGCATGAACTGCCACGCAAATGTATGTATCTTCTTATTGCTGAATGTCATGAATATTTCTAATATTATTGCGATAGGGTATCACTCGACTTCTCCTCACTCGAATCCCTTTCTTCCGCGAAATCATCATTATGTCCTTCAACTGCCCGCACTGCAGTTTCAAAAACTCCGAGATTCAGTCCGCCGGCGAAATTCAACAGAAGGGTATCCACTGCGAGTTGCGACTCACTTCCCTGGCAGACTTTGCCCGTCAAGTTGTCAAGAGCGATACGTGCGTGGTGAAGTTTATCGAGTTGGACGTCGAGGTACCCGCCGGCCGCGGACAACTCAGCAACGTTGAGGGATTGTTAAGCATGATTTTGGAAGATCTGGAGGTTGGCCAGAAGGCAAGAAAAGAGCAACAGCCAGAGGTCTATACCGCTGTCGAGGCGATTCTTGTCAAGGGACGAAAGATGCTGGACGGGGTGGCATTCCCCTTCCGCGTCTCTCTGGATGACCCCTCCGGGAATTCATTGATTGAGCCAGATCAAACAGATGGTGTTGGAAAACTGCTACGCACAGAGTATCCTAGAACGCCAGAGCAGAATGAGGCGCTTGGTTTGGGTGATGGTTCCAATGAGGAGAATAATGCGGCCGGGGGTGCAGCTGCCGCAATGGAAGATGATGATATTATCCCCAACGAGGTCTACTCTTTCCCAGCAACATGTCCTGGGTGCACCAAGCATTGCACTACCCACATGAAGATGGTGGAAATTCCCCATTTCAAGCAAGTTGTTATCATGTCGACTGTCTGCGACCTATGCGGCTATCGCTCCAACGAAGTTAAGACCGGCGGTGAAGTTCCAGAGAAGGGAAAGAAAATCACGCTGAAGGTTGAGAGCGAGATTGACCTGGCCAGAGACATTCTGAAGTCTGAGTCTTGCGCCCTTGAATGCCCGGAGCTCAAGTTATCCGTCAACCCCGGAACGCTCGGAGGACGATTCACAACGGTTGAGGGCCTTCTGACACAGATCCGCGACGACCTTAAGAATCAGATCTTTGATGTCGGCGACGCTGGGGGGGATTCATTGCAAACTACCCAGCAAGAGAGCTGGACTAAGTTCTTTGATGGCATCGACGCTGCAATCAAGGGCGAAGTAAAGTTCACAGTTATCCTGAGCGATCCTCTCGCAAGCAGCTACGTCCAGAATCTCTGCAGCCCCGATGATGATCCTCAGATTACCTCGGAGGAGTACGAAAGGACTGCGGAGGAGGAAGAGGACTTGGGATTGAATGATATCAAGACAGAGGGTTATGAGGAGGGACATGCCGCAGATGTTAAGGCTGAGCAGGATAGAAAGGATGAGGAGGCCAAGAGTGCATAGAAAGTAAAGTAGAATACTAAAGAGTAAATAAATCAAATTAGAATAACTATTGAGTTAGTAAATATTTTTCCACGAGACTTAATTAATGTACATTATGTCAATTGATAATTGATATTTAACCTCTTATTTAATAATATCTCGCATATAATTTGCGATTAGTAACCCTAGCCGGGGTAGACCTACCATTCAACGGATAACCAATATTTTAACATGCTTTGTTCATTTGTATGTGATATTTTTTAGTAAAAAAAATGCCTAGTGTTTCCCTCGATAGCATTATGTATGTTTCATCCAATATAAAAACTTGAGTGAATCAAAAAAAATTGAGAGCCGCAGGATTCGAACCTGCGCGGTTTCCCACTGCGGGAATCAAGGTTTCCTTGCGGATGACCTAAACACAGCGCCTTAACCACTCGGCCAGACTCCCAGACTAGATTGATTTTCCAGGCATACTTAGGTACACTAGGCAAGAAAACAATACAAAAGTACAAAAAGTACAAAAAACAAAACACAACACCCCGCCCACCCACACCTTGCTTGTCCAAGGCCGACGCAAGTGAATCTCAGCCTCGCGGATATTTTATTTATCGCCAAAGCCTTATCGACGGCCCTGAGCCATCCGCCGTCACAGTCACACGAACATTCCACAAAGGCGGAAACTGTAACGAAACACGCCATGTCGGAAGCGACGATGGATGAGGATGCGCCATTGACGACTCTCTCCAAGGGCCCTCAGCATGACGAGAACTTCGACCCAGACGATGAGGTGCAGGATTACCGCTTCATCGCGGCGATGAGCTCAAGTGGTGGGAAGGGCACGATCCCGAAACGGGGAGAGAAGGACTTTGAACCGCATGGGACGAAACATCAGGAATCGATTTTGGATGCGAGTAGGCAGGCGATGCATGATGCGCTCGACTATACGAGATCGCATGGCCCGAAGTCTTCGGTGCGCGCGTGGTATTTTGGGGATGGAGTTCAAGAGCCAAGGTCACAGAAGAGGAGGGATAAGGATACACAAGAAGGGAAGGAAGAGGAGGACGAAGAGACAGTGGATATCCTCGATCCGTCTATAAGAGGGAGGGGATTGGACAGAGATATGACGGTCATGGTGGAATCGAGCAAGGGAACTCATTTCCGAACTATGGGGAAGACACCTATGGGAACTAAGTCGGCGAAGCTGTGGCTGCTGCCTGAAGAGACTCTATATCTGGTGGAGAGAGGCAATCTGGACTTGTGGTGGCCGTCACGGCCGCTCCAGGCTGTGCGGTCCCAGACGGGGAATTATGACCTGGAGGAGGGAACAGAGGATGGTGTCCCGTTAAGCTTGCAGGCCGCATACAGTCTGTTTATCGGGGAGGGAGAAGGGTTGGTGAGCATGGAGACATACCAGGTTTATGCGAATCTCAAGAGGACGGGATATGTTGTTTCCAGAGCACCACCAGCAGCGACCACATCCGAGGAGACTCCCCACCCACAAGAGTCATCCAGCCTTTTCAGCTGGCTATTTGGCAAAATATTCGCATCCGAACCCAAAATTCCAGCCCCCTACGGACCTCTTGTTCAACCCGGCTTGTACAGGAGTTATACCCAGATCTACAAACAACTCTCCATCATCCCCGTTCACAAACCCTCACCTGTTCCCAGCACCGTCCGCCCTACACCAAAGCTAGAGGTTACCTTTCACATCTGGAAACCGATCCGCATTCCCACATTCGCAAAATCGAATCCGGGGGAGCCTGATTTCCGGATTGCCGTCGTGTCCGCCAGAGATACCGGTGTGCCGACGCTGGAGGAGATCGCAGGCCTTCTAGAGAGCACGCCGTGGGATCCGCCGAAGAAAGAGTGGGCTGGGGATGCAAAGAGCTATCAGAGACTGAAACACGGGTTTCGGAATGTGATACTGGCGGTGGTGGACCAGGGGATCATCAGTTACCTGAATATGAGCGAGGCGGCGTTCGGGGAGGAGAGTCTTTATGGGAGGTTTGATAGAAGCGGAGGAGGGGTTAGGGGAGGGAAACGGGGTGGTGGTGGGCGTGGAAGGGGAAGGGGACGTGGGAGGGGTCGGGGCGGTAAGCGGTGACGGGCGGTAAGCAGTTGTAAGCTATAAGCGAAGACCCAATGAAAGTTCCGGTTGCATCGTTATAATGCACCGACTACTGCCTGAAGTACCTTTGTTTGAGTAACCCTGTCGGTGCCTTAAGGAATAAGTTGCTGTAGATATGTTAATAGACAACGTACACAACATATAGTAAGTAATACAGGCTACAGGCAGCTAAATGACTCGGGCTATTGCATTAAGGGATGGGATGTCTATATGTACTGTACATATAGTATCATGCGCTAGATTAAGCAACTGGCGCTGGTATATGGATGTATCTCTCTTCTAGGTAATAATATAGAGTTGTTTGTGACTCACACTATATGGATCATGACGATGACGATGACGATGACGATGACCATGACCACTGTTTGTGTGCCATAAAGAAACCAGAAACAAAGCAACAACACTTTGGTGCCAAATATCAAATTATGTTGTGATCGTTTGGTGAAATTAGGTGTGTTAAGTGACAATAACTTGGCAGTGTGTAGGCGTAGAGTGGAGCCTTAGGCTAAAACTACTAGGGAGGGATTATCGGATCTCGCTTCCTAAGATGACGGTTAGGTGAGATGGTACGTACGGAATGGGTAAGAACTACTGACACACTCATATTCTAGTAGAATAGAGCATATTTGTTACATTACGAGGTACCCTTGTATAGACAGAGGTAATCTTACTACAGTATAGTTTCTCTAAGGTTACTTTACTTACTTCACTTCAATTTCTCAACACCATCGAGACATTATCCTGTTCCAACTCAACAACACAGCCCTCCTCCTTTCCCCAGGTGATCGTCAAATATTTGTTTGAGGTTGCCTTAACCTAACGACGCTTACCCTGACTGGTCCGACTCTCGCAACTACCTAGGCGCCCGCAGCTTCTGCCACAGTGGCTAGCGCATTCATTTAACATTCTTTGTCAACTCGTACTCCTAGTTTGATTCCTATTCGCCTCGCTTACTCTCCTTTCACCCTTCGCCGTTTGAGGGCCGCCCTAGCCGACGAACCTGCCAGTCTGTCAAAAGCGAATCTCTCCTAATCTCCCTAACAAAGAAATTCACCCACCATCACTTCACTTCCTCGGGTAGTTGTTTCATCCTCTTCATCATCATCAACTCACTTCTCGCAATAGATGGAATCATCAAAGTAAGTATTCTATTTTATCATCATTAGGGTTCTTTCTCGATCATTAAGGTCGCAGCCACTCGTTTGAGTTTGGCGAAATTCGTGGGGGTGTTTCTACGATGCTTTTTCATGCGATCATCTACGCCCTAGTTTGCTAGACTGCATCAATCCTATTAGCACCTCCACACATCACCTTCATCAATGTCAACCATCCTTTGTGCAAAACAAACGATAAAAACTTATTTCAGCTACTGACTGGACATCACAGCCAAGTCAGCAATTGAGGAACGATGTTTGCTCCAAGTAGCATCCAGAAAGTTCCACCTGGCGAAGGTGAAATGAACAAAGAGAACGTCGTTTCCACAACCTCAGATGCTGCTGTGGCAGCTCCTCCAACCGCAGAAATGGACACTGGAATAATCCAGCCGGTCTCGAGCACGCCACTTCCTACTTCAGAAGAGCTGGTTGTACAGACGACTGGGGCCATGGATTCTGTTACTCAGCCAAGCACGGATCAACCAAGCGCAGCCCAGCCAAGCACAGGGTCTTCTACGATATTCGTCAATCACAATGAACCCGATGATTCCGACGACGAATCTCCCATTCTCGGGCGAAAGCGCAAGAGAAACTCTACTAACGTTGACTACCTCGCCGGCTTAGCAGGAAAAGCTGAGCCCACCGAGCCAGCGGAGAAAAAGTCTGGATGGACGTGGAAAGGCACTCAGGGCCCAACATGGAAGGGCCATGAAGTGAAGCACGGGGTGCCGATCGGAGTATGGAGCTTGTCAGATGAGCCGATCGATGAGAGAAAGCATGTACTCTACGGATTTCTAGATCCCAAACTTGCATTGCATGGCCGCAAATATCCCGAGCGCAAGGACGGATCAAAGTACACTGGGAACTTTCCTTCAGGCACCGGCACATGGGCGGCAAAGTCGCATGAGTGGCTGCTGGATCCTCACCTTAAAGGTCTCTCTAGGAAAGAGTTAACTGAGTACGTCAGAATTAGAGTTCAGACTTGGAACAGAGAAGAAAAGCCAGAGGTGCGAGATGCCCTCGATCAGAGTGCAGTTGCAGAGGCAAAAGAAATTGCGGCCGCTTCTGAATCCAATGTTAAGATCGAGAACAAAGGCACTAGCGCAAAGAAATCTAAGAAAACGCCTCGCAAATCAAATGAAGGCAAGCCCGATAAGAGCACGCCTGGGGGTTCCTACGACGGGCCTTCTTCATCTCCAAACAGTTCGACCACGAAAGGTCCAGAGCAGGTTTACACACCTTCAGCGAATAGAGCGGCGCGTAATGACAGCCCTCTCGACATGAAGCCTCCTAAAAAGTCACAAAAGGCTTCTCCTCTCCCAATGCCCATCCCAGACGCAATTCGGAGCATTACTGGTTCTCCAAGTCGTTCGGAAACTCCACCAAGAGAGCGATCAAAGTATGTCATCAAGGGCAAAGATGTCCTTATTGGCTACTGGAAAGATTCTTCAGAGCCCGAAGTCTTCAACAAGCACGCGATGTACGGTGTTATCCAAGCCCACGGCGTCTTCCGCGTGAAGGTCGTCCCGGAAACCCGAGACGGTCGGTATCTCAAAGATGGAAACTATCCTAAGCTGTCCGGTGGGTGTTGGGTCAACTACGATACTTGCGTCTTCGAAAAGTACCTCAAAGACCTGATTCGCACGGAGATAGAGGAGTATTGCCGAATCTGCGTGGCGGACCCAGACTATAACGAAAGGGAACAGGGACCAAGTATCGACAGAGCTGTGAGGGAAGCGAAGAGAATCGTGGCCGAGAAGGCGGCGGCGAAGGGGATGAACATCATCGAATATAATCGCAAGAGAGTCGACCAACTGGAGCAAGGCGCCCTTGCCAGAGAAGTTGAGAAGCAGAGGAAGAATGGCGAGGTTGTCGTCACCCCCTTGAAGAAGGTCGAAGTTAAGCACACTGCCAAAAGATCCGACAAGGCCGCCAGTGATGCTAGAGCCCAGATGGTGAGGCAGGCCAGGATAGAGGCTAAAGAAGCCAAGGAGAGAGAAACTCTGAACTCAAAGGGAGATGCGGATTTGGCTGAGGCGATTCGCCGTAGTACATCTGAGCAAGAAGCACTAGAAGCTCGGAAAAAATCCATGCTGAATTCCAATGCCCCACCTGCCAAACCGGCGGAGGTTAACAAGAGCAATAGGGCTGAGACCAACAAGAGCAATGAGGCTGAGGCCAAGAGCAATGGGGCTGGGACCAAGAGCAATGGGGCTGATGCGTCTTGGACTCGACATGCCAAGGACCTTACCGCTGCCTACAGCCACCTCCGACAGGGCAACAACACGCCGACATCCACCGGCAGCAGTGTAGCCGCCCCTGAATCCGACCGCAGCAAGTTCCACCTGCTAGACCGAGAGACGCAGAGGGTGAAGATGGAAAAATGGTGCAGGATGAAGGTGACCTCTCAATACCACAACCTGGATAGAGAAGGCCAGAGACGACACGTCGAGAAACACATCGACCAGTTGATCGCCAAACAGACTGGCGCTGCTACGCCCAAGAGACCTAAGAAGCGCTCTCGAACTGGGGATTACCCGGCTCAGCTAGGTGGTGGTGCGGTTTCAGCGCCTTCTCCTCTCTCGGATATGACGAGGGCGGTGTCGACACCAGCGACGGCGACGCAGGAACCGGCCGTCCGACCGGGATTTGCAACCATGCTAACCGCTGCAGAAGCTGCTCCGGTGCAGAGATCTGCACGTACTGAGTCTCCGGCTGTTAATAAATGGCCAGGCGTGGGTAGTACCCGAACAAGCTTGTCATTGCGATCTGTACTCAATGAACCGATGACGCCTATTCCATCTGAAAGTGAGGTGACTCCTCAGCCGAAGTCTGTGGAGAATACGGTGGATGTTGCGATGGTTGATGCTCCGGTTGAGACTACAGCGCCAGTGCAGCCGCTTCCTTCGAATTCTACCCCGCCTGCTGAATATAGCGCTACCCCGGTGGCTACTGTTGAAACCGCGGCAGTTCAGGATAAGTCAAGCATGGCGACTACTCAACCAGCACCCATGGAGAACACATCAGCCAACCAGCCATCCCGCGCCGCAACCCAGGAAGCCGCCTCTCGCCCCTCCCACCCCTCAGCCGACGTCCCCATGGCCGACGCCCCACACATCGATTCAAAGCCCTACCTAACCCAACCCCCCCGCGACCCCACCGCCGCTCCATCAACCCGCCCATCCCATCCCGAAACCGACCAATTCGCCCGTCCCCAATTCCCATCCCAGTTGCACCACCACCAACAGGTCTTCTCCACCCCGCAGAACCCGCGCGGCGTCCCTGCCGATAACACACAGGGCTTCATGTCCGCCCCTCCCCGCGCCTACATCACCCCTTACCCCACCCCTCCCTTCGCCGCCGCAGCAGCGCCCTCCAGCGCACCACCCGTTCGCGCACCCGCCCTACCTCCCGCACCGCTAATTCTGCAAGCCCAAGACGGGATTAAATACTCCTCGGACCCTTCTAGCGAATTCGGGGATCTGCTGGTTAGTGTTGATAGAGAGCTTGTGGATGTTGATGACGAGGAGTATACGAGGCAGGTTGTGCTTGTTGCGAAGAAGGCGCCGAGACCGCCGAAGGGGGGGGAGGAGAAGAAGGTGGGGGGAGAGGTGTTTAGGATGGTGGGGGAGGGGGTGTTTGGGGGGTATTGGGTTGGGGTTGAGAGGAAGGTTACGAGGTTGGGGGGGGAGGATTGGGTGAAGTTTGTTGTTCTGGTGCCGTTTTAGATGGATAAGGGGGTGTAGGTTTATGGGATTTGGGGAGGTTGTGGATTTTCGGCGTTTGGGGGGAGGTCTTTTGATGTTTTGATGAAGAGGGGTTTATTCAGTGGATCGGGGAGGCGGGGTGGTTGTTCTGTTGTCACCGGCTCAGCTCAGAGTTCAACTTTGGGTCGGCGATGGCCACAGAAACCCAATCCCCGGAATACGACCGCGAAGAAACAAATGTCTGATTAACTGAAGGGAGCGATGGATTTTAAAAAGGAGCTATGGTATCTATGGTATGGGTTTCGAGGTATCCGATCATTCAGGGAAGAATTTTCAACAAGGAGTAGTGGTGGGATGAGTTATTGCTTTGCGTTGGTTGAGGGAGATGATAATACTGGGCTTTTTGTGGCTTCAAAATCAGATTGATCCAATACACACGGAAGAAGTCAACGTTATTGTTGTTGTTGTTGTATTAGCTAGGTTTTTGCTACTTTGAGATAGGCTAATTGAGGTATTCTAAATTTGTTGGTGGGGTGATCTGTGGTGATTTGTGTGGGTGCTTGGGTATATGCTGCATCCTCTCACTGGCCTCCTTGGATCTGAATATGGCTCTGGGTGCTTATGGTGCCTGGTGAATAACTGTGACCAGATAACTGGACCAGATATCTGCACCAGACACTCCTCTATCACCATTCCAGAGGTTATCATACTGGCCGGCAATCTTCCCACGGCCTTTTCGGTAACCGCTGTCCTTTCCCTTCCCCTCTCTTGGCCCTCCCTCCCTTAGAATCCTCCCCCTTTTCTCTCCGACCCCTCCTTCCCTTCCTTTCAAATAACCATCTATCTTTCCAGCACTTCCCCTCACCCCGCTAACGGATTCGCATGCACCGTAACCCTCTCAATCCTAATATCTTCCACCGGCCTATTCTTCCTCCCCACCTCCACCCCCCCCAACTTCCTCAGCGTCTCCATCCCCTCTTCCCCCACCACATGTCCAAACACCGTATTCACGCCATCCAAATGCGGCGCCGGCGCGAGGGTGATAAAAAACTGGCTGTTATTCGTATCAGGCCCCTTGTTCGCCATACTCACGATCCCAGCGGCGTTGTGGCGGAGGGAAGGGCGGATCTCGTCCTCGAAGTCGGTGCCCCAGATGGAGGTGCCGCCTTTGGGGGTGAGGGGGGGGGCGCCGGTTTGGATCATGAATCCGGGGATGAGACGGTGGAAGGGGGTGGGGGTGTAGTAGGAGGAGGCGCAGAGGGCGAGGAAGTTCTGGGGGGGGAGAGGGGTTAGCTGGGGGCGGAAATAGGGGGGATGGGGGCTATTTATCCACCTCTGCGGTCTTGGGAACGCTCTCGCAGAAGACTTCGATCTTCATGTCGCCGTGGGTGGTGTGGAGTGTTACGGACATGATGGATGGGTGTGTGTCTGTATTGTCTGTCCCGGCTGCCTCTACGGCGGGTTGAGGTAGGATAGGGTAGATAGGTAGCTGTACAGCAGCAGCAGCGGTGTGTGCGAGGTCGATCGATTGGAGGTGCGTGGTGCCGGTGGTGGTGGTGGTGTGTTATGTCATTTGAGTGCTTTCAGTTGCAGCGGCGGTGGTCTTTTGGGCCTGGTTATCTGCGACCAACCATTTATCGGGGGATCCGTAGGGCTGAAAGACCAAAAGCACGGCCGTACCGAGATTTTAGGTTTATACGGATTTATGATGTTTGGAGTACAGTGCAGTGCAGGTTATTTATTTTATGTATGTATTTTATGTTTTATATTTTATGTTTGTACATGCGCTGTAGAGTAACTTGCTGTAGTGTAGAGTAGAGTAACCTATTTGTGCACATAGCTGTTGTTGTATGTACTGTATTTACTCCTCTCCTCTCCTCTACTCTACAGTACATACAGCTGTAAACATCTATACACATCTCCCAGTTTGACATGCCGTCTTCTATCTAATACTACATTATTTATTCCTATGGGATCCTTTAATCCTTTAATTCTATTTAATCCCAACAGATCAACACATTATCCGCGCATTCACCACGAGGCTGAGCTTCATTCGTTGCGCGTTCTTGTTCGTGGACATCCCTCTCTGCATTAGCTGTATTATACCTTGCTCCGTGGGAATCTGTGGGAAGGAATGGACCGTCGTAATCCCATCCTGCTGAAATGAGAGAGGAGAGAGAGAAAGAGTAAGCGCCAACCTGATTCCGCCGCCTTACGTCTTCTCGGATACAGAGCTCCTCTTTGGCTATCCTGGTCTACCGCTGGGGCTACTACCTCTGCATCCTCTTGCTCTGGGATCTCTCCCTCCCTTATACCATACCTTCCTTCCTCCCTCTCTCTGTCTCTCTCCGCACATCCCCAGAGACCCAAAGCCTCACTTCCCGGGGTGGTTTCTCCTCGACTATTGGACTACTGGACTACTGGACTGCTCCTTCCTACTCCTCCTCCTCCTCCTCTTCACAACGGCACACCACACCTCTTCCCCACATCGCAGCTACCTCATTCACCTCTGGCCAGCTACCTACACTATAACCACCGCCAGCATCCCCACACTCGTTAACACATGCGCCCTGGAACCACCACGTCAACAAACTAAACATCTCCCTCCACCAACCTCAGCCCCCCTCCCCGACGCAGCCTTTGTCTTAGATTGTGCTTATCGCTTGCGACAAGAACGACGTCAAAGGTACACAAACGCCTTGGCACTCTACAACAAACAACCAGACCTATCCAAACCACCAAGCACCCCATTACCAGGACCTACATACTCGCTCAGCTTGGGCGCTGTAACCAGCAATTGTGCGCATTGACGACGAGGTCCTTCTACCCTCCACTCCAGGTCGCTGCCCCGACGGCAGCAGCTCCGGTCCAGACTGCTGGCGAAATAGAGCGAGTAAGCGCGAGACCGCGCAAGTGCCGTCGCCCACGATTCCCGAACAACAGCGCGAGAAACGCGAGAGGGTGACGAGATCGCACACCCCCTCCCACCACTCATGGCGGCGTTCGTACGGGTTCTAGGGCCGCCAAATAGCAACTTCTTGGTCGGGTACCCTGGAATCTCTGCTACTCTGGTAAGTCCCCCCCCCCCCCTTGCGACGCGGGAGAGAGAGGGAGAGCTCCGATATGCGGTGACGTCGGCGGGATAGCTAGCTAATGGTGTTCCACGCAGCCGCGCATAGAGGGCAAAGTCGAAATCCGCCCGAAGGAGGGCGTCTCGGCCCCGGTTGCCATATCCCTCGTCTCGATATGTTTACAGCGATGCGAAACGATACACCCCGCCGCCGAGCTGATCGTGAAGAAACACCTTGGAACGCCCCGGCGCGAGACGGTGGATATAGTGGGCAAGGAGCTCTTGTTATGGAAGTGCGATATCGGGAGGGTGTCGGAGAATGTGGTCATGATGGACCTACCGTTCGTGCTGTTCATACCGTTTGGGCGAGGAGGACAGGAGACGAACCGGAGGATCCCACCGGCCAGTCTGCAGCTCCCGAGCCGGACCGCAGAGACGCGGTATGAGCTGGTAGTTACGGTGCAGCAGGGGAGCGCGGACCAGAGCAAGTTCGTGACGCCGGTGCCGATACAGAGATACGATACGTTGTCGACGTTCGGCATGTACAACCGCCCGGAGTCGGCAGATATGGTGTCGGACCACCTCATCACGCTGGGCATATCACTACCGCGATGGTCCTACGGGCCGCTCGATCCAGTCAGCGTGTATATCAAGCTGAGTCCGAACCTGGACCATATGAAGAAGGCGACGAAGGTGATGATTCAGAAGATCACGATGGCGATCGAGGAGGAGATTACGTTTAACCACGAGGGCGACGAGCCGACGAAGAAGGTGAATAGGATTGCGAAGCAGACTACGCCGATTGGGGTCAGGATGCCCGGGACGGGCTATACCACCAACCTCGGTCTCGTGTTTCCGAGTAAGGAGAATAGGGATGCGGAGGGGATTATTAGGAGGGGCAAGCCGCATTTCCCCATGTACGGCGTCAACTCGTTCACCACGACAGGAAGCCTGTACAAGATCGAGTTCTTCCTGATAATAAAGGTGCGCCTCCCCTCCCCCTCAGATCGCCGACCCCATGGCGCCATACATAATTTACCTTACCTTACTAATGACGAAAACAGGCACACATGACAAACACCCGCGACATCGTCCTCCGCCAACCCATCATCGTCTGCCCCTTCGACCAGCAAGCGTGCAAGGAGGAAATGGAATCCATCGAGCAGGCCGCCAAGGACGCATCCCACGTCGACGCGAATAACCCCATGCTTCCCGCCCGCACCGTCATTAAAGCCACGGACCGCGACGCCCTGAAGGCGCTGGGGTTCACGTCGGTGGGGAACCAGAGGAAGATACTGATTGAATGAGGAAGTGACGTCGTTGGACGATTGTTGAGACCCTTACCGTGGCTTGCTTATATACCGAGGTAGTCCAGGGGAGGACCGCCTATCCGCCGCTGAGCTAGGGAGGGCGAGAGAGGACCCTGGATCGGATGATGCGGATGCGGATGCAGCGCCGGAATGACGTTGACGCCGTCTGTGACGCCGTATGTGCTGCGCTGCGCTGCCGATGGATTCGAGCGGCGCGACGGACGGATATGAATGACGAGCGATGTAATGCATAGCGTGTATACTTGATTGTCTGGGTGGGTGGAGCTTTGCTTTTGGGCGAATGACTGCACGAGTCCACGCATGCAATGGCCGGTTCATGGGGGATGGGAATGGTAGGGGAAGGGGTGCATGCAATGGCTGGTATGGGATTCTGGAGGGAAAAGGGGGGAGGCAAAGAGTGTTTTTGGATGAGAGGCCCGATGGGCGCCTCTTGTAGTATACCCGCGTTTTTAGCTAGGCGCTGTGATTGTGGCGTTGGGAGTGGGAGTGGTAGAGGGGAGGGGAGGGGATGGAATGGAATGAATGTTTGATGACTGTTAGTGGGGTTTTTTGTGTGATGTGAGGCTATGTGTGAGGCTATGTGTGAGGCTATGTGGGGAGCGGTGGAAGTGGGGGAAGCGGTGGAAGTGGGGGAAGCGGTGGAAGGGGGGGAAGGGGGGGTGTTGTAGGTTCTGGGGACGGGTGGGCGTGGAGGGGGGGTTATGGGGATCGTAAAGGTTGGTCTGGATGCTGCCTTGGTGTTATGATCTCAGGCAGCGCTGATGAGGGAATGTGGAGTGGTAGTCACTGTGAGGGGGGTATTTAAGAGGGGTTGGGAGACTGCAATCGTTGAGAGTAGCTGACGAAGAAGTTGAATATCAGTTATTTCACCTCACCAAGGGGCGGCTTTTGAGCACCCCTTTGCTGTCTAGGTTACTGTAGTTGATATCTGCCGCCTTGGGGTTTTTTTAGATGGTATCTGCTGTCGTTGATACCTGCTGTCGTTGATACTGATATTGCTGTCGTTGATATTCTGCCGTCGTCAACCTCGCTATCACCACTCTTTCTTTCACCACAAGAGTAAGTAATCGCCCTGCAACCAACATAGTCGCTACACCCGAGATAACCGCCATCCATCCCTTATTATAGGCAAGAGGTTTTAGTGAAGTAACTCGTTTCTTTGCGCATAGTGATAAATTGACCCCGAGCGAGCATGTCTTCCCGTCTGAAATCCAGTTTAAGTAGTAATTTTAGGGCTTCGGGGTGTTATGATTAATCTATTGATTGATTTATAGATCATAAGTAAATAATATATTACCATGCCGTCCTTATTCCCAAGAAACCACTGGTATTATCGTAGCTGTTCTCACAAGAAGCTATCTCCATATGGCACCGCCTAAATAGTCCCTACCACCACTTTATCAATCGCGTATCGCGTCCACCCATCCCCCACCGCCAATCCACCTCCCACTTCACATCGTCACCACCTCCCCAAACAAAATGTCAACCACCACCAAACCCCCCACCGGCGCCGGCGCCAACAGCGCGCCCGGCGAACGCACATACTTCGAGACGCAGCGCGCTGCTCTTCTTGGTGAAATCGGCGTCGTATGTCCTCTCCCTCCCCCTCCCCTATCTCCCGCCCGCGGCGCGCCACCTCCTCACCCCTTCCCCACGCACCCCGCGCGCGACGAGACCCCGCAATGAGGACTCAAAGCTAACGCGCGCGCCAACAGAGCCTCGAGCACGTCCTCGCGAACATCAATAAACTCAATCGCTCCCTCGAGGGTGTGATAGCAGTCGGGAATGAGTTTGGGTCTGTGGAGGCGCTGTGGAGTCAGTTTGAGAATGTGATGGGGCATGAGCCTGTTGTGAATGCGGGGGAAGGGGAGAGTGAGGAGGGGGGGAGTGAGGGGGGTGAGGAGGAAGAGGGGGATGAATCGAGGGTTTGAGGGAGGGGGGGTTGAGGGGAATGGATGGGGCTGGGGAGATGGGATGGGATGGGATGACGGCGTTTGGGGGGTTGTTTACGAGATATCATGGGATGCGCTGAGGGCATAAAAGGCTGTTTTGTTGGTGAACAAGAGACAGAGACGGACGGATCAGTTGAACGCGAATTGTATTATACATCTATAATACCACCCAACGAGCTAAACGACAAAAGAAAAAAGAGATGCCATAGTAGTGCGACTTGCAGCTTATTCTTTCTCAGCATGCTAATGCAACCCAACCCCCTCCCAATTCCCGCCCATCAAAATCAAAACTCCATAATCCGTCATAATCATAATATCACACACACACATCACCCCCCCTCTCCCCCCATTTCCGCACTCCCTTCTTACAAAAACCTGCAATTCCTCTTCTTCTTCTTCACCACCATCCCCCCCACCGTCCCTCCCTGCGGCGTCTGCGCCGCATTCCTCCGATCACCAGAAACAACAATCTCGATAGCTTGCTCGAAGATCTCGTCGACGCCCGTCATCTCCTTGCTGCTGCACTCCATGTAGCGCGCGCCCATCTTCTGGGCCACGGCCATGCCCTGCTCTTGCGTGACGGGGGTGAGACCTTGGGTCTTGAGGAGGTCGATGCACGTGCGCTTGGTGCGGAGGTCGGATTTGAGTCCGACGAGGACGAGGGGGGTGTAGGGGCAGAAGTGGAGGACTTCGGGGTACCACTGAGGGGGGGAGGTTAGTTAGTATTGGGGGTTTGGTGGAGTTGGGGAGGTGTGGAAGGGGGGGGGAAGAAGTACCTTGTCCATTACGTTCTCGAGGGAGTTTGGGCAGTCGATGGCGAAGCAGACGAAGAGGAGGTCGGTCTCGGGGTAGGAGAGCGGACGCAGACGGTCGTATTCTTCTTGCCCTGCGGTATCCCAGAGAGCGAGCTCAACTGCCTTGCCGGACTTCTTGTGGATGGGGTATGTGATGTAATTTTCAAAGACGGTGGGAACGTATTTCTGTTGCAGGGCCAGTCAGCACATGCCTCTCTGTTTAGTTCTCGAGCGAGCATACCTCTGGGAAATATCCCTGGCTGTAAGAGATAAGCAGGCAAGTCTTTCCACACCCTCCATCGCCGACGACGACAATCTTTTTCGAGTACGCTGGACCCTCTGTGACGTTCGTGCCCGCCGACTCTCGTCCTGTCGACATTGTGTTCCCGCTCATCATCGTGCTGACGGTTCCTTCACTTGATCGGGCGCTTTGGTCTCGACGTGTGGGTTTCCTTGTTGGTTGGTCGTAGGAGTCGGTCGTTGAGGGGGATGGGTCTTGGTTGTTGTCAGAGTAGCGATCTTGCTGATAAGCCATACGCGACATCGTTGTGGGTCGGCTGCGATACTGGGGATTGTTTTGATCGTGGGATCTTTAGAGATAATGTGACGGCTGCAAGTGTAGTTCAATAGCTGGAATTGATTTTTTTGTATGCTGGTTACAGTTTCTGTTGGGGATCAGGTCAGTTCCTATATTCGACCTGGCCAAAAGCTGGACCCCAAAAAGCCTGGTCTGGGTGTAAACATAAAGTGAGTTGGCGAAGCAACCACCAATCCTGAAACCATGAAACCCTTCCTTGGTCTCTAAAAATATGACCTATGAATTTTTAAGACGCTGGAACAATACAATTATAAACGAAACAATTCGGCTTAATTTTCCTCATTGTTTATAAAAATTAATATAGATATAATAAATATAGGATTTATTCTTCCGTCCTTTTTATTCTCTCCTCTTCAATCAACAGCCACTGGGCCAAGACATGTGTTTCTTCACGTGCATGGTTTGGGGGACGGCGGCAGGCCTCCCGACTTTGGTTGGCATTAGCCATCTTGGGCCACTTGCGCTTCACCAAATGTGCATTTCGATGCGCAAATCCTAGAACCTCTTCTCCTCTTCTCTTCCTTCTCCCCTACGTGCCATTTGATGCGCCAAATGAACCTATGTATTCTTCGCCCAATGCATCCCACGGCGAACTCGAGAAGTTCCCGGACCTCGACGATGCCGTGCTCCCTGAGATAGCGATTGACACGTCTCCCACGCCCCCCGCCTCATCGAACAATCACGATGCGGGGATGAGGAGTCTGGATCACTGTATGTTACGAAACGCAAATGGATGCGCTATACCAGCACCACTGTCGTGCATTTGCTTGACCAATTGCTAACTATTTGGCATCGCAGATAGACGTAAACTCCCACCATGGCGATACAAGTTGCGCCAGTCCCTTCTGCCCCTTATACGGCTGGAGACTCCATACTTGGCCTGGATGCAGGATAAAATGCGCTCACCAGCACTCGACTCCTACTTCGCCATCACTGCCAACCTCGGAACCCATACCTTCTTCATGGTCGTCCTGCCCATCCTCTTCTGGTGCGGATATACTTCACTTGGCCGCGGAATGGTACACATCCTCGCGAACGGCGTCTTCTTTACAGGCTTCCTCAAGGACATGTTATCACTTCCTCGGCCTCTCTCGCCCCCTCTCCACCGCATAACTATGTCTGGATCTGCGGCGCTCGAATATGGCTTCCCGTCTACCCACTCCGCCAATGCCGTCTCCGTGGCAGTCTATGCGCTCTTCACTCTTCGCGCACCGGACTGCCCCCTCGCCCCAACCACGAAGCTCATTCTCGAAGGTCTCTCCTATGCATACGCCCTCTCCATTATTCTTGGGCGCCTGTACTGCGGCATGCACGGCTTTCTAGATGTCATAATCGGGTCTCTGATGGGTGCCACCATCTCCATCATCGAGTGCGTCTACGGCGGCGACATCGACAACTACCTCCACAACTCGTCCTGGCGCGCCCCGCTCCTCGTCGCAGTCGTAATCATCATCCTGGTTCGCATCCACCCCGAACCCGCAGACGACTGCCCCTGCTTCGACGACTCAGTCGCCTTCGCCGGCGTCATGATAGGTTGTGAACTCGGCGACTGGCACTACAGCAACTCGTCATTCTCGTGGTCCCACCCCGTCCCAGCCACCGTGCCTTTCTCCCTCGACCACATGGGTTGGCCCATGGCTATCACGCGCATCCTCGTCGGCGTCCTCATTATCTTCATGTGGCGCGAAGTCATGAAGCCAGCCATGCTCAAGTCGCTTCCCCACCTCTTCCGCTTCATCGAGCAGTTCGGCCTCATTCTGCCTAGGAAGTTCTTCATGCCCGCTAGCGAGTACAAGAAGATCCCTGCAAGCCTGCGTGTCGATAACGTCATGCCCAGTGTCTCAGATCTGCCGTCGTTGCTGACGTCCATCCGTCATCCTGGTCGCGGACGCGCCGTCTCCATCGGTCCGCAGTCTGCAGCTGATGCATACGAGACGCTCGCGTACCGGGACAAGCGCCGACGCGAGAGCATGGGGACGCCATCGCCGAGCCACTCTCGGGGTAGCTCGACGAACAAGGCCACACATGTACAAACCGTCGGGTCGGAGGCACAGGGACTGAAGCTGGACACTGGCGAGGGGGGAGGGCTTTCGTCGCAGATTTCTCTGCCGAATGGGGTGCCTACGTCGTTGCAGAGCAGGTTGGGGGGTTATGAGCAGATGATGGGGCAGGGACATGTTATTGTTAGCCCGCCGACGCCGAGTACTGAGGAGAGGGTCCCGCAGGATTGGGATGCGACGAAGTTACGTGGGGATAGGGGGACGGAGGGGGACCTTATGGTGGGGACGGAGAATGAATTGGGTGAGAGAGAGATGTTTTCGAGGTTGGAGAAGCCGAGAGTTAGGTATGATGTGGAGGTCGTTACGAAGTTGGTTGTTTATACAGGTATGTTCTCCTCACAGCCCCCGGACTGCTATTTAACGGAATATGATGGAACTGGAGCTGACAGGAGATAGGAATCGGTTGGTTAGCAGTTGAGATCAACCCCATCATCTTCGAACTGCTCGGCATAGGAATGAGGGAGCACAGTCCGTACGTGTAATGACGAAGGCGCAAGTGGCAACGACATACATAGAACGATAGAGGCTGAAACGGGGGGAGGCGATGGATTGGGGGCCTCGCCCCGTGTACATTACCCAATCTCATGATACACAGTTGATGGGCAGACAGCGCCTGACTGCATTCTGGCTGATGACAGACACTGAGTGGTGGGTTCCGGCGCTGGGAGACTGACTGGTGGGAGACGTGGGGTTGGATACTTATGACTGACGGACGTGTCTGAGACACTAGCATTATCAGCGGACATAGTAGATTGCAAAGATAGACTGCGGTGCGCTGATATATATATATATATATATGTGCCCTTCATCAATCTAATCCTTATCCCGGTCCTCGTCTTACTCAGTTCCTCCCCGTCATCTCTGTTCCCGGAGTCCCAAACTTGGTTAAACTGCTGATGGGGACGCTAATCTCACCTCGGCGGAGAGGCGCTCTGTGAGCTCATGACCACCATATGATCTCCATTCATTGACGCCCTTTCACCAGGAGAAAAGGAGGCATTGAGGCAAAAGCCTTCAGGAACCAGCGAGTAGATAATGTCCGACGCCCTGCTTTGTCGAACGAGAGGTTTATTTCTACCAAGGTAAAAACTTAACTAAAGCTAGGATGCAAAACGAAAGCAAAGGATACGTTAAGCAACAGTACAAACGCGGCAAACGCTTTGAATATCCGCGGTCTTAGAGCGTACTTAATTACTATGCTGTGAAACATAGTAATTATCGTTATTCGAGTAACACTGGTCGTATGCACAACAATCATAATTTAAAAATAGGAGACATTTCCAATTCATGCATGATCTATAGATACAACCTACTCCCCTCACTTAGCTACTCTACGCCAGCTTCCCCTGCACAAACGGATGTCCCGCACTCAACCCCCCATCAACCGCCCACGCCTGTCCATTAACATAACTACTCTCATCGCTCCCCAAAAACAGCGCCACCCTCGCGACCTCATCCGCATGGGCACCTCTCCTCAGCGGGTTCAACTGCCCAATCTTCGCCTGCGTCCCGCGCTCCCTAGCCGCATCGTACATCGGCGCCGTCATTCCCGTCTCGATCACACCGGGGCACAGCGCGTTGATACGCACACCCGTCCCAGCGAGCTGGAAGGCAATAGTCTGAGCAATGGAAACGACGCCCGACTTGCTGCACGAGTAATCCGTCGAGCCAGCATTGGAGCGCAGACCAGCTACGGAGGCAGTACCGATGATGGAGCCGGAGGGGTAGGGCTTGGAGGGGGAGGTGGTCTGCATGGCTGGCGCGGCATACTTGGCAGCCAGGAAGACAGAGACGGTGTTTGTCTTCAAGGTGGCGAGGAACTCGTCTGCCTCGATCTCGGTGAAGATCTTAGGCACGCCTACGATACCTGCGTTGGCGAAGAAGACGTCGAGACGGCCGTAGGTGGCTAGGGCGTCATCGACGACCGCCTTGACGCCTGATGCCTCACCAGCGTCGAATTGACGGATGTGTACGTCGACGGAGGGGAAGAGGGAGGCCAGCTCACGCTTGTGGGTTGCGAGGTGCGAGTCGGCGAAGTCGCAGAGGTAGATGGCGCGGGCGCCGTTCTCAGCGTACTGGTGAGCTGTTGCGCGGCCGATGCCCATGGGGCTGTTGGTGCCTGCATTTGTGTTAGAGGGGATTGGTGGGAGGGAGGGGGCTGGACGTACCGGTGATGATTACGACTTTCCCTGCTGCGCGTGGGCCAGCGGAGGCACCAGCGACCTTCTTGAGCTTGGGGATGTTCTCGAAGGTGCCTTGGTCGGGGATGGGAGAGACGAGCTGCTCGCTGAGCGCTGAGAGGCGGCGCTTGGCGACGGAGGCGGCGGAGGATCGGGTGGACATGGTGGATATTATATGAAAGTTGAAGTGAGAAGGAGAGTTGAATTGGTTATTAGGGGGTGAAGGAATGGGTATATATATACTGGGGAGGCGCAGACTACCAGAGCATTGAACTGATTATTCTGGGCCTTCCTAACTTAGCTGCAGGGTACGTATTGGAGAATGCGGGGAGTAGCTTGGGGGGGGAGCCGAGGCCGAGGCCGCCGAGGCTGATGCGATAAGTACAACACGTGACCTAAAACACCTCGCAAGGCTACACTGCACTTTTGGCTTATCGTGGTTAACGTGGGCACCGGAAACCTGGAACATTTTGTTGATTCTTGTTGTTGTGTGCGTCAGTGTGGTATTGGCGTCACTGAGTAAAGCTCCCACTCACTTCCCACATTCTCTCGACTTGCATTATACAGCAACTGCAAGCTTACTACTACCTGGTCACACCCGTTCTCAGTCGTATACGAGGAGAATATCTCTCTTCAAGAGCCGCTTAGGCTCTATATCGCCACTGGTAAGTAGCAGCTAAGGCATCGCGTGCCTAGGCCCTGCCTGTGCGTTCCATGAGGAATGACGAGTTTGGCCCCTCTAACTGACAACGCACCTCAGACCGCTCGCACAACAACGCCAACCTGCGACCAACTACAGCGTTTCAGTAGCCCTAACACTCTTGATCGTTTGGAGAGCTTCGTTTTGAGAAAGGCTTACCGATGCGTGCACTGCCGCCACCTTGAGGTTTCCCTTGACGGCTCGATGGAGACCGACGACCCCATACACATCCAGAAGAGGAGCTCCTCTCAGCACTCCGACATTTCGACTAGGAGCCGGAGATCACAGACTACGAGAGTACGATCACGCAAGACGCCATCATACGCGTCTAGCTCGGCGTCCTCGATAGCTGCTTCCGACAAGTCACTCACATCATTCCCCTCATTCTCGCCCGAGTCGCCGTCGCTCCAGAAACCCCGTCCTTTTGACGCGGCACTTATCGATGACAGGACTGCTCTCCCGACGAGACGAACTTCGAACCATGCGCCCTCTATGGTAGAGAGCCTGACGCAGTCCTCGCCGCCAAATGAAGCGCGATCAGCACTGTTCGATGACGCGCCGATGAACACGAGCTACGTCCCTGGCGCGATACATCTTGCCAGCGACGAGTTTCTCGAGCGTTTGATAGCACGACAAGGGGCGGTGAATCTTGTCCGTCAGATCTCTTCAGACCTTGCTCAAAGGGATGCACAGGTTGCACGGCTACGACAGAAGGCGGAGGAGAGGGAGAGAGCGCTGAGGAAGGTCATTCTTGAATGTGGCTTGTCCAACTTGGACCTCGAGAGGCGTCTCCGAGCGATCGAGGAATCGAAATATGCGGATGATGCGAGCATAGCAACTGACTCTGGGGTTGGTGGCTTGGAGACGATGATAAATGACGCCATGATTATTGACGCCGAAATCGACGACTACGGCTTATCTGGCGAAGCTACGATCCGAGCATTAGACAAGCCGAAGCAAGCACCGGCGCCCGACCTATCCAAGGGGACGACGAGGAACTGGAAAGACTATATATGGGGCGGAACCAGCAAAAAGAGCAGCCAAGCAAGCAGTATCAGCGAGGAGCATGATGACCCGGACGCACCGACAGGACTCCCAAATCCACCTCGAAAAGCAGATCGCCGCAGTGTGCTACAAAATGGACTGTTTCACCCGCCGGATGCGGATTCTCCTACGCGTGCGAGCAGAGCATCCAGCTTACACAATATTAACTCACAAACGACCCGTAAGCCTTCAATGTCTCTAGCAGCTATGGCCCTCAAGCTGGTGGCCGGGGCTAGTGGAGCTGCAACACCAAGTCGGGATAGCGATGCGTCTTCCGTACAAGGGCAGTCTAATGACGCTACGGGGCGACAGTCTTCCAAGTCTCAATCATCAGCTGCTACACCGAGAGTTGTTTCGCGCCAGACTGGTAGGGTATTACAGGGTAATCGCAGGACAATCAGTGGAACCTCTTCAGGCGGTCCAACCCGCAATGGACTTCAAGCTATTGCCGCGGACCAGCAAGACAAGGCGACGGATGTGACCAACTACGGACCCGTTGAGATGGACACAATTCTACCTTTCGAGAACCAGCCGCCTACCGTCACTCAAGTCAATAACCATCAATATAACCCGGAGTTTCTAACGGATCGATTTGGCTTCATTTACGACCAGAGACGGAAGAAGAGGCAGAAGGATGCTACTGATACCCTGAAGAACACGAAGCACGGAAGACACGGAAGCAGGACGGAAATGATCAACACTGCTAGAGATACCATCTCGTCTCCGGAGACTATTATAGATACCAGTGCTGAAGTTGATGAAAGGCCAGACACGCCGTTGTCAACAGAAGAGCCTGTCGAGAATGGCAAACCGGGCAAAAAGTGGCAAGACTACCTGAAGATAGCGACGTTCCCGACGGAGCTGCTTTCGCACACTCCCTCGATGAGTTTACCCAATCTGGAAGTTATGGAAGGCGAGGAGGCGCCAAAGCTTGTTGGGATGAAAGCATCTGATGGAGGCTTTGTACCACCTACAAATGTCACGGTTGCCGTACCAACTGTATCCACGACCGTTTCGACGTCAGTTTCTACAAAGTCCGCTGTCCCATTGGCAGAAGAGGATATTGAGCCTGTGAAGCTGCTTCTAAAGCAGCTTGGAGAGGTGCATGATTCTCTGCAGCGCGAGAAAACTGTTAAATGGAATGATTTCCTTCGCAAAGTACGCGCTGAGCGTAAGCGTGAGAGCGAGGCTGCCACAGCGGCTGCGGGGGACTCGAAGTCACAACGATCCAAGACAGTCATGCCCGAAGTCAGCATAACAGACGGCGAGATCATCGGAGTCTCAGGACTTGGAAATAAAGGAAAAGCTGGGAGGGCAAAGTGGCAAGAGTTCAAGCAGCTGGTGTTATCTGGAATCCCAGTGTCATACCGTGCAAAGATTTGGGCGGAATGCTCGGGGGCTACTACTCTACGAGTCCCCGGTTATTACGATGATCTTGTTACGAATCGCGATGGAAACGATGATCCTATTATCGTCTCACAAATCAGCATGGATATAAACCGCACTCTGACGGACAACATCTTCTTCAGGCGAGGCCCAGGCGTCGCGAAGCTGGAGGAAGTGCTTTTAGCCTACTCTAGAAGGAACAAGGAAGTGGGATATTGCCAAGGCATGAACTTGATTACGGCTTGCCTTCTCTTGATTATGCCTACAGCCGAGGACGCCTTCTGGCTACTTACAAGCATTATCGAGAATATCCTACCACAAGGATATTACGACCATAGCCTCCTCGCATCACGTGCTGACCAGCAAGTTCTGCGCCACTTTGTAGCAGAGCTCCTGCCGAAACTGTCGAAGCACCTCGACGAGCTAGGTATCGAGCTAGAGGCGCTAACTTTCCAGTGGTTTCTGAGCGTATTCACAGACTGCCTGTCAGCCGAGGCGCTATTCCGCGTCTGGGATGTGGTATTCTGTATCAACGATGGCAGCACTTTTCTGTTCCAGGTCGCGCTGGCCCTACTCAAGCTCAATGAGAAGCAGCTTCTGCAGTGCCCGACGCCGGCCGGTATATACACGTACATCAACCACCAGATGACCAACCATGCTATCAGCATTGACGGCTTGATTCATGCATCAGAGGGGCTACGCAGGGTGGTACGGAGGGAGGATGTTGAGTCCCGCCGCAATAAAGCTATCGAGGCGGAGAAGGATCTTATACGGCAGCGGGAAGCAAAGAATAACCTCCGCAAGGCTGAGAGGCAGGCTGCGCTTAAAAACAGTGCCTTCCAGGCGGCAGAAGTAAGATCTGCGTCCCCAGCCAGAAGTATAGCTACAAGAGAAGAGGTGGTTCCAGACGATCTTACTCTGCAGACTCCGAAGCCATTGAACGACGAGGCGATGATTAGTTTGGGTTGAACTGGGTATATGGGGTGAGGCGCTCAAGGAATGGGGGGGTAGATGGTTCGGCGATGGTTGCATATTGGCGGCGTTTTTGGAGCTGGAGACTAAGAACGGTTAGATTTACAATGATACCCGGGCTCTAACACAGGTTGAGAATCCAACCAGAAAAAAGAAGCTACATCTTTGGTTTTGCAAGAGCTAAAAGCTGCACGTGAATGCTTTGAGATGTCGACGGCGTGGAGCTAATTTAGGGTTTGAAGGTCTGCCTTTGGAGCTATGGTGTTCGGGTGGTGTCAACTTTTGATAACTAACTTTAGCTCCCGGTCCGGCCCCTCGAAAGACCTGCCTAAATGTGAGTACTGCCAGACAATTTTAAAATGATGCCAGGTTGGTTGGAACATGCTTTATTTATCTCTCTCTCTCTTGTCTACTTCCTTTCGTTCTTCTGCACAATAAATATACCGTCTCAGCACAACTCTCAGTCGTCAGGTCAACTGCCTCAAATATCATAACCCAACATTTCAGTCTCATTTGAACAATATTCCCACCTATATTAATTGCCTTCCATACCACGCATTGCCATACACACCATGCCCGCTCCAGAGCCTCAAGCAGCCACGGGCAAGCAAGCCAGCGAGCTCCAACAGCCGCAATCCGCATTTGCTATTATCTCGTCCCAGCGCTGCGCAAACCAACCCTACAGCGCCAAGGACATGCCTTTAGCCGTGTCAACCCTCAAACGAGTGAAAGCCCGTCTCCATTCCCTCGCTGCGTCCTCCAAGCTCCCAAGGAAAACCTGTACCTCTCCCGAAGCATTTGCAACTTCACACCTACATGCCCAGGTGATCCCCAAGGCACCCCTCCTAAAGACGCGTGTTGAAGACCGACCTAAAGCCATCGGCGCCTGCTCATCAGAGCCCGTAGTAGAGACCGAGGCTTCCGTCCCGGCTATCTCGATACCAGCAGACATCAAGGGACCCATCCCCACTACCCCAATACCAGCAGAAACCCAAACCATCGACGACTCCCCCACCACACTATTCGACGTCCACAGCACACTACTTGGCCGCACCGCCACGCGCTACGCCGCTGCCAGAGCGTTCAACCTAGGTCTGCCGGCGCCGGATAGGGATGAGCTAGTTGAACTTTGCGATGATATTGCGAGAAGGGAGAAGAAGCCGGGAATTACATGGTCGCTTGAAGGGACGTATGTGCCTCGTGGGGTGCCGAGGGGGAGGGTGACGAGATTTGTGGAGACGGGGTTGTTAGAGGTGGAGGCTGAGATGTCGGTTGAAGCGCAGTCGGAAGAAGAGGGCAGCAAGGATATAGAGAAGAAGGAGAGTTTTGTGGCTCAGGTGCCACTCAAGAGCGGTAGGCGCCGAGTGAGGGGCTTGTGGAAGATGAGGAAACGAGGGAGGGAGTTGGGGACGGGCTGTCAGGGGAGGTTGGTGAAGGTTTGAGAGATGAATGGAGGGGTGTGATGGGATGCATATTGGATAGTTTGTTGGTATAGTAATTGAGGTCATTGATGTGTATTGTGGATCATATTTATAAACCATCTCATGTGAGTGATCGGGTTGCGGTATTCCTCATCCTAGAATATAAACCTTGGAGAATAAAGCAAGTAATTAATAGGGGGTGGAGGGGCGTGAGAGTCTGTTAGGGGGAATGTGTTGATCAGTCACTCAAATCGTATTCTTCACTTGTTAACTCTTCCTGCAGTACTATCAAGCGCTATTCATTGCCAAATGCGACAATCATGTGGCATTAGTGTGTTCGGGAGATGCTGTGCAGGCCAGGATGGCAACGTCTTGGGATCTAATATCGATTTATGGACCCTATCCTATTATGTGCAGCCGCATGGGTGCAAATTAGAGGGGCAGCGAGAAGGCAAGAACGTCAGACAGCAGGAACTACCACTACCAACAGCAAGAACGTCCACCAACAGGAACACCGCTAATGACAGCAAACTGCCCACTGATGAAAACACGCTCGGTGGCAGCAGGTACATAGCGGCGCAACTTAGTGCCACTAGCTTTGAGTTCAGTGACTCTATGACAGTAGCGTGTCGCCATCTTCTCAGGCGAGAATTCACGACTGGCAAATATGGTAAATTTTTTAAGGAACTCTCCTAGGTTGTCTTCCATCAATTATGGGCTTTGGTTTTTATATTTAGTATTTCAAGGCTGGTTAAATCCCATCCGTATATTATTTCCTTAGGGGACTGTATCAAATTATCAACTGATTTATCATATTTCGATGGACGAGGACCCCGATGGTCTCATAAAGGAAAAATACAGTCCCACCTACTCAAATAAACGTACGATCCTGTCAAGCCACCCCAAAATATATAAAAAACGTGCCAACCCTTTCCCCATCCCCATTCCAAACTTCCCAAAACCCCCAGTATCACCGCCAGTATCGCCAACCACCGACACCCATGGATTACGGCATGATAGACATGACAAACCATTTCCTCAACGATTTGGAAGGCAGGGCATTATTGCACTCGCAACCCCCTTCTTCATCTCCACGACTAGATACACCACACTGTGCGCAAATCCCGCCATCATCAGCAGCACCACCAATGACCACCCCGCCACCATACACTGTCGCCGCCGCCGCCGTCGCCGCTCCTAGGCCTGGCCCAGCAAATCCTAAAGCTCCTGCAGGAGAAGCTTCTACCACCCCTGCAGAGCCCGAACCTAGAGCATCAAGCCTCTACGATATAACGGCTGCAACACAACGTCGCGTAGTAGAGGATGTGGTGGACAAGATGCGGAGGCAGATGGTGAAAGAGTTAGGGGGTATGGAGAGGCGGCTAGTTGCTAGAGTGGAGGCGCAGGAACGGATGTTAAAGGAGGGGAGGGGGAAGGAAGTGATGGATGAAGATGTAAGGAAGCTGATGCCGTTCCTTCTTATTTGTATGGTGATGATGGGGTTTCTTTATTTGATGAGAGAGTGAGGGGGTGGGCTGAGGATGGGAGTTTGGATGGGGAGTTTGGAACGTGTTTCTATTAATTATATGGAAGAAACCAACTATTTTAAGCCCTCGCTATTAACAGCACTAAGTGAACATATAAGGCCTATAGTCCCATTAAACAATTTTCGTACTCCTCTAAATAAACGTACGATCCCCGCCTCCTGAACCATAAAAGGAGGCGCTACCCCCCGCCCCCACAATATCTAACACAAGATTCTCAAATATCAGCCTCAATATTAACAACAGTCAATATTAATATCAACACCAGCACCAATGACCACCACCGCACCTCCTCCTCCACCATACGCGGAAACCGCGTCCCCAGCCCCAGCCCCCGTCCCGGCCGACGCACCCGCACCTGTACATGAGCCCGCACTTGCACCCGCTTCCATAGCCAAAGAGCCTACCTCAATCGAGGAGCAAATGTCACAGATCAAAGAAATACGCTCGCAGCGCGATCAAAAAAAGTTACAGCTCGATAGAGAACGCTTACAGCTCAATGAAGAATGCTTAGAGATTGATGAAAAAAACTCACTGCTGGAGGAACTATACCTGTGGCTCGAGGAACTACATCTAGAGGGCTCGGACCAGTACCCGCAGCTCCAGAGGCACTATTTTAAGCTCCAGTATATCGGCTGGAAGCGCGAGTACAGATACGATCAGCGCATGCTACAGTACGCGCGGAACAAGTTACAGCTGGCACAGCTCGATTGCCAGCACACAAAGCTAGAGCTCCAGCTCTCACTCCAGCTCTTACAGGACTGGCAGTAAGAATTCAAGGTCTGTGATTAAGAAGAACAATGATGTGTATAGCAGCGCTTGGTCGCAAAAATGGCGTATCCAGGTCGACTAAACCAAGTATCTGTTCTCGTAAACGGAGAAGCTACATACTATGGACAATGCTCGGAAATATGGGATGGAGGATATGAAAGCTCACGGGCGACGGATACATGACGCAGCAGAGGAGGGAAAGAGAGTGGCCAGGGAAGGGAGGAGATGGGGCGAAAGTGGGAGTGTTCCGATTCTGCTAGTTTCGTTCTAAAATTTACCACATTCTCATTCTAATGAAAACGAGGACCCCTACGGCTTCACAAAAAAATATCCCCATTCCCTCAAATAAACGTATCATTCCTCGAATCATCCGAATCTTCAAAGAACAGTCACCCCACCCACGATCTATAGGCCAAAAATTTCTAGAAATACCAGTTATCAGCACTACCACTAATGGTCTCAAATCCCACTCCTACTCTTCCCACTCACAACCACGCTTTTTCTCCCACTACCCGATCACCACAAAAAACGGCCTCAAATACTACGCACACATCTAAACCCACATTAACATTCCCATTCCCAGTTACCAAACCACCTCGCCATCTCCAACACAAACAGCCTCAGCGGCGCGCCACACACAGCACCAGAACCCATGGCTATCCCCCCTCCACCACCCTACGACGCTCACAGAGCCGCTCAGTTGCCTGCAGTACCACGGACTCTCGAAGAGCGGGTATCAGCTCTCACAGTTGCAGTAGCAGAGATGCATAGGCAGACTACTACTCGACTAAGCGGTATGGAAAAGCGATTAGGAGACCAGATGGAGAAAATGCAAGCACAGGGGAAGAAACTGGAGGGGCTGGTAGGTGAGACGAGGGAGGCGGCGGAGGGAGTGAGGTGGTGGGCTGTTGTGGTGTGTATCTTGATTGCGCTTGGGGTGATGTCGGTTCTTAATGGGGGGTGGGTGATAGTGTTTGCGGTGGGGTTTTATTTATTATGTGCAGGAGGAGCCGACTATTTCAAGTCTGAGCAGCTAATAATATGTCTATGCCTTGGGGGTTAAAATAATGCCGGAATAAGGCCAACTAAGTGATACTAATGCTTGCCGCTATTTTTTAGAAAGTAAATAGCTTTATAAAGCTAATAGTAAATCTGTCACATGCCTCCAAACGTACCATCATCCGCCCCTTTAAATAAACATACGATTAAAGTTTTCCCCCGGATTATAAAGGTAGGCGATAATTCCCCCACAAAGTATAACACAAGTTTCTTGAATATCAGTATCAATACCAGTACCAATGACCAGCACTACACCTCCTCCACCATACGGGGAAGCCACCTCCGCCGCTCCTGACCCCACCAACGCTCCCGCCTTCGAAACCTCAGCGGCCACCTCACTCTCGGAAGAATGCTCACTATTCCAGGAGGAACATGCCCAGATTGAGAAAACCCGCTTCCAGCTCCAGGAAACCCGCCTCCAGCTCGACGAAACCCGCCTACAGATCAACGAACAATGCTGGCAGCTTGAGGAAACGCGCCTCGAGCTATCAGAACAAAAAACGCATATCGACTCCCTCTACTCGCATCTCGAGTCACTGCGGTCGTGCTTTCAGGAACCGGACTACGCTAAGAACGAGCGGCTTCGGGGGCTGCATTCGCAGCTCAAGGAAGTGCATGCGCGGATGCACGAACTACAGCGGAAGCGGGTGGAAAGTTACGAGCTGCGTAAGGTGCTGTATGGCCAACGCAAGTTGCCATATGATCAGAGCAGGGTGAAGTACGAGCAACGAAATATCCAATTAGAGCAGCGCAGGATGAAATATGACCAACGCAACGAGAATGCTCCTATTGATTGAACCATATTATACAAGAAACTAATTATTTCAAGGCCACAGCTTTTAAAACAATACCAAGAAGAAGGCCAAGTAATAATACTATCAACCGTTATTCTCAAACCTAAATGAATCTATGAGCCGATGATAAACCAATCACACCCCTCCGCACCACCACACACCATATTATCACCCCATTGAAATAAACATACGACCCCCCTCCCCACATTATAGAAATAAAGACCAACCCCCCCATAATATACACAAATCTCTCCCAAATATCAGTACAAACACCAGCCAATATGCGCCTCAACATCAACTTCACCATCATGACCACCATCCCCCCTCCTCCCCCGCAACCCGCACCCCCGGCACTCCCCGCCCCTAGAGCCCCAGCGCCCACCTCACTCTCAGACTCGCTCTCGAAACTAGACTCGCAGATCTCGGAAAAAGACCAGCATCTCTCATCGCTCCGCTTAGGGCTTACGTCGCTCCGCTCGCAGATGATGGAGGGGGGACTGCACTCCCAGAGCGACGAACTCTATCAACAGCGCACAGAGCAATACCTACAGCTCCTGGAAGCGCATTCGCAGCACAGAGACGAATACCTTCATCTCAAAGACGAATACTTAAAGCTGTTAGAAGTGTACCTAAATCGCGAGAAGGAATACATGCAGCTTAATAAGGGGTATTTGAAGCTTGATAAAAGGGCCTTCAAAATTAGTAAAAAAGACGTCAAGCGTGAGAAAAAATATCTGAGGCTTTGTAGGAAAGACCTGCGGCTTGAGCGGAAACGGACGATGCTCGAATCACAGTACTCGACGATTGACGACGGTGATCAAAGCCTGGAAATGAGAGTCTGGGTTTCAGAAACTAGGGGCTGGATGCCAAGGCTCGAGCTGTGCCAAATGTCAAACCTCCTCTACTGCGACGAAAGAATCGCGACATAACGGCTGGTGAATAAGCTGGTGGATATGAGGGGACGGGGTAGAGGATGCGGTGGTGAATGGGTGGTTGCGGTTGGGAAGTTGGATGTGGGAGTTTGGATTTAGTTTGGATTTAGGAGTTTAGAATGTGCATTTATTGAATTGTATGTAAGAAAGCTAGCTAACAATATGTCGATGCCATAGTCGGAAGAAGGATAAGTGATACTACTATACATCACTAATTTTTCAAAACTAAATAAATTCATGGGCTGATTGATGATAGATATATCACCTGTCCCCCTCCATACTACTAATAAGTATAGCGCACAAGATGAAGAACCACACTCACACTCACCCCATTCCCACCCCCTAAATAACCATACGACTCCCTCCCCCCCCCGGATTATAAAAAAAGAGCCGCCAACCCCCCAAAATCTCCCAACACAAGTTTCCCGAACATCACAGTACCAGATCTAATATACGCCTCCTCAATATCAATATCAATATCAATATCAAACATCAACATCAACACCACCACCAGCACCACCAGCACCAATGACCAACATCACCAGCCCCCCCCTCCCCCCAACCACGCAAAACCAACAACCTCCCACCCCGCCCTCCCCCTCCGACCACCCCCACCCCCAGCGCCCCCCGGCCTCCCAGCCGCACCCACAGCAGACCCCACATCTGCCGCCCTCGCCCTCCAACTCTCCACCCTCCCAGCCACACCCACCGCGGACCCCTTATCCCCCTTATCCCCCGCCCTCGCCGCTCTCGGACCCACGGCGCCTCCCTCCCTCCTAGAAGCATACTCGCGAGTCGAGGCCGCCTATTTGAAGCTCAAGGTCTTTCATTCGAAGCTCGAATCCCAGCTCGGGACGAACACCAGCTGGAAGGTCGCTGCGGAGTATTGGGAGCTTGTGGCTGGGTATTGGGAGAGTGAGGCGAGGTGTAGGGCGTTGAGATATAGGTTGGGATGTGTGTTGGTGGGGGGGGGAGAAGGAGGGATGGTGTGTGTCCGCTCCAGATGAGGGGATTGGGAGATGGGGGGATTGGTTTTCGAGAGTACGAGATTAAAGTTTACACTATGGGGAGTTTATAACATGTCTTTAATTCATTATGTGCAAGAAAATCCCAACTACCAACTCTCCGCAACCAACAACACCTAGCAAAGAGACAAAACCTAGCACTTCACCCTATTTACTCCCCAACATCAACCCTCACCCTAACCACAACCCCCCACCCCGTCCCCGTCTCCCAAACCCCAAACACATTCTCCCTCCTCCACCCCCCCTGCTCCTCCTTCACACTCACATCCACCCCCTCCCCTCTCATCCCCTTCAATCCCAATTTCTCCTCCAACGCCCTCTCTAACCCCTTTGCCAGCCCATTCGCTGCGTCCTGGTCGTCCCAGAAGTGGTCACTTTCCAGGACGTCGAATTCAATAAACTCCTTCTCTGCATCCTCCGCAGCTGTGCCTGTCAAAACTTCGGAGGAGGTAGGTGAGACGTGGCCGTTTGCGCAGAAACTCAGCTTCGCAGCCGTAAACCCCGTACTCCCGTAATCGGCCAAAAACATCTCAGTCCGCGAGGCCATGTGCGTGACCAGCCGTCGGTGCAAGACTGCAGCAGGATCGGAGGAGGAGGCGCGGTTGGCGGCGATGCGGGTGCGGAGGTTGGTGAGCGGGTTAGAGGGGGATTGTTTGGTGTCGGAGGGAGGAGGGGAGGAGTCGTAGATGGAGGTGTAGGCGGGGGGGGGGAGGTCGGAGGGGGAGGAGGGGTCGGTGGGGAAATCTGGGGGAAGGGATTTGGAGTCGCTCATTTTTTGGGTGGTGGTGGTGGTGGTGGTGGTGGTGGATGGGCGGGTGATGGATGATAGAGGTGACGGTGAGGTGATGTGAGGTGATGTGAGGTTCTGTGGTAATGGAGAGGTGGTTTGAGATTCTGAGGTTCTGTGGTAATGGAGGGTGATCTGAGGTCTAGTGAATAGAGATGTGACTCAGAGATTCTGAGAAGTAATGGGTTATGATGTTTAACGACGATGATGATGCGTCTGATGGCCGGACTGAACCAGAGTTGCAAGAAAGGTGAGAATCAATCTCTAGCGTCAGTGAATCCCCCAACGTCGGCCTAAAAACTCACAGCCCCTCAGTCTTCGGTCTTCGGTCTTTAGACCTCAAGAATGATATCTCGTTTCAACGTGCCAAAAGTGCACCGCGCTTAGCGTCTTACTCCAACTTTATCTCGTCCTGACGTACACTGATCACATGCACCCTCTCTGAGGCGATGAGATTCAATACCCGCTAACTAGCGTCGGACACAAGGCTCTCTTTCAATCGATGGCACCACTTGTCGCGGAGAACAAACGCACGATGGGTGGTTGATAGAACGACCAGACCAGCCGCGGAGAACTGTTATCTCTAAGCGGGGAATGGGGAGTGGAGGGAGGAAGACAGATGGTGGTCAGGCTGGCACGGAAAGGCGGCACAGCACAGCGAGCAGCGGCACAGCAACAGCAGGGGAATCCTATAAGCGCCTAGGCGAGGCGGCGATCAGCGGGCAGAAGCGGAGGGGTGAGCGGCAAGCCAAGGCGAAGCGATGGGTGGTGGGTAGTGAGTAGGAGAGGAGAAGGAAGAGTGGTGCGTGGGGTCCAGAGACAGGACGAGAAGGTTACGGGCTAGGCGTTCCTTGGAGGCTCAGCGAGTGGTCAGGTAAGGTGAGTGTCTAACGTTCCGTCTGAACCGAGTTGCTAGGAGGGATGGATGCGATGTGATGCACGTGTAGAGGGATTTTGGAGGTTTAATTGGCATGCATATGGCTGGATTGGAGAAACCCCTTTATTGATGCTGATATTTCCATCTCCCACGAACGTACAACGAGTAAGTGTACTGTAAAAGCCTCAGAGCCGGCCAAAAAGCCTCACGACCACTCTTCAGTAGCGCGATGATGTGCCCGCTCGTATCGTATGAGGGTCGTTGCAGCGACGAGGCTGAGGCGGAGCACGGGGAGGCGGTGCTGTGTTAGTTAGTTGGTACAGTAAATGGCAGCCTGGAGGGAGCTAGTGCGGAAGTGGATGTTAGGCTGGCCGATAATGTGGGGGGGGGCTTGTCAACGTCTAGTGATGCGGGAGTGTGATTGGGTGAAGGGGATGGCAGCCCAATGTTAGCAATGTTATGGGGTCACTTGTGGGGTGGGATTGAATGTCAGATTTTGGCTTGGAGTGCTTGGAATCATGCCGACTTTGCCGACTTAGCTAACAATGGCCAACAAAGGGGGATCAAAGGCCTCAGATAGATGCTCAAATGGTAGGGGGAGGTATTATCGCTGTCGTTGGGTATGGGAGGGTACTTACTCTGCTAGTACTGTGCTATTTACTCTACTCCTTACTCTGCTATTTACTCTCTCTGCTACTTGCTACTACTTGATACCATGGGATGCGATAATACGAAACTCCTGCATCAGGACATATTTACCGTTTGACAGGCCATACAGTATGATATTGGCGTCAAACACTGCCAGTGTCAGTCTCAGTCTCACCGTTTGTTTGACTGTTACTGTTTACTGTTTGACTTCCCGAATGAGGCTGAGGCTGAGCTTGGAGCCTAACGAGGTAGCCTTGTGTCTCGCCATCTCAATGGCTCCTTCCTTCCTCCCCTCAGATCTGCCCTCCGATCGTCTCCACACAGTTTGTTATTGCATGCACATCTCCTGCTTGCTCCCACTCAATCAATCACCGGCTCCCACGTCTCCACGTCTCACCTCCCTTTCTCACCGTGCCCATTCCCGTACCATCAATCCCGCCGTACTATCCCCCATTGCCTCATTGCCCCATGGCCCCCATGGCCCCATAATTCCCCCATATCCGCTAGAAGGCACTCAGCTGCTTCTAGCGCTGTACTCTAGTGCTGTACGTACCAAGAGCCAAGGCTAATTAACTAACTCTCCTAACTAATTCTCTCAAACTGGAGTACTACGAACGATACCGAATTAGGAGTAGCAGGCCGGCGGACTGGACTGAGAGGAGTACCGTTATGTTGCAACCTTGTTGGCTGTGCTGGAGGGCTGCATTTGTCGGTATCGGCTGTCGAGATGGTGGTTGCCAAGTAGTGTGAGTCCATGCAAGCCCATCCTATGGCTGCCCATTCATTCATACCCCCTCTTCACGTCACATTCATTCCAGTATATGTATATATAAAGGGACCATTCACCTCCTACCCATTCTTCTTTTTCTTTATTCTCCAGGCTTCATTCGATTCTATTCGATTCCTGTGTTTAAACTCGTCGACACACTCTTGTCGCTCAACTGCTCATACGTTTATCACTCGACTCCCTGATACTATACTAACTAAACCTCTAACACCACATCAATCCCACATCACTCTCACATCGATCTATCACAATCGCAACGATGGTTTTCTACACCATTGCCCAGCCAGATGAGTACCTGGCCATCACCGGTGCGGGTGTCCGCACCGTCAAGATCGCCAAGAAGGGCTTCATCTGGCCTATGCAGAAAGTGAGTCTCACCACAACCCTCAAAACTATCACATTCTAACATTTCACAGTGCATGCGCTTCACCATCCAGCCTAGGGATTACCCTATGAACCTCCGCGCCATGACCAAAGAGAAGCTCCAATTCGAGCTCCCCGTCGTCTTCACCGTCGGCCCGGACCTCAACCAGCGCGGCGACAACGCCATCGTTCACGGCGAAGCCAGCGCCGAGGACCGCGAGGACCGCGGCGATGCCCTAATGAAGTACTCCATGCTCCTCGCGGGCGCCGCCACCACCGGTGGCCATGCCCACATCGAGAGTATCGTCAAGGGCATCATCGAGGGCGAGACCCGTGTCCTCGTCAGTTCCATGACCATGGAAGAAATCTTCACCGAGCGCGAGCAATTCAAGAAACGCATTTACCACAACATTCAATCTGAGCTCGATCAATTCGGACTGAAGATCTACAACGCCAACGTCAAGGAGCTTACCGATGCTCCCAACTCCAACTACTTCGCCTCCCTCTCCCGCAAAGCACATGAAGGCGCATCCAACCAAGCTCGTGTCGACGTCGCTGAGGCGCAATGGCACGGTAACGTAGGAGAGGCCGAGAGGCAAGGTCGCCAGAACCGCGAGATTGCAAAGATTCACGCCGAGACTGCGGTCCAGAAGACCGAGCGAGACACTGAGAAATCGCAAGCTGAGGCGCTCCTCGCTACCCGCAAAGCGGCGTTTGATCGCGACGTAAACATCGCCAAGATCGAAGCCAGTCGTGCTGTCGAGGTAAAGGACGAGCAGCTCCGCAAGGACGTCGAGTCCCTCCGCGCCGCGACTGAGATTGAACGTCTCCGTGCTTCGGATGTCGTGAAAGCTACTATCCTGAGAGAATCCCAGCAGCAAGCTTCAGACGCGCGCGCGTACGAGACTCAAACTAAAGCTTCTGCGGATTTCTTCCTCGCGCAAAAGGCGGCTGAGGCGCGCGCATACGAGACGCAGACGAAGACCACCGCGGACGCCGACCGCGAGAAGCAGACTGCCCAGGCAAAGGCATTCGAGACGCAAGCTAAGGCCGACGCTGATAAATTCCGCGTCACCCGCGCCGCGGAGGCGACATACGTTGCTGATTCCAAGAAGGCGGAGGCGGAGGCATACAAGCTCAAGGTCATCGCTGAGTCGAGCTTCTTGGCTGAGGCGAAGAAGGCAGATGCCGAGGCCTACCGCGTCAAGGTCGCCGCGGAGGCAGCTTACATCAAAGCTACTCGCGCTGCTGAGGCGGGTAAGATTGCCCGTGTGGCTGAGGCAGAGGGTTTGACTGCCATGGCCGGCGCCTACGCCGCCATGAGCGACGCCTTCGGTGGACCCGCCGGCCTCGTCCAATACCTCATGCTCGAGAAGGGCGTCTACGGCGAGCTGGCACGCGCCAACGCGCAAGCTGTCCAGAACCTCAACCCCAAGGTCACAGTCTGGAACACGGGTAACCAAGCTGGCACCGGTGAGGGCGGAGAGGGAGGCGCGGATGCGGGAGCGAGTATTAGGAATGTGTACCAGATGCTGCCGCCGCTGATGACGACGATTAAGGAGCAGACGGGGGTTGAGCTGCCGGAGTGGCAGGTTGGGAGGCTTGGGGGGAAGGCGGGGCCAGCGGCAGCGGAGAGTGTGGTGGTGAATGGTGCGGGGAAGGGACAAGTTGTTACTGTTGCTGCGAAGTAGGGGGGTGATGTGAGGGTTTCTTTTGTACAGTATTACTGCCTGTCTGCCTTTTTTCATTTGTTGAGAGCTGGGTTTTTATAGACGGTTTGCGGGGGTTTGGGGGGGATATCCACTATCGTTTTGCTTGTTGCTTCCCTTGGACAGAATAGGTTTATAGTTTTATAATGTTGATAACATCGAAATTAGCTGTATCGTTTACTTTGAGTGACTGGACGCTCGTATTGTCATTATAGTCGCTATGAACACTGCTCAGATGTATTGTAACTGAGTGATTGAAAGCCCGTATTTTAATTATAGTCACTATGAAGATTACTAGTATTTACAGTCACTCTCGTAACTTTTGAGCTGCATAGTCATCACGTTTACTTTGTCTTACCGTCAGTTTCCAACTTGATAACCCGGCGGGGTTGGTCCCTAGCATATTCCCCCATCCAGCCTAGCGCCCCATAGCTCAACCTCGCCTCACAGCCACCCTTATCACCACCTTGATAGCTCCGACCTCACCACCACCACTCCAACCTCCCCCCCCCAACATGCCAACACCATGGCCTTAACCTCCGTACGCCCTCCCTCCCCCCCCCAATCACCCACCCCCCATCTAACCCCCCATGGCAGTGGAAAACCTTCGACTTCTTCGAAGCCACCCAGCTCACCCCCCCCGACCCCGAAACCCCCATCTTCGCCGCATCCGCCATAAGCGCCATAACCTCCGGTTCCGACTCCCTCTTCCTCGCCTCCCCCGATGGAGATGTTCGGATCCTATCGCGCGGGTTCCGCGTCCAGAAGACCTGGCGCGCGCATGATGTCGGGGTGATTACGCATATGCGGCAGATTGAGGGGACGTCACTGCTCGTCACGATCGCCGAGGACCTGCCCCGAGAACCAATTCTCAAAGTCTGGGCACTGGACAAGCTGGTGAAGAAGACGGGGTTCCCGACGTGCACGAGCTCGCTCAGTATCCAGAATGGAAGGAAGCCGTTCCCGATCAGTGCGTTTGCGGCGCTGGGGGATTTAAGTCAGCTCGCGGTCGGGTTTGCGAATGGGGCGGTGACGGTGGTGAGGGGGGATTTGATACATGATCGCGGGACGAGGCAGAAGACTGTTTTTGAGAGCGAGGAGCCGGTTACGGGGGTGGAATTCAGGGATGTGGCGAGGTTGACGACGTTGTATGTTAGTACGACTGCGCGGTTGCTGAAACTTGTGATATCTGGGCAGGGACAAGGGCAACCGGCGAGGACCATTGAGGATGCGGGGTGTGGGGTGGGATGTATGACGGTGGATGAGAGAAATGGGGACGTGGTTGTGGTGAGGGATGATGCGATTTACTACTACGGCATTGACGGGCGCGGGCCGTGCTTTGCGTATGACGGCCCCAAGAGCCTGGTGCAGTGCCACGAGGAGTACTTGGCTATCATAACCCCCCCAGTCACGACATCGAATGCGAAATCGAGCACGCTGAGAAGGTTTGGGGGGAGTCAGGCGGAGGAGCTGTTTAATACGAGTACGTTCACGGTGCTGGATACGGAGCTGCAGATTGTGGCGCATTCGGAGAGTATGGTTAGTCAGATCCAGACGCTGTTGAATCTGTGGGGCGACCTGTATGCGCTCACGCTGGAGGGGAAGATTTTGAGGTATCATGAGAAGACGCTTGAGCAGAGGCTGGAGATCTTTTATCAGCGGAATTTGTTTATTTACGCTATCAATCTGGCGCAGAAATCGGGGATGGATGCGCAGCAGCAGAATGTTATCTTCAGGAAGTATGGAGAGCATTTGTACCAGAAGGGGGATTATGATGGCGCGATGCAACAGTATCTTAAGGCTATTGACAGCACGGAGCCGTCGCAGGTCATTAGGAAGTACTTGGATTCGCAGCGGATACATAATCTGATTGAGTACCTGGAGGAGCTGCATGAGCATCATAAAGCTACAGCGGATCATACGACGTTGTTGTTGAATTGCTACGCTAAGCTGAAGGATATTGATAAGCTGGAGAAATTCATCAAGTCGCCGGGGGATCTCAAGTTTGATCTCGACACGGCGATCTCGATGTGCCGCCAAGGCGGGTATTATGACCAAGCCGCATACCTGGCTACGAAGCATGGGGAGCATGAGATTGTCGTGGATATATTGATTGAGGATTCGAAGAAGTATAGCGAGGCCTTGAAGTATATCTGCAGGCTCGATCCAGAATCCGTAAGTACTCACATTTACACATCATCAGACGGAGGCTAACATTCCGAAGGCTTACCCGAATCTCATGAAATATGCCAGAGTGTTATTAGAGAACTGTCCAAAGGACACTACGAAAGTCTTCATCGACTACTACACGGGCAAATACCAACCCGTTCTCGAGGTTGTTCCCACCGAAACTCCTCCCCCAGAAGCAGGCTACGCACAAAATGCAGCTCAAGCGGTGCAAGGTCTCGCCAACCGTATTCCAGTGCCATTCAGGAATGCTCCTGCGCCAACACCAGCAACGCAGGTGGACATCAACCCCGCAATAAACGATGTGATAAACCTGGGCGACGGCAGCTCAACACCAACAATCCCCACGTACATCCCACCCCGTCCCCGCACCGCATTCTCCTCCTTCGTCGACCACTCCAACGACTTCATCACCTTCCTCGAAGCCTGCCTCGCCCAGCCCGACGTCCCCGAAAGCGACAAAGTCGACCTCTACACCACCCTCTTCGAGATGTATCTTCACAAAGCCAACGAAGATGACGGACATGATCGGGAAGAATGGGAGGCCAAAGCCAAGACTCTAATCGAGGGAAAAGACATCCCAATCGATACCTCTAACGTCCTCCTCCTCTCCCACCTTGCCGACTTCCAAGCTGGCTCCATCCTCGTCCGCGAACAAGCCGGGTTGCGCTTCGACATCTTCCGCTCCTACACCGCTGCTAAGGACACACGCGGCGCCATCAAAGCCCTCCGCAAATACGGCCCGGATGAGCCCGCACTCTACCCCGCAGCTCTCGCGTACTTCACATCCGACTCGCGGATCCTCAAGGAAGCAGGCAGCGAACTAGACGCGGTGTTAAAGAAAATCGACGACGACGGCCTCATGGCACCTCTGCAGGTCATCCAGACTCTGTCCGCTAACTCCGTCGCGACAATGGGCCTGATAAAACCCTACCTCCAAAAAACAATCGAGCGCGAGCGCCGCGACATCGACTCCAACAACCGCATCATCACCTCCTACAAGGCCGAAACGGCAACCAAGCGTCGGGAGATCGAAGAACTCAACACCCAACCCGTCGTCTTCCAAGCCACGCGCTGCTCGCGCTGCGGGAGCCCACTGGACCCGCCCATGGTGCATTTCCTGTGCAAACATAGCTTTCACCAGCTGTGTCTGAATGTGCCGAATGAGGCGGAAGGGGAGAAGTGGGAGTGTCCGACGTGTCGGCCGGGGAATGAGACGATTAGGGCGATTGTGAGGGCGCAGGGGGAGATGGCGGGGAAGCATGAGGTGTTTAGGGATGCGTTGGAGAGGAGTGGGGATAGGTTTGGCACGGTGAGTGAGTTTTTTGGGAGGGGGGTTTTGGGGGTGCCTGGGGCGGAGTAGGTGATTGAGAGGGGCGTTGGGAGGATGAGCGTCTGGAGTCTAGGCGCCGCTGGCTGGAGGCTGGGAGGGGCATTGGGAGAATGAGGGCCTGAAGTCTGGGTGCCGCTCACTAGATGATTAGAAGGGGCATTTCGAGGATGAGCGCCTGGAGTCTGGGTTCCGCTCGCTGTTTGACTGAGAAGAGCGCCGCGAAGAAAGGCGACTGAAGAGTAGCTGTGGCATAATAATATTTGGCTTGCTCATCCATAATGAAACCCGATAATAGTGCACATATACCCTTTGAGCTAATCTACTGTTTTGCTTAATTGGATTCGTATCTCTGAGCTCTTATCATGATAAAGCACCCTTGTATGTAGTGGCGTAGGCTACCGTAGCCTTGGTGGATCGGGCCGGCGGCCGCACTCGTCAGAGCAGATCACGCACACAGTCACCGTGGGAAACGACGCAACCACCAACCACCAACATATCAAACGCCCAACAACGACATCCGCATCGAAGCTCTGCGATATAAACTTCGACGCATTAACCCAGGACACTGTCCTACCTCCAAAACCTCATACACCTCACATCGGTCTCCCAGACCACTACCACCTCCCAATGCCCCGCCAAATCCTCCGCCGCCCCTCCTCCCCCACCCAACCCCTCCTCCAGCTCCCCGCCGAACCCGAATCCGACTCCTCCCCCGAAGACACCACCTCGACCCTCCACCCCGCCAGCAGCAGCAGCAGCTCCATGCACTTCCCCGACCGCTACCAAACCCCGCACCAGCGCGACATGCGGCGCTACTTCGCCTTCGCGAGCGCCATCGTATCCTGCCTCTGCGCCGGCTCTATAACCGCCTACTCCCTCTACGGACACCTATTCCAGGAGCGCCTGCGCTACACACAGTTGCAGGTGAATATCATTTCCATCACCGCCGAACTGGCGATGTACCTCCCCGTCCCCATCTTCGGATACCTCTGCGACCGTGTTGGCCCCGCGCCGCTGTCGCTCTTCGCGGGGGTGGTGTTCGGCCTCGGGTATACCCTCGCGGCATTCACATATCGGAGCGGTGCGGCGGAGGTGGTGGTTCCGGAGGAGCAGGGGGGTTGGCCGTTTGCGTGTATGGTTGTGGCGTTTGTGGGGATTGGGATGGGGACGGCGAGTATGTATTTGTCTGCTGTGACGACTTGTGCGAAGAATTTCGGGCGCGGAAAACATAAGGGACTTGCGCTCGCGGCGCCGATAGCGGCGTTTGGGCTGAGTGGGATGTGGCAGAGTCAGATTGGGAGTCGTGTGCTTTATGAGCGGTTGCCGGGCGGGGGCAAGGGGGATGTGGAGCCGTTTATGTATTTCCTGTTCCTGGCTGTGACGTTACTTGCGGCGGGACTGCTGGGGTCGGTGGGGTTGAAGGTTGTGGGTGAGGATGAGCTGATTGATGATGCGTTGGAGAATTTGGAGGCGAGTGGGTTGTTGCAGGATAGTGCGTTTTTTAGGGGGGGCGAGGCGGCGAGGGATTATGGATCTATTAATGGTCATGATTCGACGGATGATACGGCTTCGACTAGGCGGTTGGCGGCGGCGGCGAAGGCGAGGGAGGCTGCGAGGGAGGCGCTGGAGGCAAGGAAGAAGACGTTCTTGCTTAATGAGGAGACGCGCATCTTTTTGACTGATCCGACGATGTGGCTCCTTGCCCTGGGTTTCTTCCTCGTCACCGGCCCCGGAGAGGCATTCGTTAATAATCTCGGCACCATCATTGGGACGCTCTACCCTCCCCTCGAACCAGGCGTCAAGGGCGAGACTAAAACTACAGCAGCTACGCATGTGAGTATCGTCGCCGTGACTAGCACCATCGCGCGCATCCTCACCGGTACACTCACCGACCTCCTCGCTCCCGCCTCCCGCCCCCACGAAAACATGGCTGCATCCATCTCCTCCCTTCGTCCACCATCATTTCGCCCCTCCCGTCTTACAATCTCCCGCATCGTCTTCCTCCTCTTCTTCTCCATCCTCATGGCAGGCGGACAAGTTGCATTAGCAAGCGGATTCATCCAGGGTAACGGGGAGCGCTTCTGGATCGTCTCATCAGCCATCGGAGCTGGTTACGGAGCGGTTTTCAGCATCACTCCTATTATCATCAGCGTCATCTGGGGTGTGGAGAACTTCGGAACAAATTGGGGAATCGTCGCGGTCGTGCCGGCGCTGGGGGCGACGGTGTGGGGGGTGGTGTATAGTAGTGTGTATCAGTGGGCGGCGGGGAAGGGGGGTGTGGAGGATAGGGATACGGATGTGCTTTGTTATGGGCGGGGGTGCTATGAGACTACGTTCTGGGCGATGGCGGGGAGCGTGTGGCTTGCGTGCTTGCTGTGGGCGTGGGCGTGGAAGGGGCCGGGAGGGTGGTCTCAGAGGGGTATTGCTGTTTGAGGCGAGGTCTTTGGTTACGGTGTATATACGGAATTGGGGCGCGTGGGTGTGGAGACTTGGGTTCTTGTTCTTATTTCGGGAGTTTCTGGGACACATGGAGGGTGCATATTAGGTACGCGAGCATTATTTTTAACCTCGCGCAAAGATAGTGTGAATAAAGATGGTACTACATTTACCTCCTACTATACAAACTCAACACCGAAACAACAGGCCCGAGAACCACAGAAAAATACACAATAACAACAGCCACAGCCGCACCCCTCACGCTCCTCGGCGGCGGCCCCATCTTGCCCATCAACACCTCTAACCTCTCCGCCATACTCTCCTCCGAAAACTCGGCTCTAACCCTCTCCCTCCCCTTCTGGCCCATCTTCTCCAGCTCCTTAGAAGTCATCTTATGCAACACCGAATCCATCACCTTCGTCCAGTCCTCTACCACCTCCGGGTCCCTCAACCACCCCGTCACTCCATCCACCACCGTCTCCAGCGGCCCCCCCGTATTCGCCGCCAGCACAGGAGTCCCTACTAACATCGCCTCCAGGGGTACAATCCCGAAATGCTCATTGGCAGGCGTATACACCAATAGCCTTGCACTACGGAGCAGCGCATCCTTCAGCCCCCCCGGCACCGAAAGCAGAAACAGCACCTCGACATCATCCGGTACCCGCAGCGCCGTGACGAGGTTCTTCGTCGTAGCGGTCTTGAGACCGAGGCCCTCAGCCAGCAGGAGCAGGTCCTGATGGTAAACGACATTCTCAGTGACACGCGGATCGTAGCCGCCCGCCAGGACGAGGCGGACGGACGAGCGAGCGTGTTTGGGGAGCCCGGCGAAGGCGCGGATGGCGAGATCGATGTTCTTCTTTGCTTCGAAGCGGTTGATGGAGAGGATGATGTTTGTGTCTTGCCAGGTGAGGGTGTTGTCGTCTGTATTCTCCACAGGCTTGTCCGAGACGTCGACGCAGGGGTAGATGATAGATAGCGTGCGGGCGGCGGCGAGGGCGGGCCATTGCGCAGTGACGATCGATTTAGTGAACGCGGAGTTTACGGCGATAGAGGCGGCGAAGGACATACTCCATTCCTCCCAAGCGTCGAAGGGGAGGCGGTAGAGCGCTTTATACCACTTCTGCCTCCCCTTTGCGAGGAGCAGGTCGGGGAAGTGGCAGTAGAATAAGGTTCCGACATTCGGGTAGAGGGCCTGGAGGAGGGGAAGTCCAGCGGAGAGCTGGTCGGCGAAGAAGACTGTGGGCTTGAGGGCGGAGAGTTCGGAGGTGAGGCTGATTTGGAGGATGAGGTGGATTTGGCGCAGGATGGCGCAGAGGATGGCGAAGCGCGAGAGGATGGTGGAGGGTATTATGGTATTTCCCCTGACGCGGACGTCGAGAGTGCCTGTGATTGTTAGTTTCTGGATTTATGAGGATAGGCGTGGGAAGATTTACCATCGCGCGCTTCGTCGAAGCAGTGCTGGGGATCGCAGTGGCTCGTAAAAATGGTCACCTTATGCCCGCGTTTCTGGAGGCCGACGGCCGCATCGACGATGAGGCGTTCGGCGCCGCCAATGCCCAGGTCGGGGTGGAAGAAGACGATATGTTCCGTCTTCGCTTTTTCCGTCATTGTTGCGGCTTTGAAGCTTTCTTGAGCTCCGTCTTGTGGTAGGCGGGATGACAGATTGTATCCCTGACGTCGTCAGCGTTGTGGGGCAGTTTGGTAGCCTTGCGCTAGCAGCCTTAGGCATTTGGGAAGGCTGAGCATTGAGTGGACTTGGCTTTGCATGTGAAAAACTATAAAGAGCAACACACTGCGACATGATTTGGAGGCTAATATTTAATTTTTGTTTATTATCGATTGTTAAGATAGACGAGGATATATATTAACATGCTATATGCTTTTAACTTTAATGGGCGATGTCACATTGAAATAAAGACTGAAGTTATCCCGCACCTTGCAAGGCTGACTGGCTCGGAGCTGGCGATAAGTAATCATTCTAACGTCGACCTCGGCACGTCCCCGGGACCATAGATGGCTTTCATGCCGCCTTTTTAAAATATAAACACATCCAAGAACATAGATCCCTATAATATCCCCCATACACTACAGCCAGCCTCTACTTCCATTACACCGCATTCACAATGGCATCCCCAGCAGGAAAGACGCTCTTCAGCATCCCCATCAAGTCCTCCAACGGCTCCGTAACCGTCACCGAGCCCGCCCCCAAAACCTACCTTCTCACCTTCACCTCCCCCCCCGACAACCGCCTCGTCACCAGCTTCTGCGAAGCCTTCCTCCTCGCCCTCGACATCATCGAAGCCCGCTACCCCCACGGCGTCGTCATCACCACCTCCGGCATCACCAAATTCTACAGCAATGGCTTGGACCTCGACCATGCCATGAGCACCCCCGGCTACTATGTCACGTTGTACAAGCTCTTCGCCCGCCTGGCAGCCTACCCTATGCCCACCGTGGCTTGGCTCAATGGCCACGCCTTCGCTGGCGGCTTCATGTTGGCTATGCACCACGATTACCGCGTTTTCAACCCCTCGAGGGGATACCTCTGCTTGAACGAGCTGGACTTCGGCGCGCCGCTTAAGCCGGCTATGTTGGGTATTTTCGAGGCCAAGTTGTCGCCTGTGTCGTACAGGAGTTTGATTCTTGAGGCTCATAGGTTCACGGCGAAGGAGGCGCTGGAGCAGCAGATGGTGGATAAGTTGGGTGGATGGGAGGAGGTTGTTGCGTTGGTGGAGGAGAGGAAGCTGACGCAGCGGTCGAAGAGCGGGGTTTATGGTGTTTTGAAGCAGGAGATGTATCGGGAGGTTATTGCGCACTTGGAGGGGCATGAGGAGAGAGTGAAGAAGGATGCGGCGGATGCGGAGAAGTTGGAGAAGGTTGCGCAAGGGAAGGAGGATAGAGTCCGGGCTTGGGAGGCTGAGACGAAGGGAAAGTCGAAGTTGTGAACAAAGAAGGTACTATAAGACGTATCTATGTAGCAATATAACCGTATGAACAATCCACTTCCCATTCACGCCAACGCCCATTCCCGCCTACGTCCATTCCCGCTTACAATCTCCATCCCCTTTATCATCCCCATTCCTCAGGCCAACCACCCAATATCACCCAACACCAAGCGAACCACCCCCTTATAACTCAACTTAACTCCTCTCCTTTCAAGCGGCACAGTGGCGTAGTGGAAGTACCACTGTCTGGACAATCTGGCCAGCGTTGGAAATGAATAGAAAAGGTCACCAATTCGACTCCCGACAACGACGACGACAAAAAATAAATAATATTACTTATCACAAACATCAAACATCAAAAAGAAAAATCAAGTGATTTTCTCCTCATCAGATCTCTTTCGATCTGATGAGTCTTTCGCTTTTTTGAACTCTTGAATCCTTTGTTTTGCTTTGTAACTATGCAAGTTGTCCCGGGGGTAGCGGGGTTAAACCAGATGCTTGGGAATGGTTCGGATCATCTCCTCAATCTCTCATCTGCTTCACGCAGGTCTCTCAACGGGAGAGGAAATCTGCCATATCCAATTTATTTAATGGTCTAAACAGCTCATCGAAGATACTTATGATGATGTTCGATGTTGGAGCTGTGGGGCTAAATCTCCATACTGCGTGCAGCGTGATGATCGTTGCGTTTATCCTACGCTCATGTGTTCAGGAGTATGTGCAGGAGCCATTCGGAAGTAATGCCTTCCCGAAAGAGCTATTCGACAGCAGCAGCTTCGCGGCAGCAGCAGCTTCGTGACAGCAGCAGCTTCCTGACAGCAGCAGCGTCGTGACAGCAACAGCTCCGTGACAGCAACAGCTCCGTGACAGCAACATCCTCCTCCTCTCTGGGCCTTCACTATCAACGGTTGCCTAGTCACTGATATATATCGCAGTTTCGCCCCAAGTGATTTCACACCGCCCCTCCACATTCCATTGATCATTGGTTTACTCCTAGTCTTGAAAATAAAAGCAACTGCCCTCCATTTATACCCCATTCCATGCACCTCAACACCGCATAGCCACGCGTAAAATCGGAAGGGATAAATCGAACCCAGTATCACAAACCCGGGTGAGATGCCATTGTGAAGTATCATTATTCCCGGCATCAACCGCTGCCGAGACTCCTATATACACCACCCCCCTCGGGTGCATCGTACGCCTCCAAAACCATGCAGATCAAAACATGAATACCCTCCCAACCAAATGTCCCACGCAAGTCATATTCCAGTCCAAAGATTGTCCCAATCGCCGTGCCTCCTTCTTACTGGCCCAACTATTCACCAGGCCTTCTCAGTAACCCGTCACCATGCCCCCCCCCCCTGTTATCAGTTCCTATCTCTATATCCCCCTTGCAATCCTTCACTTGAGATGGACACTCGGTCCAGCAGCACCCACGTCTTCATCCTCATCTTGAACCTCATACGGGTTGAGACTAAGCCTCGTATATCCCCTCGTCCGTGCATAGAGTCCCCCCTGACTCCTCTGATTCCGGAACTCGCTCACGTGCAGCACGAATAACAAGAAACACAAGAAGCTGTGGGAGGGTTACACGTTAGCAATCGGTCAAAGTTTACGTAAGAAAAGCTTGAAGTGACAGATACCCCCAAAGGTGCAACCAAGGTGGATGAAAGCAGGAGGATTTGGGATGGGAATGGTACTCACGCAGCTGCTCCTGCACAGATGAGCCCGCCCAACTGGACTAGGAAGCGTTTCCTGCTTGCGTCGTTGCATGGGAGGCGCTTCCAGGGGTCGGCGCCGGGGGCGGTGCAGACGTCGTACGGGATGCCGTCTTCGGCGCCTGCGTTGACGGTGGTGGAGTAGCTAATGATGCCGAAGACGACGAGGAGTGTAGAGATGGCGCCAGTGGCAGCTGCAGCAAAGATTTCCGGCAGTGGCGATTCGACAGAGACGATGCGGATAATGTTGGCGAAGCTCAATAATACCGCAGCCACAAACTAGATCCGTCAGTCAGTACCTCAATAATCAATCCCGTTCCCCCAGTGAAATCCTTACAGCAGCAACAACCAACCCATAACCCGCCCACCCATACGGCGCCAACAAGTGTGTCTTCGCCGCCTCACTAAACAGCTTCTCCGACTTGATCAACCCCAAACTCCACACCAACAAATACAACCCCAGACCCGACGCGACGGCTGAAAACACATAAAGCTGCGTCAGTCGCTGATTCCGCGGCGTCATGCGCTCATAGAAGTCCGGCTCTCGCTCCCCCGGCGCCCTTGGCACAGGGCCCTCGCGATGCATCTGTTGATGTGGCAGCAGCCGCGACGGGTGAACAGGAATAGGGCGCATCCTGGCGCGCGACGCCTCTGTTATGGAGGAGGAAGAGGAGGCGGAGTTCATGGTGATAGAAGAGAGAGGGGAGAGGGAGGGGGGCGAGAGAGGGAACAGGCGGCAATGGGCCCGGGATCCTGTGAGGCTGTGGGTGTTTGTTGGAGGTTAATTACGTCTTGGCAATTTGCATTCGGCGCGGGGGAAGGGGAGGGGATGGAAATAAATTCAATAATAAGCCACCGCGGTCAATGCGAGCAATGTTGGGCCGACGACGTGGTGTAGCGGGAAGGTGCATGCCAACCGACTTATTATTGGAAGGTACTTGCAGGTACAACGATCGTATCCGCGTGCGGCGTTTGCTTGGCGGCAGCGGATGTATCAGATACGCATGCGGGGGCTTGTTTTGGGTAATACATAAACAACGGCAGATACAGTTTGTGAGGGTCCATGAATAAATTTTGAATTTATACGACTTTATAGTTTTGTTGATTGTGATATTTTGAACCGCGGACGACGAGGAGATCGCCGCAGGGAACTAAAACGCGGCACTACGAGAACAAGCATCCTTGACCACACGCTAGCTAGCACCGCAATATCCAGACACGGGAAGGATGCGACATCGTGGAAATGAAACCACGCGGCGGCACCGCATGGCTGTCACTGGCCACCTCTCGACCCTCTCAATATAGGGCTGAGAAACGTAATAACGGACACTGGATGGAACTCTGCAATTTCATGAGCATCCGATTTGGCAATCAACATCAATAAACCTCCATAGCCAGCTTCTCTACCTAAAAAACGACAATCAAGAAGACGCCCCTGTTTATACAAAAGTAAAACAGCCAAGTTCCAACAAAACTCCTCCCAATGCCGCCCTCATGGTATTGTACAACCAAGTCATTAAACATCGTCTCGTAAAAGCGCTCAAGCAAAACTATCCTCAGCCGGCCACTGGCTCTCCCGCTCCTCCTCCTTCTTCGCTTCCAGCACCTGCTCCTCTTTCTTCTCCACCACTTCATCCTGCACGGGATCCACATCCCCACCTTTCAGCTCCTCATCCTGAGTTTGCGGCGCCATCTCAGCTGCCGGAGCTTCGATTTGCCCCACAGTATTTTGAACAAGCCCAATCTTGACTAGCTCATCCCAAACAACATCCTTAACGTTCGCGATCTCCGTATTGGCTGGCAACCCATCCAGCATCTTCAGTCTCTGACACCCACCCACCATCAACATCTCATAGACCCTCCTCCTCATCCTAGTCTCCATATCCAACCGCCCAGCATAAGCCTTGTCCTTTGTCTCATCCGCATCAAGCAAAGTAAATGGGTCCTCGACGGCCACCTCGGCGTCTTCCTCTGCGCGCTGAAGAAGAGCAACTCTCGTCTCCGTGACAGGAGGATAGAAGCCCAGCGTCACAGGGTTATTCCTGATGTCCACATTTGACAAGCTCGAGAACTGGCTGAGGACACCAGTAGTCTTCCGTAGTCGAGTGAGGCGGTTCCCAGAGATATGAAGACGCTTGAGACGCACTATGCCCAGAAGGGGTTTGAGGTCGTGCAGCGCGTTGAAGTTCAAGTTGAGCACTCGTACATTGCACATCATCTGCCCGAACTCGGCGGGAAGTGATTCTAGGCCGCAGTTTGCGAGCTCTAGGTACTGCAGGTTGAGGAAATCGACACGAGGCGCGAAGTTGGGCAGGAGATTGCCCGACAAGAAGAGTTTCCTGACTTCGAAACATTGGTCCAGGAAGGACATGTCAATTACCGATTCGCGCTGCTCGCGCATCGAGAGGCTATCGATGTGTTTTGCCTTCAGAAGACCAGTGACTTTCCCAAGGCGGTTGCGGTCGAGGTACAGTAGGCGGATATTCGGATAGTGACTAACGTCAATCTGCTGGAGATTGTTTCCGCTGAGCTTGAGATACTTCAATCCATGATAAGTATGGTTGGAGCCCTCATTGAAAGTCTCCAGGCAGTTGTCTTCCAGGTGGAGAGTCGCGAGTGATCGCAAGTCCTCGAGGCCAGCAATGGCCTTTAGCTTATTTCCTTTGAGGTCAAGGTCCATTAATCGAGGGAGGTTGCAACCAGTGAAGTCTGCGGCGTGAACTACATTGTTCCTCAGGCGGAGGCTAATGAGACCATCAAGACCGAAAATACCGTTTACCGACTCAATTTTGTTGTTGTCAGCTCGGATAGCGCGCAGATGAACTAGATCTTTTAGTCCTTCCAACGTAGCAAGGTCATTGTTCGAGATATCCAAATACTGGAGATTCTTCAAGTGTTGCCATGAGGTCAGGTCAGACAGGGAGTTGTGTGTAATGCGCAAGTTCCTGATGGTTTCCGGGGTCCCATCGAGCTGCGAAATCTCGTTATCAGACACGTCGAGCTCTTCGAGTTGACCACAGAATTTGCTCAACATGTGCAAGCTGTGTATTTTCTTCTTCTTCAGATCGATTTGCCTGATATGCGGCCAGTAAGGCTCGTAAGGCTCCACATCAGTTATACGCTGAACGAGCTCTTTAACGGTCATCGATAGCGATCTCTTTGAGCCGGGCTGATGACGGGTCACTGGCGCTACATAGCTGACTTCGAACGCAAAAGACTCTTCGGCATGGTTCATAGTGAAATCAGATAGCGGGCTTAGCTGATAAAGAGAGCCATGGCCAATTCCAATATCGGGAGTCTGCTGAACGGTCGAAATTTGACGAGAAGTGTTTCTCAGTGGCATCGGGGTCGTGACAGCAATGCTGAGATTCCTCCGGGCACCTCCATTTTCCATATATTCCGCAAACGAATCTTCGTCGCGTTCGTCTATGCGGGACACGGGACGCCTGGTGAAATTCTGCGCGCCAAAGGAAGAGCAACGAGGCGCACTGCGCTGGGACGACCGAAGTTGAGTTGTGGATTCCCGTTGCTGAAACTTCGAAGCTTCGGCTCGCCCATTGATACTCACATCTTGCTCCTCTTCATGATAGTGATCGAAGATACGAGACGCTGGGTGCTCAATTGAGTTATCTTGCAACATAGACGGAAATGGCGATGAGAATGAAATGGTTACACTGCGTCGAGGCTTGACATCATTCCATACTTGTGACCTGCTCTCATTGATTGAAATTTCCTCCTCAGCATCTTCTTCAATGACTTCTTTCAGGGTCTTTTCGCGAGTAGCACCTATCGGGTCTGTGTCGGCAATGGCCTCGATATCAGATTTAGTAGAAGCTTCTGGCTGCTCGTCCCAAGTCGTTACTTGCGTGTCAGGAATGCCACCGCTTGATGTAGGCGGCGCAGAAAGTGACGGTTCGGATCCACTGTTTTTGGTCGCACTCGTTGTAGGAGCGCTCCCAAATACGTGATGTGCGCCAAGCCCTTCGCCTTTAGAGAAATTAAACTGGCCCTGGTACTCCTGGACAATCGAAAGGCGGGATTCCTCGCGTTGCTTTGCGGTTACAGCCCGTATCCTCTGCATCTCCTGTATCTCATCCACAGTAAGATCCGGGATATCTCCAAAGGGATCATCGTCATCTGAGGGTAACGCATTCCCCAGGATCTTTGGGTCAGTAGCTTTGCGCTTTACCCATATGCCCTTTTCACGGTCGAATACCATTCCAGCAAGCTGCTCTGGGATGAGGTGGGAAACGGTATGGGGTGCTATTATCCGCCGAGAATCCGAGTTTCTGGAGGATCCGGTATGAATAGACCGGTTGGTTGAGTGCCCTGAGGATGGATTCGATCCATGTGAGTGGACAGCTCCGTCATCACCTCCAACTGGTAAAGACGATGTAGAATGCTTTCGCTTTCGCTGAAGTTCGGGATATTCTGTGATTTGGATATTGGGTGGGTCGCTTTCGTAAGGCATGTCATGGTTCAAAGTCCAACCGGTAGCCTTTGCAGCGACTCCGTCTCCATTGTTATCCTGTTTAACTGCCCCGTCTTCGTTGGTTTTGACGGGGACGGTTGATGGGATGGACGAGGCAACCAATGCATCAAAATCGCTCCACTCTTCATACTTCTTCAAGTGGCTCAGAAGTTCTGGATCACTTTGTTCCTTTGCTTGCCGAGGTACAGGCGCACCACCTTCGCGACTCGGCGGCCTTGAAAATGGCTCTGTTGTAGACTCCTGGTAAGAGTCCTCGTGATCGGGGTTTTCGGATGCCTCGTTCAAACTGGATATTTCCGATTCCGACTCCTCGAGGCTATTCAATCCGCTTTGAGGCCGAGATTTTCCTCGAATTCCTGCCATGATCTTCTTGGCTTCATCTAAGAAGTCCTGGGTAGTCACGGATGGCTTGCGGTTGTCATTCGACATGTGATGGTTAATCCCAACAAAAGGGCCTGTTGGGCGCGTCATGTCTAGTTCTGCCTGAACTCTTGCAATCTTTTGCTGTTGTTCCGTTAATTCCTTTTGGCTCCATGGCGGTGGTCTTGAAACAGTGTTGAGATCAATCTCGGAACTGGAATTGCGCCGCTGGCTCACAGATAGCGTACGAGGCTGGAGGACCTGGCGCGTAGCCATGACTTCAGGGTTTGCGGATTCGTTATCGTTGCCATGCCTGGCATCCTTCCTCTTCTTGCCAATGATTGACTGGATATTCTGATGGCTTTCGAGGACCGAATTGTAGACGACATTGTCAATAGACAGATTGTCAATATCAGAGTCGTGTAATGTTCGCCTTCGTTTAGGCGTGGGATCCTTGAGCGGAGATTTCGGTTGCCGTTTGCTCAAAATATCGATATCCTGTTTCTGAGGGGTAACTTGGAGGTGGGAATCGCTGTCCATTCCCTTCGAAAGCTCCAAATCCTCAATTTCGTCATTCTCTGCCTCTGATTCTTCCTCAACGACAGCTTCCTCCAGCGCAACGTCGTGGACCAAGGGATTTCGACTCGACGCTTTCCGGCTGACAGTATTCCGCGGTCGAAAGCTGCTGCTTTGGCTCAGGTCGCATTCTGAGAATTGGTCGCTGCCGGTATCTGCTAATTTGTAACTTATGGGCTTGGGACCTTGCCGTTCTGAAGGTTGTGGCACCACTTTAGGTTTGTATGGAGGAGGGCTTGATCGCATTGTCACATCCTCCGACTTAGATTGCAGCTCCAATAATGATTTGGCTGAAGATTGTCTTGTTGGTGGCGGTGGCTTGAATATGTTCTCCAGGCCGACTGGACTAAACAAATCACGCTGGTCTCCGTAGGCAACGTCCCCATGCAGGAGTCTCTTCTTCCATTCCGGGGTATTTCGCGATTTTTGTGGTGATGAGCTTAGTGATCTATGCTTCACCGTATGATGCTGAACAGATTGGGAAGATGATACCGACAGGGTCCTCGAAACCCGTCTTTCTTGCCCAGCGCCTGAAATTTCGTTTCGCAATTTCGAACTCTGTTTCGAGGTATGTGGTATGGGGACGTTATAAGAATTCGGACTTCGCTCACTCAAAGGCAGGGCGCTTGAATCATGGCTGGATTGGCCCAATGACTTCAGGACTGGTATGCGACTTGCGAAGGGGCGTTCTTGAACGGAATTTGATGATGGCGGCGTGCTTCCTGGAAGTGATGGGAGGGAACCTGCGGGAGAATGTTCGGAGTTTGGCTGTGAAATCCAATCTTCCGACAGAGAATCCAGCCAGGCACTCTCCATCGCGGGTTGCTGTTGGTTGAGTCCGATGTTGTTATAAGTTATGCGACATGGAGGTCGTTGTTGTGTTGGGAAGATATTGGCGCGTCGTGAAGTGTTTCGAGTTGCTGACAGACAGCCTCGTGATAACTTTTGCTAATTCGTATTATAACCTTATTGATGTTTTTGTCGTAATGTGTATCTGTTGTTAGTATCTGTCGTCCAAGGTCGCCGGCTTTTCGTGCTTTTCGTGGCACAAAAAGCAACCCGTGTCTGACCCTGATCACCAAACACGCGCCTGCTTCTGGCTTATCGCTGCCGCGTGTTGGCAGAGCAACGCGTTCCAGAAAACCTTAATATAAGGGTCTTAAGGTTTGCCAGAGCTTCATAATCCTCTAGTTTATTCTAATTATGAATAAGCCTTCCAATATTTATATGATTTGAGTTGAAGTAAAGCAAAGTTGACTATTAACTCATCTAAATGTTATAGATGGCATTTCTATACCTCATAAACAGCCGCCGTATCGTTGTTTAATACGCAGTGTACACATCATGTGACTGATGACTAAGCCTCTAACCAACGCCACAACCCCACCATTGACCCCATTTACCCCCTTTCCTTTTAACAACCACATATTATTGCACAGCAAGACGCCGCTCTCTTGTCGAGTTGTGCTTAATTGATACCCGATACTACCCACCATATTGATCATTTGAATATATTCTTTGGACACAATGAGGGGCGAAGTAAGACCTATTAACCCGTACTATCTGCTCATTAGACTCTCCAATGTGAGAGTCGGTGAGCATTTCGTTAGCGCGAAGTCGCTGTTCTGACATGGAGCTTAGATCTGTCACATCCACATTGGCCAAGCTGGTGTTCAGCTTGGAAATGCTGCTTGGGAGCTGTAAGTACTTGTTAATTTTAATATTTTTTTATAATTATAACTGATTTTCTGACTTGTTCCTAGCTATCTGCTTGAGCATGGCCTTTTGCCCGATGGTCGCCCGAATCCCGAGGCCACAGCTATCGCCGAAACCGGGTCTAACGAGACCTTCTTCAACGAGACTTCAGGCGGAAAATACGTTCCCCGATCTATCTTTGTCGATCTCGACCCCAGCCCAATCGACGAGGTTCGCACTGGTACCTACCGAGAGCTATTCCACCCAGAGCTTCTCGTGAGCGGCAAGGAAGATGCAGCAAACAACTACGCAAGAGGGCACTACACAATTGGCAAGGAATTGGTTGACACTGTGGTTGACAAAGTCCGACGTGTCGCCGGTAAGACTATGCCTTTATCCTGACCATATCTATAGATTGGACATCTTTTATGCGACCTTCGTCGCATTTATATCCGCCAATTGCATCGTGAACATGAAGGCATTCCTTTACTAACATGCAAATAGATAACTGCTCATCTCTCCAGGGATTTCTGATCTTCCACTCGTTCGGTGGAGGAACTGGATCTGGTTTTGGCTCCCTCCTTCTGGAGCGCCTAAGCACCGACTACAGCAAGAAGTGCAAGCTTGAGTTCGCCATCTACCCATCTCCTCGCGTCTCCACCGCCGTTGTTGAGCCATACAACGCCGTGCTCTCCACCCACTCTACCATCGAGAACTCGGACTGCACTTTCCTCGTCGACAATGAGGCCATCTACGACATCTGCCGCCGTTCGCTCGACATTCCCCGCCCCAACTTCGAGCACCTGAACCGCCTGATCGCCCAGGTCGTCTCTTCGATTACCTCCTCCCTCCGCTTCGACGGCGCGCTCAACGTCGATCTGAACGAGTTCCAGACCAACCTTGTTCCCTTCCCACGTATCCACTACCCGCTCGTCTCCTACGCCCCTGTTATCTCCGCCAAGAAGTCCAGCCACGAGAGCTTCAAGGTCCAGGAGCTGACCCTGCAGTGCTTCGAGCCCAACAACCAGATGGTCGTCTGCGACCCCCGTGCTGGAAAGTACATGGCCGTTGCGCTCCTGTACCGTGGCGATGTCGTCCCCCGCGAATGCAACGCCGCCGTCGCAAGTCTCAAGGCCAAGCAGTCATTCAACCTTGTCGAGTGGTGCCCCACCGGATTCAAGATCGGTATCAACTACCAGAAGCCCGTCGTTGTCCCTGCATCTGCTTCCAACCCAGATGGTGCGCTCGCAGAAGTTGACCGCGCCGTTAGCATGTTGAGCAACACCACCGCCATCGCCGAGGCCTGGGGCCGCCTCGACCACAAGTTCGATCTCATGTACAACAAGCGTGCCTTCGTGCACTGGTACGTTGGTGAGGGCATGGAGGAGGGCGAGTTCAACGAGGCGAGAGAGGATTTGGCCGCTCTCGAGAGAGATTACGAGGAGGTTGGCGCCGATGGCGAGGCTTTTGCCCCTGACGATGTCGAGTATTAAGCTTTGAGTCGCGGAGAAATCTAGTGCGCCCGATCTGTTGAGAGCGGACTGGTTTCGTGGATTTGAGTATCTAGCGTGCCGTTTTGAAGGGTTTTTATGTTCTGTGGATTGATTTGATGAGTATGACAGTATCGTGGTAGTATATCCTCGTTGTCCAGATTGGATGCATATATGCCAGTTCTGATTTTATGAATAAAATGATTGAGATGCGGGGATGTCGAGGAATGGAAATACCAGAATCGAAAGTTTTTATATTTTATCAGATTAGCCTTAAAGCTAATAGAATATATCTGTTTACCTCCATTTATGAGAGATCGATTTGTTGATTATAACCCTGATTGACTGAGCACATCAATTTTAATCATAGTTCCCATAAAACCAGCTATTATCTACAGTTCTTCGGAACTTTGGGAGGCACAAGTACAGATCAGTCTCTTGAACAGAATCTATTTATTGATATGCGCGCCTATCTACAATTCTTAATATGATCATATGCGCCATGGCTGTATCAACCAACATTGCGAGAGATACGTCTCTATAACACGGTCCCTCGATCCTCAGACGGCAACCTACTCGTAACATCATTCATGAACCCGCCATGAATCCATCCTGCCACCCTCAATATCCTCAAGCCCCAACTGCCACTCTCCAGATACCTATTTATTATGCCACACCAGCGTCTTCAAGCTATCCCAATGATCGCTCTGCACATAAATATAGCTCATACTGCTCCTCAAACTCGACTGCAAGCTCTCCGGGTGCCACCTAAACACATACATCACCGCCCCCCAGCTCATCGCCGCAAACACCGGCCACGCATTATCCTTAATCTTATTCGACAGCTGCACATTCGTCACAATCCCCGTGCCCGGCTCCACGCTCAGCTTCGCCAGCCCCAGTACCACACGCGCGAAGATGTATATCACGATCTGCTGGCTCACACTCGACACCTTGCCGGTGCGCGGGTTGCGCTGCCCGAACACGACGTAACCGCCCAACAGCCCAGCGAAGAAAGTGTCGTAGGGGCCTTCCTTGCCGGTCGGGCCGAGGCGCCGGAGCGCGATCATGACCGTTTTGTAGATTACCGCAAAGCGGGCGAGGTTTTGGGCGTGTGTGCGCGTGGCTTTGTAGACTAGCCGGGCCTTTTCTCTGAATCTGTAGGGAGGGGCGGTTAGCTTTGAGCCGACGGGGAGACGAGGGATTGCGACTTACGTTCCGGAGCGGAAGAGAAAGATCATGCTATGGAATCACTGTCAGTATGCTTGCTTGCCAGGGGGGTAACAGCGAGCGCAGGAGAGGATGCGTACACCAAGGCATGGGGAAAGCGGATTTTGGCACCGTAAACAGCACCATTGCGCGCGGCTTTCACGAGGGCGAATAAGTCGGCATATTTAGGATTGAGCACTATCTCATTGAGCGCTTTCTATATTCCCTCTCGTCAGCTCGATTCTATCACGCAGTGTTGTGGTTTTCAGCGTTGTTTACTCACGTATACTGCGTTAGCCGTCGCCATTTTGGCTGATGTGCCTCGGCTGAGATCTCAGATAACGTCGCTCAGTGCAAAGACCCTTCAAAAGCAGAGAGCCAGTTGAGCTATTGGCAAATCTGCATGGGGTATTAAAGGAGATAAGAAGTAAACAATGCTGAGGTCGTTACAGGCGTAGTAATATAGTGAGCGCCGGTTGGAGTTGGAGAACGATGATGCTCTCGGTGTTGGAGATAATCGTAGGCCGAGTCGGCTTTGGGACTTGATAACTCGGGTGGGATGGTCCAAATACTTACCCCACAAACTACAGGGATGCTATGCTGAATACGGTGGACATGATGATTCCCTTGTGACAGAGACAACCTATATTTTAAGGCGTACATTTACTAGCGGCCAACGTTGAGCATTATCTCCACGTGACCACTATCGATTTGAACATTTCGAGAACTTTTTCCCAGATTTCAATGAGGGCAGCTTGCGACGAGCAGAATCCTGGAGACAACACAACATCACAATGCTCCGCCAAATGTACGTTTCCAATCGCAAATTTCCCCCACAAGACAATTAAAAACTAACCCACTGCCAGAAAACCCCGTAACGCCCGCTCCAAGCGCGCCCTCGACAAGAAGGCCCCCAAGCCCGTCGAGAACCCCAAGAAGGCGCTCTTCCTCCGCGGCACCTCGTGCTCGCAGAAGACCCAAGATGCGCTCACAGACCTGTACTCGCTGCGCCGACCCCTAGCCCAGAAGTTCACCAAGAAGAACGAGATCCACCCCTTCGAGGATGCCGCCTCCCTCGAGTTCTTCAGCGAGAAGAACGACGCCTCGCTGCTCGTCTTCGGCTCTTCCAGCAAGAAGCGCCCGCATGCGCTGACGCTCGTGCGTACCTTCGGATACAAGGTCCTGGATATGCTAGAGCTCAACCTCGATCCGGATAGCTTGCGCCTGCTCAGCCAGTTCAAGAACAAGAAGTGCGCTGTGGGACTTAAGCCCATGCTTTTGTTCAGCGGTACGCCGTTTGAGAGCCCAATCCCGAACGAGTACACGATGGCGAAGAGCTTCTTCACGGATTTCTTCAAGGGCGAGCCGGCTGAGAAGGTTGATGTGGAGGGGTTGCAGTACCTGGTGTCTATCGCGGCACGCGACACTGTCGATGGGGAGGAGGCGAAGCCTAAAATCCATCTTAGGGTGTACCTGATCAAGACCAAGAAGAGCGGACAAAAGCTGCCTCGCGTGGAGGTTGAGGAGATGGGACCTCGCATGGACTTCCGTATTGGGAGAATGAAGGATGCTGAGGAGGCGATGCTCAAGGAGGCGATGAGGAAGGCGAGGACGACGCTGGAGAGGCCGAAGAAGAACATCTCGACTGATATTGTGGGTGACAAGGTCGGAAGGATACATCTCGGCAAGCAGGATCTCGGGGAGTTGCAGACGAGGAAGATGAAGGGATTGAAGAGGACTAGGGACTCGTTGATCGTTGATGCTGAGGATATCGAGATGAAGGATGAGGTTGAGGCTAAGAAGTCAAAAAGAAAGGTTGTTGCTGAATAAGTCGGAGATAAAAGGCTGTTATTAGGGTTTAACAATGGGCGTTTGGTGTTTGGTGGAGGGAATGCGATAGTCGTGGTACTCATGTATGCTCCGGGCGAAGAGGTTGTCTATAGGGCTTGAGAAACTAAGCTGTATTCGTTTCTGAAGCATGACGCTGAACTCCTTGTGGATTATACAGTGATTCGTATTCATGGTCATAAAATAAATGGGAGGTGGTTCAAGCGTTTGATATTCTATACAAGGCAGCTAGCCAGCGACAGTAAAGAAACCAGCCCCAGCAATTAAAACCACTCATCTCTATTTGTACCATGACACCTGAGCTTTCCAATAGCTCAGCATCAAGACCCCAGCCTTCCAATTATACATTAATAGCCCGCCTCTACCAGCCTCTCCCTGGCAGTCTCATCTCTCTCCAACTGCCCCTTTCCTTCCCTCTTTGCACGATCCAACTCAGCGTCTACATTCCAGTCACCCAGCATCGCATCCATATCACTTAGTACATCCTCTACCAACCCGTCGTCCTCCTCAGGCTTACAGTCCGCCATACAAAACAAGGGAGCCTCACCCTCATCGCCCCAGGGGTTGACCAGCTGGCTCTCCGTCATAAGTGGTACAGCTCGCACAGCGGAAGCTGCGCTGACTTTACCCTGCTGTTCTCCATCCTCGACTATGTCAAAATTCTCTGGCCCGGTAAATGCATCCTTGTCACGCACTTCTCCGGAATTGCTATCCGCAGATTGAGCCCTCGCATCAGCAGCCAAAAATGCTTCGGCCATTGCACCGACGCCTGGGCTGCCCGGGACAGTATCCTCTCTGGGCACGCTAAGCTGGTCATTCGATGCGCGCCTAGATAATATCCCACTCGTCCACTTGAGCTTCCGGTGACATGAATTATTCCCCTTTGTAAGAGACTCAGCTTCGGGTGGTGGAGGCGGACTGGAGAGGTCCCTTGACTGGGGTGTTTTGTTGTTTGGCTGGTCGGGCTGTTTGTCTTCGCTGTCACTGTCGAGTGGCGGAGGATTGAAAGAAACACGCTTCTTTCGTTTGATAGGGCGTGGATGTATTATTGGACTCTGTGTGTTGTTCGCCCAGGGGTTGGATAGGGGGAGGAGGTCGTCGTTTCCGACCGTGGGCGATTGCGGAGTGTGAGACTTGCGCGGTGAGAGATATTTTGGGGATGGCGGAGGGGAACCTGTGGGTATCAACCACGAAGATACAACGCCGCTGAAAACGAGTTCGTTGGTCTGGGGCGGTTCGGAATTGCGGACTGATGATTCGCCATTGTGCACGGGTGAACCGGCGCCAGAGCAATGTGGCTCAGTTCCCGCGAGCAGCAGAGCGGCATCTTTACTTTGGCTCATTGAGAAATTCCCGGTACGTACGGTAGGCTCGATCCAAAGGGATTGTGGTACAGGCACATCCTCAACTGCCCAGGGACTTTGCAGTACAGGAAGGGAGTGGACCTCCTCTGGAGCAGACGTGAAGCTTGCCTCTAAAACTTGGTCGTCTCCAACATCAGCAGGCGCGGGTTGGGATTTCGGAATAGACTCTTCAGTGGCAGATATAAAGCTTGTGTCTGAAAATTGCTCGTCGTCGACAATGTCAGGCAATGGAGGCAATGGCGAGGATTTCGGAATGGGCCCTTGAGAAACATGTTGTAATATTTCTACGAGCGTGGACTCATTGTCTGTCAGGTCAGGAGATGCTAGTAGAGAGCCTGTGTCCTGTGATAATGTAACATCTCCAATGGTCGCTTCTTTCGTGACGCTAGTTGTGGCCTTAGAAGAAGGGAGTTCTTCTTTGTGTTCGACATTTCCGCTGTTTGTCTCCGCTGCAATTTCGATGGGAGGCGGTTGTGTCCCAAGAGCCTGTTCGCTGGCTAAGAGGCCCTCACTTTCTCCGTTTTCTTGACAAGGCATAACAGTTGTATCAAGACTGCTTTCGCTTCCACGACCATCAATTATTGGCGTAGGACAGCTCTCGTGCGCGGCTTCCAATTCATTGCGCCCATCCTTCGTAACTGGCGATATTGGAGGAACAGAGGCATGTGTGGGCGCCCGATCGTCAATATCTCTATCCAATGGTTTCGTTTCTGAATCCTCATCTGCGTCGTTGTCGGTTATCTCAATAATTGGCACGGAGCCAGGCGGCTGCAGCAGCCGCCCGGAATTAAAGGTTGAAAACCGATCCCTGGCTAGATCGACATAATTCAGGGCTTGGCTAGCGGGAGACACCACATCTTTTTTGTGTGCATCATCTTGAACCTCTGTTGACTGAAGAGGAGCCGCCTCAGGTGTCTTCTGCTTCTCAATAGCCTTACGTGAATCACCATTCTGACTGCCCTCGGCCGTGGTTGGTGCATTGCGCCTGACTCTGCGATACTTCAAACTGCCTGGTGGCAACGGAGAATCGAAGCTTCGTGATCGGTCATTTCTTTTAGGTTTGAGCAGATTAACCCCCACTGGGCTTTTTTGGAGGGGATGCGATTGACTTCTTGCTTGTGATGTATGGTTTAACGACGCTGAGACAAGTTGCGAAGGCGTCTTCTTACTTGATGGTGATAGACCATTCCGCTTTGCTAGGTCTGAGCGATGACTTTCGGCAATATTCAATGCAGAGACATCCGGCTTTCGGGGTGTCAGTTGCTCAGCTGAACAAGCTAGCTGAGAAGCCTGTGAGAGGCCGTGGAGTATTTCCTGGCTTAGTTGGCTTCGCGCAATAGTATGAACGGGCGACGGCTCAAATGATAGCACCGAATCACATCGATGTACTGATTTGTGTCCAAAGGATGACTCGGGCTCCACGAATGAACTTCCATTCAAAGAATACTCAGGGGCTGTGCGGCCAATTTCCATAGCCGAATCTAACCCATCTCCATCCACACTTCCCGCACTAGATGCCGACTCCTCATACACTCTAGACGCAGACTCTGGTCGCACCGATATTTCACGCCGCGTATCTTCGGCTTTTTTGGCAGTGACATTGGGAGTAGGCTGGATATTGCCATCGCCGCGCCTCTGGACCGTGGTGCGTGTGGAGCGTACAGAGTCTGCTGTCGAAACCGGGATATCTTCAAATTCAGACAGGCTCGCCGTTTCAGCAGGTAGTTGTCGATTAAATTTCGCAATGCTCACATTAGACATAGACATACTAGACGCATCTATTATAGCTTTGTCATTGCCGACGATATCTCGGGTCCTCTCCTTCGGCGTTGGCGACGTGGGATCTGACCAGTTGTTGCGAGAGCGTTTCCCAACATCTGCCCCTTTTAACCAGTTTGTATCAGCCCTCCTCTTTATGCCAACGCCTGGCTTTTGTAATATATTTTCCCGCTCGTCCAGGCTCGCAAAATCCGAGGGCCTCTCAAGCTGATTCGCGACAAACCGCTTGAATCCAGAATGTAGTTGGGGCCGCTCTGGCTGGCGATTATTGACTATATCCATTGATGTACTGGAACATTCGGCCAATGCTTTGGTTCGCGTACCAACGGAGCTGGATGAGTTGCTGTCATCCCTGCGGCGCTTTCCCAAACCGACGACTGAAGTGGTTTTATGAGCGAGATTCGGGTGTTCCGTAACTGTCGTTCTGTTCGTTGGCTGCTTTTGGGTCGGCCGTTTCGATTGCCACGGGTTTACCCATCCGCTATTCTTGTCGAATGGTCCTCTAAGCTGTGCTGACATTATCAGGGGAGCATGTCCAGCAATGTATCGTTTTTCGATAGCCTCGCGCCGTCTCTGTCGCTCCGCCTTTGACAGGAGACTGTCCTCTGCATCTGATCCTTCGCAGATGACCTCATCGTCAAAGCAGAGCGCTATTTCGTCGCCGAGTTTTGCCATCCGCAGACGGGCTCTCTCCAGGGCTGCCATTTCATGAGCCTTCGGGCCTTTGTCTCGGGGAATGGAAACGCCCGAGAAATCGTGCTTGGAGCCCAGCCGACTTGAATTTGATGGCTGGCGAGAGTTATTGTTTATTTGCTGTCCATGGCATATTTGATCCAGTCGAAACGAAACGACGCGGTTGGTGTTGCCGTTTGTGCCTGGAAGCAAACTTGGTGCGTGGAAGTGGAGAAATCATGTCGTCGCGACAACGTGCTTCCGAGCGCGTGTCACTTTACGCCAAGTCAGGTGACCTCCCGATGCAAGGTTCCGTTTCTGTCAGAGTACATCCTGCAAGGAGTACACCACAGACCACCACTGCTGCATGGTTCCAATATCCAAGAAGCAAACATCACGTGGTCTTCCAGCCCCTGTTACTCGGCAGTTAGAAGAGAAAGCTCTGCTCTACATTAATTAATATGCGTGTCCAAACCTTATATGATTGACTTTTCACGATGTCTGGGAGTTCATTTATCTCATCACCTTTCATCGAGGGACCTCACCCCTTAACTACTCTCACTTGCATGCATTAGAGAGCAAAACTAGCCTTAGTCTACAAATCGTCTGTATGAAGTACAGTAAGGTTATTCTATAGAAGCTGACAGGAATTACTGAGGTGTCGATCGCAGCCTTCTTCGTACACACCGTCAGCTTACTGGGCACTTACATAGTGCATGCATGACAGCTTATAGTTACTCCATAACACACACGTGCGATTAACTGCGAGATGAGGTTCTGTCTTCTGTCTGTCCTTGGCAAAGGAAAAAATACTTACTGTGGTGGGTTTAGTTTTGCGGCCAGCGGCAGCGCCAGTGTCAGTACCCCGGAGAAGCCGATCGCCCCAGAGAAACTATCTTCCCCAGAGACGCTGTCTTCCCCGGAGAAAGCTGTCTTCCCCAGAGAAATAGGTCGACTGTCGCCCTTTCTCCACGGATTCTTGGCGGGTCAGCTATGCCTTTGCCATGACATATCCTGCTTGAAAGCCTACCTTCTTGCCTTCATTTTCAACTATCCTGACATTTCTCCGTACTAGCTCGCCTGACTCCCCTGTTGGCTTACCACGAAATCCGGGGCACGGCTTAACTTGGCGGCCCGAATAGGAAGGACGACATAACAGTAGCGTTCCACCCGCCCGGGCACGATGGAAAGGAACCTCCTCTCACCTCGGTCAGAGAACTTTATCCAGGTATAGGATTTCCTTACTCGTGCCATTCCTTGGCCGTTATGTTCTATCCAGTCGGTGTCAATGCTTCGGTCGTCCTTCGGTGCCTTCTAGCCGCCTCCGGCCATCTCACTCTCGGATAGTCCACCCCGTCCCAATGTGCCATTCGGAAATATAAACTGCCATGTGTACATCCGTATGTCTCCACAAACTGATTCGTCGGGGAGTCTGGGGGCGATTATTGCCCCGGAGAGTTCAGCCGCTACCCTCGTGGAGTTGGCTTAGCTTCGCAGCCACAACATTCCCTATAGGTCCAAAAGGAGTGAAACGAGACTCAGTTATGGGGCCAAGAAACATCAATTTTGGCCGCTACGCTTGGCAGCGTGCAGTGATTTATCCACACGACACAGCCAGTTGAAAATCGGGAGATCATCCCGGTATGACTACCCCCGTACAAAAAACGCGGGGTAGTCAGCATGAGACTCAATTCTATATTTCCGTGTCTTTATCCGAATCCACCTCTCTACACGGACCCATATGGAATTGCTGTCATGGCTCCATTATGCTATATAGTCGACGGCGACCCGAAGTCTTTGGTCTCTCCCATTAAGGCCCGGCTTCCAACCGTCTCGTCCCACAAAGCAACGCCCTCTCCAAGCTGCCTGTTTAACGAATTGCTGCGATGGGTGTCATTTCTGCTGCCGATGGCACGTCCGATCCCATCCTCACGCGCATGGTCGCGGAGGACAAGGTCCCGTGGTACAAGAAAAAGAATTTGAGGCTTCTGTACTTTTACCTGTTCGTCTGCTGCATGGGTGTGGAGATGACGTCTGGATTTGATTCTCAGTTGATCAACACCCTCCAGCTCACGCCAGAGTATCTCATCTGTATGTGATCCTGCAGCGAATTCGGTGTAAAAAAGTATTAACATATTCTAGACTTTGGCGATGGCTACCTGAAGGAGGGGAAGCCGGCGATTAAGCCAAATTTGTTGGGCTTCATGTCAGCTTGCTACCAACTCGGTTCAATCTTCGGTGTTCCAGTTGCGCCGTACATCAACCAGCGATTTGGTCGAAGATGGGCGATCATGATAGGGTCTGTTATCATGGTCGTGGGAGCAATCCTGCAGTGCTTCTCTCAACACAGTAAGTGAATCGGCACAGTGTGCCTTTGCAGAGTTCTAACAGATTTTCAGTTGCAATGTACATCATCGCCCGTATGATCCTCGGATTTGGCATTGTTATGTGTATTATTGCTGCATCTGCCATGATTGGAGAGCTTTCATACCCCAAAGAGCGAGCCATTATGACGTCCCTATTCAACTCTTCTTACTTTATCGGCGCCATCACGGCTTCCGCGATCACGATCGGAACTGTCGAAATCAAGGGTAACTGGAGTTGGCGTCTGCCTTCTATCCTCCAAATCTGCCCGTCATTGTTGCAGATCTGCTTCGTCTTGTACGTATACGCTGCTTTGGATCCCAAAAGTACTGCGCATGATCTAACTAGTATATAGTTGCCTACCAGAAAGCCCCCGTTGGCTGATCAGCAAGGACCGCGACGAGGAAGCCTACGCCGTTCTAGTCAAGTACCACGCCGAGGGTGACTCAGACTCTATACTTGCAAAGGCAGAAATGGCACAGATCAAGTCAACCATCAAGATGGAGCTGGAACATTCGAAACAGTCCTGGACGGATATGATCAGAACATCCGGTATGCGTCGTCGTGTGGTCATCGCCATGATGCTCGGCCTGTTCACACAGATGTCTGGAAACACGCTTCTTTCGTACTACTCCAATCTCCTCTTCGAACTCATGGGATACACCACCAAATTTGCCAAGACCAGGATCAACATCGCCAACAACTGCTGGAGTTTCATGAACGCCACAGCCCTCGCCTTGATCATCACGCGATTCAAGCGTCGCCACATGTTCATGATCTCTGCGGCGAGTATGTTGATGGTCTTCATCTCGATGACTATTTCCTTCGAGAAGCTACGTGAGGCCAAGAACGCAAAAACCAAGAACCAAGCTGCCTCCATCGCCGCCCTGTTCTTCTACTTCGCCTACTCCCCATGTTACAACATGGGTAACAACGCCCTCACATACAGTACGCTCCTTTTCCCCACCCCCCAAAAGCTAAACTCCCACTAACACTCCACCAGCCTACCTCGTCGAACTCTTCCCCTACGCCGAGCGCAGCCGTGGTATCGGAATCGAGCAGATCTTCGGCAAGCTCGGTGGCTTCTTCTCCACCTACGTCAACCCGCTCGCCCTCGATGCTCTCGACTGGAAGTTCTTCGCCATCTACTGCGGCTGGATCTTCTTCGAGTTCTCCTTCGTCTACTGGATGTACCCCGAGACCCAAGGGCGTACGCTCGAGGAACTCGCTTTCTGTAAGTTTACCCTCTCACTGCGCAAATTTGAACTGCTTGCTGACTCTTGTACGCAGTGTTCGAGGACAAAGCTCTCGCCGACAAGGCTGTTGAGGCTGTGGAGAAGCAGATCCATTTCGGTGGCGAGAAGGACGATGTTAACCGCGATAGCATGGCGCATGTTGAGGAGGCTACGCGCAAGGAGATTGCCTGACGGGAGAGGCTTTGAAATGTTGGCTGGAATATTGCCACGTTGTACTTCTGTTCGGTTGTAGTTCTTCAAATTGAACCACATTCTTTTATAATATTATACATCTTACCTTCGTCGTTCGTGTTGTGAAATGCTCGTAGATACCTTTCATGGGTAGTCGATATGATCGACGTTCATGAACTGCGATCGGTCAAGAGAAACGCGGCCCAGTTTTGCCAGTGTGGATACCAGCCCCTATTTACGCACGAACAGGAGACGGGAACTACTCCAGCCACGCAGGTGTCTATCTAGTACCAGACCACTACCAGTAGTTAGATTTCTGAACTTCTCACAATCGGGCTTGCTGTCGCACTATATTACAAGGCAAGAGGGGTCGCCCCTAGCGAGAGGGGGGTACACGGAAGAGTTCATGAAATGGGAGGATATTGAGCTGAGCTACGACTGATGGAGAGAGTCAACACCGGAGGAGTGTTTATGGATGTAGGGGGGCAGGCACGAACTATGCCAGCGAATGTAGCGGTGACAAGAGGCTGCCATCACGAGAATGTAATGGCGATGAGAATACAGCAACAGCGCTTTACGCCTCACTTCATAGTTGGCTCACGGCTCAAGGCCTCTTCGTAGAGGCGTCTTTTCTTTATTCTCTCAGTCTCCTTCTCTTGCTCAGCCCTCTCTTTCGCGGCCTTCTCCTGCTCGACTTTCTCTTCTTCTTCTGGCTGTCGTTTCAGACCCAAGGTTCCCTTTTTATGCTTGCGAGGTTTCCATATCCCTGCACCTCAGCAGCAGGGCAGCGAGAGCAATTATATCAGATATATTAGCTCGATACCCAGCTTCTATAATATCCCATGCTAGAGGAAACATGAGAAGGGGACACTCAGAAGAGACGGAGTTAGCTACCTTGAGATCCCCTCAGCCGGCAGATATACTGCGACAAGCAGGGGCAATATAAAATGGCCGTAGTCGGCAACAAACGGGAGGGGGCGGAGGCTAAATAAAAAGGGTGGCGTACTGTGGTCTCGATCCGAGAGTCTCGTCACCCCTACATTGTGCCATACTCAAAGAACAATCATATACGACCACAGACTCGAGAGAATTGGGCATCCCGTCCGCTCTGCCATACACAAGCTTGCGTATCCTCTGGCTAATAGTCTCAATTGTGCCAATAGGCATAGCGCCGAATCGGGGCCACTTGCCACCTGAAGGGTGAGACGAGGGTTGAGTGAGGGTAGGGGTGAGCAGGGTGAGCGGGGTGAGTGGGGTGAGTGAGGCAAAGCAACATCTTTGTGTTAGTTTGGCGTCACTTCCGCATCATTCTCGTATCAGCACTGAAGTTTGGCTATCTTAACTTACATACCATATTAAGGGTGCCTTGCTCTTATTTTATAGCTTATTTGTCATTTGTGAGCCATACTCACGAATGAAGTCTAAATCGTCAAAGGAGAAGCTCCATTTCCACTAGCGCCCAGGAACCATAGGGATCAAGTCCCTCTGGCTCACGCTCGCACTCGTATAACTCTGCCCGCTCTCATCGTCTTCGATGTAGACGGTCTGCTGCACGCTACTCTCCACCCGAATCGCCTGCTCGTTCCCATCCTCTGCCCTCCCGTCGTCTCCATTTAGATTCGCCGCCACCCCCGCTTGGTACCTCTCGGCCGCTCGCAGCCCGTCCTCGTCCCCATTGCAGCTCCTCTTGCCCACCTGCCTCGATTTCGACGCAGAGGCGCCCCCAGCGAGCTGAACGAACGCGTTGTTGCCTAACATGCGCTCACTGTTCGAGTCATACTTCGCGCTTTGGGTCGATCTGAAGTAGCGTGGGAAGATCAGCCTACAGATAGGATTTAACGTCGGGAGACAGGCACAGATGATCGCGACGTTGACTTCGATAGTGGACCAGTAAGCTGTTTCACCGCTGTAGAAGGTAGTGTCGGCTTGCTTAGCGAGGCCGATGATGGAGTTGAGCCGGAGCATGGAAACGGCGCATATGCTATGTGGGGTGATGTGAGCTTTGTGGTATTGCGGGAAGGGGGAGAAGGGGCTCCGTACAACCAACCGATGCCGAGGATGACCATCAATGCAATTTTTTGTCGGAAGGGGATGCGGAGTTTATGGACGATGGGCAGAGGAATCGTGGCAATTATCAGGTCGGTAGCGATGTTTATGCAGGCATTGGCCAGAAAGAGCCTTGCTCAAAGTTAGTATGAAGTTCGAATCGTCGCCCTAGCCGCGTGCATGAATACATACTTGTTCTGATCCACACATTTAGAGGTCGGCCGGAGACTGAGTTCCCAGAAGGCTTGAACTGGTACACAGGTCCAGATATCACTGATTACGCACTCCGTTCCGAATGCGATGACAATGATGAGGGCCACGTAGATTGCATATCTCGTTGCATCGTTCCCCCCGAAGATGCGGTAGTATTGGAGGAGAATACTCGTTTTAACGAGGCTAAGGGTGACACAGTAAGAGATAATGCTCCAGAAGAGATACTATAAGCGTGAGATCAATGGATTTTCTGGAGAGAGCAATGGAACTGACCTTGAGAATGCCAACGACTTGTGACGTTTCAAGAAACTGTACGTGCCGGCCAGTGCCATATCTCACCTCTGAGGAGGAATTAGCAATTGGGTGTCGTGGAGATCAGGAAGCTAAAGGAAAGGCTCACCTTGAATCTGACACGCTGCCATTCCTACGTTGAAGGCCTAAAGACGTAGTATATTAGACTGTGTCTTTCGATAACAATTCGCGTCCTCTTACGTACCACAGCCACCACTATAGTATAATCCTCCCATCCTGCACCCTTAATAATCCAGAACCTTGCGATGACTCGTAATACCACAAAGATGGAAGATAAAACGGTAAAGGATATCGAAAGACCGAGGAGAATGGGACCTCTAGTTTCGGCCGCTAGCGCTCTCGTTTGCTCCTCTGTAAGGACCTGCATTGCTCATCTCATGCAATTGGTTTCAATATCATGGATATATAGACCTTAGGCACTGCAACCGAAGAATACATATATATTACTCAACAGCACAGACATCGCCACCTCAAAACAATTGTTTTGATGCGGTGATGTGGCTGTATGTAGTCTGAGATGGAGAAGGTAATTCGCACCAGTTCTGGAGCAATAATGGAACCCCAGACTATATAAACCACTTCCGAGGCGGATCGATGTCACATACGGGCTTTTGGCGAATGTCAAAATGATGGCACCCTAACAGCTCCCCTGATAGCGCCTTGTCAATGCCGGAACTTGCCAGAAAGTAACCTGGTACAAAGGCGTAAATACGAAGATCTAACTCGCAGTTGCCTTTTGTTAACAGAGCGTGTCGCGATAATCACTCAGGGGATAGTAGCTGAGGGCTATACCGCGCAACTTCCATCCCATACATGCACATGGAGTGGATCCCCTTCCACCATCCGCGCCCACAAAAATAGCGCCCTCAACCAACTATCTATCCCCTCTCCAAATCTCATCCCGTCTCATTTGATCTCTTCATACTTCCAACCAACTAGTCTTCTATCAAGTCCACCATGGTATGGCGTGTATATATCTCCGTATAGACATTCACTTCCTAAAATCAGCCACTCTACCCTTGCAAAAGCCAACATTGATTGAGCCTTTGGCGTGTGATTCTTTACAGCATCTCTATCCACAGGTGGCCTAGGACAAAGTGTGGAGTCTGTGTGTTGATACCACACAGATGGAATCTGCGGGGTACGCTTAGAATGGTAGCGTAACACTCAATAGCGTAAGCCACGTAGATCAATTAAGCTAATTACGAACGTAAAGACCCACTCGTAATAATGCCCCAATTCTCCTTAAGGCTCTTTATGGGGTAGGCGTGAGCTCATACTCCAAAATCGAGAGGTTACCAACCACCAGTCTTTCGGAGCCAGATCCAACAACCCCTAACCAACCCCAACCAACCAACTAAAGCTGGGGTTCCCTGCGATTGAGGGTGTTACAATTTCCATTTTAAGCATACCCCGCAGATTCCGTCTTAGTGGCATCAACACACAGGCTCCACTTACAAAACTTATGTACATAACCTCCCTATAAGTATCCGACCAATGAAACAGGTGCCGGCCGAACATCGCGGCACACAACACACAGCACCAGAATTTGATATTTTCTTAAAGGAGTGGTGGCTGAGCAGGGCCAGTAGTTCACAAGTATTGACCCTTCACACGAGTCAGTACAGGGGTAATGTTCAAAAGTTTTGCGAGTGGATCGAACAAGGGACCCAGGATTTGTGCACAGCAGCATATACTCATGTATCGATCACGTACAAAATATAAGGCGAGATACATCATCGATTTCCGCGGAGCCGTGCGCGAGGCTTTAATATCTCCCCCCACTCACAAAACCTATGAACATAAGCTCCGTATAAGCTGTGGCTACCTTACTAGCGCACAGGCCTCTTAATTGTATCCTCTTGTGAACGAAGCCCAAATCAAATCTGCAATATAGTGGTGCTGCAGCGGATGAAGAACGAGTTTCCCGTCTCACATGTGACCCTCTGCTCACCCTGCTCACCCTGCTCACCCTGCTCACCCTGTTCACCATACCCAGCACGCTCGCCCACTCACCCTGCTCACCTAAAGGCGTCCACTGTCGCAGTGCAACGCGTTGTCAAAACTAGACCCACTTCTGGGTGGTCGAGGTGGTTGAGGTAGTCGCGATCACAAAAAAAGGGTAAGGGCAGCGAGGCTCAACTACTAGGCTGGATGGCACCGGTTTAACTATTATCTAGAGGATTGCTTGAGATCGGTGGATTAGTAGTTGGGTGGGTGACCACCAGCGAATACCCACTGTTGTATGTTTTTGTTTATTCTTTTGCTTCATTCCTATTTTTGGGGGGTTAGGGTCGGGGGTGGGAAAGGGGAGAGCAATTCCAGCCTCAAACCGAGAAGCCCATATAGGGTCGATACCTATATCACCGGGCCAGAAGCCAGAATTCCCGTCTTCTATTACCACAACCCATACAAGAGATGAGCAAGTCCCGTCCTAAGGTTGGCATACTTACAACTTTCCTTTATTAAGGCAGTAGGTCGATGGTGGAGTGGCGGATACGATCGTCAGAATGCAGCGCGGTGACAGATAGGGGCGGTTGTGACGAGAGTGCAACGGCGACGAGAATGGAACTGCAGCGACAACGCAACGACGGCGGTTTTCCTCCTTGCTTGATATTCAACCTAGGCTACAAGAACAGGCATATAGTAGTTTCCAGATGTGAGGGCTCATCGCTAGTCTTCGTTCAGTATTTATTTCATGGGATGCAACGATCCGATACAGAATGTGTATAAAATAGATACAAAGTTATGCGGTGATATGGTAGAGCTGGATGAAGCTGGAGGAGAGCAGCAGAAGGAGGTTTATGAGAGTGAAGATGGAGATGATGAGTATAATTCCGAGAACAAATTCATCGCCAACATATTCGAGATTAATGTGCCTCTAAATCCTACACCTGAAGAGACAGGAAATAAAGCAATACACGCAAGAGACAGAGCAACCACAGCAAGGATAATCCTCGCACTGTCACTCTAAATGAGTGCCGAGAGATTGGAATTGAAACAGAATTTATCAGCGTTGGCCCGAGCTGAAGGAGAAGCAAAGGCTTCAATATGGCGCTAGATAGATGGTAGACTGGCGGGCATGAATGTGAGAATCCAGTGGTGACAGGAAGCGGCGGCGGTGGTTCGAATACCACAGCAACGAGAAAACAGAGGCGACAGCAAGGGCTATAGCGGAACAACGATATCAGATCCACCACGGCAATGTCCAACTTCTGTGGTCTCCTCCTCATGTCTGTCGGCAGTGGTTCTCAGGTGATAGTTTTACGCTATTTTTCTCATTGCTACCCCGCGCCTCGGGGAGAACCCTCTCCTTTTCCCCTTCTTTTCGCACTTTTCTTGTATGACTCGGCCTCAATCGGTATGCGTGGGGTTTACGGGCAACGGAACCTCTTACATCTCGAAATGTATGATGTGTAAAATAACTACCATTGCAACAGGCAAGAATCTATCCTTCCGGAATGACCGACGGGGATTAAAAGCCCTCAACGACCGATCCTGATGTGAACTACAACCCAGCTAGTAACCGCTACACCAATTCTCAACATCGTCCGTGTGTGTTTTTAGATGGGGGTTGCGGATTTGAGATTGATGTGCTTAGACATTTCCCGTGAGCGGGGATAGGAGATGGAGTAATGAAAGATGAGAATACAGCAGTGACAAGAGACCGACGATGACGAGAATACCGCAGCGACAGCAACGATATCAGCTATACCACACCGTAATCCCCGGTGCAACTATGTTGGACTTGAAAGCGCAACATCTTGGGAATGCATCATACTTCACATATGGATGCTTTTTTCAAGGTGGACAATGTCCTTTCGATTTATTTTGTTGTATAGGAGGTGTAAACCGACCTTTATATCATCCACGTCATATTCCACAGAACGCCTTTTTAAACACTATCAACTCACACATACCTTCAACCAGTCCATCCACAGCTATTATCCATCCCATCAATTCCCTTCCCTCCTACTCCTCAAGATTATATATATCATTATACCTCCCCCCCGCCTCCCTCCTCAACTCCTCCACCCCCCTCCCCCCAAACCTCCCCGGATTCAACACCCTCTTCAACTCCTCAAACTCCTCATCCACCACCACCACCTCTTCCACCACTTCACTCCCCTCGCCCCCAGACGAAACCTCAACCTCCCTCTCCTCCTTCAAAACCATCTTAGCAACTAACCCCGCAACGCCCATCGCATGCGTAACCCACACTCCCGCCGCGACCCAGAGGCCATTTATATCCCCCACTGGCCCCACCACGGGGAGTCCGTCGGGGGTTACCGCGAAGACACCGTTAAATTTCCGAGACCCGTCTGCTGTCATTGCTTGCCTGGTTTCTGAGGGGAATAACCCCAGCGCCCGTTCAACAGCGGAGTCAAACTCGGGAGCCCACCCCTTCTCTGCGCCCTCCGCGGCGGCAACGGGGAGGGGTGCGTGGTCGTAGGTTCCGAATCCTTCGCAGGCGCCGTGGTCGCGGCCATAAACCCCCTTCTCCGGCCAGCGGACAAACGGGCTTTTCTCCCCCCTCTCCGGCCGCGGCGCACCGTGGAGGTAGGGGTGCCCAACAGGAATAACAGGGATGTGGAGGATATCCTTCAGTAACTCTGCGCTCCATATCCCGCTTGCGACGATGATTTTGTCGGCGCTGATGAAGCCGGCGGAGGTGTTGATGCCCTTCACCACGCCATTGAGGTGTTTGATACCCAGCGCGATGGCTTCGATGAACTCCACCCCATTCGCGCGCGCGGAGGCCTGGTAGGCTTCCACGATCCTTGAAGGCTCCGCTACGCCATCAGTCGGGAAATAAAGACCCCTCGACACCCCATCCTTGACGTGGAATTGCGGGGATAATTTGGCAATCTCCTCCGAATCAACGAGCCGCGCCTCCAACCCCGCCTCCCGCGCCTTCTCCAATCTCTCCTCCAATATCTTAATCCCCTCAGCCGAACTCGCAATCTCCAACCCCCCGGCTTGAGAAAAAGCTCCTGGTGGGAGAGTGAGATACGCCTTCACGCTTGCCTTGGCGAGAGTGGTGAGAGCTGGGAGGGCGTTGAGTTGTCCGACTAGACCGGGTGCGAGGGAGGTGGAGGTCGTGAGTGTGGTGAGAGGGGGAGAGAGGACTTGAATTGTGGTGGAGGGGGGGAGGGAGGACGTGGAGAGAACATGGGCGAGGGAGGAGCCGACGACGCCGGAGCCGAGGATGAGGATGCGGGTTGGGGGTTTGGGAACGGTCATTGTGAGGATAGCGTCTGAGTTGGAGAATGTAAAAAATGGAGTTGGTGATATGGAGGATATGAGAATATTGTGATGTGGAAGTATATACGTCGCCGATGTCTGATTACCTAATACGAGCTCCATACCTATGTCTTGAGAAGGGCGTGGATATCTTGGCTATCGTCGATAACGCCCCGTAAAACCGTCATATCGGCGTAACTTACCTCCTTGAGTGCGATTGATTCCGCGTATATGACGGACCATATCCATCAAGAGAGAGGGTCGTGAGGTATACCTTCAGATACAACTTTTTAAAAGTCAAGCACGTGATTAACGCCCTGTAATATACTATACCCCACCCACAACACCTATGGCGTCATTGAAGCACTTCGTACGCGTCGTCTCGCATCGCCTGCTTCTTTACTCGCCGAGGTATACAGTTGGTAATTAATATCCCCTTCGGCATCACGGCACCGGTACTCCCCCTCACCCCGGCATAGAGCCTTCCCTCCCCGATGCACAGCCACGCCATCATCATCAACGCCTGCCTCTGTAACATCAACAAAACCATCACGTACTGCCATAGTAGTATCCAGTCCAGCTTCCCCCATCTAGACCATCCATCATCCCATCTTATCGTACCGAGACCCACCTGCCATCCGGTCTGTGACTCTACCTCTGACACGTCGTCGCCGCAGTAGTATCCTCACAAACAAGGCATGGGAAATTGCGATGGGCGATGGCCGCAAGGCGACGCAATGGATTCGTCAACGGCTTGGCGAGGGATTTAAGGTTTTTGTGTGCTTATTCTGTTCTATTCCTTATTCGGAGGGATGATGTGGTGAGGGTTTTTGGGGGTTGAGTCATGCGGGGGTTGGAGGGGTTGGAGGGGGTTGTGTTAGCGAGGAGAAGACTGAACACTGTATTTTTTCATACTTGGGGTGGTATATAGAGGTGTCACGTGGGTATGGATTGCTGGTGCTTCCCTCTTGATATAGTCTAGGTGAGAGAGTGAGTAGTAGGATTAGGCAAGAATGAGGTTATACTGGGACACTAACTTTGGTTGTTGTTTGGTTGTCGTTGGTTGTGTAGAGCAACAGCGATCCAACTCTATCCGTACCTTCCCCATCCCCTTCTCATCCTCCACTCATTTCAACACAGCCCAGCACGTACCTCTCTGGCTCTCTCTGACTCCTCCATCTCGTCGTCATACGAACTAACTAACAAACATCCAGACTAGAGCATCCAAACTCACTAAACTGCAATACGATCGTTTCCACTACAGCAAACTCAATTCTCGCCTTATCACCCTCGGTTGGCGCGTCACCCATTGAAAAATCGGACACCCAGAACAAATCTGACAGCCATGACAGCCATGACAGCCATGACAGGCCTTGGCACATCCACCAACGGAAAAGCGTCTTACGCACGCCCGCCCCACTGCCACCAGCGCTGATAGTCCAACGCCATTCCTAGTTCCATTCGAGAAGATGATTGCTCAGCAAAACACAAGACACAAGTATGGTCGGAGAAACTACAAGACGCACTAATAATTTAGACTCCAGTCCATGCGCACACCAGAACCTTCCTGGTCGCGTCCGATATACACCGGCTTACGGCACCGTGCTGACGCCTCAGGAACAAGGATGCCGTGTGTGTGCGTGTGGAGTGCTAGGTAATGTAGTTGCCTGAGCCCGTGGTGAGTCAGCGGCAGAGGTGAGACGATCGGAATCGGGAGTAGTGGGTGTATGTGGCTGGGGTTGGGGGAAAAAGTTGGATATGGAGAGGCGACTGATGGGTCTGGATCTGGACTCGGTGAGGAAAGAAGGTACAGTAGTTTCTGGATGCTGACGAGGGACGGTACGTAGGCGGATGCGTGTGCGTGGATTGGAAATGAGAGGTAGGTTGTGATGGGCTTGATTGAGGCTTGTGGATTAAAGTATAAGTATACCCTCGATGGGCGCGGAAAGGAGGAGCAGAAACAGACAAAGAATCAGAATCACAGACAGAAGACAATCAGCATACTGAATATCTCAACTCAACAACTTCCTCAATCCAATCAACAAATTTATATGTTCCCAAACCACACTCACACCAACCACACCACCACCACCACCACCAAAATGCCTTCCCCACGCACCTCCTACGCCTCATCCACCTACTCCTACTCCACCACTGCCTCCAGCGCCGACACCATCCGCGACGCCAAACAATCCTCGTCCTCTAAGACACCCTCACCAAAAAAAGACTCCTTCCTCCAAAAAACAAAGAAAATCCTCTCTGGCCCATCACCAGAGAAGGAGGCGATTAGAAAGGAGGCGCGTACGCCGACTCAGGCGATGATGGAGAAGTATGGGGCGGGGAGGGGGAATATTATGGGGCCGCATTAAACGCTCTGAGCATTCTTTGTATCTTGAGATCCTGAGGGAGAAGAGAAGGGAAGTAAGATTCTGATCGCGTTTTAGGACGTGATCAGACTTGAAATCGGCATAAATGGCGCTGTTTAGCGGGAGGAATGGCGTTTTGGAGGAATAGACGGTTTTGTCTATTGCCTGGCCGCAGGGACGCCATGAGCCTCATTATTGCGGCAAATGTTTCTTTTTGTTTTGTGGTTATAATGAAGGAAGGGGACGAGGGAGATGGAAGGGCAGAGATGAGTTTATTGAGTAGTTAATTAAGAGATTAATATAATTGGCTTTATTACTGTCTTTATTAATGGCTTTATTATTGACTTTATTATCAGCTTTATTATTTGACTTTACTTATTAATTTATTCCTACCTTTATTATTACATTTATTATCACACCTTCTATCACCTTTATTATATACCTTTTCATTGTATAAAAACTCTATTAAAATCCCTCCGAATGGCTACGATGAGCATTAATAGTAAACTGCCGCCTCGTAAATTTAAATCATAGCTATGGCGGAAGGCCGCGGAAGACGGCGGCGGGAGGTTACTCGACATGTGAGAAAATGGGTCCCTGCCTGTCTGTCCCACCCAATTCTGACATCGCCTCGCCGACGACCCCTCTCCTCACCGCCCACCCCATCAGGCATAGCGCCACGCCGGCAGTAACCCCGCCCCACCAATCCACCATCTTCCGCTATAACTCCGATTACCCAAACTTCCTCGTCCAACAGCATTGAACTGCCTTTTTGCCTGTCACCTCCACCAACATTCAAGATGGAGGACTCGCTGACGGCAACTGCGTATCTGTTGGCGCCTGAAGGGGAGAGGAGGACAGAGATCGTGGAGAGTGTTGTTAAAGGTATGTGTGCTTGATTTTGTGATTCTAGAGAGGTAGGCAGGACATGGGTGTCTCCGGCTCCGGGGTGATGAGGGTGACATGGATAGAAGGAGCAAAGCTGACATCTGATTACCACAGGACTCGAAGATGGGAGTACCAAACTAGGAGATGTCGTGCTCTCGCTGCGTGATCCGTTATTCGGGAACGACGACGAGCAGAAGACACAAAGTACGTCGTCTACCCCCCCGAACCCCGATCTCGAATTGGGAAACACGGAGCTGACAACAAATAGCCATGGAGTACGTCGCAGCCATCCTGCGCGGTCTCAAACCCGACGCCCTGACGCGATCGAATGGTGAGTTTCCTTTCCTCCTTATCCTTCCTTATCTCTGAGGGGAATTCACCTAACACAACCATCTAGTGCGACTCCTCTTCAATTTCGTCGAGGCACGCCTCGGCCTCGACCCGAGCGGCTTCAAGGAGACCGTTCAATCCCTGCGCTATCTTGTGGCAATGTTGCGCTTTGAGGCCGCTCGTGCAGCGACGCTGGTCTCTCAGGTTTTCAATGCCGCCCAGGCCGCCCCGGGAGGCTTCACCAAGATGTCGGTGATGACGAGGTTCGAAGTCTATAATCTGCTGGATGAGCTTCTGAGCGCACACCGCGATGTGATGAAGGCCACGGGTGTGGATTTCATTAATATGCTTATTGAGTTGTCGGCGAGCGAGAGGGATCCGAGGAATCTGATGCTCATCTTCTCGATGGTGGAGGTGATACTCGCGGAGTGGGATATCGATGATATCGATAGTCTCAAAGAAGATCTTTATGAATTGCTCTCGCGATACTTTCCGATTACCTTTTCGGCGAAGAAGAATGATCCCGCCAGCATCGATCCACCCGAGCTGGTACTGAGATTGAGGAAATGTTTCGCAGCCTATAGCGGCTTCGCGCCCTCCATCTTTCCAAACCTCATCCAGCGCCTCGACGACCCGAATCGCCTCAACGCCAAAGCCGACGTGCTACTCACTATGAAAGCGTGCATCGAGCGCTACCACCCGACCACTGTCTCCAAATGGAGCAGCCCTCTATGGGATGCCTTGAAATACGAGATCTTTAATTCGAGTGACGACTCTCAAGCCCCTAAAGCCCTGGACGTCCTCGGCGCCATCGCTGCCCGCCTCTCAGGCGACCTCGTCATCCAAAACCTCGTCGGCACCGTGCTGCAGACCTACGTCGCCGCTATCGTCGATGAGTGCATGACACGTTTGCGCGAGAACGGGCCCAAAAACTCCGCCAGTGCTGGTGCCATAATGGCCTCCATCATCGCCGCATCGCCATTCGCGTATCACCTCGTCATGCGCGCCGCGATCCCCGAGCTGTTGAAAGAATTTAGCGGCCGAGATGCAAGTGTAGCCGATAAGCGCGCGGTGGTCGAGACGACCAATTTACTTCTCGATGGCAAGTTTGAGGCGTTGAGACGACAGGATAAGTGGGACTTCAGCGCTGTGGGGATTATTGACGGGATCAGCTCTGATGCCGATCGCGCGTCTGAGTCTGGAACGGATGTAGGCGTCGCGAACAAGGGACTTGAGTACTACCGTGACGAGCTGACGGCGATGTATATGGGCGTCGCGAGGGATACCCAGTGCGATGACAAGCAGTTCCGCGTTGCGGCCATGCAGGGCCTGGCGAAGCTGCTGAGGCTGCCGCAGTTCCTGGAGAAGGGGAGTTTGGACTCGTATGTCCAGTTTTTGGCCGGCGTTGTGCTCGAGACGGCGGATCTGAAAGAGCCTGTGAGGAAAGAGGCCATCAAAGCACTGCAGGAGTGTGCGGTGCTATATACCCGTTTGGTTACTGAGCAGGCATTCCCTGTGCTCCTGGCTTCGTTGCCGGATGTTTTGGAAGGTGAGGAGACTGTTGCGGACAAACTCGCCGTGCTGCAAGCGTTGGGTGATATTGGCTCCAGGGGACGAATTATGGACACACTCTTACGGAGATTGCTGAGCAAATTGGATATTGTCCTCCGTGCGAACGAGTCGCAGAAGTACGCACACCTGGTGCTTGCGGGGATCTTATACGCTGTCGAGCAGAGGCAGGCGCAGAGTGAGAATGGTGAGGTCGCAATGAGAGATGAGGAGGACTATCGCAGTCTTGTTGATGAACTGCTTCGTCGCACCGCGGCGCTCAAGGTGCATTCAAAGAAGTGGTATGTCGGGACCCGTGAGTTGGAAACCGCAGGCGGCAAGGTGCAGCCTGACGATACCTTCCTGGACGTCGTGGGGAGGATCATCATGGCTGCCACCTGCGGGATGGGCTTTGAGGAGCAGTACTGGATCTTTGAGAGGGCATTTGCGTTGAGCGTCGCATACGATGATTTCACCGCTGCCTGCGTCGCCGTCACTTCACCAGACGACCTCCCCGTCGACGATGACCTCTCCGCCAACACTGATATCTCCAAGCGCATCGACATCATTGATGCGCAGTTCGACCTCCTGTCCGGCCCCGCCGACAAACTCCACGCTCTAACCCTGACGAAATACATCCTCGCCACCCTACGCCGTGACAACCGCGTCACCAAGCCCGCCTCTGTCGTCGCCGCCAGCCCACCACCAGCAGCACTTCCCGTCAAAAAGCGCATCCTAACCATCAACACCACCGCCGCCGTCACAAACCTCATCACCTACCTCGCCACCACCTCTTCCACCCCGGCTTTGCGCTCCACGCTGCTTGACATCCTCTCCCTCCTGATCAACAAATTCGCCGCTCTAACTCCTGCTGTCACAGCACAGCTCCTGGGTCTTTTCACTACCTTTCCCTCGCTGTCGGCGCAGGAGGCGAAGTTGACGATTCAAACCTTGACGACGTGCACGCACGCCTCTCTCCTCGCTGGGTTGCCTGCTGCGACGCAATTAACCACCGCCCTCTTATCCGCGCTCGAACTACCAGCGCCGACGGGACAGTTGGCCGCACAGGCATTCACGCATCTCCTCGCGCCCTCACCACTTCTCACGCGTCGCCAACACGCTCTCATCCGCCCCCTCGCACAACAGCGCCTCTTCCACACCGCTGTCCCCGCCCTTCTCTCCACCTTCTCCTCCCCTACCACTTCTGCCGCGACAAAAACAAATGTCCTCGTTGCGCTATCGGGATTGTTGGGGCATGCGCCGGAGGAGTACATAACACCCTTCATCCCCTCCCTCCTCCCTCCCCTCCTGCAATCCCTGGATTCCTCCCCCGCAGCCACAAAGAAAGCCTCCATCGCCGTCCTCCGCTCCGCCGCTACCAGCAGCCCGAAGGCATTACAAGAACACGACGCAGCGCTCGTGAAGAGGTTGTTGGCTTGTGCGACGGGGAGGGAAAGTAGGGAGGTTAAGGTGCGCGCGCTGGAATGTCTGGAGATCTTGCCGAAGGTGTGGGAGGTGAGTGTGGTGGCGAGGTTGAGAGGGGGGGTGGTGAGGGGGTTGGGGTCCGTGGTGGGGGATGGGGGGAGAGAGGTTAGGAGGGGGGGGGTGGATTGTTTGAGTGCTTGGTGGAGGGTTGGGGAGGGGGAGGGGAATTGAGTGGGAAGGGAATTGAGGGGTGGGGGGTTGGGATGGAGATTGAGAGAGATATGGGAGAGAAATTGGTTATTTCGGGAGTGGTATAGATGGTATTTTTCGGAAGTTGCATTGAGAGGCGTTTGCCGGTTTTGATAGACAGCTGGTGCATATCCGGATGATAAATGGAGATAGATAGATATGAATACAAACGCACTTCACTCATTAATCACCCTCCCCCCGCATCGCACTTCCTCATAGCCAGACGAAAGCATCTGTGTTAACGGGGGGGTTTATTTTCTATCTGCTAAAGTGATGGTATCTTGGTGCAGTCGTCTAAACCTGGGAATGATTTTAGTATATATAGGCTGCTATTCTCATTATTCGTTCATACAAGAGCAAAACGAGAGAGAAAGTAATAACTGGATAACGAATACATACATGATACCCTACTACACCGCCGTCTACTCACGGCCAGTTGGTCCTAACGAAGATCAAGTAATAGTGGTGGTAAGGGTGTGGGAAGTCTAGCCTGCATCTCTATCCTACGCAAGTCCACTCGCCTCAAAAGCATGGATACGTCCTCATCTTCCACATACGACCATAGACTCAAGAGAATTGGGCATCCCGTCCGCTCTGCCATACACAAGCTTGCGTAACATCAGACTAATGGTCTCAATCGTGCCAATAGGCATGGCGCGGAATCACGGCCCCTTGCCGCCTGAAGGGTGAGGCGAGGGGTGAGCAGGGTGAGCAGGGCACTAAAATCCTACGAAATGCACACTAGTCTCAAAAGTTACCCCATTTATTACTGAGTTGAAAGATAATTCGGCCCTATCCCTTCTTTCAGGGATAGGGATAGGGCCGAATTATCTTTCAACTCCCTGAAAGAAAGGATAGGGCCGAATTAATAGTTTCGTCATCGTCAAGAACTATAAAACCCATGCACTGCCCCATAATAATCTTAAGAAATTCCCGTAGCCCACCTCGCTACTGTCAACTTTAAACCTTTCTATTATGATTGCTCCAACTCACTTTCGAACTTGGGCATTTGTCCTTGTCGCACCAGCTTTGCTAGTTTCCCATTGTGCCGCATTGGAACCCGAGTTTGATTTTATTATTGTTGGCGGTGGAACAGCAGGCCTGACTCTGGCCAATAGACTTACTGAGTTTCCGCATGTTACTGTCGCAGTAATTGAAGCAGGCGGTGAAGTCATTAACAATCCGAATGTGACGGACCCAAACTCCTTCACGCTCGCCCTTGGTACCGCGATCGACTGGCAATATGAATCTGTCAATCAAACTCATGCAGGAGACCAAAAAATCGCATATCACTCTGGCAAAGCTCTTGGTGGAACGAGCACAATCAATGGTATGGTATGATCTTAGCATCCCTAATGTTGATCGCTAACAAATCTAGGCATGACATATGTGCGCGCAGAGAAAGCTCAGATAGATGCTTGGGAAAAACTTGGAAATAGTGGATGGAGTTGGGACGACCTGTTCCCGTATTACCTAAAAAGCGAGCAGTTCGATTCTCCCACATCTGCTCAAGTCGAAGCAGGTGCAACATACGTTTCACAACAACATGGCAAAAAAGGTCCACTAAATGTAGGATATGGCTTTGGACTGCTGAATGGCACATACCACGAAGTGGTAGAACAGGCATGGAACAATTTGGGCATTCCTACGAGTCTTGATGTTAATGGTGGCAATGTTCGAGGCTTTACTGTTTGGCAGAGTACCATGAATCGGGATGCTAACCTGCGAGAAGATGCTGGTAGAGCGTATTACTACCCAGTTCAAAGCAGGCCCAATCTTCACGTGTTCCTAAACACAGTTGCAAATAGGATTACCTGGCGAGAGTCCACGAGCGAATGCGCTGTTGCAGGTGGTGTGGAAATAACAGCTGCGGATGGCACAGTTACTACCCTTGATGCCAAACGTGAAGTCATTCTCTCAGCCGGCTCATTAAGATCTCCTGCCATTCTCGAGCTCTCAGGAATAGGAAATCCCAGGTAGTTAAGCCTCCTCAAAAACACACCAAGTTTACTGACGTGAGAAGCATCCTAAATAAATCCGGAATTCCTGTCAAGGTCAACCTCCCCGCCGTCGGCGAAAATTTACAAGACCAACCGAACAGCCAGATTATCATGTCTTCTAATACAACGTTTAGTGGATCTATTCCATACGTAGCTTTCGGTTCAGCTTCTGATTTTTTGGACTCGCTGCCTAAAAATGTCAACTTAACGGCTTGGGCTGAGAAAGTTGCAGTCGCAATCGATCATGCTATTAGCGTATCATCGTTGGAACAACTTTTCCGCATACAATATGAATTAATTAACAACGGCGTTGTGGATGCAGAATCAATCCTCGAGACAACCTTCAGTATTGGCTTAGGTCCAAGCGGTTTGGTAGCTTCAGCATTTTGGCTTTTACTGCCCTTTTCCAGAGGCAACGTGCATATTAGCTCCTCGGATCCTTTGGCATATCCGGTCATAAACCCAAACTATTTCCTCGTTGACTTTGACGTCGACGTCCAAGTAGCGATTGCGAAATGGACAAGGAAATTCTGGGAAACGCCTCCTATCCAAGGTCTCGCAACTGAGACGTCTCCTGGATTTGATGCATTGCCTAAAGATGCTTCTTATGAGCAATGGGCGAATTGGGTGAAGACCACTTGTTAGTGTCCTACCTCTCTTGGGACGTTTTTCTTACTGACATTCACCAAGTTGCTGGGAATTCACACCCACTAGGAACGGCAGCTATGATGTCAAGAGAGCTTGGCGGAGTTGTGGATAGTGAGCTGAGGGTTTACGGGACGCAGAACGTAAGGGTTGTTGACGCAAGTGTTATCCCGACCCAGGTCAGTGGGCATTTGACGAGTACGATTTATGCGATTGCAGAGAAGATTGCCGATGTTATTAAGGTTAGCATTTAATTATCACGGGGAGCGTGATATAAACGTTAAAGATGATGCCTGTTACGAAGGATGGTGTGCGTCAGAAGCGTAGCGTGTGGTTTAGCTGTAGACTTCAAGGGGGGAGACACTGTAACCGGCTATACCGATCTTGAGGAAGTGCCAGATACCATTTGGGATCGAAAATTTGAATGACGATTGGACGCCTAGCTTAATGCTAGGATTTTGAACGAGAGGAGTCAACTCAGCCTCATATACGAGACGCAATGTGCACGGTCCATACCAAACGCCTCCACAAAACTACGCAGAATAGCCTCGCTTCTGTGCCAGAGCAAGCCGATCTTTAGGAGGAAGGGCTTTCCGTCCTATTGTAGTAGATATTGAAAAAAATACAAAGTTGTAGAAAGAGGACCTTGAAATGTGAAGGCGGGAGACTAGCCCTTTATACCATGTCCCTAGCTCAGCCATACTCACCTTCCTCACCCATCTAGCTCACCCTACTCACCTTGCTCACCCTGCTCACCCTGCTTACCTTGCTCACCATGCTCACCTACCCACCCAGCTCACCTGTGTGCATCTAATGTCGCAGTGCAACACGTCGTCAAAAATGGACCCACTTTTGGATGGTCGAGGTGGTCGAAACAAGGGTAAGGGCGGCGAGGCTCACCCGCTAGGCCAGATGGCACCGATTTAAGTAATATCCAGGTGTTTGCTTGAAATCGGTAGATTAGTAGTTGGGTGGGTGACCACCAGCGAATACCTACTGTTGCATGTAATTTTTTTGTTGCGTGAATAGCCACACGAGCATCCATGGCGTCGACCTGTTGCTTGCCTAGTATCAGTGAAAGATATCTGCCTTTAATGCGTCTGCATGGATTCAGATAGTACCTCCCGTATCACTGCACTGATCACTCCCGCCTGTATGCACCCGTCATCCAACACTGTATTGGGTAGGTTTAGATAGCATGCTATAGAGCAATAGTATCCATCGTTTTCACGTTGGCGCCTCCTCTCTTTTGTTAGGTAAGTTAGCCTTCCTATGATAAGTCTCTAAGCGCGTGTGTAGCATGTTGCAAGGCTGGTACACGGCGATAGGCCACCCCGTATTGTCATCTGTTGTGTCGATTGCATTGCTTGGGTCGATTGCATTGCTTGTGTCAATTGCATCTCTTTCGTCGCCCTCATATCTTTCATTTTCAGAACAGCCCATCAGAGTCCAGATTTCTTTCATATAAATTGTAAAACTGCCAACACAACTCTCCCCCTTTCACGCCAGCCAACCCCGACCGCGCGAGCATTACCCCCAATCCCAAACCCAACCCATTTTCCCTTCTCCTTGACTCAACGCCAGCCCGCAATCTCTAAAACCTACATGCTCTCTCCCTCTACGCCTTCTGCCTCCTCCCCCTCGCCCCCTCCCCACCAACAGCACTCCCACTAGCTCTGACAGCCTCCTCCACCGTCTCCCTCAACGCCGCCACCTCCGCCTCCTTCCCTTTAACCCCCAGCGCGGCCCTACCGGGATCAGCCTTCCCTATCACGGGAGCGGCTCCGGCGAGCATCTGCTGGAAGGGGAGGGCGACGAAGTGGCCTGCGCTGTCGAACCAGTCTGCGAAGGGGCGGGAGAGGGTGGTGGTTGTGGCGGCGGGGGAGGTGGGGGATTGAGAGGTTATGGTTAGGGTGTAGGTTGGGGTGTGCTTTTTTGTGGAGGTGGAGATTGCGATCTGGTGTGGTGTTAGCTTGCGCTCGGTTTTGGGGTGAGAGTGAGAGTGGGAGTGTGAGTGAGAAGGTGGGTGAGAGGGTGATGGGGATGGGATAGACAGCTTACCTTATCGCCCGCCTTACTAGTCCCTACATACACCGTCCCTCCCTCGACAAGCCAAACCCACAGCGTCAGCGCGCCATTCAGGAGCGTGTAAAGCGCGACGGCTGCCGCGCTGTAGTACTTCGTATCGTCGAAGCCGAGCTTGTAGTCCCAGCAGAAGCAGGCGGCGCAGATGGCGAAGGCCGAGTAGCCAAGCGCGAGGCGCACGTCGCAGAGCGTGTGCGATTGCTTGAAGGAGAGGGAATTGAGGTAGTTGGGGATTGCGTCGTCGGAGGTGTTTTTGAGGTCTGGGGGAATGAGTTAGTTTGGTGGTTTGACAGGTGGAGCTTGGGAGCTTGGGGTGTGAGAGATGGATGGGGGTAATTGGTGCAGTTTTGAGGGGGGTTGAATTGTAAATAACATACCTGACAGTGAATGCACCGTGATCTTCGCATTTGCGTCCGCCATATCTTCTAAATTGTTGTTGTTCGTCTTTGGTCTCAGGGCGCGCGCGAAACAACTTCCTACCACGAGACGAGGCTGACAGCTCGCGTTGGCGTTTCCGACAATCTGGCTTTAGGACACGCCAGTGACGCGGAAGGCTCCGCTTAGCTAGACGAAAGCTACTCTCAACGTCACCCCTGTGCCACTACGAGAAACCTTCAGCAGCACCACCTCGTCGCTGCCGCAGAACAAGTCAATCAATATGGCGCAAGCGGTTGTGCAGACGATCCGAAGGGATCCCCAGTTATTGTGAGTTGGCAATGGGTGCGGCGACGAGATTTGATGAGCTGACTTGAGGTAGCATATGGATCCTCTTCCCCATCATCACGGTTATGGTACATATACCCCCCACTGCCCACCTCAGACATACATACACAATCTAACACCTCCCCCTTCAAGATCTTAACCGGTGTCCTCCGCCACTACGTCACAGTCCTCATCGCCTCGACGCCGAAGAAACTCGACCTCCTCTCGCTGCGCGAGCAGCGCTCCCTCCAGCGCGGCATCACCTTCCGCACGAACGCAGCCGTCATCTCCGACGCCGCCTTCCAGGCTCGCAAGAACACCCTCGTCTCTGCCTTCCAGTCTGGCGCCTACCTCAAGAACCCCGACGCTAAGGGCCAGCCGCCTGCGAACCCAATGACTGACCCCGCTGCTATGGAGGGCATGATGGGGATGATGAAGGGGAACATGACTATGATTGTCCCGCAGACGCTCATCATGGGATGGATCAACGCCTTCTTCAGCGGATTCGTCGTTTGTTCGTCTCCCCCCTCCCCATAAACCGTAGCAGCAGCCAGGCTAACCTCCCCCAGTGAAACTCCCCTTCCCCATCACTCCGAAGTTCAAACAAATGCTCCAAGCCGGCGTAGCAACACGCGACCTCGACGCCCGCTGGGTGTCCTCCATCTCGCTCTACTTCATCTGCCTCTTCGGCCTGCAGACCGTCTTCATCTACCTCCTCGGCAGCGACAACGCAGCGAGCCAGATGGCGCAGCAGCAGATGGGTGGGCCGCCGCCGGGAGCGAATATGATGGGGCCTGGTGCGGATCCGGATAAGATGTTCCAGGGCGAGGCGGAGAATATCGAGGTCATGGCGCATGAGTATATTTTGGATGGGGTTGAGGATCGGTTGTTGCAGAGTGTGAAGGCGTAGGTGTGGGAGGGAGGGGTAATGAATGGAATGGGCGTGTATAATGTATTGGATGATGCTATCGGATAGACTAGAATTGGCATGGTTTTGGAATACATACTTGTACACATCAAATAAAGCTGAAGAGATATATTCTATCTGCCGGTTTCAATCTTCTTCATAAGTTTGGGCGGCAATAGTGACCCAAGGAGCTGGCCGTAACCAAACTAAACATCAGTACTCCCCTCATCCGTCCCCGTGAAAATACTCCACACCCGCTTGCTAACACTTTTCCCAACCTCCTTATCCGTAAACACCCCGTCCTTGTTCGCGCTCTTTCGAACATGCGTCAAGGCATCCTTCCCCTCCTTCTTCAAGCCCTCGACCAGCGTCTTGACACTTGGATACTCTGCTGCAATACCATACGCAATAGGAGCCGTCACGCGGTTGACCTCTTGCAGCATCCTGACATAGGTGTCCGGTGCGTCCTCGCCGGTCTTGATCTGCCCCGTCTCCATGCAAAACGCAGTGTCGAGGGCCATACGTTGGCGGCTTTAGATGTTAGTTATAGCGCCTAATATGAGATGATGGAAGACTTACCGATAGGGTATGGTAGCGATGTGCTGCGTGAACACCGCGAACCACTCCGCCGTCTCCACCAGAGCAGTTGTGTGATGAATCAACACGCCATGAATAACCTGCAGCCGCAGCAGCGCATCCTCAATCATATCCTCATCAACATACTCCGCAGCCTTCTTCCTCGACCTCTGGGAGCTTGTTCCCCCGTCCACTTCACCCATCTGCCGCCTCACCGCATCCGTAAACTGGCGATTCCTCACATTCCTATTCTTCCTCATCCACGCAGTTAGACCCTCAATAAGATAGATTATCTCGAACCCATCAAACCGCGCCTTCATCCTTAGTACGTGAGAGTCAAGATCCTTCCCATCCTCGTTCGTTCCGAGAGCTACAAATTCGGCGGCGGGCATGTAGCAAAGGACGTGTTTCTCGTCTTCGATCACAGAAGGTACAGGCTCCCAGTGTCCCTCTGTTTCGTTGTACTTTGCATCCACCTTTCTCTTCCACCGTAGCACATTCTGCACGGTGCCACTGCAATCCCACTCTTGGTAGTTACATCCTATCTTCCCAAAGAATCCCTCGGCCTGCTGCCTGAGTTTCTCATCGAGACCAGATGGAAACACCGCAATCATCTCGGGGGTTGCGACTTTCTTGTCGATGCGCAGGGTGTTGACCTTCGCTAGATCCGCCGCAATCTGTTTGTCTCTCGCCTTCCCCTCCCTAACAAGCCGCTTACGCTCAGCTTCAGCCTCTTTCTCAGCCTGCTTCTGTTCTGCGGTTTTGACGACACGTTTAGGCTTATCAACCTTTGGAGCACTCTTGCCACTACCGGGTTTGTAGGCGATATACGCAGCAGGGGCACGAGCAATCGCAGATACTTGACCGGATGCAACCTGGGAGGCCATCACAGCGATATCCGGCAGGTCGAAATCAGAATCGTCATCGTCGAACACGTCCACCGCCGCCCTACTAACAGTATTTGCCGGCCTACTTTCTTCAATATCAGATAGATCTGCATCCCGCTCTATTTCTCGCCTCCGCTGGCGCCTCCTTTCCTCAGCTAACTGCAGGAAATCCGGCGACGATGTAAACGTGATCGGGTCATCGTCGAAAACACACGTCGCCGATCTCTTCAACCCACTCGCCTTCGGTGGTCCAGTAGTGGTTTTGGAATACGGTGGCGCGGCTGAGATATCCGAGACTACTCTCCGAAAACCTTTGTTCAACGGAGGCAGCGTCGCGGGTTCGGGCGTCACCCTCTGCCTTTTGCTTGGGGGAGGGTGTAAGTCTGCTGGCGGACGAAACGTGTCTGCGATGCCGGAATCAAGAGAGTCGTCGGAAAGGAACATAAAATCATTATTCGATGGCCTTTTGGAGAGCGGTGATGGTCTGTAGAAAGTCTCGGATTCTGGCTCAACTGGTACATTGCTCCAATCCCAACCAGTGCTCACAAGTGGGCTGCGCGTTACTTCTGGCACAGCAGCCGGCAACGCGGTGATATCCTCATTATCCAGATCTATCCACTCCTGCGCCTTTCCATGGACTGTGCTCTTAATACTCTTAAACCCATCCCGCGAATCACTCCTCTTGTCACGGCTTCCGCTTGCGCTCGCCTTGGCAGCCACAGACACAGCTTCCGACGCTGTAACTTTAGCAAGCCTTGCAGCCGCCTCCAGGGGCGCCTTATACGTGTTCCTCGGGCGCACAATCGGAGCTCGAGGAGGCGGACTCGAGCTCGACAAGAGGTTAATGACTTCGATAGGCATGGCGTTCTTTGTTTGCCCTTGTTTACGCTGGTCTCAATCGCTGTAGCCAAAATATGGACAAACACTCTCTTTTCCACCCCCGATAATTCCGTGAGCAATTGAAGTCGTAATCGCGATCCCGCGCGACTGATTGATTTGGCAATTAGTTGTTTCCCATCACGCGCGATGTCGACAAGGTACTGACGCGAACGATCCGCGCTATCACATGACCGCGATTAGTGAATTTCTTAATTTGTGTGACGTCCCTGCATCCCCAATATAAAAATTATGAGCGCGAGATAAATTGTGACACAAAAAGAGCTACTAGAACTATAAATTATAAGAACCCCGCCACTATTCAAATCTATACCTTCCTCCTTTCAAATTCACTGCTCCATAAATCCGGCAACCTCGATTCTGGTGAATATTTCCCCATCTCCAAATTTTTTATCTCTCCGATACCCCGCCGAACCCCGCGCTAAAATTGTGAAATCCAGATAAATATCTCCAACCCTTATAACAGGGCCACCAGCAGTTGCTCCCCCATTGCTTAGAGCCTTTTCTCGATCTAAATCTCTGCAATGGCCAGCGCCGAGCTCCCGCCAACATGCAAGGTCGTCCTCGCCGGGGGCATCGCAAAGGGCCTCTTGGCCGAGGTGGCAGAGGGCCTGTCGACGCTGAAGACCAAGCCACGTGTGATAGGACTTTTGGCCAACGATGATCCGGCGGCGAAGATGTATGCGGATTGGTCGTCCAAGACCTGTATTGAGAAGTGAGTTAGCTGTTCTTCCGTCTCGTCGTGTCTGTCTCCATTTCTAAATATATGCCCCGCCATCACGTGGTTCTCCTTTCACCCCTCCATTTCACGATATAAGGTCTCCTTCACCACCCCGCCTCCCCAAAGCCCTCACGACGGAAAGAAATTTTTTCCCCAGCAAGACACTAACCCGCCCCCCCAGCGGCTTCTCCTTCGACCTCCAAACCGTCACCAAAGACACCCTAGAAGACGCCATCCAATCCGCCAACGCCGACCCCTCCATCAACGGCATCCTCGTCTACTACCCCGTCTTCGGCCCCACGCAAGACCGCTACATCCAGCAACTCGTCGCCCTCGACAAGGACGTCGAAGGCCTCGCTCACCGCTACGTCTTCAACTTGTACCAGAACATCCGCTTCCTCGACCCTGCGAAGACGCTCAAGTCCATCCTCCCTTGCACCCCGTTGGCGGCTGTGAAGGTGCTCGAGCATTTGGGTGTCTATAATACTATCTTGCCTTATGGGAATAGGTTGCACGGCCGCACCATCACCGTCATCAACAGATCAGAAGTAGTCGGCCGTCCCCTCGCCGCCCTCCTCGCCAACGACGGCGCAACAGTCTACAGCGTCGACATAGCCGACGTACAACTCTTCACGCGCGGCACCGGTCTCAAGCGCCACCACCACACCGTTCACGAGAAGCCAGGGTGGGAACTCAAAGACTGCCTGCCGATCAGCGACGTGGTGATCAGCGGAGTACCAGGGGAGAAATTCAAGGTCCCGACAGAGTTGATTAGGGATGGGGCTGTGTGTGTGAATTTCTCGAGCGAGAGGAATTTCGATGGCGTGGCGGTGAAGGAGAAGGCGAGTATTTATGTGCCGGCGATTGGGAAGGTTACTATTGCGGTGTTGTTGAGGAATCAGTTGGTATGTTGTCTTTCCTTTCTTTTCTTCCTTTCCTCCTGCTTCTTCTTCCCCTTGTTTTGTTTTGTCGTCTTCTGGGCGGCGTATCTGTGTGTATGGAAATTTACTAACAACCAACAGCGCCTCGTACAAAACCAAGCCGCCCGCCCCGCAGCAATGGAAGCAGCAGTAGAAGCCACCAAAGCCGAAGTCTCCGGCGTCGTGACCTCTATCTGAGGGCAGCCAGCCACCCGTCGGTTTTCAGACATTAGTTTACGCCTAGCGATCGATAGATGGGTGAAGGGAAGGGGAGGGAAGGGGAATGTTCAACATGAAGCAACGAATAGATAGACCAACCAATCAAGGAAGGAAGTGTCGAAGGAAGATAAAAAAAAGAAAGAAGACATTGGATAAGGGATGGGGAGGGGGTGCGCGTATATAGAATTTCATACACACATTTGAGTTTTTTTTGGCCTGTTAAATTCATCATCCGTTCCCGACTTCTCAGTTGCTTGAATGAGATTCACACTCTTACAGTTTCACACACTACACACCAAAAAAATAATACATAAACCATCCATTTTACTACCCTACCCCCCGCCAGATCCCACCCAACCAATCTACCAATCTAACCCACAAAAAACCAACCCCCTTTAAAAACACAAGTACAAAAGCGCCATCCCATGCAGGGTATACCTCCCCCCCTTCCCCTTTCCATCCTCCTCTCCCACCTTTCCGTCGTATTTCTCATCTCCATACATTCAGCGCTAAAGCAAAGTCCAGACAGACAAGTAACAAACAACAGACAGTAAAAAAAATACCAACAGAGGCGCCGCAAAAAATGCAGAATCGAGTCGAGTCGAGTCCTTCCACGTTTCCCCCTCGTACGCGTGGAGGATGTGGTTGGGGGGGGGGGGTAGACAGAACAATGCCGAGCCAGCGCGCACCGCCCCTCTCCGGAGTATTAAGAAGGCAGCAGCAGCAGCAGCACCTAAAAGCTCACCTCCCCCTCCTCCATCTCCTCCCCCACCCCCTCCATCCCCCCACCCATCCCATCAACCCCCCCCACCTCCCCCATAATCTCCCCCAAATACCTCCTCAAACTCCTCAACCCCCTCAAAAACCCCCTATCAGGCTCCCCCGGATGCCTAGGCGGACATCTCCTCCCCACCCCCCCTCCCACGCCTCCATTCTCAGCCGTGACGCAGTTCGCGAAATCCGCTATCTTGAAATCTATTTCGCGCCCCTTGCGTGGTTGCTGTTGCTGGTCGGGGTCGACAGTTGGTGATGGGGGTGCAGTAGTGCCATTCGCGGCAGCGGCAGCGGCAGCAGCAGCAGCAGCCGCCGCAGCCTTAGCCGCCTCAGCAGCCTTAACCTCCTCCTCGCTCGCGCCATCATAAAACATAAGCAAGCTAGCCGCATAGAACCTATACCCCTCCAAACCCCCTATGAGGACCTCCAACCTCCCAATCCGCTCCAACAACCTGCCCACCCTCCTCCTCAATTCCTCCTCACCTCCCCTCTTCCCATCCCACAAAAACCTCCTCAGCGCGCCCCGAAACCCTTCTCCCTCCGTCAAGTCCCTGCCGTAATACTTGTCCTGGAAAATATACCCCTGACTCTCGCGATCCCACACCTGCAGTCCGCAGACGCGCACGCCCAGGGCGCGGGAGGTGGTAGCAGCGCACTTCCGCCGCTGCGAGGCCTGCTTAGCAGAGTCGGCGTCAACGCCATACTGTCGCGTGCCCATTTTAAGATCCATGATACACGGTCTCCGCATCCCCGCCGTCAGATCCTCCAGGAGCAGGAAATACTCCACTCTCGAATCAGGCTGCGTCTGCGTCTGCGCCTCCTTCGGGTTTGCCGGGCGCGGCAGCACAGGAAGGGGTGGTGGGGTGGGGGCGTCTGTGGCGGTGGGTATGATATCCGTCTCAACCGGCTGCTCAACCACATGCGGCGGTTCCTGGATAACCGGAAGTAGCGGAAGAGAAGTCGTAGTCTGCAGCGCTGTGGCGGGTAGTACGACATCGGGGTCCATGGCAAACACATCCTCCTCCGCATCGCCCGTATACCCCGGATCATCCGCCTCAGCGAAGTACTTCAGACTCCCCCTGTCCTTCTCCCCTTCCTCCGGTCTCCTCCGGAGTCCACCACTACTATACCGTCTCTTCTTCTTCCCCTTCGGTGTCTCCACCGGCGCCACCGTCTCCGCCTCAGGCGCACTAGTCCCAATCTGCTCCGCGAACTCCTCCTCATCGCTCAACACGCCATTCTCCCCCTTCTTCGCCTCCGTAGCAGCCTCAGCATGTGCCCCCCCAGTAGCAACAGGAATAGAAACACCCCTCCCCACCTTCGTCGGACTCCCCCCCCCATCCACCCCCCTCCTCAGCGCCGCCGCCTTAATAGCCTGCATCCTCAGCGACACATCCTCCTCCTCTCTCCCGCCGAGATTCAGATTCGAATCCGACGTCGTAGCCCTCAGCACCGGCGGCACAGCTCTATGCGCCAGATCCCTTCGTAGATGATGCTGTCCTGGCTTCTTATGCGGCTGCACCTGCACCGGCTGCCTCAGGAACGCCTCCCCGAAGACCTCATAGCGGAGTTTGCGATTCACCGTCGTCGCGCCCCAGCTGACGGCATGACGATCCGAGAGCGTCGGTCTCTCCTCGCCATTAACCGGCTCTGACGTGCTGCGACCGGTCTTGTGGTCGGGCGAGACGTGGATGTTGGAGTCGGAGAGGGATTTATACGGCGTCTCTGTGAGCGGGATCGGGCCGCCCTGCATGAAGCTCTTGGGGATGATGTGGCGGTTATCCGCGAAGGTGACGGTAGGCGTCGGGATCGGGCCGGCGGCGAGGGACTGGCTGATGACGCGCGGGCGAATGCCGTTTGTGTCGCCGAGGGTGGAGGGTAAGGTGCCGTTATGGGCGGCTGTGGCTTTTGCGGCGATGAGCTCGGCGGCGCCGGTGTTTTTGAGGGTGGGTTTGCGTTTGAGTTGTTTTTCGAAGGTGACGTTCAAGACTCCGATGTACCTAAAATACAAATAATCCCATCAGCACACACTCTCTCCAACGACACAAACACGAACAACAAAGCGGTGGACAAGATCATATAGTCTTCCAAGGCTCATCTTCATCGCCGCCAGCAGCGCGTGGGGGTTACCGGGGAAGACCGGGCGGGTGAGTAAATAAAAAGAAAACATACCTCGGCATGAACTTCAACAGCGCCGGATGATAATGCTCCACCGTCTCGTAGAACTGATTCTCGCGATTATTCAACTGCTTACACACCGCGCGCTTCGAGAAGCGCCAGAGCGTCGTGTGCCCGCCGACTTGGTGCTTATATGGGATGAGCTCGATGGCCTCGAGCGGCCCCGCCGCCTTGGGGCTAGGCTGCTGCTGCGCCGAGTCCTGTGTCGGTGCGCGCTCGCGCGTCTTCATAGTGTAGTCCTGCAGCGACGGCCTTCGCTCGGTCGGAGTAACATCGACATCCTCTCCCTGCTCCTGCGTAACAGGGACCTGCTCCTCGCCCTTCGCAGACGGATAACTAGCATCGCTAGAACTAAGAGTATTACCCGACGTCTGCGAAAAGAACCCCGACGCCGTTCTCGACCTCGGACTCACCAGCTCCGGCGACAACTTCGCCGGCGACACCTCCTTCTCCACCTCATGCGGCGCAACCTCATGTTCCACCAGCCAGCGCTCCTCCTCTCCCCTCTCGCGTCGATCCTTCAACGGCTCGCGACATGGCGGGGTATTCTGCGGCGACTCATCCCCCGGCTCGCGGGAGCTCTGATGCGGCACGAACAGCGCGGACGAAATCTTCTCCTCGCTCGACTCCTCGTCCGAGTTCGGCGACTCGGTGCGCGGCTTCTCGTCGCCCGAGGTAGCGGGCGCGGTGCTGTCGTCCGAGGGGACGCTGATGCTCAGGTCGGCGGTGGGTTGGCGCTCGGAGTCGGTGATGGGGATGCTGTTGGAGAAGGAGGAGCCTTTCGTGGCGGCGGGGGTGAGATTGTGGCGGCTGCGGAGGTCGTCGAGGAGTTGTGCGGGGAGTGTGTTTTGTCGCTCTGGGCGCCGCGGTGACTCGTCGGATTTCCCGGTTGTGTTCGCCCTGCTCATCCTCCCTGCGACGGTGTGATGCCGCGAGGTCGGTGGCGCAGTGCTCGTCGGTTCCACAATCGGTAAATCGAAATAGCTCCCCGACACATCCTCCGCAGGAGTCTGCTCGGTCGACCCAGCAATAGGAGACAACCTATCTTCCCCCTTCATCTGCGCCTCTCCAGCACCCTCACCACCCGCTCCCTTCTCATCCCTCAACCGACTCCTCCTCGCCGACTCCTCCGGCAACCCTTCCTTAAACAATCTCACACTATGACTCGACTTCCGACTGCGACTATTATGCGTCTCCCCCGCCAGCGCCTGCGTAATCGACTTCTCCACCTGCCCATCCTCTCCCGGACTGAGCGCCTCATCGCCAATACTCCACGCCATCCCCGCGCCAGGCATCCTCTGCCCATCCCTCCAGCTGCGGTATTCGGCTCTAAACCCCTCCGTCGGCGGGCGCTCCGAGATATCGCCCGGCGCAATCCCCTCGCCGTCGGTAGCGGGGCGCGTATACGTATACCCCGTATCGCCAGGGTTCGTCATCGTGCCACCGCTGACGTCTCGCTGCGCAAAGCTCGCCGTGGTAGCGCCCATCTTCTCGCGCGAAGTGCGCTCCAGCGAATTGCCGCGCACGCGCGTCGAGCGCAGGAAGGCGCGGTGGTCGTGCAGCAGCGCGTTGACGTGGTTAATATTCATATCATGTAAATTATACCTCGCCGTCTGTTGCGGCGGCGAGAGCGGGCGCATAGTCTGTGCCGCCATATCTTTCGTTTCTCGGGGAAGCAATTGCTCCCGTCGTTGTGTTCTCTGCCGTAGCAGCTCGTCGTCTCCTACCGCGGCGTCTGCGTTCACAGCAGCAGCATCCGCCGTCGTCGACTCGTCAACCTCGTACGTCGGGGCGAGCAATTTCGTTAGCAGACTCGAAGACGTGGCGCGGCGCTGAGGGAGTAGTCCACGGGACGAGATCCCCGCGACGGCGGCGGGGGGCCGGGCGCCATTTTGTACGCCGCCCGGGGCGTGGGCGGGCTCCGAGGGGGGCTTCGCCATGGGGCGCGCATCTAAGGGCCGTGTGGCGGATTGGTTCGTCGGCGGGCTTGCGCGCGCTGTTGTTGGTGCTGTGTCTGTGTCTGGCCGGGAGCGTGTTTCGTGGGGACTGGGTGATGCGATGGGGGGCTGCTGCTCGGTCACGTTCGTGGCGTGGATCGGCTGTATGGGCTGGCTGGCTTGTCGGGTGGGTGGTGGGTGCCCAGTTCTTGGGGTTACACCGTACACGTGCACGCTGTGCTGGACGCTCTCTCGCTCTTGGGTCCTCTTGGGGATCCCGTGGTCTGGCCAGCGATGGAAGGAGGCGATTATGGGCGGGAAAGGGAAGGAGCGAACGAGCGTGGTTGAGGTAGAGGTGAGATGTGGAAGTGGCGGTGGGAGCGAGCAGCAATCAATCCGTCATTCAATCGAAATGCGCGCTTTTTATCGTTCCGTGAGGTGAGGTGAAGAAAGGCCGATGCAGTGCTTGCAGTGCTGCAGTGTGTGTGTGTGTGCGTCTGTAGGTTTTCTGTACCTCTATGTCGTCTGTGTCTTGTCTCCCTGCCGTGTCTGAGAACTGTACCTGCGCAAAGCTCTTCCCTGTTCTTCTTCACAGTAGTCGTTATACGGGGAAATATGTATGGATAGACACCACTGCAGGTTGGTCTGTGTGAATAGGATCGATGTGCAGCGGTCTGTGGGTTGGTTGTGCTTGTGCTTGTGCTTGTGCTCGAGTAAGGCGTGTATACCTCTAGGTAGTTGTGTTGTGAGTAGACCGTGGTACCCTCGTCGATGTAAGCTCTCTCTGCGTGTCTGGGTGTCTGCGTGGGTTGTTTTGCAGATCGACGAAGGGGAATGGAATGCGGTAAGATGAGGCTTTTTCGGTGGTTGTCGGTGGGTTGAGGGTTGTCTTGGTTGTACTGTTGTTAGTGTTAGTTTCGTGGTGGTGGCTTGGGGTGCTAGACGGGGGATTGTTTAGTGGATGGTTTGTGGGTTTGGTGGGTTGATTGGGGGAATGTTAGTGGTTGACAGTGAATGATAGTGGGTTGTTCTTACTAAAAGAAGCTGGGACGAGTGATCCCGTGGGCTGGCTCGCTATTCCCGTGGGCCCGGGTAGAGGTACGGTGTGTACAGTGTAATACAGACATAAGTACATACAAATCCAGACAATTACAGACGAATGAAGACGCGACGTGGACGATATAAACATCGAGATAGGGAGTCTAGAAGTGAGTATAGAAAGAGTAGAAGAAGACCACTACAATCCACTAACTTCAGCTTCACAATTACCGAATTGGGCCATAAACACACTTCAATTGACCTCCCATCCCTCTCCAACCTCCCATCCCATTTCCCCTCTCTCTCCTCACCAGATAACCCCTCCTCCCCCGCCGGCCCGTCATTTCTCCATTCCCTCCTTCCCTCTTCCCTGTCTATCCCCCTCCCTTCTCCCAACCTCCCCCTGTTCACCGCCTTGCTTTGCTAGCTATAGAGCTTTTTTTCTCCTTCCCTGTCTTCTTTCCCATGCCGATTAACCATTGATTGCCCATTGACCATACCCGTCCTACCCGTGCTCCCCATCCGTGCCTCCAATTGCCCATCCCCAATCCCCGGCGTTCTCTCTCCTCCACCAGCCTCCCCCATCTCCAGCCCTACTACCCTAACGCCTCCAGAAATTATATGGGGTACATATCCAACTACCAACTAGCAAACAGCTCCGTACTCTACATACACCGGGTACAGTATCATCTATCACCGTACCGCCCATCAATCATCACCGCCCCCCTGTCTCAGACATACAGATACATATGCGCATACATAGCATAACAATTACCACACCGTACCACCATTCAACCACAGATTACTCCAGCCAAGTACCCCCCTACCTCACTCAATCCAAAAGCTGTAAAACGGCGTCTAACCCCCGCCCCACCAATCAACCCAGAACGTGGCCCTCCCTCCCGCCTACCCGCCTCCCCCAGCACTTACCACTTACGCCGCGATGACATTCACATACATACTCACCTCACCGACTCCCCTCCTTGCTAAAACAGATCGATAGACAGCTTACGGAGTACAGACCGCACACTCCATGGTCCCGGCCGGAGTCTCAGCCGGTCGCCGGTCGTACACTGCACCTCATCGATCGAGGTGGTGGTCGTCGCCGGGCCGTTATGCACCCGTCTTGGGAGAGGACGTGGTGTCACCACATTAATCTGTAGCTTAGCTATGCCATGCCAGCGCGACGTTTGGGCCTGATGCTATGTGTTCAGGTATGTATGTATGTGTATGTGTGTAGGCCATATAATCATAAAATCTATCCATCTATCCATCTATATTGTGTCATTCTATATAACCACCCATCTCTACCCATCCCATCATCCAGTTTAGAGGCCCAACTTCGGACCCCCATCGATGAGCAGAGCAGCCGCCCTTCCAGGTTTCTCAAGTTCAGGTTAAGGTTCAGGTTCAATAACCAACCTACACGAACCCAACTCCTTAAATCCCTCAACCCCCCTTGAATATCCCTCACCAATTCACATCCCCCATCTCACCCTCCCTCCCTCACTCACTCACTGCCTCTTCTCACCCTCCCCCCTCTCCTCCCCAATCAACTCCTCTCTACTCCCCGCCCTCCCCCTCTCCCTCTTCTCCCCCCCCTTCTCCCTCTTCTCCCCCCCCCCAACCTTCTCCCCACGACCAGGCACCTCCGGAATCCCCGCAAGATGCTGCCCCTCCCCCCGCCCCTCAAGCTCACTCATCTGCACTCCCCCACTCCCGCCCCCAACCTGCGCCTCCAAATCCCCCGGCGCCCCCTCCTCCTTACTCTTGCGTCCAAACAATCCACCCTTCTTACTCCTACTCCTCACACTCCCACTCCCTCTACTCCCCGTCCTCCCCAGACTCGCTCCCTCCCCCCCACCACTTTTTCTCCCCTCCCCCTCCCTTTCTTTCTCCTCCTCATCCTCCACCTCAGCTTCCCTGAACGAGACAGGGACGCGCACCTTCGGCTTATCATAAATATCCCCCATATCCGCCCCGCTACTAATCCCACTCATCCCGAGCGAGAAATCAACACGTTTACTCATCTGTCCCATACTCTCCTTCCTTCCCCCCGGCACCCTCGCGCTCCCAGCTCTCATACTCCCCCTCTGCCTCAGAATCGAAGGATAGCTGCCCAGTTTCGATGGCGGAACCTCGGGGATCGTAGAGGGGTGAGAGGGGGATTGAGAGGCGCTGGTGGGGGAGCGGAGGGGGTGGGGGCTTGGACCTGGGCCGGAGCTGGGGCCGGAGCTGGGGGAGAAGGGGTGTTCGACGGTTGGGGGGGTGTAGGTGTTGTGGGAGGACATGTAGACGGGGGCTTCGGGGTTTTGGCCGGCCCATGTGCGGCGGGGTCCTTCTATGCCGAGGTCTTGGGGAGGTGTTAGTGTTGTGCTTCTTATTTTAGAGAAATGGGAGGAGGAGGGGAAAGGGGGGAAGGGTGGGGTGATAAAGGGGAAAGGTGAGGAAAAGGGGGTTATGACGAACCTTGCATAGCAACCATCAAGGCACAAATGAATTTATTCCGTCTCTGCAGACGCAACAACTCATTCTGCCAGTTACTCTTATAGAAGAAGACAACGTTCATACTAATGCTGTACGCCTCATACACCGTCCTCAGCTCCGTCAGAATATTGCTCTGATACTCCCTATTCTCCGTCGCCACGAACTCCATCAGAGCCACCCTCAGCCCCTCCAACTGCTCAATCGTCGTCCCGAACTTCATCGTCACCGGGACCGCCTCGGCGAGCCCACCACTGCGGCGCTGGTTGAGGATGAATAGCGTATTCAGGTAGCTGTTGGGAGCTTGCACGACGTGTCCTTCCATCTTCTTGAACTCGGTGAATAGGAGCGCTATCTCCTTGACGAAGTAATCATCACCCAACCCCGCCGCGCCCGTGTTTCCGTAGATGGTAACACGATCCCCGACATCGAAGGGGTGCTTAATGAAGACGAAAATGATACTCTGCAGCACCTCCTGCGCCGTCGCGCTGAACAGCCAAGACAAGGCCAACACCGCCGACCCAGCACTCGTCAGCACACCCGCCGCGCTCGTCGAGATCAGCGAGATAAACACCAGAATCGTAATCACCGCCACAATAAACAGAAACAAATCATCCAGCTTCCCCACCACCGAATCCAGATCCTTCAACGACGCCGTAATCGCCTTCCTCTCGCGCCCGATCTCCACGCACACCGCCTCCAGCTCCTCCATACTAATATCACCATTCATATCCTTATCAAACATCCCGAACGCCGCATCCGCCTCCTCATTATTATCAAACGCCGGCGCCAAGTCCTCGTCAGACACCGTCTCCGCACCCTCAGGCGCAAACGTGCGATGCAGGCGCCGCGCGAGCACTTGGCTCCCCGAAGTGCTGCTGAGGAGCTGACTAACGACCTGCTGCGGCTGGGCAGTTGATTCGACTTCGCGCCCGGCAAAGTCACCCGCTACTCTCCCCGCAACGTTGCCGACGCGGTTGAAGCCCTGTTTTACGCCCTTGCCGGCCTTGTTGATGTATTTTAGGGGGGTTTTGAGACCGGTGGATTCGTCGGTGGGGGAGGGGGCTTCGAAGTCGGAGTCCTTCATGGCGATTTTCTCGCGCGAGTAGACGTACAGCTTGACGAGGGAGCTGGTTTGGAATTTGTTGATCTCGATGCGGTCGGCGTAGGTGCGGAGGTGGAAGCTGATGGCGATGAGTTGGATGATTATCTTTTCGATGAAGTTGAGCGTGGCGCAGACGAAGATCGAGATGATTACTTTGTTCATTGTTTTCTCCCAGCCGCGAGTGGTCTTGTCGCCGTCAGAGTGGTGGTTTACCATCGTTGGGAGGAAGGAGACTTCCACGGCGAGCCACCAGAAGAAGAGCGCGATGGGGACTTCAAGCTGCCTTGCCATGTCTCGCCACACCTTCTCGGAGTTGGTGAAGATGGTGGCGATGAGACCCACGGGGTATGGGATGCACTTGGCAATGATCCGGCCCAGCCACAGCGTAAGCCAGAAGATCTCAAGCCAAATACAAAACCACATCAGCCTGACGTCTCCCACAGTCGCATCTTTGAACAGGAACGCCCCGAGGAGCAGTGGTATCAGTATAACCAGCGCCACAGGCGTGATATAGCACAGATACCGCACGATGAAACTCGATTGGTGGACTTTGATAAACATCTTCGCCAACCGCGTCGCCGGTTTGGCGGGCGGCTGATACACCTTGGTCTGCTCATACACGGGCGTGGTGCCGATATCAAATTCATCCGCCGGCTCGGTATTCACCCTCGACCTTGTCCGGGCGAGGGATCTGGTTCTCGACAGGGTCTCAGAGTGTCTTTCTCTTTCTCTTTCCTCGTTCGCTTGGTTGACCGTCGACTCCGCCTTCAGCATCTCGAGCTCATCGTCGAGCTGCTGAGACTGCTTCTGCTCGAACGGTGACATCGGGGAGCACCCCCGGGTATGGAGGCGTTCAGGACCTCTGTCATAGCTCGTATGTACACGCAGCTTGTTCTTATCGATATATTCATCCGTAGATTCATCGTCATCTACCGTGCTCTCGGATGGGCGGCGTCGCCTTGGCGCATCGGAATCGAACGCTGGGAAGGCATATTGATCTAACTGATCTACGTCTTTGAATTCCGTAGTTTGAGGAGGCATTGCTGGCCAGCCAACATTCGAGTTTCGAGATGGGTATATATGCGATTAGGGAGGTAGCGACAGTATGTTTGAAGAAGAAAGATTATCACGGTTTGGGAATCGATGATGGGCAGATAGATGGGCGGTTGCGCGTCTTCGTTCCAAAATAGAAACCTCACACTAGGCCACATTGTAGAGGTAACCGGTTGGCAGCCGTGTAAGTTGACCCAGGGGAGAGTCGAGAATCACATATGGAGAAGGGGATGCTGCCAATTAGGTCGAGAATGAGGGAATCAGGGCACTGAGAGTGGGGGAGGGGGAGCGGTACAGTGGGTTTTTGATGGGGAGGAAAGATGGAGATATGGAGATAGAAGATTGAACGGGGCAAGAAAAGTGGACGTAGGAGGAGCACTACGACGTCTAGTGTCCAACGGGGTGCCTCACTAGGAACCCACCAACCGATGCCGAACGGGGTTCAGAGCAAGATAAGGGAGCGGGTTGAACCCTGGATGAGTCTGGAAAAGTCCAGACCGGAGGCTGTACAGGTTATGATTTAGGATTTACCTCTGTGAGACATGAGAGAAAGAATGGGCATCTTCACTGGACGACGATCGAGCGGGAGGGTGATGATAGGCGGTCCAGCCGTACATACATGCAGTATAGAACGTAGTAGGAGATATTAGGAATATCACACAAATTAGACCAGGGCCAGCTTCTCCGTGGCAAAGCGGTCGAAAATTGTTTATTTTAGTCCGAGTCGCAAGTTTGGTACTTGGTTATGGGTGGTGGATATGTTGGAAAGCCAGGTACTGTTTATAGTGACGTCAGATTCTGATATCTCCTCGTAAATAACCCTGAACTTTACAACAGCTTGTACTCTTCTCGCAAGGATTTATACGCACTTATACCCATTTATGAGCATTTTATACCACTTTCCGCCACCTCCATCCCGTCTCCCCATGCATTTTCATCATCGTCGTGCAAATAAGAGTGTTGGATACTAACTGCTTGTGGGCTTCCGATGGGGTCCCCTGTGGCTGTGGCGTCACTAACGGGCGGAACGAAACGGAAACGCAGGCTCTGTGCCGCACGCTCTCCACCTTGGCACAGGGAGATCTTCGGTAGGTTGCCCTTTTTAATCTGGGATTTCTAATTTGTATTGCAATTTATATTACTACAGCGTATAGCATAATCGTACGAGTGGCAGAGTGAGTACTTTATAGAAATGTTGGAAAGATGTCGGCATAATGCTGGTGCAGCCAGAGTGCGGATTCACCCTGAAGTTGGACTGATATATCACGTGTATTCTTATTCTCTTGGCTAGTTTACACATGAAGTAGTTTCATGGACAGCCTTCCATCATCACATGAGACAGCATGAGCCTCTGTAGGAAGACAAGACAGCATGGGCCTCTGTGTGAGAAGACAAGACACCATAAGCCTCTATAAGAAGCATTAGACAGATCCCTCCAGCCAACCCCACTACCATCCTACCAAGCAACCCCCTTTTCCACCTTAGCCGCAGCAGTCTTCTTCTCCTCCCTCTTCCTCCTTTCCTCCCCCCTCAACACCTCCCCAAACGGGTTACTATTCCACCCCCCCACCCCCTCCATCCCCTTCACCACCGCCGCCGCCGTCCTAACCACCTCCTCCACCCCACTCTTCAATTCCTCTCCCCAATGCTTCCTCTCCCCCCCAGCCTCGATCTCTTCGCCAAGCATCCCCTCCCATCCCTTTCCACTAAGGCTCACCTCGAACCAGCGGGACTCTTGGTGAGTCTCTCCTCGTCCGGGGCGCGCGGAGGCGCGGTAGACAATTTGCCCGGAGGGACTGCGGCCCACGCGCTCGACGAGGAGGTCGTGCATTTCCGTGATGTGGAGGAGGATGGTGCCGGTGGTGCTGGTGTAGGTGCATTTGCGGGCGATGCGGATGGTGGGGAAGGAGAGGGCGTGGGGGGCGGGGAGGGTGAAGGAGAGGGTTAGGTTTGTGATGTCTGTGTTGGGTCTGTTCGAAAGAAAGGCAAAAAAGTTAGCTGTGCTCTCAACTTCATAGGCATCCGCGGCCAAATACTGTGGGATAAGGAAAATTGGGGAAACTCACGGAACATAAAGGCCCTCAACCAACTCCTCCGCCCACTCCTTATACTCACCCTCAACCTCCTGTCTCCCCGTACCACAAACCTTGAAATCCCACACGCGCTTAAGGCAATGAACCCACGTCTCCCCCAAACACGTCTCCCCCGTCTCACACTTCCACCGAAACGTCTCCGCATCAACCGTCACCACAAACTTCCCATCTTCTCCCCCAGCACCTCCATCTCTCGGATCCATACAAGAGAATATATACTCAATCCCCCACTTCGGCGTCTTTCCCCAAAACTTACCATCCTGCTCAAACAACTTCATCCCAACAATGGCCTCGACATCTCCCGCCTCCTCAGTAATAAGTGTAGTCATATCGGCTCTACGTCCCCCCTCAAACCATCTCGCCATTCTCTTCCTATCCACAATACCCGCCGTTCCACGGGCATCAGACTCAGAAATCTGCAACGCGTCGTGGGCGATCCAGATACGTCCGATCTTCACCTCGAGTTTGGCGCTGCCACGCCAGCCGCGAAGGGCCTGAAGGATAGGCGCGGTGGCGGTGTGGAGGGAGGTGATGAAGTGGGTGCTCAAGAAGGACGGGGGAGCAGCACGCACGAAGGTGTTTCCAACCCAGTGTCCTTTGGAGTTTGGGGCGGCGCGGAGGTTCATGGTGTGGTGGTAGGTGCGGGTTGAGGGTTCGGAGGTGGTTTGGAGGGTTTCCATGAGTGGTTGTGGAGAACCTGTGGTTGGTTTGGGGGGCTCCGAGGGTGCTTTGACAGGCCCAATTGGTAAGCTTGGTGCAATTGGCGCAGCGAGTGCGGTGGGCAGGAGGGAAAGGGGTTGCAGCGTGAGAGAGATGCTGTCTTCGATGTCCATGTCGAGGAGGGATCCGCGTTGGGGAGCTGCGCGTTGGGGAGCTGGGCCTCGAACTAGGGGTTCGAATAGACGTCTGAGGTGCGGTAGATGTCTGAACTCCGGTGGCATGGTGTCGATGGCAGTCGCAGCCTGGACTGGGGAGACACTAGCGTTCTGCTTCTTTGCATCCCTGGTGGAAGTTGTCCAAGCGATCTCACCAGCCCGGGCATTCTCACCAGCCTTTTGCTTCTTTGCATCGCCACTGGGGGTTGTCCCAGCGATCTCGGCAACCCGACTGTTCTCGCCAGCCTTTTGCTTCTTTGCATCCCCAGTGGAAGTTTTCCCAGTGCTCTCAGCAGCCCGAATACTCTCACCAGCCTTTTGCTTCTTTGCATCGACACTTAGAGTTTTCCCAGCGCTCTCAGCAGCCCGACTACTCTCGCCGACCTTTTCTTTGACAGGAGAAATCAAACCCTTCTCCTCGATTGGTACATCCTCCGGCACCGGTTCACCCTCCTTCACACCCCTAACCCAAACCACAATTTCCTCTTTCTTCTCAAGCTTAATATCCTCCTCCACCTCTTCACCATCCACCTGCTCCGCGTCCTCAATCACTCCCACCAACGGATCCACATCTCCCTTCCCAGCAAACTTATGCTTCGCAAACACCTTATACTCACCCCCCTTCTGCGCCTCATTAGTCACCGGGTCCGGTTTCTTTGGCAATGGCAAAGGGCGGAGACCGCGTCGGTTCTCATTGTAGATGGCGCAGCGCAGGACGGCAGATTTGGAGAGGGCAAGGTAGGGACTGTTGAGTGTGGGTGGGTAGGCGGAGATGTCGAGGAGGGTATTCTCGTAGAGGTCGAGTGCGTGGATTACCTTTACAGGGGTAGGGACAGGAGCGTATTCGGTGTGCTCTTCGGCGTAGAAGAGGTGGGTTTGGTTGGGAAAAGGGTTGTTGAAGAGGGGGACCTGGGGGTGGTTAGTGACAGTTGGTGATGAGTGGGTGGGAAAGGGGAAGGGAGGCCCTTACCTCGTAGTCTCGAACTTTATCGAGTTTGAGGATTGCACGGTGGCAAGTCTCCTGGTCGGGACCGACAATTGTAATCATCCTCGCCTCAGAGTTATACGTCAAAGTACACTCAGTGAGTTGCCCAATCTTCACTAGCAGCTGAGTACTAAAGAGACTACCGAGTTGCTCAATCCTTGGGCACGACCATTCTGTCTTCATGAATCCCTTAAGTAGGGCGTCATCTGCAGCTTCCTTGATCTCAGTACGTACTCCTAAGGGAATTGGTCCGATCTTGGTGGCTAGAGTGCTCTCTTTCTATAAGAGAGTGTGGGTTAGTCATGCACATATCAAGATCACACTTTGTAAAACGACTTACCGCAACAGTTGGCCCAACCTGCTCCTTGAGGAAGGCGTCAATCACACGAGAAAACCTAGTATACACCATCGCCTTCTCTGCCGGGAGGCAGTCGATCTTGAAGAAGTGCTTGTCATGATCATAGCTCAGTCGTGCAGCCTGCCAGGTCGCATTGTTAGTTAATATGCATAACTGCAGCTAAACGGGGGTATCCCCGCTGTAATATGCGGGTACGGGGTACAGGGATCATAGATCAGGGTAAGGAGATACCATATCAACAGAACTAGATCTGGGGATAGGGTGAGAGGGGAGAGAGAATGAACTTACAAGTCCGAGACCTTCAATTTCAGCAGTAAAGTTGACCTCCAGCTGCTCCTTCGCAGCAGGAGTAACAGTCCAGGGACAGGTGTAGTAGAACACAGCTGGGGCAGAGCCCTGGCACTGTGAGGAGAAGAAGATGTAGTATGACATCGTTGGGGATCTTATGGGGACAAACACCCTGCCTCGAGATTGTAGAAGTATAAGCTTATATAAAGCCTTATTGCAAGGTGAGCATAGAGCAAGGTCACTCACTCTATGCAAGTATGAAAGTAGAAGTTGATGTAACAGAATTGCAAAGTTAGGTGTTGAAAAAGGTCAACTTGTGTTTTGTGAATTTTGGAGATTATGGGGGAGGTGAAATACTGGGGCAACAGAACAACCCCATAAGCATTTTGGTAGTTTTCTTGAAGGGACTGAGGCGACAAGGCATATATAAAATATGCTTAGGGGAAGACAAAGAGACAAAGAGACAAAGAGACAAAGAACAAAGAAATGCAGCAAACAAAGAACAATGGCTTGAGGCTAGAAAATCGATTTATACAGTACTGTAAGGCTAGAACCCCTCCACCCCCCAAAATTAAGCTGCTAGATTATTTAAGAAGCCAATTAAACCTTCATCACAAGTTGAGAACAAGACAAGACATATACAAGAAAATAAAGCCATTAGACAGACGGGTATACAAATAGGACTGGAATAAAGTACGGCAAAAGCCTATCCATACTTGCCAACTTGTTATAAACGCCAACGATGCCTGCCTGCCGTCCAAAGGTTCCCATATCTGCCAAGTAGTAGGTCCCGTATCTGTCATCTCCTTCTCCATTACCAGTGCCAAGCTAATCCGCCACACTATGCTGTATGCCGTTCTATAGTAGTCGTTAAAAAGTCCTCCTTCATTTGGAATTTCATTATCCTTCGCCAAGTGTGTGTGGTGTATGTGCCGTCATTGCAAAAATAAAACTCCCGTCGTTAAAAAAAGGTTCCATTAGAGTTCCCCCCACCCCGCTCAATCTGTATCCCTGTTCTTGTTGACACCGAGCGCCCACTTTAGCTTATGGAGCGCCTCCTTCGTCTCGGCGAGGGTCTCTTCATTAGCCTTCTCCTGCGCGAGTGCCTTAGTCCTGATACCAGCAAGCGAGGCATCCTGTTCATCCCGGTGCGCCTTCGACGTCTCGGCAATCGTTTTATTCTCGTCTTGCAAACGCGCCAGGTTCTCCCGTTGCTCATTGCACAGCTGTTGCAGCGCATCCAGACGTTCACCATCGCGTAACCGCTCCTGCACCAGCCCGGTGATCTCGCCGCCCAGCTTGCGCACCGTACGGTCGACCACCTCGCCTTGCTCTTTCCAGTGGCTCGTTAGTGCCTTATATCGACCTTCCATTAGCAGCGCATAGTTGGCCGCCTCGTCGACTTTCTGCTTCGACTCGATCTCCAGCCTCTCCATCGCCTCGCGCCATGTGCGCTCACGGTCAACAGCGTCGTCGGCCCGGCGTTTCTCGGCGTCGATATGGTCCTTGATATCCGCGAGCTGTCTCTCACGCTTTTTGAGTAGAGTCTTGTTGATGGCGGCGTCGTGGAGACGGCCCTCATAGTCGGTTTCTATGACATTGATCCGCTCCTCGGTCATTATGACGGCTTGGCGCGCCTCCTCAAGGTGCAGTCGCTCGATCTGAAGGTCCCGTTTCAACATGTCGTTTTCTCCCATCAGACGCTCGATCACTCGTCCACTCTTTCCAAGATTTGCACGGCCCACGGCAGAGCTCCATTGCCCGTTCGGCGTCGAGCCGTTGCTTCCGCCACCGTTATCCTCGGCGATGGGGATGTTGGGAGGGTAGTTCTTGGTGCCGCCAAATTCGGCGGATATCATTCGCACAGACGAAACCCGGGGTATCCCCAATCGCGAATCCACCGGGGTGGAGGGTGTGGCATTGGGTCGGTTTTCGGTGTTGGTTCCATTTCCTCCGGCACCGGCATTGTTATTCCCTCCACCTCTCTGCTTTTCGATTTTCATAGAATCCATCGACGGCTTAGACGAAGGTTTGTATAGAGGTTGGCCAACATCATCGTCGTCTTTGTTCGTCACTAGCTTCACGCTATTCATGGCTGCGGCAGACATTGGTGATAGTGATCTTGAATGAGCATCGACAGGGCGGGCAATTGAATCTTCTCGAAGGCCTCTGCGGGAGGTGTCTGTATCTGTTTTGTGTCAGGAACACGATCAGGTAGCGCCAACTGCATGGATTGACACGCCTAGACGTCATTTGTGGGAATTCAGGGTCGCAATTCTAGAGTAGGGGACCTCTTCGCCCGAGATCTCAGGCGCAAAGGATTAACTGGCAAGGCGGCTGGCAAACCAGCGAGGCTGCTTACTTTGATCTGGCAACCCGTGTTTATGAATCGGTACTGTCCCTTGGGGATATTCTCGACCCATGGCTCATCTCGCCAGCTCCTCAAACAAATAATATGTACGTCTCACACAGTCTCAACAGCGCTGCCAACAAACAAAGAGCAGTAGTAGTAATATGGAAACCAGAACGTAACGAGTGACTGGCGATATACGCAGAACGAAGCGCTTCTATGAGAGAGAGAGATATGGTACAGGAATTGGCGGCGATCGCGTTGAAGGTCGGTCGCCTCAATTATACACTTCCCCTGGCCCTGGTTCCACTGTTACCCGCGTTTCCCAAATTGTCCATGGTTACCGCCTTACGAACGCGGCTGTGGCCGCATCATTGCTGACTGGGCAACGACAGCCTATCAACCCGCATCAAGAGCAGATGTTTTGCATGAAACGAAACAGATTTGGCAAATTTGGGGAGGTAATGCTTGAAGGGTTTAAGGTCGATCCACATCAATGCGCTTATTTTAATGGTTGTAGGGAATACATGGAGCAGGTTGCGAGTCGTGCTGTCGCATAATTACGGTGCACACGAGAGACAGGACAGTACTATCATATCGCTTATATTACTATAGGCCAGAAATTTAATCATTGAATGCTCTCTGCCATTCTGCCAACTCCTCCTTATTCGTACACCTCTTGGCACAGGTATCTAGCTAACGGGATTGCTCCAACCTCATAATTCCCAAAAAGAAAAACGCCCTTCTAATGCATTAAATCGCCATCCCTATTGTCCCAAGCCTTGCAAATGCCAGTACAGATACACGAAGGGGTATCCCTATCTTACTCAGGCCGTTAACAGCGCTCCGTTCTTCCCTTCAGACCCGGCTATCAGTTTTGATTCACTGTTCTCGTTTGTGTCGCTGTTTCGCTCGATGAACCCAGGGCGCCATTTGGTCAGGTATTTCGCTGCCATTGGCTTGGCATCGTCATCTGTGCAATGTTAGATATATATAGCGTGCAGAGGGTTTAAATATACTTACAAGTCCGCCATACGTCCTCGACGGCATCCAAGGCAATTTCTCGAACTGGTGGACGCATCATGACGAGGTACAGCAGGCTGGTTAAGGCGAGGTTCACCATAGCGGGGTCCCTGCATAACCCCTTCACCCTCTCGAGCATCTCAACAGTGAGTCTTGGAATCTCGCCCAGAAACCTCGTCAGAACTTTATCGCGAGCGTCGAGATATGGCATCATACCATCCAGCACTCGGAGCACCCATTTGTCGTAATGACTTGTTGTAACTGCTCCGGCCCTCTCCTGGATCCGATCATTGTACCACTCCTCGCATAGCCAAGCAACGGCCGTCTCAATCCGATGCCTGAAATCCTCAAGAACGTATAGGTAGAGTGCATCCCGGATATTATCACCGAGAGTCACCCTCGCCTCGCCACCTTCTGATTTTACTACACCTGTAGTATCTTCCAAACCAGCCGGCGCGCGAGTTGCCAAGCGCGTCACGATCGTGACCCATGCCTCCCTGTCGTATGTGCTGGCAGCAAGGCGGTTGATCCCAGCTTTATTCTTCTTTAATGCAGGGTCCTCGAGCGTTTGCATCACCGAGAAGACGCGCGCTACTGTATTTTTCCCGTTCTCCATCACTTCTTCGCTGGTAAGTGCTTGTGGTTCCGGCATCTTAAATGGCCCGAGTGCCACCACCGGAGGTCGGTCTGGCGACTCTTCTGGCGGAGCATTGTCGAGTTTGTTCAATATTTGCTCGGTATCCTCCGCCGCCTCAAAGTCGGGCTCGTAATCGTCGTCATCTTCTTCCACGCCCAGCGGTGCTGTATCTGGGTTCAACTGTGAAATTGCAGTCTGAGTTCCGAAGGATTCAAAGCGATCGCGGACACCCTATGGTCGTAATTAGTTACTGGCCAATCTCTACATAGCAAACATGGACTTACCTTGATAGCTTGCTTCAAAAGACCCTCGTCCAGTTGTGACATGAGGGCCACACCAATCGACGCAACCAAGTCTTCCGGTATTTGTGAGACATCAAATATCAACCCTTTGTCCTGTGTGATTGTGAACAACTCCGCGATGGTGTGTGGTCCTGGGCTAAACGGTGGGATGACAAGGTTCATTATTGGAGCGGCAACAGCAGCTCCAAGCTTTTGTCGTTTGGCTGCATCGTTCGCGTCCACCAGTTCAGGGGGACCGCGCTTCCTGTGTGCTTCATCGAATATCTCCGTTCGTGACCGGATGAGACGCTCGACATATTGCTGAATGCGCAGGGCCATGGGACCTTGGGGATCACTGCACCGCACCAGTCAGTATATCCTGACACAAATTGGGCATTGTGAGTCTAGCATACCGTTTGTGAACATGCATGAGCAATATCCGTGTTGTCTTCTCCATAGATTTCGCCATCACACGGAGTTTGGGCGTCATAGGCGAGTTTGCGAGTTTAAGGGGATTGAAGTTCAATATGGCATGGAGGATTTTATTGGCAATGGCCGGGCGAGCACGGATGAGGATGGAGAGGGAGTTTAAGGTGGCACCAATGAGTACAGCATCACTAATAACTTAGCAAGGCGGTACGTGAAGAGCGAGGGGAACTTACGTCGGGTTCTCGTGAAGTACTCCAAGCATCCTGTCCAACAGCCCAGATGCTTCGGCTTCAAGGTTTCGTTTTGGTATCAATGTATGATTTTCCGGCACCAATGCGAGGGATATGTCGAGTGGATCACCGTGCTGTGAGAATAATATCAGTGAATGAACCAAGAGAGCTGTAGGGTGTCTGAACGTGCACTTACTCTTCCATTTCCATCTGGTGGTGCTGTTTGAGCCAGAACCACTCTTTGTGAGAATTTGATACAGCATATTCTGATTCCTGGAGGGGCGGTATCCCAAATTCGAAGGATTCTGGTCTTGATGGCAGCCATCTTCTCCCATGTCGGTTTGTCATATGGATTATTGATTCTAAGACAGACCATTGTTAGACGCGGTTCAACATGGGCATGACAAGGGCGCAGAGGATAGAGCCATGAGGGTAGCAGCAATCATGTCAAATTCCACAGCAAATTGCTAGGCTAAGTCAAGGGGGTATACATACATCCAACGGAGGACAAAAGGGTATATACTAGCTGCGGTCTGAACGACGCTCTTCACAACCGCAGGATCTTCGTTGACATTCTCGATCATAGACTTCAAGTTCTCCAGGACGATAAGACTCAGAGTTTCTCTCTGGCTGGAGGATACTGTTGGATTCGAGAAGGTTTCGGCTAGGAAGTCGGCACCCCATCTTCGTAATTCTACTCTGGCCGTAGGTCCAATAATCGGAAGTATCCCTTGAATAATCTGCGGATAATAGTTGCCGTCGCCCAGTACAAGGTTTCGCGCGGCATCAAGTTGACTCAGCTGGTCGCTGACTGACAGAGTAGGCGCTGCCATCGCTGCTACATGGAACTATGCGATTGAGTGAAGGGGATGTTGAAAGAGCCAAGGAGGGTCGTAGAAAGATGTTCAGGGAAATGTTGTCGCTGTCGGGTTGGACAATGCCGACGTCGCTTGCATGCTGTATTCAAGTACCATAAAATAGTATATTCCCCGGGTGTCTACGTGTGTTATACCACCTTGATGCTGATTGTTGATTATTCTTTGATGGAAACGAAGTTGTTTGAAGTGAAGGACGTGACGTGAAGTTGCAGCGCAGGTGTAACATGATGCGGCGCAAGCTATGACCAGCATAATTCTGAATGGGCGCTAGCGTGAAAGTGGATCTACTCTGCATCGCCGCCGCCAAAGTTCACTTGCCTTGTGCCGAAGGACCATATGGATGTTTCTTGTCAGCCCTCATAAATAAAGTCAAGATGCCAATGTACGGTCATTCCGAAGCCTGCAATTAGGCTTGTTTACTAATTCTCTCTGCAGCATTCCCAAGTCGTCATATTATGACAAGAACTACAAGCAGTCCCCGGCCTTGATCCGGGCGAGGCGGCCGTATCTCATCAAGAACATGCTCACTGGTGTTGGCATCTTTGCTTTCACCATGGGAGTCTGTATGTTACTCGCTTCTTAAGTGGTACGATACTCAGATTACTGACAATTGCCCTCAGATGCCCTCACGATCAGAGCCGTTGCCCAGGACGAGTTCGAAGATGTTATCGTCCCCGACGCCCCAAAGAAGACGACACCCCAATAGGATAGGAAAGGATTGTAACAATAGGCGCTTAAGGGTTTACTTTTGCAATTTATGAGGAAGAATGAAATTCGCGGCATGGGTAGGAGTGGACATTGGGTGGTGACACAGTATACGATGGCTCAGGAGCGAACAAAGATTATATTTCTCTCCAAAGTGGGCGAGTGGAATCTCAACTTCATTGTACTACTATCAGTGTAAACCAGAGCATGTACAGAATAACCTGATGTACAGTGTATATAATTTCATGGCGTCATAATTCGCCTTGCCTGCCGTCCCAACCTATGCAGGGTATCCATCTCCATTAGTGCAATAAACCTCCTACAAAGAAAAAAGAAACCTTGCTCTATACTCCACGCTAATTGCCAAATGTGAATCGCACCCGATGAGTGAAATTTGAATTAGAACCTCCCATTCGTGACTGTCGCCGGCTGTTCGCGCTTGACTCCCACCCCTCCTTCGTATGAGAACTCGTGGAGGGGTTCTTGCGGTCGAGGCGGACTGATTAAGGGCGGGTGTGAAGCCTCTGGTCCGGGCTCCATGTTTTGACGGTTCTCGTGAGGCTTGGGCTGTTCATTAACGGCTGCGGGTAGCCTGCTCTGCTCCAGTAGCATCGACGGCCGCCGACTCCCAAGTGGAGAAGGTCCCATCTTTTGTGGTTGTGGCGCGTTATTGAAAGTGCCTATCTGACCCCTTCCAGCGCCAGCAGCGAAATTATTGCTTTGAGGTTGAGAGACCCCCGAAAATGTTCCAGATACAGGAAGTCCGCCAGCCTGCTGGTGTGTCTGCCGACGCGGCTGTCCCCCCACTGCCATCGAGAAGGGGCTACCTGTTCTTGGGCCCTGCTGGGCAGGTGATTGGCGCTGGAGAAGGTGCACATGAGATGGATGCTGTGGGTTGGCCCAGGGAGTTGATTCAATAAACTGTTCTTCAGCTGGTTTTAAAGCAGCTGCTGACGCCGCAGCACGTATCGCGGCGATGTCTTGCAGTGGTAAACTTGGCTGTGCTCGCTGTTGCGGCTGTTTTTGGCTGGATTTCTATTCACATGTCAGTACTACAAATATAAACAGCGATCGACACGATGACAACTTACGCCCATCTTCTTGAAGTCATCTTCCAGCTCTGTGGAAGTGGCTGGCGCCATTGCTGGAGCTGCTGGAAATCCTCGGTATTTTGCAATGCCTGAGAGAACCGACACTTCCAGGTTATATGCGTATTGATCCCGAACCTGGTCTTCTTTCTTCGTATTATATCTTAACGCGTAGTCATCCACGCTTGAGCCATGAGCCCGCCTGTCGTGTTGGATCTCGTACCACTGTTTACCCAGAAGCTCGAGTTTCTGCTCGCGAATTTCTCGCACTTCCTGGTAGAACTGTGACAATATTTGTGCTCGTTTTCCAACTGCAGACTTTTCTATGGTTTCTCGTGTGTAATCGGCGCGTCGCATCTCTATCCTCAGCTTCTCGTCTCTTCGCGCATCAATGCAGTGCATCATGGCAAGGTACTCGGGGTGTATCGGTGGGTCTTGCTTCAACATCCATTCTTCGTGGTTCAGTTTCGCCAGTCGGTCTTCGTGTAATCTATCTCTGAATGACGAAAAATGACGCTCTATGTCCGTCAATTGCTCTAGGGCTATGCGCTTTCTCTCCTCTGTTTATAATCGTCAGCTCGCTCACAGGCAAATACACGGTGCATGGATAAACTCACGTTCTTCTTCATCCCTCAGGGCAGCCTCTGCGTCATCAGCTTCGACCTCTGCATGATCCTCTTCTCCTTCATCGCTGACTCCTTTTACGGCGTGCTTGTCCGTAGGCTCGTTTGCTTCGTCTGCTGCTATCTCCTTGCCATTCACGGCGCTCTTCCGCCGCCTCTTGCTTGTTCGTAACTGTTCCGCAGCCTCTACACGTTCCTCCAATTCTTCATCAATGTGTAGTTTTTCTTTCTCGTCGGGATGCCCAGCCTCCTCGTCTTCCTCTTGCCCGTCAACACTTTCGACATCGGACAAATCTCCGCTAACGGGATTTGGAGTGTCTTCGTCGCCTCGCGCAGATACGTTGTCATCAACGGCAAAGTCATCGCCAGGTGGTTGCACAGATCCAGTGCGCTTCCTGAGAGGTTCGCCGGTGTCGGTCGCATCGGCTGAGTCGACGTCCAGCAATTGCGACCGCTTCCTCTTCTTGTTTGTGAGATCAAATGCGTGCATGATATCTTTTGGTTGCGCTATAGACTCTTCCAATTGTGCTGTTGCAGCTGCGGCGTCATCGGCGGCGTCTGCGACAGCTTCTTCTTCGGCTGCAGTTTTTGGCGAATCTGGGAGCGACAGTTCATCGTCAGAAACATCGCCCGGTGGGTTATCCTCTTCATCGGACTCCTCTTCTTCATCCTCTTCAGCTCCATATTGACCGTGCAGATTTGACGGAGCCCGTTCGAAAGTGTGACTCTCCGTGTGCGAGTTCAAAACGACGTCTTTGTGCGTGCGCTTCTTGTCGGGCGAAACATCCAGTCGCTCTGTTTCAGCTTCAGAATCGTTTTCTTCTTCCTCTTCATCGTCCTCTTCTTCGCTTGCTTCGTTGGATTCCATATCATCGTCGAGGTCATCCTGCCCGTCGTCTTGGTCGACGTCTTGCTCGATGTCGCTCAAGCTGCTCGAGCCATCCCCCAGGTCACTCTGGGCATCTTCTGCGTGCTGGAGGTTATCTGGGAGAGGCAGATCACCTTGACTCTCTATAGCAACGCTCATCTTGCGCTCAACTTGCTTTGGGTACCTCTGTGCCTGCAGCTCGAATGCGCTTTCACATGAGGATCTGCCCGTTTGTCGATTCAGTGCGCGTAAACGGGGATGAAGCCGCGGTAGTTGAGAGGCAATAGGTCCGATAGAAATATGATTGCTTGTTGAGTTTGAGTTCAGTAGAAAAGCACAGAGCTTAAGATAATGTATTCCGCTGTTATGGCCAGCTGAAAGGCAGTAAACGATCGAGATTTGACTCCTCAAGAAAGTAACGGTGCGGGCATGGCCAAACTGTCTACCGCGAGCAATCGGCAATACTCACGCTAGCACCGGCGATCGCCGTGACGCTTGGACCATCCAAAAATTATTGGGACTTTCTTTAGATTGTGAATTTGATATCAGAAATTCACTTTTCCGCAGAAAACCAAGATAACTTCACTTCTTTCCGCTCAATTACTTCACAATGGGCAAAAAATCACGCGAAAGCAATGGTGCATCCAAAGAGAGCAAGCCTGCAAAGGCACCAAAATCCTTGGTCGCAGTTGAGGCAGCTGTAGACCCTACGCTGGCCGCTCTTTTTGCTTCAAGTGTACGTTTTTACTGACATGTATCGGGCATTTTCACATAACTAATATTTCTATAGGCTGGCCCTGTACAGGCGCCACCAAAAAGCCGCTATGAAGAAGCACCGCCCCCGAGCAAAAGACAAGCCGCTGCCGAGCAGGATGAGGAGTCCGACCTTGAAGAAGACGAGGAAGACGAGGGAGACGACCAAGAGTTAAGCAGTGTGGATGGTGATCTCGACGACGAGGATCTAGACGGTTTGTCAGAGGGGGAGGAAGAATCGTCCGACGATGGTGGCGCACCACTCAACCCATTGGAGGCAGCTGAAGATAAGGCTCCCCGCAAACGCAAGCGCGATAACAAGGAGGAGGACCTGGAGGGGAAATACCTGTCGAAACTGGCCAAAGAAGAAGAGAAAGAAGAGGCTGAGCGCAAAGCTGAGCGCAAGCTGAAGCGCCAAAAGCTCCTGGTGGAGCAGGGCGAGCAAAGCTCAGAAGACGAAGATGAGGAGATGGCAGACGCAGAGGACGCTGAGATTGACGAAGAGAAGCCGAAAACGCGCCAGACTCCAAAGGATGTACCAATGCACGAATCTCTTACCGTGGATAAGGAAACCTCGGAGCTTGAGAAGGCGGCTCGCACAGTCTTCCTTGCGAACGTCTCAACCGACGCGATCACCGACAAGAAGGCCAAGAAGACGCTGATGGACCACATGGGCTCTTTCATTGACGACCTACCACCGCCTCTGGATGGCAGGCCAAAGCCCAAGGTTGAATCCATTCGCTTCAGATCTACCGCCTACGAAAGCACGCTCCCAAAGAAAGCCTCATTCGCGACCAAGGCCCTGATGGGAGCGACGACGAAGAGCACAAACGCCTACGTCGTATACTCCTCCTCCTTCGCCGCCCGCGAAGCCGCCAAGAGGCTCAATGCTACAGTGGTCCTTGACCGCCATCTCAGAGTCGACGGTGTTGCGCATCCCGCCAAAACCGACCATCGCCGCTGCGTGTTCGTCGGTAACCTCGGTTTCGTCGACGACGAGAGTATGATGGACGAGGGCGACGAGAACCAGCGAAAGCGCTCCAAGATCCCGTCAGACATTGAGGAGGGTCTGTGGAGGCAATTCGGCAAGGCTGGAGAGGTGGAGAGCGTGCGCGTCGTCCGCGATGAGAAGACCCGTGTCGGCAAAGGCTTCGCATATGTTCAATTCAAAGTAAGTCACATCCCAACTATCCAAATTTATGAACACAGCTAACCGCTCCCAGGACGCAAACGCCGTCGAAGCAGCACTCCTCTTCAACGAGAAGAAGTTCCCACCTATGCTTCCCCGTGTCCTGCGCGTCACCCGCGCGAAGGCCATGAAGAAGACCGCCAACGCACAGAAGCGCGAGTCCGCACCGCGCCCAACCATCAAGGGCTCCAACAATCCCAACAACGTGGTCATCTACAACCCGAAGATGTCAGCGCAGCAGCAATCGCTGCAGGGACGTGCAGGCAAGCTTCTGGGTCGTGCTGGTGCGGCGCAGTTCAGGAAGCGTGAAGAGGGAGGGAAGAGTCAGGAGAGAGCTGGCGGGGTGGGACAGGCTGTGGCGGCAGGGATTAAGGGGCCGGAGGCGTTTATTTTCGAGGGTTATAGGGCTAGTTCGAATAGTGGGAAGCCGAAGGATCTTAAGTTGGGTGGGAAGAATGTTAAGGGGAAGGGGAAGCCGAAGACGAGGAGTAGCCAGAGAGCGAGTGATTGGAAGAAGACTGGGGGGAAGAAGGCTCCGAAGTCGTAGTATAGTGGTATATATGGGAAGGGAATAGTGTATAAATGATCATGATACCATTACGGAGTTCACTGTGCATCTTCAGTTACGACGCCTTTGGTCATGTTGCTACAGCCCCTACCAACCCTTAAAATCTGCGGCGGAGTGCATATCACGCTATAGTATGCTTCAAGCTCGTTCGAGCAAGAATTCTTTTGACAATAACTTAGTAGACCGTACTTTCCACACAACTACCACGGTCTACGAACCGGTCACTTGGAAGCCTTGCTGTTCCCGTACAACAAAACCATTCGGTGCAACGTCCCTGGTAGAATAAAGGCCAGCTTAATTTAAATTCCCTTATATAAAGAGGCGAACTTATCGGTAGCCGATTAGCACGGTACCATCCCCAGTCCCTTTATGGTGAACTGCGGCCTGATGAGCACAGCTGACACATCGTAGTACTATACAGCTTCGATGATATAAGGACTGCCCCATAGCAAAAAGAGCCCAGGATGGATCGTCCTTTACAGATAGAAGAGCTGGGGTTTGCACACTACCTACAGGTATGCTACCCTTTTTGTCTATCCAAGTAGATGTCTGGACATTGACAACGTCCATAGGTTTCACATGATGGCATTCCTGGGGTTGTAAAATACCGTCATGATTCTAGCGCCTTCTCTGGAGGTAATGTCGAGAATATGTAGCTAACTTACGAAATAGAAAAAGCGATGCGGGGGTGTCGGTATTGTTATCCCCAGTTCACCTTGCAAGCTGCCGGCCACAGCCTTGGGAAATATGTCATCCATGCGAGCTGTTGCCTAGGTTTATAGAGCCTATCACAGGTAGTGTTAAGCGCTGCATTTAATGAAGCAGCAAATCCTCGTCGATAAGTGTCATATTGTTAGGCAATAGGTGTTAGATTATTATACAGCCCATTATTTATAATAAAATGAAGACTGGACTATTTCATTTATAACATAATATAATATTGTAGTGTTAGAATTACTACTCCATTCAACAATGTGATAGCAAGGAGGCTGCTGAAAAGGGCAGCTTTCGTCCCTGTTTTACGCATCTCGCTTGCCTACGATCAGTAGGTCAGGCTACATCATTTTAGTCACCCTTAAATCCAACAGCGGTAGCAAAAGCATAAGAGTGGAGGATATGCTTTTAAGTCTCATGTCCGCACTATCCCATCTATTCTATTTCGAAGTTTCGCTATATGAACGGGTGTGCTCTTGCAACAACCACCAACAATAATGGACCTCCACGACTCTCGATCTCGTGCGCGGCTAACAATATCGAACAATGTTTCATCCCATAGAGTCTTGGACACAGTTAGTTCGCCAGATGTATATTCATAGGCAAGGTTTAGACATACCGAATTCGATCCGTTCTTGCCGGTTTCCCACTGCATCGTCGTCGTGTTGTACACTTCTCCATTCGTTGCATCCGGATATATCACCAGATCTGGCCATTGATCAACTTCACTAGCATCCACCATCCTATTAACCGCTTTCTCAAACTCCATAATCAACCCCTCTACTTTTCCTAGCCGAGTACAATTAATGCCAACTCCGCTAGGACTCGCCGCTCCCTCCTTCTTCCCAAGCATGGCTCTCACAACCTGTTCCACAGAACTCCCATCCGGCAATACATTTCCCTCGCCAGGGAATACACAACTAATCCAAAATTCCTTCTCGCATCCCCAAACCTCTCTTGCGACTGCACCCATTGCTTCTCTCACAGCCGAGACCTCAGATAGCAACGGCAGCGTCTCAAAAGCTAGAAAGTCAATCTCCTCCCAACATCTTTCCGTCACTGGCGTCTCCATCCCATCATAAAATAGCCTTACCCTCTGAAGATGCCACTCCCGCAACCACTCCGCCCTCACACGATCCCCATATCTCCCGCTATACTCCTGCCCCGGGATCATAGTCGCGCCATACGCACCGAGACTCAATGCTAGCCGGCCGCTCCGCCCTTCAAACGCAGCGCGTGCGATCTTAACGGCGGAACGCATGTAGCGGGTCGCCTCTTGTTTAGGGACGTCGCACCGTGCAAAACCTTCCAAGGACGCTTGATAGGTAGCAGTAAGCAGGATGTCGGCACCTGCACGGGCAAAGGCAGTTTGCACATCTTTAAGAGTAGAGGGGCTGGATAGCAGTAGCTGCGACGACCAGAGTGGCGTGCGCTCATCAAAGACGCAGCTATAGGAGTCTACCAGCGTAGTTCCGAGGCCGCCATCTAGGAGGAGGATCTGAGAGGCTTTATGGAGGGTCATCTTTAGGGATAAGATGTGTTGGTTGTACTGGTTGTTTTTATATTGCTCGACTGTACACCTAAACCTCTCCCCTAAAATGAACTAAACGGGATTAAGGTACTGTTTGTGCTAGCGTGACATGTGACAGAATTTAGTGGACAGATTGCGCTATCCGCACTGGAAATGTTATAACAGGCACACGACACAGTTTAGCAATTTCACTTAAAGCGTAGGTTCAATTCATTATTTACGTAGATAGGCAGAAATATACTATTTTTTTCTATAGGAAAGGAGTACAGAAAAAGCACCCTGTTGAGTTCTATTAGTGTTTTAGATCAGCAGGCAGTTTTGCCTAAACTAGGCACGCTAAACTAGAACGGAACCTAGCCGAGCTAGCACACTGAAAACTACGCCCTACTTGATGTCTTATAGTATACTCTATTTAACGATGAGATGGCTAGGAGGCTGCTGAAAAGAGCATCTTTGGTCGCTGTTTTACGCATGCCGCTTGCCCGGCTTTCAATAATCTCACACCCCTAACTCAATAACTGAACAGCCATTATGTGCTTCAGGTCTAACACGAATCACTAAACCCTCTTAACACCTCATGCACTTTCTGTCAACTCAGCGTACCTGCTGCTATTGGTTCCTGGAGGGGCCTGAAAGCCAAATTTGGCTGTCTTCTCGATCTGTCGCAGTCCAAAATATATTTAATAGCCTCTTTCGTCCCTCGTTCGCTCTCATTCGCCTGCTCATCACCATCTTTCTCTCGGCTTCGCATCATCTCCTTCGCATCTCGATTACCTCTTCACATTCAATCTTTCGCTCATAATCACTTTTTCTAGACTTCTTTACCCTTCGTCTGCATTTATGTTCAGCTACTCTACATCTCCCTCGGCTGCTCTCTTAAGTCTATTCTTTCTGATCCAAGGCAACCCTATACATGTCTCCTCTCGATATGACGATGACTTCCAACCTACCGACGACGAAACCAATAGGACGAACGATGCCGACATTGACTTGTTTCCAGACGGTGTTAACGACGACACGGATGACGAAGCATAGCTTTTGACGACGAAATACAACACCCTCCGGACATTATCTCGCAGAGGCAGAAACCTCGATGTGCAGTGGCTTCGACAACGACGATACTGTCCAAAGAGCGTCTCAACTAGGTGAATTAACACTAGGATCGGTAGGAGAAGCATGCAAAATAGTTATATTGTAGTCTACGCTATCTCCTCGCCGTTTCTTAGGTATTGCTTCTTCACCAAATGTTGAATTATCGTCGAGTTAATTGTCATGACATCACTGACGTGAATTATGTCACCCATTTAAATACGGTTAAGCGTGTGGGGGAACTAAGTATCGGCAACCAATAATACGCAATCATGTACGTGCTAGTCACGGGAACTAGTCGGTGGGAAGTTAAGCCGTACCCCGCTCTGGGGTTTCATAAAGTAGAAACGCTGGCCTCCGTGAAGAGGCCAGCGTTCAGTTTCCGTAGTCATAAAGAGAAGTATACGGATAAGTTCGGCCTTGACGTGACATTACTGCCCTGTTCAGCCAGGACTCAATTGCAATCTTAAAAAGGTCACGAAAATGAGTAACAAGGCAGCATGGATCAATTCCAAAGGGGAAGCAATTAAGGTTTGTGATGCAGAAATGCCAACGCCTGGGCCAGGGCAACTGGTTATTGAAGTATATTACTCTCATGTATTCGTTTGTCTTCAAACTACTAACCATGCCGCTGGTTAGAATCACGCAGTACCTCTTCATCCTGGAGACTGGAAGCTTGCAAAAGGCATAATTCCTATCCCGCTAAAGTACCCAACTATTCTTGGAAGTAAGCTTTATCTGCGGATTTTAATTCAAGTTAACAATTACTAATGGAAATAGATTATGTTTCAGGGTATGTTCATGAAGTAGGAGAGGGGATAACCAGATTCAAGAGGGGTGATAGAGTATTGAGTATGAGTGCGCTAGCAGTGCGTAATGATCATAATTTTGGTGCTCATCAGCGATATACTCTATCGGTGGAGACGCTCACTGCACATGTTTGTAACCCGTTTTGTCACACTTGAGAAACTGTTGAAGATACTGTGCTGATATGCCCGTGTAGATTGGTGATACTCCTTTCGAGGACGCTACCTCAGCATCAATAGTTTACGCCGCGATGTCTGCTCTAGTTCTCCACTTAGGTCTTGATAGGCCCTCCAAAGATGCTCAATCGAAGGAGGAAAATGTGTTGGTCTGGGGCGGAGCTTCATCAATCGGATTCTACGCTGTGCAGATTGCTGCCCAGGCTCGTCTCCCTTTATTCCCGAACTAAAACTGGCCCTTGTGCTGACTTGCCTAGGCGGGATACAAAGTTATCACCACAGCATCAGAAAGGAACCGACCTTTGGTGAAAGGAGCTGGTGCTACAGAAGTCCTAGACTATCGTTCTCCTACAATTTTTGAAGATCTACTTGCTCTAGGTCCTTACAAAGCAATGTTTGGCGCCTCAGAATCAGCTGTTGATCAAGTTGTTATAGGAAATTTACTCGCAGCTCAAGGAGGAGGAACTTTTCTAACCACTATGGGCGTTAGGCCTGGTGTCGCTCTTCCTGATGGTGTAAAGGGACTCTTTGTGCAATATATGGATGATTATTTGAAGCCAGAGAATACAGAATATGTTAAGTGGGTATTCTGGGAGTATCTAGAGGATGGACTAGTGAAGGGAACTTTGAAACTAGGAGATGTGGAGGTTATAGGCGGATTAGAGAAAATAACCGAGGGGCTAGGGAGACTTGAGGCTGGGGAGGTTGGAGGGAAGAAATTAGTCATTAAGCCGAATTTGGAATGAGAATTTGGTTGTGATTTCTTAAAGGGGGTTCTTGAAGTTTATAACTAAAGTTGCTATTGTTAACGCACTTCTACTCATGAGAGGCCACCATTAACGCTTTTTTGTACAGTGCCTTTATAAAGTCCAAGGGCTCTGCAGGGCCATATTGGCGGCATGCGAATGAATGAAGTGGTTCATGCGTAGTGGCCAGCCAAAGGCCGAGAAGCTCACGATTCTAAAATTCTAGTAGACTAGGTAGTCTACGCAATCTCACCCTTCTATAGGTCAGGGTTTTGGACGAACTTTCCCTGTAACCTCTATATCACGAAGATACAGATTCCACACTAACTTGTTCTGAAACTCTCCTCGTATAATTTGAAGAGAAACAAGGTTATGAATCTCCACATTAACTCCACGGATGCGATCCCCTTTTATAGCCCAGAGACCCGGGTGACGTTCCACTTCGTGAGCAAGCCAATTGAATACTTTACTCCAGGCAAATTTGTCAAAAGGCGTCCGCTTATGTATTCCTGCAACCTCGTCCGTCCATTGGGGGACATCAGTCAAACGTGGAAAATGCGTGTCTTTAAACCCCTTTTGCGTGGCAATAAAACAAACTGGGTTATGGTCGAAATCGAACCCAATCCTGATGCATTTGAAGTTGCGACCTTGGACACCGAAGTCTAGGAAGCCCATAGTGCCGAAATCCCCAGGCTTCATAACCACCACGATTCGCTCCTCTGGATGCCAGCTGAACGCAGAGATGCTGAAATGATCCCTTCCGTCTGCGGGTGGTTCTAGGAACTCGCTGAAAATGTGAAAGCCGTTAATGCGGTCTTTGTAGACATTTTTATCGGTTTCGGCAACTTGTTGCCGTACATTAATTTCAATTTCTTGAGCTGGTCGCTTGGTGTTCAGATGTTTTAATACTTCTTGATCCCAGGCCAAGGCTTTCAGTTGAACAAAGGTATTGCCGTTCTGATTAACTCGTGCATACTGATCGTCTTCATTTAGTCTCCTAAGGAATATCCCAAGGCGGTAACTGCCAACAGGGCTACCGTCTGTTACTAACTGGCCATTTACACAGTTCAGCGCCACAACGTATGTGTCTAGTGCAAAGGGGGTCGCCATTAATTTGATTGACAGCCCACGATTCGTTATAGAGAATGGTGCATTGACTTTGCGTGTTGTTATAGACCGAATATGTTGACAATCGGCGAAGGCTGCTGGACTATCAGCCAACAGCCCAGGTTGGTCATCGAGACGTATAGGCCACGCAAAGATGGTGTAGTCATCTGATCGCTTGATGATTTCTTCTTGGAGGCGGAGGAAAGCCCTCTTTCCTTCGCCGTAAAGCATCGGCATGTAGACGTCAAATATTCCTAACAGGCAGTAGGCAGTGTCTTCGACGCGGGTTGTGACTCTATGAGATGCCCATGACATGCGTTGAGCAATTGTGCGATTAGATGGCGACTCCCCATTAAGTATAGCCTCATCTATATGAGTCTGCGAGCTCAATAACTTGCTTAGCGTTTGCTTCGTGCCCAAAAACTCCCACTGTTGGCTGTAAAAGACGACGTGTTGAGGAGCGACAAGTTCTTGTAAAGTCCAACCACGAGTAAACCATCTGCTCGATCCAATCTCTGGCATCATTGTACCGCCACTAAGCGTAATAGTGTGGACATCGGAGAGAAACACGTAGCATACAGCTGAGGCTTTATACCACCGAAACATTGAGTTGATAGCTTCGCTGAGCTCGGCACTGCTTTCCTTGTTTATACAGCACGTATCCACCCACACATAGCTGTAACCATCTCTTACAGCTTGCTCGCATGACTTCCGAATCTTGCCAAACCCCTTCATATTGGATGCCAACGCGAGGTTTTGCATGTCCTGGAAACTGACCATCTTCCCATCGATGCGAGAGAATTGTATATGCTTTTTCGTTTTCACTCCACACTTCCTCTAGCTCGAAGGTTTCGGCATTTATTAACCTCATAGTTAAGAGTGGTTTGTATGTCACTGTAAGTACAGAGCTTCATATAAGGATAACGGAGCTTTTAAAAATTAAAGCGCTGAACCTGAAGCTCCGACACCACAACCCCGCATACCTATGCGGGGTTGTGGTGTCGGAGCTACTGTGTTTGGCTGCGCTGGTTGCTGCTTATGCAGCCCCGAACACCCTAGAACATCGGTTCGGTTGTAGGTTGGTAGTTAACTCGTAGTTCATCAATGCAACCGCAAACTTCCCACATCTTAACTATGACATTATGGCTAACCCTGGTAAATTGATTGGATATAAAATATCAATTTTACTATTGGCCGGCTTAGTGAGGCTGATGGGTAAAGAAGCTTGTATCCTTCAAAGTTCATCGGTTCGTTTTGTAGTGGAGCTCATTCCCTGATCCTCTGAGGAGTTTCTTGAACCCAGTAGTAGCAGTTTCCCTGGTATTTCCGTAGTAGAAATGTTTAGTAAGGTTCCTTCGTCATGCTTCAGTGTCTCGTTCTAAATGCAACCATTCACGCTTAGTCCATATCACATAAGCCCAATCCAAAACTGACGCTCCCTCCACGGACTGCTATATAAATAAGCCCAACCCATGCACCCGCGACGAGACCTACCCATCCTCATATCAATATGGCCCCGTCCCAACCCCCACCAAAAGCGGTCAATGATGACCCCCCCTTCACGCTTCTCACCTCGACCGGCCGCGCTTCCTACCCATCCTCCTCCACCCACCAATGCGCGTTCATGGCCTCCATAATGGGTGAGTTCGACAACTGCGTCCTCCGCGCCCTCAACTCCGCCTACCGCCACTCCTTCACCACCCCACCCTCCCGCGACGCAGCCGATCTGCTCCGCTACTCCCTCACCATCTGCTCCATGATCGCCGCCCACCACGACTGGGAAGAGAACAGCTACTTCCCCGCGCTTGATGCCCTCGCCGGGCAGCCCGGGATACTCGCCTCGAACATCGTGGAGCACCACGAGTTCGAAGACGGCCTCACAGCCTTCCAAGCATACTGCGAGGCGACGACGGGGGACGGCTTCAGCGGGGAGGAGTTCCGAGCGAGGATGCGCGCGTTCGCGCCGCCGCTAGAGAGGCACCTAAGCGGCGAGCCGGAGACGTTCTACCGACTGAGGGAGTTGGGTTCGGGGGCGCTGTTAGAGGTGTACCGCGAGCAGGAGAAGATCGCGCTGGCGAAGGGGGATATGTGGTTGTGAGTTCCCTTGCCTCCGCGGTGTGTGGTTTGTTTGGAGGGTTAGTAAGGTTTGATGATAACGGTGGTTAACTTAATAGGATTATGCCGCTGGTGCTGCGGTGTGAGGATAAGACATACGACATAGACGGGCGCAAAGAGCACACCCATGCCTTCCCCTGGATCCTGCCCTACCTCGCGCACTACATCTTCTCGTGGAGGTATGCGCGCCTCTGGCGCTTTAATCCGTGTGACTTCTGGGGCAACCCGCTCAAGCTTAAAGGCGAGTGAATTTGTAGATTATAAACACAACATTATAATGTCGTTGGTGGTTCCTTCCGTGTTGAGGGGGGTATATAATCATCACTAACCGTTAAATTCTCGGCTGTGATGGTCATCTGGTAAGGAACTGCATTTGCACTATCCTACCACTCTATTCTATCCTATCACATGGTGTCCGGTTCGAACGCTGCGGTGGCCCCCAACTCGTGTCGGTAACGCACGATTGCTTGTGGGGTCCTAAGCAATGAAAGACAATCTTGAGGGAGGTTTCACTCTGCAGAGGATCTTTCACCGTGGCGTGGCGAGTGGGATTGCACCAGTAATGGGTGAGTGGTGAGAAGCGCATCGGATGTGGTGACTTATACTTTTTGCCATTTTTGTTTTTTTATTTATTGTATTTTTCTCGGTTCTGTCGCTCGCTAGCTTGTACATTACATACCAAGCCTCGCCTGACAGCCACAGTGGGCGTACCTGACAGCGAGATTGCCGATAAGGATAAGGCCTTTCTTTATCTCAAGCGGGGATCAGATTAATTACTTTTCTCACATCAAACAGTCCCTCCACAACCCACATAACCAGCACAATGTCCTCCTTCGCCTTCTCTTTTGGCGGCGACGACATAGAAGAAACAGCCGACGACCTCTCCAACCTCTCCCTCTCCTCCCCACCACCCGCAGAAACCGGCACCCTCACCCCCCGCCGCGCTTCCTCCGCCTTCCCCGTCGCCAACCAACCCCTCCTCCCTGCCACCACCCACTCTCTGTCTTCGCTTCTCACCGGGCTGCCTAGTAAAATTGCATACAGTACCCTTCCCATCACCGTCGATGGCGCACCTACTATCGCCCTCCCGCGGCGCGAGCTATGGGATGTGCGGGTCCAGCTGATGGCTGAGGATGAGGAGGTCGGGCTTGGGAGTGCGGATGTGAAGACAGGTATTTATGAGGGGGGGTTTAAGAGTTGGGAGAGTAGTGTGGATTTGGTGCGCGAGTTGGCTGGGGAGGGGTTGAACGACCGGAGGAGGTTTTTAGAGGTATGTTTGTCACGTGGATGAGGGGACAGAGAGTGGTGCTGATATCAGACAGCTTGGGTGCGGTACGGCATTACCTAGTCTGGCGATCTTGCAACGACACCTTGAGAAAGATGGAGAGAAGGGGAAACTGGAACTCGGCTTCGCGGACTACAACCCCAGCGTCCTGCGACTGGTGACTGTCCCGAATATCCTCCTCACATGGGCGGCATTACGCCCCACCCCCGACGACGCCGAGCCCTTCGAAGAAGAAGGCGAGCTCGACATCGACGAAGACCTCATCAGCGAATTCACATCCGACCTCACCGCGCAAGGTGTGACGTTCTCCTTCTTCTCCGGCGCATGGGGCACGGAATTCGCAACTCTCGTCGAAGCTGCGCCCCGCGACACCAGCGCGGAGCTGTTAGTCCTTGCTGCAGAGACGATATACTCGCCTGCTGCGCTAGAGAGTTTTGCGGAGGTGCTGATGAGGATTTTAGGGACGGAGAAGGGGGGTGGAGCGATGGTGGGCGCGAAGAAGGTGTATTTTGGGGTTGGGGGGTCGATGGAGGATTTCGTTGTTAGGGTGGAGGGGTTGGGGGGCTTGGTGGAGAGGATTAGGGAGGAGGAGGAAGGGGTGAGGAGGGAGGTTGTTATGGTGAGAACGAAGGAAGAGACCAAGGCTTGAGATTCGTGAGTGAAGAAGCATTGTCTGGAGTCAGAGTAGATCTCGGTTAGCGTGAATAACCCAGCAGCGGCAGCTACATAATAATATACGATAGCTTTGCTGGAAACTTACAAAGGCCCAAAATTGATGGAGTGACCGGCTAAACCTCAGATCTTCCACAACAATGGCGGTCTTTGTACTCTGAAGCTGGCACATGTGGATGCCAAAAGCATAATGTGGCATGTGGAGGACTCGTGCATGGTAATGCTTTGTTGGAGATCTACAATGCCGAATGCGTCTACGGTACACGCCTGACGCAACGGTAGTCAACAGAAAGTGTATCAGAGAATAGACACTGATATAACTGGACATACGACACCCATCAAAGATGCAGATTCTGCACGTAACAAACTGAGTTCTGATAATCCAATCCCATTCCAATAACGCCACCGCAATGCTGTACAGACCAAATCTATATAGTAACAACCTCCCAACCCCTTCCACACCACATCCACCCTCCTACTCTTCCGGCTCCTCATCTTCATCCCACCAAAAGCACGGTCCAAGCCCATCATCCGCCATACTCGCTATAATCCTCCACGGACTCAACCTCCTCGCCCTCCTCTCCTCCTCATCCATCGCCGTATCCGACTCCGGCTTCTCTGGCGTCTGATCAATCCACTCCTCCTCCTCAATCCGGAACCGCGCCATCTCATACGTATCGAAATGCATCAGATCCGGGATGTGCGGGTGCCGGTAGATGAAGACGCCTTGGGAGTGGTCAAAGAATGTCCCGGCTGGGAGAGAGGTGGCGGGGACGAAAATGTCAGAGAAGAAGGTGGTGCGCAGGTGGATTCCTTCGGGGGAGGCGGAGGTGATGCGGCCGTGGAGGACTTCGTGGCGGAAGGGACGGAACACGACGAGGCGGAACTCGACGTTGACGTTTACGAGGCCGGTGCCGTGACCGATGAGGCCTTCTGAGGAGGAGAGGAGGTCATAGAGACAGATACAGAGGCCTATCTTTTGGATAACCTGGTGTGGAATTAGTACAACTGAAAGACAGAAGGGAGAATGTTGATCGCATCTCACTTTGTTGGCATATTTGGCGTTGATGTTATCCTCAATGGCCTGCTTGCTGGGCTTTGAGAAATCTTCTGGTGTGATCTGCACCAGATCCGATATCTTTGTCTGTGCCCGCTTAGTATTGTATTATAAAATCTAGATTTGCCTACTTACGAGTATGAACATCTTTAGATATTTCGTAGAAGATTGGGTTGACCAGTCGAATAAGTGACTGCGTCAACTTTTCGAGTGAGATATTTTCCACGTGACGCCGGCGTCAAGCGTTGGCCCCGCGCAACGTCAACACCTAAAATAGAGATATATATTTGTTTATTTCTCTTTTCCTTCTTCCCCCTCTTCCTACTCATCCAAACTTTGTAATTACTTCAAATGTCCAACAGAGAGCTTGTTCTACCATTCCGGCCTCGATATATCTCACCTCCAAGCACCTTCACCAGTCTCACAGCAAAATGTCCAACTTAGGGCAACGAAGCGAGGCGGTAAGTGAACGCAGTGTTCGGGAAATATATGATCCGCCGCCTTCACCATCCACCACGTCAAGCGCGACTCAGTGTAACATAGGATTTGAACGTTTGAGCATTCGTGCGACCTCTCCTGTTTCGTTGTCGTTTCCATCTGTCTTCAATACTTCTCATTCACAGCAGTCCTTTCATTCTTCACGTCCTATCAAGTCTGAGCGCCACGTCTCGCGCAAGCCCAGCAGAGCCAATCGAGATCGTGCTCGTGGAGCGAACTTTGCCATCAAAAGAAAACAACTCGAAGAACAAAGATCGAACCTCGAGATGGCTTCAAACCAGTACAGCTACCCTCCTCCGCCACCTCCGCCACCTCCATCTACGAATGCCCAAGGTGGCCCTCCGGCTGGCTATCAACAGTACCAGCAGCCTCCTTACGGGCAGCAGCAGCCAGCCCGTGGTGGTGGCGCACGCGGTCGCGGCCGAGGTGGCTTCAACCAAGGTGGCCAAGGCGGCCACGGTGAATTTCAAAACTCTCAATACCCTCCACATGCAGGAGGTTACAATGGACCACCTGCCCCAGTTGGTGGCTATGGGCAACAAGGTGGCCAGTACGCTGGACCACCAGCCCCTGCCAATGGCTATCCTCCACCGCAACAGTGGCGCGGAAATGAGCCTCAGCTTCAGCAGCAGCATCATCAAGTTCAGCACCAGCAACCCCCCCATCCCGCTCCATTGTCTGTTCAGAACTATCATCCAAATTATGCTCCTCAAGTTTACCAGCCAAATGGACCACAGCAGCAGCCCCAGTATGGCCCTCAGCAGCCAGCGCCGTACCAGCAGGGACCATACGGTCCACCTGCACCCATGCCCCCGCAGCCACAACAGCAGTGGCAAGCAGGCCCAGGACATCAATCTCAACCCCCTTTCAATAATGCCAACCGCGGCGGCCGTGGAGGCCGTGGCGGTGGCGGCTCAGGCCGCGGTGGTTTTGAAGCCCCACTGATGGGGCCCCCGATTCGTATGGGATTTGACAGCGACCGATCTGCGGGTCCAATGGCTCAAGCGAGCCCTGGATTCTCGCCGCCTCCATATGGTGGTCCTCAGCATGGTTCTCCAGTTCCGTTTTCTGCACCAGCGTACCCACCTCAGAACCAGTACCAGCCCTACCCTTCCCAGAATGCCTTCCCCCCCAGAGGCGGGAGGCAGTCTCTTGAGTCCAACCCGTTCCAGTCCAACGGCCCCAACCGTGGCAGGGGCGGCATGCAGAACCGCGGAAACAAGCGTGAACAGTTCAATGACCGAGTTCGTCACCGTGGCCAGAAGCACCCAGGTGCCGGTCACAATAAATCCTCCAGCCAAGGTGCTGTCACCGATCAGCCTCAGAAGCCTGCGGCAGATGCCGGTGCCAAGTCTGGCGAGAAGCGCAAGAAGAAGAAGAAGCGCAAGACCAATACCCTTGGCCTTACCCCTGGAACCGAAGATTACCAGGAGAGCGAAGACGAAGATGATGCTGATGAAGAAGCCAAGCTTGCAGCCGCAGCTCTCGGTTCAGCCTTGCCTGAGTAAGTTTTTCTCCACAATTATTTACTATTTAACCCCTAACAACCCCCCCCTAGGGAACCCTCCGACCTCGCCGCCTGGCTCGAAGAGCGCCGCAAAAAATGGCCCACCAAAGCCCGCCGCGACGAGAAGGCCGCGGAACTCGCCTCCCGCCGCGCAGCCGCAGCCGAGCAATCGGCCCGCGACAAAGCGAAAGCCAAGCACGACAAGGACGTCCTAGACGCCGCCGCCTCCGTCAAACCCGAGACCAAGATCGAGAAACAGCAGCGCAAAGCCGATAAACTCCGCCGCCAGCTCCAGCGCGCCGAGCAAAAAGTCAAGGACGCCCTCAAAGCCGGCTCTAAGCGCAAGCGCGATGCCGGCGACTCAGGCGACGAGGACCAGGATGACGGCACCGCGCGCGTCAAATCCGAGAACGATAACGACATCGACGCCCTGATCGCCTCTGCCACCGGCGCCGCATCCTCCTCCTCCTCCGACTCAGACTCCGAGTACACCTCTGCCAGCGACAGCGATTCCGGCCCCGACACCACCACCTCAAAACGCACAGCCCCCATCGTCGTTCCCGCGCCCAAGAAACCAATCCTGCAGCGCCACTGCAAGTACTTCTCCACGGGCGGCACGTGCGGGAAGAAAGGCAAGTGCCGCTTCGTGCACGACCAGGCCGTGCGCGACGCCGCGATCAGGGAGAAGGAGATGAATGGCGGGGTTATGACGTTAGCGCAACGCTTGACGCAGAATGATCGCGAGAAGGACGAGTTGATGGTGTTGAAGAGTATTAAATACTTGCATGAGAAGGGGATGCTGGATGAGCCGATGGAGGGCTAGTGGCTCTTTGCTGGTCGGGGCGCGGGGGGGACGGGTATTGGTGGGGGGCCGCTTGGGAGCGGGTATTTGGGGTTTCCTTTTCGTCTGGCGGCACAAGCAAGCAAGCGCGCACACTCACAGACGCGCTTTCACGCATGAGCGACGAGCGCGTCTTTCCTCTTCGTCGAATGTTTCTCCTTCTTGTGGGAGTATTTCTGTTTACGGCTATATCATGGGGATCTAAACATGGTTTTCTGGCATTGCGATATTGCTTTTTTTTAATCACCCTTGTTTTCTTTTTGGGTCATGGTATCTGTTGGGGAGTCCCAACTGCTGAGCTACGGCGCGGGGTCATCCGCGTTTGTCGGCTTTGGTGGTGTATTGTCTGGGGGATTTCGGTGTTGGGCGGCATAACGGCGGGTGGATGGTGTCTGGTAGGAAAACGGCGGCGCATGGTGGCCGACTGGGGGGTTTATGGCGTATAAGCGCTGATAGCGGCGGTAGCTGTAAATTATAGTTGAACAATTAAAAGATGATTGTAGAATATTTATACTGATTTTTTGCGTGACGTGTATCGATCGGTATCTGATACATCCTCTTTGTGTGTATTATTTACGTATACGTGGATATTGACCCCCTCTCCATGCCCATCTCCAAGAAATCCTAGCAGCTGTATTGTTCCCCTCCCACACTCCCAAAAACTCCTCTGCAATGAATATAACCCCCCCCCAAAATATCTGCCAACCCATCACCCAATCAATCAAGCGCCATCCCATACTCCTCCGCAACCCCCCCATACGCCTCCCCCTCCACCATCCCCCCCCCCCTCGTCAACACAAACTCAATATGTTCACTAACATCTCCCCACCCACCACTCCCCCCATCAACCCCTTCCCCCTCCCCCCACCTCCCCCCCCAAACATCCTCCCCCACCTCCCCCTCCCACTCCGCCACCCTAACCGCCCACCCCACCCTCTCCCTCCACTCCTCATCCAATAACCCAAGGATCCCGCGGACTTCTTTAAGAGCTACCCCGGAGAGCCACCATGCGCCGTCTACGGCGCGGGTCATGGCGAAGAAACTAGCGATGACGGCGAGGGCGCGGGAGTCGGCGCGGTCGACTAGCTCGATGAACCGGCGCGAGACGGTGGCGGGGAAGCCGACGATGCGGGCTTTTTCGGGGCGGGCGTGGGCCCAGTTCAGATAGGCGACAGAGTGCTCGTAGGCGCGGCGGGTTTCGTCTCTTTCTCCCTCTGGTAGGGCTTCGAGTTGTTCATCGAGTCCTACTAGTAGGTCGTCGAAAAACGCGGGTCGGCTGGGGTGGAGATCTAGTGCGAGAGCGGGTTGCGCAGAGATAATCGGCCGGATATCCGAGGAGCGGAGGAAAGGCCACGCGGCGATAACGACGGTTTTCACACCTTGGAAGGCGTGGAACCATTGTGTGGGTAGGGAATACGGTTCTGCCTCGCTCCCGGGCTCGTTGAGAAACCGCCGCGACGCAGAGGCTTGGAAAGCTATCAACGCAGCTGTTGCGAAGAGGGCGGGACCGTTTTCGGCTGTTACGCCGGAGTGGAGTGTCGCTGTGTAGCTGGATAGCGCGGAGGCCATGTATGCGTGGAATAACCGCGGTAGGGAGGGGTCAGAGGGTGTGAGTGCCCGTAGGTGTAGGGCGGCGATCGCGAGGAGTGCGTCCATTAGGCAGGGTGTGTTGAATGCTAGATTCGGGACTGCGAGCTGCCATGCTAGCGCTGCGGGGGGTGTATCACCCCACGCCAGCGTCGGGGCCGTGAGGGTGGTGTATGTATGCAGCAATCTCAGCTCCGTGGCGCGCGAGGTGGGGGAGTAAGGAGACAGCGTCGTGGATGGTAATGGCGGATCGAGGTGGAACGGGAGGTTGGGAGAGGGGGGGAATTGGTGGGATGTGGAAGATGAGGGTGAGGGTTTGGGCGTGGATGAGGAATTGCTGGAGGATGAAGGGGTGGTGTAGCGGACGAGCGAGTTGGGGGGGGAGAGGGCGGAGGGGTCGTCAAAGTCGCAGGGGACGCCGTGTTTGGTGCAGTTCCCGCAGATGGGGTGGGCTTCGTCGCACTGGGGGGGGGTGTCAGTTGAGTCATGAAGAGGTAAAGGTTGGGGAGTAACTGGGGGCGGGGGATTGGGGTCGGATTGGGGGAGAGGGAGGGGGGGATGGATTGGGGATTGGGGGGATTGGGGGCATTGGGAATGGATTGTCCATGATTGGAGAGGAATTGATAATTGGAGAATTGGAGAAAGCTAGAGAGAGCAAACATACCTTAACTTTTCTTAACTTGCATCTCTGGCAACCCGCCCTTGACTTCTTATGCGAGCGCCTCGGCGGCATATCTGCTCCTGTTGCTTGTGGTTGTATCCCCTTCCCTTCTTCACCAATCCGAGCTCTTGCTCTTTCTTTCCTCCTCTCTGTTCTATAGCTTGCTATCTCCCAGCAGCTAGCTCTCCAAGCCTCCTAAGGATGTTCGCGGCTCTGATCTCGTCGGGGCGTCCTACAGCTCTGCATCGTCCCTTTTCGCATGTGCATAAGGCTGCCTTTGAAATTATATCTGAGAAATGGTAACAGAGAGAAAGGACCGAGAAAGAGAGAGAGGAGGAGACGAAGAAGAAGCAACTGCCGCGCGGAAGTAGTCTCGGCGAGATAGGCCAAAGCAGGTACGCTGTCGTAGTAGGGCTGTGCAAAGACCAGAGACGCGGCGGTGGTTGGCGAATCGCAGTCGGCGTGAAGATGGTCTGGAGGGACCGGAGAGAGCGGGAGCCGGGAGGAGGGTGCAGTAGTGGCGGGTTGGTACTTTTGGGTGAAGTAACTTATCGGTGTGGTTTGGTGGTTAATGGGGGTGTTTTGGGTGGGAGGAGGGAAGGGAGGGACTTGTGGGGAAGGTACTACGCGTATGACTGTGGTGGGTTGTGTTGGTGGGGTTAGAGTTAGAGCCTAGAGAGACTTTTTCGTACTCGGATTCGATGGGTTGGTGCCTGAGATATAAGGGGGGAACGGGGGGTAAGCGATGATCTTGGAGCTTGATGGGAGCTGGAATGGGAGGGACGTGGGAAGCTGAGCCTGGATTTTCAGGCGTGGATGCTTATATAAGACTATTGGTTATGTTGGGTACGCGCGGGGGTGTGGATGTAGGAACATGGTTTTATCGATTATGTAAGCACGCCTTCAGATCTCTTATCATACGAAGGGCGTGTATGGAGCAGCAGACCTCGGTTTGATGCCTGAGATATGTGGGTTGCAAGAGTACCCCTCTTGATGCCTTATATTTGTGGGTACGCCAGAGAGAGATCTCCTCCGTCAGAAGGGCGTAGATTGCTAATAGTGCATTATCAACGGGTATAGTCTCTCACATGTACAGAATTACATAGCGAGTGCATTAGCAGTATATTCCTCGCATGGTATAAACATACTTCAGTGAAAGCTGCAAGTTACTTCTCCCAGATCCTATCGATATTCAAAGTACCCTCTAGTATAAAACACAGTGTAGAGATACAACCCTACCTAACAAATGGGTACATTACATAAGTAGCCTTCTTTTATCGTCCTTCTCTTCCGCGTCGACTTTCTCTCTTTGATGTCTCATGGGACTCTCCCTCCTTCTCTTTTTTTTGCTACCCCTCCCGTGTCCCGCAGCTATCCGATGCTATTGGCCATACCCGTTGTTTTGTTCTCATAACCGTCAATTCCCCAATCCCCGCCCTGGTAGATTTAACGTGCACGCTTACTAACAATCACGCCCTAGGTAGCCTCGATTTCTCCAATAAATCCCCAATTCCCAGTCAACGACGTCATCTCAGACAGTGTCTAGGTGTCTAGAACATGGTGTTGTACAGTGTGTTTAAGTCTAGCATGTTGTTATATGACAAAGCCAACAAGTGATATGTTATATTACTCAACAACACCACCGTATACTAGCCTTTTCACCAATATATCTCACACCCTATGGCGAACGGGCGATGGCGACATCGCGATGGCGCCTTCGACCTGATCCAACTGATCGGTTGCATGCCCTTGCTTCGACGCTGACTGGATGCCATTCCAGCCTAGATCTTCCCGACGAGATCTGTCAGATCTGTCCTTTGTGTGCCACTTTCTGTCAGGTACGGGCGGTGGTGGGAAGGTATCATGGCTTCTGATGATGGTCTCGGTGATTATGGCATCTTGTGATACTGTGGATCTGTGGTGTTTATGGTCTCACGGTCTCTACGGCGTCTCCGTGTATTCCGGGTTATGTTCGTATATACAGTATATTTACTCTAACTCTACTATAATCTAATATACTCTACTATCTAACTATATTTCTACTCTCTTCTCTATAAGCAACTTATTCCTACTCCACCCGTGAAATCCCTAAAGTCACACACTCACACTCCTCAATTTTATACGAGTAAGTTGTACTCTACTCTACAAAAACGGGCAAAAACACCCAACCCGCTTTGTAATCAAAAATTCAAACATTCAACCCCTCCATCATCCACTATCCACTTATCCATCCCATGCACCCCGCCTGAGGTACTTCCACCCATGTACAATCTCACACTACTAGCTAAGTACCTTCCCTTACCTACCTGCTGTAAACGTAACTTGACCATACAAACCACCAACCACCACCACCACCACCACCGACTTTTCATTTGACACCTATATATCAGTGTCAACCTCCCTCGGAGTCTTTGATCCTTTCTTTCTTCTCGCTACAACTACACCTCTTCCTCCTCCTGTTGATCTCGACGACTTGATCCTCAATCCTCGATCTCAGACAACCTCACACCACCCAAAGTGAGAGTTTATATCACCGACACTCCACCCCACCATCACCAAAAAAAAACCCCTCACCACCACAACAACCTCACAACTACAACCTCACCACCTCACCACCTCATCACACACCCCCCAACCTTCACCATGACCATCCCCTGCGAGCCAACCCCCCACGCCCTCGCTGCCCTCAAATGCGACCACGACCACCCCATCGCCACCCCCCCCCGCCCCTCCTCCCCCGTGCACCGCTTCGGCACCCTCGCCGTGCACGCCGGCTCCCCCCACGACCCCGTCACCGGCGCCGTCATCGCGCCCATCTCTCTCTCCACCACCTTCGCGCAGACCGCCGTCGGTGTCCCAGTCGGCGAATACGAGTACTCCCGCTCCTCGAACCCGAATCGTCATAACTTCGAGACCGCGGTTGCTGCGCTCGAGCACGCGAAATACGCGTTGGCGTTCTCGTCGGGGTCTGCTACTACGGCTGTTATACTCCAGAGTTTGGCGGCGGGGAGTCATGTTATTTCGGTATCAGATGTGTATGGAGGCACCCACAGGTATTTCACGCAAGTCGCCCAAGCACACGGCGTCTCCGTGACATTCACCCCCGAAATCGCCGTCGACATCGCCGCCCACATCACCCCCGACACCAAACTAGTCTGGATCGAAACCCCCTCCAACCCGACACTCCGCCTCGTCGACATCCGCGCCGTGACCGCCAAAGCCCACGAGCACGGCATAATGGTCGTGGTGGATAACACCTTCCTCTCTCCCTACGTGCAGAACCCGCTTGATCACGGCGCGGATATCGTGGTGCACTCAGTCACCAAATACATCAATGGACACTCTGACGTCGTCATGGGCGTAGCGGCGTTTAACTCCGATGAGATGAAGGAGAGACTCGGATTCCTCCAAAACGCAATCGGTGCCATCCCCTCAGCATTCGACTGCTGGCTCGCCCACCGCGGTCTCAAGACCCTGCACCTCCGCGCCCGCGAAGCCTCCACGAACGCCCAGCTCGTCGCAGAAGCACTCTCCTCCTCCCCCCACGTCATCGCCGTAAACTACCCGGGCCTAGCATCGCACCCCCACCGCGCCATCGCCCTGCGCCAGCACCGCAACGGTATGGGTGGCGGTATGCTGAGTTTCCGCATCAAAGGCGGTGCTTCGGCGGCTGAGAAATTCTGCCAAGCTACTTCGCTGTTTGTCCTCGCTGAGTCCCTGGGAGGAGTTGAGTCATTGGTCGAGGTGCCGAGTAGTATGACGCATTCGGGCATTCCGCAGGAGCAGAGGGAGGCGGTGGGGGTTTTTGATGATTTGGTCAGGATTAGTTGTGGGGTGGAGGATGGGGAGGATTTGAGGGCGGATGTGTTGCAGGCGCTTGAGAAGGCGGTGGTGTGGCCGAAGGTTGCTAATGGGGTTGCGGCGGGGATGGGGAAGGCTACGCAGTAGGGGGGGGAATTAAGGTGTGGAGGGGAGGGAGGGGGGATGCTGATAAAAGCTTATTTCGGGGACCCGTTGAACTTTATATTTTCTTTTGTTTTTGTGTGTTTGCTCACCTAGGATAGGATTGGGTTATTATGGTTTCTTATTTTTGCCAAGGAAATGTGCAAGGGGGATTGGGTTGGGGGGACTCATATAGATGAAATAGGTTGAATAAAAAAAGACTAGTTTTTTATCTTATGCATTCTACCTTCTAAAATGCGTCGGTTCATCTGAAACTGTAGTTTGTATCACTGGATTGATTTTCTCAATCTACCTATCTACTTACAGACCATCAGAACCCAGTCTCTCTTTAGTATGGTACAATCCCCCATCCATCCATCCATCAACCCCATATAACCCTCCATCCATCCATCCCCCATCCCCCGTCAACTCCATATAACCCCCCCCCCCCCCTTTTTCCTCTCCCAAACGCCATAGAACAAGCAAATCGAAAGCAAGCAAGCTCAAGCCCGAGCAAGCTCCCTAGTTGACAAAATCCGTACAAGTACCGCTGAAAATTGAGGGTATAATGAAAAGCAAACAACACCTCACACCGATAAAACAATCCCCGCCGTCCGTCAGCCAACTCCCCATCTCCTCCCTTACTCCACCCCCAACGCCTCCCTCATCTCCTGAGGCATCTCCCTCGAATAAACCACAACCCCTGCCTTCGCCCTCGCCGCACTCCTCATCTCCCCCCCATACACCCTCTCCACCTCCTCCTCTCCCCCCCTCCACCCCTGGGCATACGTACTCCTAAACTTGCCCTTTCGCTGCGAAGCCTTCAACAAATATTTAGGTCCACACCAGTACTCCCACTGCGTCCATGTCTTTGCGCTAGCTGGTGCGCGGCCGCGACGACGGGGTATGGTGGTGGTGATGCCTTGGTTGGCGATGGAGGGGGTGATGGGGCGGCCGGTGAGGGGGGAGTTGAGGTACGAGGTGTGGTCGGATTCGTTGCCGTCTGTTTTTGCTTTGTTAGATACTGTGGGTCACGTGGGGTGGTAGGGGGTAAACAAAGATAGAGTAAAGAAAAATAAAACGGGGGAGAGGGAATAAATAGAACTTACCAGTAGTAGTACCGCGCGGCCCATCACCCATGTGCCACGCCACAGGCACAATATGCGCTTTCTCCATATGAGCCTTAAACGCCTCTTCGTCCCCAAAAATCTCCTCCTGGACTACACCACCCATCTCCTCGTCTCCATCTCCATCACGAGACTCAAATTTCTTCCCACACTTCCCCCACAAACATGACTTAGGAACAAACTCCTTAATCCGAATCGCCTTCCCATGGACAACATAAACATGCTTCCTCAACGTCTCAAGATTCATCAACTCAGCCTTGCAACCGCGCCACTCACATAGAAACGGAATGAAAGTCGGCTGTCCGAGACGAGAATACGGGATCTCGGGACGCTTATCCTTAGCAGGGGGACGGCCACGGCGCTTAGGAGCCGGGAGCTCGAGCTCGTCTTCGTCAGCGGCAGCTGACGCTGGGCCACCAGGGGTTCTGCGGGTGCGAGTCAGGACGCGCTTAGCAGGCGTAGGCATGACCGCGTTAGGGTCACGGGGAGGGCGGCCACGGCGCTTAGGGGCCGGTGCGGCGGCGGGTTCAACAGGGATCTCTTCCATTTCTTCATCATCGCCGTTAGTGTCGTCTGGGATTACGATTGCAAAATTCGACTGCGATGTCTCATTGCGGAGACCGCTTGGGCGGCTAGGACCGTAATTTTTATGCGTACCTTCAGTGAGAGGAGTAGGGTAGGGGACGGGTTTGTTAGGACCGTACGGAGGCATGTTTGCTGATCCCACTTCTGCACCGCCTGGGTCGACGATGTCCCAGCGGAAGGTGCTGAGATCGGATGTGTTATCGACTTTTGTGAAGCGTTCTTTCAGTTGCTTGAGATGCGCGTTTAGGCCTCTTTGTGTAGGATGCTTGCCCGTGGAAATGAGAATGTCACGTGCGATGGTCTTTGGGTCGTAACGCGATCTGCGGAGGGCGAGGGATCGATCAATGCTCTTTACGATTCCGCCGTATTCTAGAAGTGGATTTCTAGTGATTTGAACTTGAGGATTGACGGTTATGTTCGTGGTATTGTTGTGAGGAGGCGGATTTAAGTGAGGTTGATGGTGATGTTGAAAAGGGAGGGGTTTAGGTTGTCTTGGTCGCGTTGGAACCTCTCCTGTTATTGGCCCGTGCCCAACGGATAAATTATTGATCCGATCACCGGCAGTGGCATCAACGCGTTGCCTCTTCTCATTGTGCACCTCACCTTTGTCTGAGGATTCTCCTTTTGTGAGGTCAATAATCTCAGCAAAGGTCCTTTTCCTAGCTTGTGCCTCCTTTGTTAAAGGAGCTGCAGGAGGAACCGGTGCCGGTGCCCACGCCGGTTGAGGTGCAGCATATGCATTTGGTAGTAGCTGCTTTCCGTGGTGGTGGTAGGGATATGCCACTGGTAGGAATGGGCCATGCTGAGGTGGCCCATACTGAGGCGGTCCATACTGAGGAGGACCATGCTGGGGAGGACCATGCGGTCCTGTAGGTGTGCCAAATTGAGAATTATATTGTACAGGTGGACTAGGACCACCCATCGCAGGACTTGGGTTAGAAATATTGTGATGAGGCGGATGCGGTATTGGGTTAGAAATATTGTGACGAGTGGGATAAGGATGTGTTGGTGTTGTTGTTGAGTTTGCTGTTGAGTCTCGCCATGTCTTCCAACCACCTTTAGGAGGAGGAGCAACATCGTTTTGGTATGGGGACGAATAAGTATTACCAGCTCCCCCCGAGTCTGGTTTTGATACTCGCCTGGGTTTGCCCATGCCCACATCAGCCTGTAGGAGCGACATGTGGTGTATCTCTTCGGTAGTCAATGGAGCTGAGCGTCCTAGGCCCTCGGAAGCACGCGGTGCATTTGGCTGTTCTGTCGCAGTTGGCGGCGCTGCTGTTGCTGATGCATTCGGCGGAGCTGTAGTTGCTAGCGCTGACTGAGGGTGTAGACCTGGTGCATTTGGCGAAGTAGCGGTTACTGATGTAGGCAGAGGGGCCTGGGCCGGTGAATTTGGCGAATCTGTGGCTACTGATTTAGACGTATCAGGCGCTGTTGTAGTGGCAGTTGTGGCTGCATTAGGCGCTCCTTGAACGGCTGGTACAGGAGCCACATGATTTTCTTGTCCCTCCTCTGCACGCGAAGGATATATAGACTGCTCATCTACAAGCCGTTCGTCATTTCGTGGCCTGCCTCGTCCACGACCTGCTTCCACAGCAGGATATGGAGACTCCGCAGGCTGCCCGTCTTTTCGTGGCCTGACCGGTCCACGACCCACCCTCGAACCACTAAATGGAGACATCGGAGGCAGCCCATCTTTTCGTGGCCTACCCACTGGGCGACGCTCTATCCCATTATTAGGAGTCCCAGAACCCGGCGTCTGGCTGGCCTGTGGTGGAGCTTGTGTGGTCCCAGGTGTCAATGGAGATATTCTCGCAGCCTGCCCTGGTGCTACCCCTGCCGCAGGTGGTAGTATTGGTTGTGGGGTATTCTGCTGGGACGCTTGTGCTTGAGGTGCAGAGGTAACAGAGGCCGTTTGCCATAATGTTGGGGTCACGGCCGCAGGACGAGGTGGTTGAGGCCTAGGCTTGGAACCGCTGGGTAAGATAGCAAGTAAAGTTTTGGCAAACCGTGCTCTATCCATTTTGAATCCCAGTTTCTCAATCATTTCACACAACTCAAGGTAACTCGGGTTGCCTTCCAGCATGTCCCGGATTTGTCGTGCCAAGATTTCCTTCCCAGTATTCTCTGGGATCTCATTGAGAACAGTCGCGGCCGTTATTGCGATTGCGTCTCTCTTATCTGTGGGCCATGTCGAACCTTGCTGAGATGATGGCAGAATTGCAGCACGGCCTGTGATCTGCGATGTCGCAGCCAGTGTCTGTTGGCTGCTGTTGACTGGCTTTCTGCTAGCCGCCGCAGTATTTACAACGACTGGCGTTGCTGTACTAGAGGAAGCCCTCCGGGGTGGTTGGGCAATGGATGCTACTCCAGGGGTGTTCGTGGTAGATTTATTAGTCTCTTGGGATCCAACCACATCCGGCTTGCCAGGTGTCACAAGCGCATGCTCTTGTGCAGCAGGTATCGTGGTAGAAGCCGCAGCGGTCGCCGCCGCAGCCGCTGCTGCTATCTTAGCCTCAGCCTCTGCAAGTTCAGCAGCTGCGCGCTCAGCCAACGCTTTCCTTGACCTGCTAGGCCGCTTTTCCCTCCTCCTAGCATTGATAGCTTCTTTAGTCAAAGGCTTAGCCTGTGTTGATGGTGACTGGGAACTGCCCGGGCTTTGCAGTGTTGCCTTTTTGCCCTTTGGTGCGGGGGATGGTGCAGGTGCAGACACTGGTGCTGAAACAACCGGAGTAGCTTTAGGTGCTTCTGCTGGCTGAGAAACGACTGAAGTTGGACTCTTCAATGGAGCTTCGACTGATTGTGTCACTGGGCTGCCTTGGGTTTGAGATCCTTCTGCCTGTGGCTGAGGTGATTGCCCGGCGCCGGTTTTCCTCACTGAGGACCAGACCCGGAGGAATAGCTTAGGATCTTTTGACTGGTAGTCTCGTAGTCTTTCAACCATCCTCCGCATCTCTTCCTCCATTGTCACCGCAGTATCATCTTTTGGCGGCTCCGGCGGTCCTGCCATTTGCTTTGGTATGGATGGAGCCGAGGCTTTCCCCTTCGAATTAACTGGTGCCGCCGACACAGGATGAGATATGTTCTCAGAAGTAGGCACTGCAGTATCCTGCTGCTCGTCTTCATTGTCTTCGTCAGCATTGTTAGAATCTTGTCCTTGGTCGTCCTCCTCGCTCTCTTCAGACTCGGATTCTGGTTCTGCTGCATTATTGGCAGACATGGCATGGGTAAGCGTCATTGCTGCTTCGACCGCGGCCCCTGTCATATCTGCTCTTTCCCTTTGCTGCTGGGCTCTTAAAGCTTCTTGCTGTTGTTGTTCTTCTGCAGCCGCCATCTCCTTTAATTTGGCGAGTCTCGCTGCCTCCGCTTCTGCGGCTTCTATTTGTTTCTGATACTCATGGTAGCTATTATAAACATGGCTGGGGTCTACAGTGGTTGGTCTGTCTGGTGATGGCCGTCTCTGTGGCTGTGGAAGTTGTTGGTTGCGAGCAGTTGATACCTGCGTGGGCAGCGGGAGATAGTTGGACGTTGGTGGCAGCTGGGAGGTAGGCGCAGGCTGGTATTTATTTGGTTGGCTATTAATATTTTGTGTAGTAGGCGTTTGTCCATCGCTTATTCTACGGATCACATTTGTAGGCATCTTAGCAGGAGGCAAAGTGGCGGCTGGCGGAGGGCAGGTTTGGATTGCCCTCCCACTCTGGTTATTTGGGCCGCGAGCGGCCTGCGAGCGCGGTTGGTTAATATATGCATTTGAACTTGTATTCGCAGTACTCCTGGCTACGGGTGCCACTGGGGGTGTCGACTTCTGGCGACTTTGCTCCTGCTTAAAAGCCCTCGCTGCCGCTGGCTTTTGAGGTTGCGATGGGGTATACGGTGCATACTGGCATTGTTGTATGTTCCGAGAAGACGGTTCCATCGTGTGCGGGGCTCTCGATGTGACAGTGGTTCCCCCACTGGGCATCGTCGTATTGGTAGAGCGTTGAGGATATGAGTTTATCAGAGACTGAGGATACGCAGGCGACGGCGTTGGGAGATTATATTCAGCTCCTTTTTTTATCCCCGCAGCTGGCGCAGGGGCATGTATCTGCGAGTGGATTCCAGTAGCCGGTGAAGCCCTTGAGTTGGTGCTATCTTGCCTTGGACGATCGTTGACTTGTGAGGGGGTGTTCTGGTACACACTCGCCCCAGAGTATCTCGCCGTATTTTGCGCCATTTCCGCAGCAGAGTTATAATTGAGACCTGAAGCGTAGGCTAGATTTCCCGGGCCGCTTGTATCATAGGTATTCTGCGCGTTTGACTTGGTCGTAGTGCTAAGGGTTTGTTCGGGGACACTGGGATTGCTTAAGCTCTCCATGCCAGTGGCCGCAGTCGCCTTCCCCCCAGAGTAAACACCCCAATTATACCCACCGCCGTTATTCGCGCTGGCCTGTTGTGGGTATTGCTGATACTGGTAATCATTATTTGGGTACGTTCGTGTTGGCGTCGCGGTCGTTTTTGCGCCATGGTATGGATCCCCAGCCGTCGCACTGGAAGTCGCGAAGCCTTGCTGGGAAGTAGGCGCCCGGTTATTGCCAGGAGGGTAGTTGCTGCCGTAGTTATAATTATTGTTTGTCATATGGGCCATCTAATGCGCGTCAGATAATCGTCATGCCGTGGGCGCAACCATAGATATGGGGGCTTTCGCCATGCCGAGCATAACTTACTGTTGGCTTCCCCGGCTAGGAGAAGACACACCACATTTGTCACTACAAGCATCAAATATACAGCGCATTATGCATTCTCATTAATAGTGGCAGACTTTGAAGGGCGTTGGGCCATTTCGACTCTTTACAGCTATACAATCCCCGTCTTGGATGGGATGAGCCTCGTCGCCTGTGCTCCTGGTGTGGTTGGGAGGCTCGTGCATATTCCGGTCTATTAGCGCGTCTGATTGGCTACCACCAGGTCGACCGATCGCGAGGCTGCGGCCGGCGCCAGCCTTCGTGGTCAACGAAGTACCATCATGAATTTTGCATCTTGGGCTCCGAATCGTAAGGAACGGGATATGATGCAGAGACGCCCTTTGGTTTTAGTCAATAAAGGCATTATAATATATTTTTCAAGCTGTCAACTGGGGGAGAAAATGAAGGTTGGGATGTCCCATTCTTGAAATATTCCTTATATTCCTTTTATGATTCTGTTGTACAAAAATTGAAAATTATAACATTAGTACTATTGCTGCTTATGTATGCTGTCATGCTCGTAGGATAAGATCCTGGACAACGGCATCAGCGTCTTTAAAAAGCGGCAAACAAGCTATCTCAGCCACCAGCGAGCTCCCAAATTGCTCTGCCCACCAGACCTGATGTCCACATTTCTCTACCAACACCCCCCAATACATGAGTATTAGCAACGCGGCGGCGTCGCCATCTTTGACCGCTTCAATATATCTATCACCAGCCATGTTTAACCAACCAAGAGCATAGCCGCGGGTAAAATCATCGACACACTTCTCATACATCGTCTGAAGAAGACCTAATGCGGCCTTACAAACTTCCCAGTATTCAACTTGCTGAGCTCTTTGAGAAACTGTGTCACGGACTGATGATGTGATTCTCTTGTCATTGAGGTTGGCTAACATGACAAGTGCCCCTTCCACACTTGGATCAAGCGGACTCCGGGGCAAGCTTTCAAATGGCTTCAATTTTCGCACATATGGATTCTCCAACAGGTAGTCTTGTTTGCTTTCAATTATTGGGGTGCATCCGCGTAGCAGCTCGACATTGACAAGAACTGTTTGTATCACACTATCGCTCTCATCGCCTGATGGATTTGTAGCTCTAGTCTGTGCCGACGCAAATCCTAAAACCAAAAGCATCAGTGACATGCAAACCGCAGCATCGATGTTGTCGTCGTCGATGATAGAAGAAGATATTTGAACACGGAAGCTGCTCAGCGCAAGTCCATGATATTCAGTCGCCGCTTCAATATATTGTTGGCGGTGAGGCGTCTGCGCCAACCTCGCAATTTCGAATGAGGTAAGAGACAAGAGCCCATATAAGAGGTAGTCATGTTTGATGGCGAGTTGTGGCACCCAGGACTGCCAAACCTCATCGTCCTCAGCCCCGGGCGTGCAACAGCATTTGTATGTTGAGGCGGTCCATCGGTGCATGAGCTGCAACTCTAATAGATGACTATTGGCCGGGAAAATCACCTCACGAGGTCTCGCTGAGATAGATCCCACTGGCTCCTGGCTTACAGAGGTTGAAGCGGCAACGTCCTCAGTACTTGATCGCGGGCCAGCATACTCGCAGACATCTCCACGGATTTTACAACGCCCACAAGGAGGACCGGTCTCATCACACCTGACATGACGAGCCTTGCATATTATACACCCTTTGCGTGACTTCGCATGCTGGCGACGAGTTGACATAGTGATGAATGTTCATGTTCAGAATTGGTGTTCCGCGAGGTTACGGGATTACGAGATTACGAGATACGAGCTTACGACGGATTGTACCCGTCCTAGCCAATCACAGCCCGCTTACGGCTTCTCACATTTTAAATGATTGTATTTAATGGATGAAGCAAGTGATTTAGCAATATTAATATTACTATTAAGTCATAGGATCGTCTTGAGGGACTAAGGTGACACACGGGGCTAAACTGTATTATGGCGGTGCAATCAAGCATGATACCTATATAAAGCACATGTCCTCTTTCTTCACAGATGCCGCCAAAGTCGCATCAATTACATTTATATTGAGCATGGCCATTCAATACACGGCAAGAAATATCAAAACGTTGTCATTCCGCTCGCCAATGTCAACTTACGCTCGTCAAAACCAAACCTTCACTCTGCCAGATGGCCGCCAGCTAGGCTACGCCGAGTATGGCGACCACAATGGGACACCACTCCTCTATTTCCACGGCTACCCATCCTGCCGCCTCGAAGCCTACGCAATCGACGACATAGCTCAAAGGCACAACACCCGCATATTAGCACTCGACCGACCCGGCTTTGGTTTGTCCACACCGCAGCCCAATCGAAGCATCACGGACTGGCCTGCGGACGTCTCGGCATTCGCAAAAAGCATGCAGCTATCACGCTTTGCTGTGCTTGGAGCCTCGGGCGGGGGACCGTATGCACTGGCTTGCGCACATGGATTGCCACAGGAAACGCTTGCTGGCGTCGGCCTTTTTGCGAGCGGACCTCCGTGGGTTGGTGGTGCACATTACAACTCGATATACAGACGGGTAGCCCGAACGATGGCGATATACTGGCCAACCGGTCTCAGAATACTCTTCGATGTCTTAGTGCGCGTTTCGACGTGGGTGGTCCATTCGGGGCCTGTATCGAGGCGGATTGATCGCTGGTTGGAGCAGGAAGACAAGAATAAGGAGGACAGCCATCAGGATGTGAACAAAACTTCGGCTATGATCACACACAAGAAGACAACAGCGGAGCGTAGACTTGAACTGGTACACGCTTTGCTTGAGGAGCCTTTTGCTCAGGGCGGCAAAGCGGCGGTTGAAGAGGCTAGGCTACTTAGTTCGAATGATTGGGGCTTCTCATTTGAGAGTGTGCGACACAATCCGGTCATAATCTGGCATGGGGCAAAAGATACGAATGCGCCAGTGGAGTTAATAAGGTACATGGTGAAAAAACTACCTCATTGTATCTATCATGAGTTCAAAGATGACACTCATTATACCATGTTTAAACATTTCGAAGGGGCCATGGAAGAGCTTGTTTCAGAGAAGAAGTGTAGATAGAGTAATGGAACTCGCCGAGAGTTTCGTTATGCAATGTATAATTTAGGACTGATTACTAAACACACCCCGCATTATTAAGCCGCACCCCGCATAACCCCGAGTCCCGACGACGAACAAGCTAACCATTCGCTATGACACCATAGATACTTAATATTGATGCTACATTTATTGATAATCAGTGATGCGCTTATAACTTGCTGCTGTATATAAACCGAGAGCACCTACGTTAATGCCCATATTTGATTATAGCTCTCTACTCGCAAGCTTGTGCTGTCTTGTTATATTAAGCGCGTCTTACAATCAAAAGTAATATCCAAACTTAATTTCACAAATGGCGGCCTCTAACTTATATGCGATCATCGCGGGTGTTGGTGGTGGCACAGGTCTGCTATCCTCCCAATCTGCAGGCTAGCTATCCAAACCCACTGACAAACAAACAGGACGCTCCCTCGCCCTCAAGTTCTCCGCTGCCTACCCCACTGTCTTCCTCCTCGCTCGCTCACCCGAGTCCTACGACTCGATCGTCAAGGAGATCAAAGCCAGCGGCCGCAATGCAGTAGGCATCAGCACTGACGTATCATCCGCCTCCTCCGTCTCCTCGGCACTCAAGGCCATCGCCGCAGAGACCGCCAACAAGAACCTCGCAGCCGCAGTCTACAATGTGGGCGGCAAGTTCGTCCGCAAGCCATTCCTGGAATTGACCGAGGAAGAGTACTCTGCAGGCTTCGAGGCCGGCGGCAGAGGCTTCTTCAACTTCGCGCACGGCACCCTGCCACTTCTTCTCGAGACAGCGGCGCTCAAAGAGGCTGTCCCGAACCCGCCTAGCTTGCTGGTCACCGGCGCCACGGCATCACTCAAGGGCTCTGCACTATGCTCCTCCTTCGCCTCGGGCAAGTTCGCCCTGCGTGCCACCACGCAGTCACTTGCTAGAGAGTTTGGACCCAAGGGTGTGCATGTAGCACATGCAATTATTGACGGTGCCATTGATACGCCTAGGCTTAAGGAGTCGGGGTGGAAGGTGAATGGAGGTGAAGAGGATGGTACAATTGCGCCGGACGCAATCGCGGATGCCTACTATTGGCTTCATACTCAACCTCGAAGTGCATGGACTCAGGAAATCGACATTCGACCATTTATTGAGAAGTGGTGATCAGAGAGAGGCAATGAATAGGACAGAGAGTAATCGGTAGTTTTGTAGTTTTATTATAATGAAGTAGCGATCTAATACATCAATTTATCATATCTACAAGTTAGTGGTCTCAATACTACTTCACCGGTTGACATACGATTACTGTCTCACACCATCAAACCGACGCTCTTAACAGACTATGGGTCTAGAGGGCGGTCTGCAGGCAGGATATAGCGCGGACTTCAATGAAGAAATAACACTCTACAGGGGTTACTCTGCGCCACTTTTTTACCGCGAAATCCGTTGGGGAAGAAATCGCGGTTATAACTGGGCGTGGAATGGACTGCCTGTAACCCTATCCACGGGTAGATAGACTTGCGGACCAAGGGGTAAGGCAAAAGGTGCCAGAAAGGGATGGAAATGACAGGAGAGAGAAAAGCTGGGAGGTGGGGAAGGAATAAGAAAATTGGGGAAGGGAGGAATTAACCAGATGGGCTAATAGAAAGAAGCAGACGAGCAGCGCTGAACGCGGAGCCAACTTCGGGATAACTCCCATGGAGCATTTCACAGTATGAACCAGACGTGCAAGCACGGTGGATGTGAAACGGCCATATTATTGATCGATTGAATTGCGCCAAAGCCCATGCCTAACGCATTGCCGGCGATTTGCTGCCGCAAAAATTGCTGAATCAGCCCGATATAGTATGCCCGTAACACCATTTCCCAAGCTCCGATATAACCGAGTTTCACGTTGCCTTTATTGTTTTATATTCGAGTCCAGTATTTACTCCGACTTGGACTTGAGCTTCTCCTTGATCTCGCGACCGGTCTTGATGCGCTCCAAGATGGCCTCACGGTCCTTGTCAAGCTTGAGCTTGGTGATGACGACCTTGGAGGGGTGGATGCCGAGCGGGACGGACTGTCCAGAGGACTTCTCGCGGACAACACGCTCGACGTGAACGATGTACTTGAGACGGTAGACGGTGGTGATCTTTCCCTCACGACCCTTGTTGGAGCCACGAACGATGGTGACCTCGTCATCCTTGCGGATTGGGATCGAGCGAACCTGACTCTGTTAGACAGATTCTGGTGCTGGCTGGCGCCATATACTTACGTTGTACTTCTCACGGAGCTCCTTGCTGAGAGGGGCGCTCATGATAGTGCGGCGAACACTGGATGGGGCGCTGAAGTGCGACTTGCGCGACTTCCTGCGGGAGGAGTGGAGGGCTGAGGTCTGGTCAGTCTGGTTTCCATGATTCTAAAGCGCATAACATAGATGCGAATAGTAGAGTCAATCGTAACGTACAGCTGTTGATCTTCGTCATCTTGGCGGTTGGGGTGATGAAACTGGTTGTCGTAGAGTCGTGGATAAGAAAATCGAGGGGATTGAGATTTCGTGAACATTGAAGAAAGTTGTGTGCGTACAGGGGTCAGCTTAAGCGAGCGAGTCAAAATGTGTCTCGCTCACTAACCAGTTGCCCCACATGCAACAAATACACAGTCACGTGATATATTATTTATGGTCACGTGTGGCTTCTCTCTATTTCAGAGTTGAAGTAGATTCGACAACACGCTCACTTTGGCATAAGTATTTGTTTACATGTATTCATTTCAACTAGCTTATTAAATCAGTCCCTCCTCTACATCGCCAAAGTTAATCTCTGGTTGTCCTCCCTCTCCAAGCAAACCAAAAAGAGCCTCATAGTCCTGCGAATAATCCCCTAGCCCCTCGCTGAATTCTCCCGCCATTCCAACCCCGCTGAACTCTTCCCACTTGACTCCTTCTCCCCCAACCGACATTGGCCCCATTTGAAGACTCGGGTCATCCCAATCAAAGCGCATGCTCTCATCCCAACCAAGCCCCAAGGCACCCTGAGTAACATCTACACCAGCGCCCAGCTCAGCCATTGCACCCGCGGTTGCCTCATCTTCAAGTCTGATTGTTTCTCTTGCCGAAGATATAGCCTTCTGAATTTGTTTCGCTGAATCCCATGTCTCCGCAATCGAGTCAATCACCTTGCTAATTTGCTCTAGCTGTGTGCCTGTTTCCTGGATATCTCTCTTGTTCCTTGGTATTCCCTGGGGGCTTGCTGAAAGGAAGCGCTTTAGGAGCACGATCGATGAGGCCGATGCGCACGTGTGGATGAATGTGACTGGTAAAGCGGAGTAGGAGTAATGCTTCGAGTAGACCTTCATGAGTTGTAGAATGGAGTTCAGAGACGATGAGCAGATATCAAGATCTTCAGTGACGGTAGCAAGATGAGCGAGAGAAGAATGGCGGGGAGGACGGTGGAGAATAATCATTACGGTATGGAAAAACATGCTGCGTGATATTAGCTATAATGCCAAGAGAAATAGGGGTAAAAACTGGGAGAGAACTTACTGGAGATTAAGAATGTATGCTGCGACGGGACCTCGGCTCCATTGGTTCCAGTGCAGGCGTGCGGGCAAGTCCGCCAGCCACTTGCTGAGCGCGACATGGATGCCCTTTGCGCTGGCTGCGAGAATACTGGCGTCGGCTTTAGCGTTGTGGTTCTGGAAGACCTCAGTAATCATGCGATGCACAATCTTGCACAGCTCAGCTTGCTGGACAAAGGAACCGACAAAAGACAAATCGTCTTCGTATTCCGTAGGTGTCGTGTTATTTTTGATGTAGTCATCAAGTAGAGAGTCCCAATCCGGAGGGTAGATGAGCCGGTTAGACTTGTGGACGTCAGATTCAGACGGATAAAGGGCCGGTGGTCGGCCGAAGTAAAGCGACAGTTGCCTAAATCCATGTCAGAATTATGCTTGTGGGAGGCGGGGCGAGTAAACTGACTTGTCAGCAATAAATGCAGCCCAGTAGGCTCTTCTGGAGATTTCTCGCTCAACGTCGGTATCCCGAGGAGTATTCCAATGGCTGGGATCCAAGTGCAAACCCATGCCTTGTGCCAGCCTAAATGCCATTCCTAATCTTGTCAGTCTCATAATCTCTTATATCACGCGATCCACTCACCAGTAAAAACCCATCCTCTCGAGCTCTTTCCTCTTCCAATATCTCTATGCCCCAATAGCAGTAGCGCTTGTAGCGTTGTTAGGTCAGGGCTATCCAAGGCGCTGCCATATAGCAATTCTTGGGCGCGGTTTGAGAAAACTGCACTTAAATCCCTCACGGTCTCATCTGAGCTCGCCAGCGCGCCCATAGCACAAATCGCATACATTAGCAGATCGGAGTAGTACGGGCCTCCACCCGCCTTGTAATCTCTCAAAAAGTACTCTCGATACAAACACATGTGGAAGTAGTATTGTTGGTCGAAGAAGACCCCCATGAGCTTTTGGCACATTGGCGTCCACGGTGTACTAAAACTGTGCTCGACAATGTTCCCTTCGGGCGAAATAGCTACTGAAGATTCAGGTGATTGGGATTCTGGCTTGACTTGGACTGGAGGTGTGACAGTCATGATGCTGAAGGCCGCCTCGGCATCGTCCGTCTCAGAGGGGTTAATTTGGAAGAAAGATGTCTCGCCATAGAATTGGTCTGCACTGCCTTCCTTCAGTCGCATAAGACGACCTTTTGGGAGTGATGGTGCTAATGGAATCTCCTTTGCTAGAGCAGGTAAGGGTGGCAAATGCTCCATAGACGTCTCTTTGAAATTTGCGAGCATTACATCTCGCTCCGATGAGCTAGCAGCTGTGAGGTTCATAATAAAGAGCTCTAGAGAGGCAATTTGGCCCTCCAGAGCCTCGACGTAGAGTCGGGATATAGGACTGTAAAACATATCAGCGTACTTGGTTCCCCCAGGATTGGTGAGACAGGATTCGATTTTACCGTTTCTTTTCGCCACCAGCATTGATGCATTCTGCACCTGCTTTCTTGCATTGATTACATGGCCTTGTGCGATCACATTTGACCTAATTTTAAGAATAAGCTTTATGTTATGATGAAGATAGGGCGTGCGGAATTCACCTTCCGTCTCCGACACCTTTCACATCTGGTTCAAGTCAGTTACAGGAAATATGCAGGAAGCAAAAGCAACAACTTACGATAGATGTGAAGGTTCTCTGTTCGTTCCTCCGCTTGCCCCACCAGGAGCTGGAACCGCACTCATGGTTATAGGGGATTACTATATTGTTAATCACTCATGGTATTGTTACTGTTATACAAAACAAGATTATCCGAGTTCATCATCCTCGTGCGGAGATATATCACGTGATCCATTTTCATGACTTTCTAGCGGGCCGATTTCGGCAAATCACACTTCACATATATCGGGATATTGTGGTCTTGGAAAATTGGGAGAGCCTAACAGGTTGCAACCCTCTGATATGTGCGAAAACCGGATCCACATATTAATCGTCTATCTTCATCAGATTCCTCTACTAATCTTATAGTGTACCTATCAAAAGTCTAAATGGCAACTATAAGAAAATGGATGCTTCTAATCACTTAAAGTTATAATTGTCTTTATTTTGCCTACTAGTATAGCTAAAATAGCAAATTACTATCAGCTTAAACTCGAGCCTCAATTAGTATATATAGTCCCATTTTAGACTTTTAGGTGCCTCGAGTACTTGATATCCATCCTCTACTCTCATCTTTTTCTGGAGTAGCCAGGATAAAAATATGTACCCCATACGTCGATACCTGTAACGCCAAGGCGGCCGGTTCCCACCGTAGAAATATGCCCAATTAGGCATGAGGTCGCCGTGTCATTGTTCCAGACCACGACATATAGATTCGAGTAATGGCGTATGATCCAATTGCCACAATGTGGTGGAAGTTAGTTGACGACCAATAGTACTTAATATGGAAGCAGATCCGATGCAGGGGTGGTCATCGGATCGACGGTAAATGATCCTCGGTCCTAAGATTCTCCATGGTGACTCCAATGCGTTAATATAAATGTTCCATCAAACAAACACCCCAGAATTCTCGTTGCAATTTACCCAGCCGTTCAGTTAATATGCATAATATATGAGATTTCCCCGCCCTCGGAGGCACGGCAAGCTTCACGTGGCTATCATGCCGTTGAAGCCGGCTTTAATTGTCATAAGCTTGCGGATGGCAGGTTAGCTCTCACCAGCAGCATGGTAAGCCCCTGGGTAGCAGATATATATAAGGCTATATTCCTATAGAATGAGTGAACTTTGATCTTTGATCACCTGTTTTATTGCCAATATTCAAAATGCGGCTTCTTGTTCCGTTCAGCGCGTTGGTTTCCACTGTATTTGCTGCATACAAGTGTTAGTTAATAGTGAGTGTGTTATCTAGAAATTTGCTAACGTTAGAAGGGAACAATGTAAAAATTGGAGGTGGTGGAGGCTTTACCCCTGGAATAGTTTTCAGCCCAAAGACAAAGGGATTGGCATATGCCAGGACAGATATTGGTGGACTATATCGCCTGAACAGTGATGATAGCTGGACAGCTCTCCTGGATATTGCTAATGACGCAACCTGGTATGCCTCTAACTAGCTTGTCAATGATTACTTTTTAACAATTTAGGAACTACTGGGGAGTCAGCGCAGTAGCCGCCGACCCCGTTGACGCGAACACAGTCTATATTTCGGTTGGAACGTACACAAACAGCTGGGACCCGAACAATGGTGCAATCCTGAAGAGTACTGACAAAGGCACCACGTGGGTTAAAACCGCTCTGCCATTTAAGCTCGGGGGCAACCAACCTGGTCGTGGAATGGGCGAGCGTCTCGCCGTGGACCCTAACAACAACAAGATCGTCTATTTCGGAGCTCCAAGTGGAAACGGCTTGTACAAAAGTACTGACTCGGGTGCATCGTTCTCAAAGGTGACGAGTTTCACTGCAGTGGGCACATTCCGCGAGGACCCAACTGATACCTCTGGGTATCAGAGCGATATTGTGGGCGTAACGTCTGTTGTCTTCGACACTACCTCTGCCACTCTCAATGGAGCAACATCTAGGATTTATGTGGCAACTGCAGATGTGACGGCATCTGTATATGTTTCCACGGATGCTGGTGCAACATGGAAAGCAGTTGCTGGCCAACCAACGGGACGTTTCCCTCACCGAGTTAAGCTCTCGGTTTCTGAGAAACTCTTGTACTTTACCTACAGCAACGTAGCTGGCCCGTACGACGCCGGCGACGGGACTGTCTACAAGTACAGCCTCTCAACTGGAGCATGGACGAATATTACGCCCGCGTGGCAAGCTACGAACAGCCTCGTGTTTGGCTACGGTGGCTTAGCTCTTGATGCCAACAATCCTGGGACCTTGATAGTTGCATCTGATAATCTATGGTGGCCAGATGCACAACTGTTCCGTTCCACCGATGCCGGTGCGTCCTGGGTAACTATCTGGGACTGGAATGTGAACCACTACACATATGATACCGACAAAGCTCCTTGGATCAATGCCTCTCGCACTGATGATAAGGCACTCGGGTGGATGATCGCATCGCTGGAGATCGACCCCTTTGATTCCAACCATTGGCTTTATGGCACAGGCCTGTCTATTTTCGGTGGTCACGACTTAACTAAGTGGCCAGCTGTTCATGTCGAGTCACTCGCCGATGGATTTGAGGAGACATCTATCCAATCTCTTATCTGCCCTCCAGGTGGAGCCCCTCTTCTGTCTGGAGTAGGTGATGTATGCGGCTTCAGACATGAGAGCCTCACCGTGTCACCGGCTATCAATTTCATCAATCCTTATTACCCAACTACGCCAGACCTTGACTTCGCAGGTCAGAAACCGCTGAGCATCGTCCGCATTGGGAACGATGGCTCAACAGCCGTAAATCAAATGGCTTTGTCGACTGACGGGGGTAAAACCTGGAACCCAGCCACAGTTTCTTCAAGCAGCCTCTGTTGCGGCAAGGTTGCATACAGCGCCGATGCCTCATCAATACTTTGGGCGACTCCTTCTGGAAACTACGTCTTCGTGAATGGAGTACAGTCAGGCGTTGGAACTCTACCAACAGGACTGCGCATAGCGTCTGACAAAGTGAACGCGAAGTATTTCTACGCCGCGGACGGAAATAGTTTCTATGTCTCCAAGGACGGCGGCAAAACATTCGCAATTTCTGCCGCTATCTCCAACAATGGAGTAAACTCTATCAAGGTCCACCCCGCAGTGGCCGGCGATGTGTGGCTTTCGACGTCCAGTGGCATGTATCACTCCACCGACTTCGGGGTGACATTCACCAAGATTGCTTCAGTATCAGCGAGTTACGCCATTGCTCTTGGAAAGGGGACAGGCTCCTACCCAAACCTCTACGCCTTCCTGACCACAACCACTTCCGGAAGCAACATTCTCGCTTTGAGCACAGATAAGGGTGTTACGTGGACTCAGATCAATGATGCCCAGCACGGATTCGGTGCCGCCAGTGCGAACTGCTTGGCTGCGAGCTGGGATACAGTTGGCGAGGTCTTCGTGGGCACGAATGGAAGGGGAATATTCTATGGGTTACCGTGAGTTTATAGCTCCTCCGTGCTCTACTGTTTGTCCATACATTTTCTAACACTGTATATAGGGATGGTGGCAGTACTCCAACTACAACCGCTACAACCGCAAAGACAACCTCCACTACGACTTCCAACCCCACGACCTCTAAGCCAGTGACCACAACGGCTAACCCAACCACTACCAAGACATCGACCACCACCACTTCGACACCAACTCAGGGCGGGGGAACAATTCCAAAGTACGGACAATGCGGAGGATCAAACTGGACCGGATCCGGAACCTGTGTATCAGGATCCGTCTGCCAAGTCCAAAACCCGTTCTATTCTCAGTGCTTGTAAAGCTTAAATTGTGGCATTCCAATTACTTGTGCCGCCATCCTGAAAGGGGCACTGTACATAGCTAAGAATTGATATCTGCATTTGAAACCAATGGACTTCCTCCTACCGGCTTAATTTGAGTGACTGGCTTGTCCAAAAAAAAAAACGGTTACTGAGAGGCTTTGTTTTATCCACGGTTCATATAAACAACTTAGGCAACAGCAGGATTTGTGCGTTGCCCTAAACTTCTAGGTGACTGTTCCGTACTTATCTTACAAGAGTGATTGGCGAGCAAGTCACTACTAGGCAGAATAACGGTCACAAAACAATGGCATATCACTTGTGATGGAACTAAGATAAGACTGAGTTGACATGTTTGACATTATTAAGCTTGGTATACAATTGAAAAGGAAGTCTGGTTTAGAAGTGGGTGGGTCGTGGAATATCCCATGTTTCCCCTGATGATTCCTTGTGCCGTCCAAGCCAGAGAAAACAACAGAAAAGTTGGCGCAGTTGACGAGTGTTTTTGGAGTTTGATGTTATTTGATGCTGTGCGATCTTGCGAAATCCGGAACGAGGATAAGAAAACCAGCTAAAATACAATTTCGCGATGAAGTCGTTCCTTGTAAGGAAAACGCAGTGTATTCTTATGTCAATTTGGATCGCCTGCGGAGATTCCACAGGCGTCTATCCGTGAGCGAATCAGGCTATTCACAGGATCTCGTCGTCCATTGGAGCATCGCCGTTGGCAGCGACAGGTGCGGCGGCTTCCGCAGGTGCGGCAGTTGCGTCGAAATAATCGGCCATCTCAGAATCCAGCTCCTCGGCGGTCTTCTTGGCAGGGCGGGCAGGGCGGGCGCGACCTCCTCGGCCCCTCTTGCCAGCCTTGCCACGAGTAGAGGCTGCGGCGTTGTTTGCACCAGCCTTGGTTGCGGCAGCTGACTTCGGCTGAACCTTTGGTTGGCTGTTACGGCACGTTAGTACGCGGGACATACTTCAACAAGCGGCTGATAACTTACGCAATACGATCACCCAATCCCTTTGGTGCAACAATAGCTGGAGCCTGGGAGGCATCAACGAGAACCTCAATCTGTATAATGAGTTAGCGATATTCCACGTATGTGGTGGCGAAATAAGCTTGCCTTCATTGGCCTTCCATCCACAAGTAATCCATTGAGAGCCGCAACGGCCTTGCTCGCTCCGTCGTTCTTGTGGAAGACGATGTTGGCAATTCCACGGCTCTGGCCATTGGGCCCATATGAGATGTCCACTTTCTTGACTGATCCGACAGACTTGGCGAAGTATTCCTAATAGGTAAAACGTGAACGTTAGTCATATGGTAATCGTCCAAAAGTTCGCTTCTTAACATCATGTTGTCGTCATCGAGAAATGAAAGGCAATCGCAATCCATGGTAAAGTCAATGAGCTGCAAGTCGAACAAAAGATCATTTGCAGCAGCAGGTTCGCAGCAAGCAGTGAGCAGCCAGCATTAGTATGGTAGTTAGTATATCAATAGCCGGAAGGGTTGCGATCACCAGTGTACAAGCTGCGGTTGTTTTGGGTCGGGTCGCTCTTCCTGAATGTGCACCAGCGGAGCCCGCGGGCTGTGATATCGAAATGGGGCCGACAATAACTTGGTTGTCGAGATGCGAGACTGCAACATCATCGCATCCATGTCAGGGCCGTGACCAGCCAGAACACGCCCAGGGACCAAATAAATTCTTGGAGTGATCTGATCTTGAATGCTGTCTCGGAAGCAAACTTGTTTCTTGTGGTAATAATCCGAGCTCCGAAACTTTGTAATACTGTGCTGTGGTGTGCTGTGCATGCTCACTGCTGCGATCTCTCACTGAAGTTCTTGATCTCATGCTAGAGTTGAACCATTTACACATCAGGAAAGGTGCATTGAGCACGATGTCCTTCGATGTTGCCACCACATAAAGTCTGCGCTGTACTCGTATTTTGGGTGCTTGCCAGGCTACCTCTGAGATACAGCTTGATGCTAGACTGATGCTCAACTCTTTTGTACTATGCTCAAGCCTGGAAGGCGAGCTGTACGTGCCAAGAGGAGTCTTGTTGGACAAAGTCCAGCATATAAAATGCCACCATATGAATGCTCTCGCGATAAACCGTCGTAATTTGTTCGATGATCGTGCGTGTACTTTCGGGAAAAAATCCAAAGGCCTGAGCAGCCTCATCGGTAACATACCTTAATCTGCGTCTCGTCTACGTCTCTTGGCTGTTTGGTTGTTAGTCCTGATACTTTTCATGCATGGCGCATAACGGAACTTACCAAATTGCTAACGACAATCTTGCTGTCTCTGTGAATGGCAGGACCCGTAGGGGTGGCCTTGACTGCGCCCTTTGCGGGGCGAGTGTTCTTGGAGATGCCTCCAACAGGGGCAGGGGCTCCGGTCGATCGGCGAGGCTGGCGTTGACCTCTTCCGCGTCTGGCGCCACCACGAGCACCGCCACGGCTAGCACCAGTGTTGGTCATGATCTCATCCAAAGACTGATCGAGCTTGGTGGCCATTTTGATGGTATTTGTCTTGTTTTGAAGGGAGACTGGAGGCGTGGAAGTACTGTCAGGTCGGAACGACGATAAAAGCGAGATGATCGCAAGATGGTGAGAATTCGAGTAGCGATGGGGCAATGCTGACTCTTGAAGTAATCCGGTTGACCGACTGTAAAGTGTAGTTGGTCTCGGCGTGGCAAAGAAGTGGCAATTAAAGGTCTGTTACTTTCGAAGTTGGCTGAAGTACAGTAAATATCTTGGCTTGAAGGAGTGCTGATGCGGTGTCGATGAGAATAGAAGGAGTTGTTTGTATTATTGAAGTGGTTTGTGATGGATGAAGAGAAGGAAGGGTCAGGATCGCAGGCAGGCGTTTGTCCAGTTTCGCGTCGTTGGGTACACGGAGCTAGACCCGATTTAGCACAAAAGGGGACTCACATCGCCATTCACATCGCCATTCACCATCACCAGAACGTGGACCAATAATATTCCTTGGACTGAATAGTCGAAACGTCTTATTCATAGACAAACTTGAAGATTGAATAATACAGCTACTGGTACAATGTCTGCAGCCGTCCATGAGATGCGTTGTACTCTGTGTAGGAAAGTCCTCGACTCAGGTCCCGGCGACTTTGTAACTCCTCACAAGTCGGATTCCATATCTTTTTGCCCGGCAAACCCCTACAAATCTGTAGCTTATCAAAATATACAGACAGACGCTCAATAACCCCGCAAAATATGCCTTAACGCCGTGTAGTCCGTCCCAAGAATGCTTCTAGTCACACACGGCTCGCAGATGGTTTCTTGTCGCATATCGTACTGGATGCCATCGTCGTATGCTGCCGTTCATATACAATAATCCCTCTTCTATTGAATGGCTGACTTGGCTTTCGAGCCGGATGCTACCGCGACGGGGGCGCTTGTTTTGGCATCGACATCCTCCACAGAATTGGCCTCGAGAAAGTGATAAAGGACAATCATCAGCATTGCTGCAGAGCCGAGAAAGATGGCAAGCGAATATAGTTCATCATCGGAGATCATCTTTGCGACTAAAACCAAGGATCGCTGGGTGGAATGTAGCTCGTTGTAGTCGGCGAGGGTAACGGCGAGGAGAATTGAACGGGATCTATACATATTATTTAGCACTAGATTCTTTACAGGGAATAAAATATTCACTTTTATTTTAATAACCACCGAGTTTCCTTTGTATCAAGTAATTGGCGGCGGCTTAATTCGTTGGAAGCTGGTAATTGCTCGTTGAGGCCAGGTACGTTGCAAGAGTCGCCATCAAGGTCATGAATAATGTTGGTGCCTCAGGCACCAATATCAACCCCACCAATTAATATTCAAGACCATGATTTTCCAGCAGGCGACATCACTTGGGAAGAGCGCACGCGACCACACACTCATTCAAAATCTATAAGAAGGGGATCACGAGTATCGCCTACGTAGATCCGATCGCCCCCAACGCATAGACTTTACGTCCTCTTTAACCTACAACTCACCGCCAAAATGCCGCCAAAAAAGCAAGAAAAGCAGGGCGGGGGCAAGAAGCCTTCCGCCACGAAGATGGTGGAGGACAGGACCTTCGGAATGAAAAACAAGAAGGGAGCCCAGACACAAAGGCAAATCGCACAAATGACACAGTCTGCAAAGGCTGGCGGAACCCCAGAGGAAAAGAAGAAGGCGGCAGAGAAAGCCCAGGCGGAGAGGGATAAGGCCGCCTCTCTGGCGGCGCAGAAGGAGACAATGGAGTTGTTCAAGCCTGTGCAAGTCCAGAAAGTGGCATTTGGCGTGGATCCCAAGACAGTTCTGTGCCAGTTTTACAAGAAGGGACATTGCGAAAAGGGAAAAAAGTGCAAATTCTCGCACGACTTAGCTGTCGAGCGTAAGACAGAGAAGAAAGATTTATACCAAGATTCGCGAGAGGAGGAAGAGAAGGCAAAGAAGGAGGAGACTTCGGCAGATTGGGACGAGGAGAAGCTGAAATCCGTCGTTTTATCGAAGAAGGGCAACCAGAAGACTACGACTGATAAGGTCTGCAAGTTCTTTATCGAGGCTATCGAGGAAGGCAAATACGGTTGGTTCTGGAATTGCCCGAACGGAGATAAGTGCATGTACCAACACAAGTTGCCACCTGGGTATGCACACACACAAATTAATCCACACATTAAGCACGAGCTAACCATTTTTCAGATTTATATTGAAGACCAAGGAGCAACGCGCAGCTGAGAAGGCTCTTATGGACAAATCCCCGCTCAAGACCCTCACGCTCGAAGATTTCTTAGAAAGCGAACGACATAAGCTGACCGGAAAGTTGACACCCGTTACACCAGAGTCGTTCGCCAAGTGGAAGTCGGAGCGCATGGACAAGAAGCAGGCAGAGCAGCAGGCACGCGAGCAGAAGGAGGCAACTGGTCGTGCTATGTTCGAGAAGGGTGACTGGAACAGGGATATTGATGAGGATGAGGGAGGCGATGACGATGACGCATGGAACTTGGAGAAGTTGCGCCTGGAGACCGAGGCTATGAGGGCGAAGAAAGAGGCTGATCGGATAGAGGCTGCAGGCGGCCCATCACTGAGCCATCTGGTGGACCAAGGATCTAATGACACCGGCGATGGCTCAGATGCGGGGACCGAACCGTCAGCAAATTAAAAGTGATTTTCTGCGCGAGGTGTAAAGAAGTGGGTACGGGACGGGTTTTGTCTTGGGTTTAATGGCTTCGACGGGAATTATGGTCATGATAGGATATATCATTGGCCTTGTCGAAGCTCTCAAGCGATAGGCCAGCGAGGCCAGCATTGACGCTCATTCACATAGATGAAATGATGATGTACTTGTGGAGAGCCAAATGCTCTTCGTACACTACGCATATACTTGTCTCTTTCTAAATATATGTCATGTGAGACTCAGAATGCACCGAAGTTTTAATACTACGGAGATAAATTGTTCAAGATAGTGTATTGAAGAAACTAAGTACAGCAATAAACAAACTCCAAGACTCAATAGGACCACCATAGAATTCTTAGTCGCGGGTCCACCTCAAAAGCATCAGTGTTCGGCGGATACATATCCGGGTAGTATCCGTGATGCTCACGGGTAGGGTATATACCCGGCCAAGATCTCACGGGTAGAGTAGGGTATATATCCGGATACATGAGGCTGAAATAGAGCATATAAAAATGAAGCTTTTGAGAATAGTAAT